TCCAAGCAACATATATACAATTAATACATAGCAACCTGTCAAAAGATATTAAATAGGTAGAAATAAAAATAAAGAAATATTATAACAAAAAGCGCGAGGACATACCAGCACTCAAAAAGAGGGAGAGAGTTTACCTTTTATAATAAATATCAGAATTAAAAAGTTTTAATATTAAAAGCACAAGACCAAGCAATAAATTTAATATAATTAAATTTAGGCTGTTTACTATTAAAAAAAAACTCATTAATAATAATTATAAACTCTAGCTACTAGTAAAAATATAAATATATTTAATATTTCATATCTTACTATTAAAACCAACAACTAATTTAATAAATAAAGATAAAGCAGCAGATAATAAGGAATATAAAGTTGAAAGAATATTATAATATAAGTTAAAAAAAGAATATATCTACTACTTTATAAGATAGAAAGGATATAGACCTAAAGAAGATATATAAAAATCTATTAAGTACTTAAATTACCCTAAGAAGATTTAGGAATAAAGATAGAAGTATGATTAAGAAAGATAGAAGAATTGAAATTAGTATTAAGGATAAGATTATTATTTTATAAAGTAAATATAATAATAAAAAGTTTTTTAGCCTCTTATTATTCTTTTACTTATTTTACTTTCATTTTCTTTTCTATTTTTTCTAATCTTTCTAGTTCTTCAATATCCTTTATATTAGTTTGAATGAATTTGCTTATATACTTCTAAAAAAGGCTATCTTATTTCTTAAGTTACTCTAAATAAGCTACTATCTCTAGAAGCTTTAAATAAACCTCTTTCTATTAAAGGCAAATCTTATCTTATATTTTAATTAGCTTCTTCCAAGCAAGATCAGAGAACAATATATCTATATAATAATAGTTAGTCGCATAAACACACTCACTATAATATTTTAAAATTTTAGATTTTATATATAACTTTTTAAGGTCAGCATAACAAAAATAAGAAATTATAAAAACAACTTTAATGGACTTAATTCTTAAAAAAAGGTTCTTCTTAGAAATATTTTTCTTTAAAGATATAATTAGCATAAAACCACAAGATCACACATTTGGAATATTTAAGAAGCTAGAATTAATCACCTACACTTCAGGAAACACAGGCTATTTATTAAGCTATTGAGATGCCAGCCTTCAGAGAAGAGGATTATCAAAAAATCAGAACATTATAGCCAATAAATATAAAACGCTAACGCGTAGGAACAAAAAATTATCTAAAGATACTACTAGTAGAGCTAGAATATATCAGGATTAAGATTATTATAGCCATCAGAGCTAAGTATCAGTATATAACTATAATAGATATGATTAGACTCATTAGAGCCCAGTATAAGGAAATAACTATAATAGCTATAATAAAGGAAAGCTATATAAGGATACTTATTTATTATATATTTAATTTTCTTCTATTATCTTGAATTAACTATAATAACTTAAGTATATAATCTTCTATTAATCAAGATATTCATAGTCTTATTCTTATTTCTTTTGTCTACCGAAACCTTTTAACCTTAAAAGCCTATTAACTTCGCCCGTTACTAGCTATCCTAGCTATACTCGACAGTAATCCAACTGAAGTTTCCGACAATAGGATATTAGGAATCTTTTAATATACTTTATAACTAAAGATTTTTAGTATTTTTAAATATAAAATATTATTCTGATTATAAAAATTCTAAATAATCTTATAAAATATTCTTTAATTAAGTTGCTGATTTAGCTATTAATTTACTAATTAAACTATATACTGTAGTCCTTCTAGCTAGAGTAAATATAAAAGATTTACTCTATATATAAAGACTCTTATAAAAGTAATTAGAAATATTCTAGATCTCTTTATTAAGCTATTTTACTTATATATATAATTTGTAGTATATTCTTACTTAATATCTATTCTTTTATAGAATAAGATATATTTATTTTCTAGTACTTGCTTATTGTTAGTATAAGCAAATCTAATATTAAAATTTTTTCTTATAAGGCCCTCTAAAAAATCATAAATTAGTTTTTAGATCTTTTTATCTTGTGTGAAGATAATTTTATGATATTATAAATAAAGATAATAGAAATAAATTGTATACTTTATATTATTATATAACTTTTTAATAGGAATAAGATTAAAGTAAATAATCTCTTAAGATAAGCTTTTAGTTTTTTAAGATTATTGTGAGATTTGGGTTAATATTCTTACTAACTTATAGTATTTATAAAAAGATATATTAAAATTGCTAGAAATATGTGCTTCTTACACATTCTTTTTAAAATAAGTGAAAACCTCTTTATTAGGGTGCTCTAGGTGATTATACTAATATTAATAGGAAGTGATTAATTTAGTAACTTATTTTAAGTATAGAATTAGCCTCTTAGTTATATATATTATGCTTATTAATAATTCATTATATTTAGCAACAATTTAATTATAATATTTAAAGATTCTTATAACTTACACCCTTTCTAAATCTTTTTTTAAAAGATATAGAATATTATTATAGTTATCTTAATAAAGACTTTTTTCCTTGTACTTATTAATAGAAATAAGACTAATTAGCACTTTTGGGCAATATAATATATTATAAAAAACTATTAGTTGTCTAAATTTTATTTTGTCTGATATAGTAAAGAGGACCTTAATTATATTAATATTATATATTAATATTTAGTTTTCTAATATACTAATAAAGTTAATAGTTAGATTAAGATCTTTAAAGGCAATAAACTGACTTTTAATATTATAAATATAATCTTTTAAGCTATTATTATAAATAAAGTTTTCTGTAAGTATATCTTTATTAATCTAATAGGAAAAGCTTTCTTCTAGAGTAAATAATTAGCCTAGTTAAAAGTATATTAATTTATATGTTTTTAACTCTATTAAAAGTTATACTTTATATTTTTTAATAAACTTAGTTAAAAAAGGATATTTAATAATATTTTTAATTACTACTCTAGCTTTTTCTAGATTAAGAATCTAGTCTTTTTCTTAAATCTATTTATTATAATATAAGTAATTTTTTCATCTAAGATAAAGATTTCTAGAAAAAGTATATAAGTAAGATTAATTGCTTTTCTGATTATTTTTTCTATTATTTTTATTTTCTTTTAGTTAATTCTAACTAGTAGATATAAGATTTTTTAAATCTTCTTTACTAGAGGGTTTCTTACTCCTTTAAGTTATATATATTTTTAAATTTAAGTTTTTTTTAATCTAATTAGTAATCTTCTTATTAAACTAAGAGATTAATATCTTAAAGATAATATTTTTAGTGGTCTTAATTTATACTAAATAGGCTTAATAAAAGCTATTAAAGTTAGATTTAATAGAGTTAAGAAAATTATATAAAGATTACTTTATTAAATCTAAGAAACTACTAATATTAAATTTTTTTACTTTACTATATATTTTCACTTAATCTAATATCTAGGTAATAAAATCTTTGCTTTTTAATAGTCTTAATCTTAATTTGATTTATTTACTAATAATCCTACACTACATTTTTTAATTTAATAATTTAAAATAGATTAATAGTATTTTTAATATATTATAGATCTCCTTCTTATTAGAGATTAAAGATTAAATCATTATACTAACTAATTTATTTATATAAGAAAGAATAGCTTTAAGAATCTATTTCTTCTTTTTATACTCTTCCACTTTCTACTTATAATTAGCCTTGTTAATCTCATTCTTAAGATTATTAGAAATAAGAAGATATTTATTTAATTTAGGATTCTTAATATTAGAATTAATATATTTCTAAACCTTTTCTTATCTTACTCTAGTTTAAATTAGTTTAAATTAATTATATTAATATAATTATTTAATTAAATTAATTTTTTTTTAAATTATTGCTATCATTTTAACATCAAATTTATAGTATTTTAATAAAATTGCTAGTATTCATTTCCAATAAGAACTATAGATTAGTAAAAGTGTGATTTTTAGATATATAGATTAGGAATAGCTTTAATAATTAAGATTTAGCTATTTATAAGCTCTTATATTCTATCAACCAGTTCTTTTTCTAAATCAATGAAATCTAATACTATCAAGATATGCTACTATAATAATGGATTTAGCACGCTGTATTAGCTAGTATTAAGAATACTATATAATCTATATATCTAACTAAAGAGAATATTCAGGGATTACTTAAGGCCATATTTATAATCAGAATAGGGATCAACTAAGACACGTATCTGATGCCTATTCTGGCCAATTAGGTGCACCTCTGTGAAATACGGTGTTGGTTGTGGATTACATGCTGTATTCGGAATAGCGGTCATAATCCGCTGTCACTTGTATATTTGCATACCTGCGTCAGTGAGGGTTAGGGCTTTGAGCAGAAGCCCTAACCTGACAGCGGAATATATGGCATTATTTTACATATAAAATGAGCATTACCAGAAGCCCCATTAAGGGGTCCCTTTTTGGTGGCTTACTGGTCAATATTCCGTCGTTATAACCATGCAATCATAGACATGTCCAACCCCACAATATTGGTCGGTATGATGAGGTATATCAACTCTATTAAATGAACTGACTATCCCTCGGGGACTTTTTCATATCAAAAAGAATTTATTACAGACGACCCCTAGATATCTCTTAAACTATTGCGCCTTCTATAGCGTGAGCTAGAGCAACACCCGGCCATCTCGGGGATTTCCGATCTGTCTCCGTACTTGAGCACCAGTGCTTCAACAACCCAACCAGGAAGAAGCCGGGGCCTCGTAATTCTTCTATGCTGGTTTGGTTAGACAGCCGCATCTATCGGTATATGCCTTGACGTTCTGGTTTGTGCAATGCATATCATGAGACAACATGGTCAATCGTCTGTGCTGTCTCGGGATGAGCCGCTCAGTCTTGATCTATCTAATTAGATCCGGTCATAGACAGTCTCTACAAATAACACAGATGCATTACGGATTAGTGAGACAGATGGTATGAGAAAGTGATTGAATGCGGTTCCCTCCAAATTGAACTGGCGATGATGCTGTCAACACTGCTTCCCGACAAGGAGCTCACAGGAAGTTCCCGGCTCCTTGAGGAGTCGCCATTGGTTCACCCTGACGAGTTGCGCACGGCTTTTGCCCTGGCGATGTCCCACATGTACAAGAATGAAGTGCCACTATACGGGGATCTGGTGCGCATTGTGCAGTCTGGCAACCACAGATTTGTCACCAACGCCATGGGCAGTAGCAACGACAGCCTCGATCGCCTCACGCTCGAGCGTCACGGTGCAATCCGCCTAGGCAAGCCCGTGGAATTGCACACTGTGCGCCGCATCTTCGCGCTTCTCGGCATGCACGCAGTCGGATACTACGACCTCTCGGTGGCCGGTTTACCCATGCATGCCACCTGCTTTCGCCCCGTCGACACGGCGTCGCTGGCCGCCAATCCATTCCGCGTGTTCACCACACTGCTGCGGCCTGAGCTGATTCGTTCCCCAGAAGCCCACGACCTGGCCCTCCGGCTCCTCAAGCGCCGGAATATCTTTAGCCAAGAGCTGCTGCACATGCTGAACGTTGGCGAGGCTGTCGGTGGATGGTTCCGCGTCGACCAGGCCGAGATATTCATCCGTGAGGCCCTGCGCACCTTCAGCTGGGCTCCCGTCGCTGAGGCTACTCAGACCGAATATCAGCTGCTGCAGGCGGAGCACCCCATCTTAGCCGACATCGCCAGCTTCCGCACCGCTCACATCAACCATCTGACACCGCGTACACTAGACATTGATGCGGCCCAAGCCGCCATGGCAGCGGAGGGCATGCCTGTCAAAGATCGAATTGAGGGCCCGCCCAGGCGCAAATGGCCTATACTGTTGCGACAGACAAGCTTCCTCGCCTTGGAAGAGAAAATTCGGTTCAAAACGCGCGATAGCAATAGCGATCAATCATTTCCAGACGCAAGCAACGTCGAGCTTGTGGATGGATCTCATAAAGCCCGTTTCGGTGAGATTGAGGAACGCGGAGCTGCCGTGACGCCCGCAGGTCGAGCACTCTACGACCAGCTGCTGGAAAGCAGTATGCATGCGGTAGGAGAGCAGAGGACATCACCCGATGCTGTTGAAGCAGCGCTCGTCGATACGTTCCGAGCGTACCCCGACACGTGGGATGAGCTACGAGAACAAGAACTCGTATACGTCAAGTACAGCTTCTCTGGTAAGCTGCCTTCGACAGCGCAATTGCCCTCGGAGTCAGGCAGCTCCGTCATGAGCCTAATTGAGCAGGGTGTTTTTGAGACTTCACCCATCACTTACGAGGACTTCCTCCCATTCTCAGCAGCGGGTATTTTTCAGTCCAATTTGAATCGGAAGCCTCAATCGCTCCAAGGAGGTGGGCAGTCGGACGTGGAGGGCTTGGAACATGCCCTAGGATGTTCCGTTATTGACCCGGATGCTCTGTATGCTCAAGCGCAGAAACAGAGCTTAGAATCGAGTTTGTTACAGTTGAAATATCACCTCACAGCTTCTCATAAGTTATTAGATAGTGAACTTGAAACAATATAAATGAAGCGGTGAAAGGTTAAGCAACTTGGCAGCGTTGAATCAAGTTATTGATCTCACAGCGGAATATAAGGCATTGTTTACACATAAAATGAGCATTACCAGAAGTTCCATTAAGGGGTCCCTTTTTGGTGACTTACTGGTTAATATTCCGTTGTTGTGATCATTTTCCCTGCAACAAAAATTATCATAGCTTTCTTATCTGAGGCTACGGTCTAGTTTCTAGGGCCATGCTGGAAGTTTGTTGCGCTCATTAAGGACTGGTGGTCTACAAGGTCCAGATACCAACCATGATGTCGATAAAGTAACAATTATGAATATTTGCACAACATGTACGTATTTGTACATGGCGCTATCTGGTCCCTATCAAATTCGTTCAAACGCTCTTGACTGATGGGCAAAGAACACAAAACTTGGTAAGGAGTGCGTGCTCGGGTAGCAGTACTAAACTAGCATCACCCTAAGCACTAGTTTACAAAGATGACATTTGAGTCAAACTACCCTTTGCATGTGATGGCGAGCTCTTCACACCTCATATGTCCAATAACACAGGCTGTATGGTACTAAAAGTTTGTTACTATGGTTTCATAGATGTACCACTTCTTGAGTGACCTTTTGAAGATGCTAGAGGGTTCCCGCTACGAACATAGAAGAATGAGAAAGATTGTAACCGTACTCATAATACTTGAACTGTCTATAAACTACATTGTATTCCTCTCAAGCATAGGACCTGTTCGCTGACTGTCCAAATCTTTCCAGTGGGCCGGACGTCTCCTGACCACACCAGAGTAGAACCAACTCCCCATGGTAAAAACGTCATATACAGGCAGATTAACAGCCTGCTGTACCGACTGACCAAATGGGGGCATTTGCGTGCACTCAAGCACAATGGCTCCGATATCGGGATGGTCAGCAACCAGGCTCTTGGCAGCGTCGACCATTTCAGTCTCGATAGCATCGAAGCTGTACGGGCTTTGCATGCGTACAAGGCGCTGCAGATGGCCTCCGGCAGGTGCACCGCGAATATAACACCGAGCAACATTCTGCTCAGGGATTCCGAGACGCTCAAAGTGGAGCGGTCCGAGTTGTTCGGCGTTATAGGTGATGATACCAATTTTCTGATCCGGCGCCAGCCAGGCGAGGATGGAAGGGATCTGAAGGAGTGAGGAGGTTGCAACTGGGATAGGGAGTCTTGCGGCAAGCCTGTTATTCGACCATCGTAAGTCTCGTTGAGCTGATGATAGTAATAGTAATAACAATAATATACTGTTGGATCCCTTCTTCTCGAGATATACTTACAAAGGTTGGACCATGGCGAGAAAGCCACAGCTAGTGATGATACCACACGCTCCTCTCTCAGCAAGTCTCATTCCCGCACGAACGAATGATTCGATAAATTCCTCGTCATACTCGTCTTTGGACACAAGCACACCTTCCTTGGAGCCCTCGGCGAGCTCTCGGATGATGGGGAAGTTCCATGTAAGCTCTGAGAAACAGTCTCCGGCCGGTCTAAAGAAATGGCAATCAACAGCTATAAAGCCAATAGGGGGAAGGCCATCCCTATCTTCAGCTCTATAGTCGGTCATGTTGGACTTTTGTGAATGTGAATATGCATGCATGGGTTACTGTTTTGGCTGGGCGGATCCATCTTATACTATGTACATACGTCGGGTTTAGCCGCGCTTAGTCAGCACCCCGCGGCAACTTATCTCGCGCTTATCTTATCGGCGACGTATCGGAGCCCTGGAGCTCGGATTCTCCCGAACTGCATTGGGCTTTGGCCGCCGAGTACGCCAAGCAGGGGGTTATAGATATATAATATGTATGTTAGTGTAGTGTGTCTACGGAGAAGTACTTCGGAACAGAGGTCCTCGATAAGAAATATGTCCACTACAACGTGATTCAACAGAGAGATTGGTGTCTATTGCAAAAGGACGCATAACGGCTTTGAGAAATAATTGAGCTAATATGTCATAATCCATGCGCTTGGAAACTACTAAACCTAAATTAGTATCCAAATGAGTCCAATAATGTTGTTAGACCAGTTTCTGCTTGAGCTTGAGCTTCCGAAATCTCTTCCGGTGTCTGGCGTTCTAGAATTGCCGGGACAGCCAAGTGGAAAGAACAGAGTTTTTCTTCTAGTTGCCCCAGTCTGTCCATTATTTCAATTCCTTGAATATTGCTTGGCCGTAAAGCTTGTCGCGTCGCCAATGCCTCATCCCAACTCCGGTCAGGATGTCAGCAATCTGTCCAATGACATGCTGTCGTTGTGCCTCGGACATGAGATTGAAATTCTCCGTCAAGAGGCACGCCAACTTTGTATGCACGCTCATATAGGTACGTACCTCGAGGCCCTGTGCTTGCAGGATATCTTTGACAAGATTCAGGCAAATTTGAAATCGGTCGTGACTGAGATTTTTCACATCTCATGTGCTCTTTTGTGGTCCATGGGAAACTTCACTGTATAATGTATACATTCATGTATCCGTCGGAGGTCAATAGGGCTATCCTTACATGGGGCTGTCTGTGTTTTATACCCTGGTTGCTGTCTCCGTTTCCTATTTACATTATACCCGCTCTCGAAGCTAACTTGAGGCACAGCAAGATAAGTTCTAATGATGGCAGAAATTAAATGGTCTTATCAGAACCTTGATTAATTATCAGACCAATGGTTGACCTTTTGACCCATCTGGCTACATAGTGCATGGTTGCATTTCATGGTGGCGCAGCGGGTTACGACTCAAGGTAACTCAATGAGGAAATCTCAATACTAGTACACGAGCTACGATAGTTAGTTGGACGTCCAATCACTTAGATTATACATGTCTGGTCCAGATTCATAGTTTGTGCCCAGGCTCTTCACTTACCGTGGTTCTACTATCTATGCCAGCCGACTTTTTACAACATCCGAAATTCAATGGGCAAATTCCCTCGAGGATGTTATACCTTGCGCGAAAATCTAAGCGGACCAGCCATTAAGGACCATCAAGCCTAGACCATAACATCATTGCCGTAATTACCCTAAGCTATTTAGTATTTACATTCATTTCCCTATGGCTTTGATTGATTACACTGTAGTATTGCACCGATAACGAAGAATTTACTCGCTATGGGAGCCATTGCGTAAACCGATCTTCGATCAGCCTTACTGCTTCGCGACAACAGCTTCCGCCGACTTTCCTTCGCTTTCGTTGTCGCTGCTTCGACTAAATATGTGTATGGTCAGCCCTAATTCGGCCGCCCGCAAAAACAGTATACAGATGAAAAGATTAGGAATACCTACCCTATCTCCACAGATTCGGTGACTACTGTCTTGGGACGCTTGTACTGATTCCACCAAGGACCCTCGAACAAAGCGTCCAGCTTTTCCAGGTCCACGCCGGCCGTCTCAGGGACCACCAGGAAGGAGTAGATTAGGGCCAAAAAGCACCAACCGGCAAAGAAGAGGAACGCCCCCCAGTTATCAGTGCGGGAAAGGAGGGATGGCACACCCTTGTTGACGCCAAAGAAGAACAGCCAGTGGAAAGTCTGAGTCAGAGCGGCGCCAAATGAACGGATCTGGTTGGGCCAGAGCTCGGAAACAAACACGTAGGGCAATATTAGAAGGCCTGGTTTCGTCTCATATTAGCGCCTTGTGAACGGTATCAACTAAGAAAGCCTATAGGAAAATATCATTTACCTATGGCATAGCCAAATCCATGAATGAAGATGGCAGCGATAGCAGCTTGACTCGCAGCAGTAGGAACCGGCCCTGCTTGGTGGTACTTGATGAAAACACCAATATAAATATCAGAAAGCATCTGTATAGTAATGCCAATAAACAGACTATTTCGACGGCCAAGGGCGTCGACAAAGAAGAAGCTGGCAATCAAAGTGTAGAAAAATTTGCCAACGCCATACATGGCCGTGACAAAGAGACTATAAGAGGAGCCGCCGGAGACACCGACCATGTTAAGGATAGGCACCAAATATGTAGTTATGCTGTTGGCGCCGGATAGCTGGGCCAAAGCGTATGAAATAAAGGCCTGCTGAGTGCGTCGGAGATTCGCGGGGACCAGGAAGGTCTCCTTCAGAACAGCACCCAAACCTTTGATGGAATACGACGTGGCATTTCCATAAGCGGCACGCTCCTCAGCGAGTGACTTTTTGATATCTTCCAGCTCAGACTGCACACGCGGATGATCAAGGGGCAACCCTCTGATCTTCACGAGGGCCTCTATAGCTTCTTCGTCGCGGCGTGCCAGGAAGAGCCAACGCGGGCTCTCGCTAACGAAGAAACTGCCGAGGATGACGGCGGCCATGATGAGAGTCGGCACAAATATAGGAACCTGCCACTGTAAACTGCTGCTAGCCATCGTCGTAAACGCCCCGTAAACAGTGAATGCGGCCAGGAAAAGCGACAGTAATAGGACGACGCTGAACCAGCTGGTGATAAGACCACGAATCTCAACGGGAGCTATCTCCACGAGCGAGACTGGCCCGATGACAGTGAGGGGTCCGATACCGAATCCAGCTACAATGCGCCCGGCATACAAGGTCGCAATTTTTCCACGAGAGCCGACAACGATCAACTGTCCGATGATCCAGATAGCAGAGTACAGGCGGAGGGACCACAGACGGCCTACACGGTCATTGATGAAGAATGACAGAGCTGCTCCAACACCACATCCTATATATACCAGGGAGATGAAGTTGGAAACCTGGGTAGGGTTGGACGCAGAAGTAATGCCAAACTCTGCAGAGAAACCTGGCAGAGAGGGAATAGTAGAGCTTGAACCTTGGTCCCAGCCTGAGCATGCGAGAGGTTAGTTGATCTTCATGTGGAGCAGAATATGGCGACCGAATAACTTACACAGAGGGATACCAGCGAGTGCATAGATTGCCGCGGTCGTCAAGAGCGTGCGATTAGCAATCAGTGACCTTGGCGAGGTCTTGATGTTTTTGATGTACTTGGCGAGGGTTGAGTTTTTGAAAGCCATCTTTTCCACTAGAGAAGGAGTCTTCCTTTTGGTCTGTCCCCTGCTCACAAATGGGGTTGTTGGGGATGTGATTTATTGATATTACATAGAAAGGCCCCGTCTGTTTATCTTTGGGGATCAACTGGTTCCTTATCAAGCCAAGGGTGAATCGAATCCACAGCAGCGATAAGCTGTGCTTTAACAAAAGAATAGATAAATAAATAACCCGACATGCGCTGAGGAAGTATCCGGCGGTTATACTCGGTGGAAGCCGGTGGACTGTTGGATCTGATGGTCTAAACCACCAATTGGGTAGTAGAGGCATATAGTACGCCCGTGATCGTAACTCTAGAGTATAACCCTAGATGATAACCAAAATCTCTGTCTGGCTTACCGCCCTTCCTCGGGAGAACCCGAGTGCCGCTGATAAGATAGGATAAACTCCTCACATGCGCTGAAAAGGGCGTTCATCAAAGTCTATGTTCTCGCAGTTACCAGAGGTCTGTTTTTATGCAGCAACAAAAATGGCGTCTATAGTCCCGTCCAAAAAGGACCCAATTATCATTGTGGGTGCAGGAGCATTCGGCCTGAGCACTGCGCTGCACCTCGCCCGCCGTGGCTATACTGATGTGACTGTATTCGACAAACAACCATACGACGACTCGCGATACTCATACTTCCAGGGCTGTGATGCAGCTTCTGCAGGTAAGGAAACGCCAAAAGCACGGCCCCGAAGGAAGCAAAAAGCAAAGCTGACATGAGAGATCCTAGATATCAACAAGATTATCCGAGCAGGCTATGGCAAGGATGTTATTTACCAAGATATAACCCTCGAGGCCGTGGAAGGCTGGAACCAGTGGAATGCTGAGCTAGCGAGCGGCCAGACGGTGCCCCCCGGTATGACCACCGCGGACCGTGTTTGGGTCAACAATGGACACATATCCATGACCGATGGCCCCGTGTTACCTCCTTTCGAGCAAGCTAGCCTCGCGTCCATGCCCAAGAACACACAGTTCGTTAGCACCGACACACACGATCAACAAATCGCAAAGTCTCTCGGTATCAATCTCGAACCCTTCAAGCGACAAGACCCCAGCCGGCCAAATGTGGCCCTCTATGACCGTACTGGTGGTACGACATATGCCGACAAAGCCTGCCGCTTCGCGCTGCACAAGGCCCGCATCTACGGCGCCAAATTTGTCCTCGATCCTGTAGCAGGTGAGCTCAAGGAGCTGCTGCGAGGCTCTAGTGACAAGAGTGAGATAATTGGTATCCGCACGTCAGACGGCAAGACTCATCGGGCTGCCTTGGTCATACTCGCCTGTGGCGGCTGGACGCCGTCAATTCTGCCCGCCTTGGACGGCCTGAACGAGGCCACAGCCGGTTCGGTTGCGCTACTCAAAATCCCCCGAGAGTCGCCTCTCTATGACCGGTTTGCGCCAGAGAACTTCCCCAGCTGGATGCACAAGATGCGCGACGGCCACCTCGGTGGTCTATACGGCTTTGCTCGAACGGACGATGGTTGGTTGAAGATTGGCTACCGTGGCAATAAGTACACGAACCCGCAGGTGCAGAGTGACGGTCGCGAGCGCAGCGTGCCCATCACTAGGTGGTCCAAGGGGGAAACGATCAAGGCAATACCAAAGCAAGCACTGAGCGTGATCCAGGCTTTCCTCGACCAATATCTGCCAGAACTCGGAGAGGCGGGAATCCACATCTCTATGACCCGCATCTGCTGGTACAATGACAGCTTTGACAACCACCTCACTGTTGACAGAGTTCCCGGCATGGATGGGCTAATGGTGGCCACCAGTGGGAGCGGCCACGCTTTCAAGTACCTTCCCAGCCTTGGGAACTGGATCGTTGACGCGATGGAAGGAGTTGGCAGCGACAGGCCAGCCATTCAGGCTTGGAGATGGAGGACACTGGGAGACCAGCAAAGCGCTATTAATGAGATTATGCAGGGTTCGAAGGGGCCCAGAGCCTTGTCCAATCTAGCATTGGTTACGGACTCTCGCCTTGGTCGAAGTGCTAAGCTGTAAGCTTTGGCATAGCAAGCAAGTAGAGCGATCCTCCAATACACCTGATCACGCTGGGTAGATATTCAATGACGCTCGTACGATACGCACATTTGCTTGTTCTTCGTAAAGTATACTTTTCAAAGTTTGTATTTCTATCTAGTATTGGATATTTGCTTTGTACTAATTTCCACAATTCTGTCGAAATCCTTCTCCCAGCGTTGCCAGATTAGGATTAGCGTGTTCATGGGGATGATGTCTTAGGGCTAACTCCTCCTCGTGAGGCTTCACGTAGTAATATATCACGCTTTCTGCCCACCGATTTCTTGCCCTCAATATGTTCCGTTTATATGGAAGGAAAGTTTATCCAACTTCTTCTTTTCTTTTCTTTTGGTACGATGTTATTCCTTCTACCCAATGCAGTGCTATCAAAATCAATATGCTCCTTGATGAAGTTTACAAGATCTCCCGTACGGGCGAGTTCGGCTTGCCCTTCGTGTAAAGGGCTCGAATATTTTCGAAGCATTCTCTTTCAGCTTTCATAAATGCAAAATCAGTAAGGCCACCTAAATGAGGCTGGACGACGACTTTATCACTCTGTAGAAAGTACGGATCGGGCTTGGGCTCATTGACGAAGACGTCCAGTCCAGCGCGAGCCACTTTGCCGCTCTCGAGCGCGGCGATGAAGCTGGGCTCGTGGATGACGGCGCCGCGAGCCGTGTTGACCAGAAACACGCCGTCCTTCATGGCTGCAAACTCGGCCGCTCCGATCAGGTTTTCCGTCTGAGCATTCAGAGGACAGTTGAGCGACACCACGTCGGCGGTGCCGAGGAGTTCATGCAGCGTCGAGCAGTATGTGGCGTTGAACTTGGTTTCCTCCTCCGCAGGCAGTTGCCGGCGGTTATAGTACTTGATCTTCATGTTGAACGCAAGAGCCTTTTTGGCCATGTACTAATGTTTTGTTTTCGAGTCAGACCAATTATATGCAAACCAACGGGATTTCAGCTTGTATTACCTTTCCAATAGCTCCCATACCTACAATTCCGAGCGTCAGGCCCGCAGGGTCGCGGCCGGGCACCAGATTAGCGCCGGCCCTCCAGGTACCGTTGCGTGCGCACTTCTCGGCAACGGAAGTATTCCTGAGCGTAGCCAGGGTTAAAAAGATAGCCATGTCGGCAGTAGCCTCTGCCACGGCGTTGACGGTATTGCAGAACCAGATACCCTGAGAGGCCATCCAATCGACGTCGAACTCGTTGAAGCCAGCGCTGGCGGAAGTGATGATCTTGCATCCAGGGACCAGGCCCTTGAGCAGTTCCTCGTCGAAGGGCTCGTAGGGCATGGTGCCCATGCGGATGATGAAAGCGTCGATTGGGCCGTTCTTCTTGATGTCCTCGGGGATCATCTGCTGCGCCTCGGCGCGGTTGGTTGCAGGCAGCACGGAGTAGCGAAACTCCGTTCGGAACTTCTCGAGGTAGTCCTCGCCAACGAACTTGGGCTCGCCCAAGCTGACGACCCGCGGTTTGATTGCTGGTACGATGGCCATGATTATAGCAGCTTTTGATTCAAGGAAGAACAGGCTCTGATAGTGGGAGCTGGCCTCGATACGTGCGTGCTCTAATTGATATAAGGAAAGGGAAGAGAAGCGAAGTGAAAAGCAAGAAGAAAAACACCGCGTTCCAAACAAAATTAAACGGCGCGTACCGCGTGCAATGTCTCTCAATGACTTTATAGATAGGCGATAAGATCAGACATGCACATCACGGCTTCCTCCGAGGTGGGGTGAAGCTAACCCTAATTCCCTCTTTTCCACTTTTGGTCCAGAGTACTTACTAATTACTTGCGATAAAATCAAAATATAATTCTCTTCACTGACTAACTGCAACTATGACTATGTATAGATATGTTGAAGCATTGTCGCCTAATACTAATCAAGCCCAACTAGAGTTTCCGGCTCGTGACTGAGCTGTGGCTATCCATCTTCTAGAAGGACTTCTAGTAATATTAAGAAAATAGTAATAGGAGGATTTCCGGGAATTGTAGATTGTAGAGCTTGATAGGATATGATAATACTACAATCAGAACAGGTATATCTATAAAAGAAAATCACCCTTCGTCTCCTTAAGGATGCACTGATACTCAGGCACAAATTGCATATACATGACCTCGGGCGTACCAGTACCCTTCTTTGTGTACTCAGCCTCCTCCTGCGAAACGAGGGTCTTGGATAGGCCAGAGACAGCGCCGCCAATACTGGAAGGGGCCGTCGACGACTCGACCAACAGCTGGGTGTGACAGGCGCGCTCGAGAGCAATGAAGAAAGCAGCAGCCTCGGCAATGGTACCACCGCAGGTAAGGATACCATGGTTCTGCAGAATGATATTCTTGTTCTGCGGGCCTAGGGCGCGAGCAATGTTGACGCCCTCCTCGGCAGCGAGCACGACGCCGCCAAAGGCCGCGTAGACAGCGAGGTCGTCATAGAACATGCAGCTGTCCTGGTTGAGCATGTCAATACCACGCCCAAACGTGCTCCAGGCTCTCCCATAGGGGCTGTGCATGTGGCACGCTGCGTGCAGGTCAGGACGTGCTTCATGGATCGCTCGGTGGATGTTAAAGCCCGCGCGGTTCACTATCGCATCAGCACCCCCGATACGGTTCCCTTCACGGTCGATATGCACCATGTCTGAAACTGTGAGCACACCAAAGTGCACGCCGTATGGGTTTATCCAAAAGGTCTCGCGCTGAACGGGGTCTGGACAAATGTCAGCTGTCTAGATTTGCTGTAATGAAGTGCAATGTCTTCTTCTTCTTACCTCGCAAACTTATATGCCCACTACCGCCGTCCGCAAAGCCCAGCTTAGCAAAAATGCGAAAGGCGCCGGCCATCTGCTCCAGCTGCCATTTTCTGCGCTCCAGTAAAGTTTCTGGCCAGGGAATGTGATGAAGAGGCCTTTCCGGTGTTTTGGCGGGCTTGGGTGTTTGCGGCGCTTGAACAGACGTTGCTGTTGGTGACATTATGACGGGACGTATCAATTGTACGACGCTCTGGCTAGGAGTTTGTGATACCCTCAGGGTAGACAAAAACGTTGCTCTAGCATGTATCCTTGCTTCGCAACCCCGCAAGACCCGAAAAAGGGAAAGACCGGAGAGAGCCGAGGGGCGGCGCTCCTCCGCGGAAACTTCCGTGGTGAATATGCGGAGTGGGTTTTCTTATCCACTTTATCACTTGGCTATCAGTAACAGTAACTTGGTTAGTGTTCAAGAGGCTATAATTATACGCCAACTAACATGCTAGATAGAATGTCCGAAAGCTCTTACTCTTGCTAGGACTCAAGCGACCGCGGATGCAAGAAATGCGAAAAGACACAAAGGCGGCATTTTGGTGATCTGGTGCGTTGCTTAGTTACTTTGTTATTTTCTTAGAAAAATAGAAATATACCGCAGCTTGCATTTTTCAATTCAGCGAAGTAACGTTCGTCTCTGCTTCGAAATCTCTGATGCCCTGAAGTAGCTCCTGGGCCAACCATTGTGAATCTCCGGGGGCAGCAACATAGTCCAAGGCCATAATCCAGTCTTGCAAAGGCATGTCAGGTCCTCCAACCTGTTCTGGATTTCCTCCGGGCCCATCAGTAGTTGTAGACGTATCGTGCATATTCCCAGGAATATTTCCGCTACCACTTGCATTTCCACCAAGGCCACCAGATAGATAAGTACCGCCGCCAGTCATCAGACTTGTCAGGGCCGCCAGCTCCGAACTCTCACCACCGCTTACTGTGGCCCCGCCATTGCCACAGATCATAGTGATGGTGCTCTCTGAGAGCAGCTCGAAGATGTCACGGTAAGAGCTCGCCTCATTCCAGCGTTCGGCGATGATGATGAGAACCGTCGTGCACGCCATGCATGTGTTAATGACGATGCTCTGTGGCGTGCGCTTACGAATGTAAGGGGACTTCCATAGACAGTAGAGGTACGTCAGTCCACTTAGGAACAGAATATGCAGGCTGCCCCACGTAAATTGAATCTGCGAGTGTTGTGACTGGTATAGGCGTCGGTACATGAGGCACATCTGCCGTGCATGCGTTGAGCAGATCTCAAATGCGCGGTCACGGACGTCCGGCTCACCGTTTTCCTGTATCAAAGGGCTCGGCGCCTGGGCGGTGGGGTCAGGACTGTCGATGATGTAGTGCCGATAGAGAAGTAAAATGGAGTAGCCGTAGGCCAGCTGAAACCAGTCATTTGAGGCAAACACTGACAGTGGGCGAGCATGAAGATTATCCAGTTTATCTGGAGATGTGGCACGCCACTCTTCTAATTCCTGACGCAAAGCCTCCACCGCAAGTCCGTTTGAGGTTCTGCCGCCGTCACCACCATGATGGGAATATAAATTGTCGTTGAACTTCGACCATAGTCGTCGAAGCTTGATGGAATGGAGAGCACCAGTAAGTTGAGTTGGCGGGTCGAGAGGGTTCTCTCTCGGCGGGCAGAGCAAGCCGTCGCGCGTTATATGTTCGTCATCAATATCTAAGGGTAACTACACCTGTTGTTAATATGGAAAAAAAAAGGATACATATGACTTGAGTAGATGGATACGAAAGGTAATGGTATAGTACCTCAACGTCAATGTCACCATCCGATATGCCCGCTGGACGGCCAAGAATAAAGGATGCGACACGATCAATGTCATAAGCGACCCAAAAACAACGCTTGGAGATCTCCTTGGTAAGCGTATCTACCGAGTTGCGATACCTCTCTGTGCTGCGGTGATAGCCCAATTCGATACAATGCCGCATGGCCATTCCTGATATTTTCCTGAACCTCATATATAAGCTTTGAAACCAAGCGTCTGCTTGTTGCAAAACTAGAGCAAACAGTATTCCTTACCATAGACTGACCCCAGCCGGCGATCGAACAGAATATACTGCACAGCAAAGCATTGCTTGTATCGACAGTAGATTGTCCATGTCCAGAAGGGGTGCAATGTTGTTGAGGGCCATGGCGTAATATCCCTTTTGTTTGTATGAGTATTCAAAATATTACTTATCATCCTTAGTAGGAGTAATCAAGCTCACTTCTGCTGCATCAACCTCGCTATGTCCCAGTGCCAGAGAGCCAATTGCGTAGACCTATATAGAAGATTGCTGTGAGCTTACTAGGCATGTCATTCCACCACTAGATATCGGCTCCGAGGGAAGCAAACAGGAAGAGGCCGCACCATAAGCACAAAAAAGAGCGAAGTTTCACTAGCATCACCGACATCATTGCGCAGGCTAGCCTCTAAGCATTCTTGTTCCATGAGCCGAAAGGTTGGTTGATGGAGAAATGGATACTGCGGGTGAATGTTGTTGAAATACGCCTCCGAGAGCTTGGCCATCATGCCCGGGTCAGGGAACTCCTGATAGCGAGCGGTGGCGTGGCGGGTGGCCGAGCCACTCGTGTTGCTATAATGAGAGCTTGCTGCGCCGGCTCCGCGACGGGGCAAGCGCAGAGTGCTACTAACGATGCGCGAGAAGTGAACAGCAGATGAAGGGCCGAAGTACTGCGGCTCACGTCCAGCGGCGCTGAGGCAGAGAAGTGCTACTTCGTTGCTGAGAAGGTCACCTTCGTCAGCATCGGTGGATCGCACATCATCAAGATCATTGTTGGGCGTATTTCCTGAGGCCTGCTGTTGTGGGCCAGTTGTAGCATTCGCGGTAGCACCAGGAGCACCAGCAGAGTCCAAAACCCCTCCATCGGCCTGTTGGGACTGTTGAGAGCGGTCAATGCCTGCAAAGTGATCAACAGCCACCTCGGGTCGTACTCCTTGTAGAAGGCCTTCCAGATAAGCCACTCGTGCCTCGAGAGATTGCACGTAATCCCGCGGGCGGTGCAAGCCCGTAGCCGGGTCTTCTACCAAGCAGTCTACAAGAGAGCACCCACGGGTTAATTGAGCTACCAAGAGAATGCAGAAATGGAAAGCCGAGCAGGCCATACCTCGGTCCGTTCTAGTGCAATTGCTGCACTTTGGGCTTCTCCCATCGCACTATACAGCAGTTGATGAGAAAAACGTTAGCCCAGGGACATCTCTTATCATTCTATCGCTGACGCCATGCTACTGCACCTTTAGTTTGCGCTGCTTGCAGTTTGTGCAAGCCAGCATGGTCCGTTCGCCCATTTTGGCGCGCTTCGCCGGATGGGAGACCCGGCGCGCCATACTCATATTGAAAGGCTGCTTTGTGATGGGAGATGTCGATATTGATAGGAGATGCGGGTGACTTCAAGCGTACCTTAGTGTGCCCCCACTCCAGTTCTTATCTTTATATCTGGCGGGGGTCAGTACTCCACCTCCATACGCTGTATATCATCATCAGAAGGATACGTATGTACATCTCTTTTTCCTCCGGTGTATATGCACATTAATCGTTCCCTAGTTACTTGTGCTCGGTACAGCTTGCCAGCTAAAAGTGCTAGTTTGATTTTAAGGTACAGCCTGTCGGATTTCATCCGCTTCACTCTCGTCTGCGACCCAATTCCAATTTAAGCAATTGTCGTCATTGAATCTAACTTGCATGTATTTTTGCTAGGCAGACTCTCATCTTCGCGAGGCTTATAGGCTACCTTCTGTGCCGCGCACAGGGTTGGAGTGAGTGTCGTTTTTAGGAGGCTCTTCATGCTTCACGGAGTAGATCTCAACGAGCTTCTCCTCGATAGATGAGTGGGTTTGCGCTCCACGTATGCGCTCAAGAATGATCTCTCTGTTTCCTTGTGGATACGATCAGTCTGCGGAATTTTCGTTGCCCAATGGGCCAGACCGCTCTGGATATCGGCGACGAAGAGTGTTGGGCACAGTCGCTATGGTTGTACTGCTGATTCCCCAAGGAAGGAGGGAGGGGGGGAGGGAGGGTTGGTTGGTTGGTAGTTTTTGAATCTGTAGTGAGTTAGGGGGGTTAGTAGAGAGAAAATGCTTAGTTGGTATCTGGTGAAGTTAAGTTCTAAAATAGAAGTTCTGTACTCCGACTCCGACTACGGGGATATCTAATATGTGTGATATACGAGCCTAGAAGCCTCGAGGTTATCAGGGAAAGCACTTGTATCTCTTATTTTGTTGGTAAGATTGCGGCGTGTATATTTCAAGGCCGTGTTTCATGTTTCTTATCAAGGAAAACAGGAACAACGTCGATACTAATCTTAGGTGATTCTGAATAACAGCAACATCCATGGTTAAGCGTGTAAGAAAATTGTCCGATTTCTATTCCCTCCTGCTATCAAGAAGAAAGGGTGAGAGGGTTATATATATTGAAAGGATGAAATAATACCCACCTAGGTATATACACTCTGTTTGAAGATCTTGTGGGTGACGTTGCCAGGATCAGTCGCATCCCGTATATATATATATATAGCTGTATAGCTGTATATGTGATTTTCCGACCAGAAGAAGTAGGTCCGATCCCAGACACAAGTAGTAAAGTAACCTGGTCCAATTCAAGGATGCTTTGATCGAATGCATTCGTTCTCGGTTGTTAGCCTCACGTTTCTAGATTGCATTACTGTGCTCGTCTTGGTGATATTTCGAAGCAGTGGGAGGAGTAAGGCAAAAACTGATTATCTCAGGAAAAGAATAACATCACTTTTTGTGGACGGTCAAATATCGGAACAATCCGATATGGTGTAACGGTAACATCGCCGCCTCTCATCCACTGAGGGATTTCATCGCGGCAGCTCGGGGTTCGATTCCCCGTGTCGGAGTACGATTTCTTTTTTAACCTTTTTTAGGTTTTTTTTCTTTTTATTATTATACATATTTACTAGTTATATAGTTAACTATCCTACCACTCTAAGTGACTTACTTAAACTTACATTTTATTTTGTTCTTCCTTCTCCTCCTGTGATTACCGGAGAGTGACCGACAACCACTGCTACAACCAAAGTCGAGTTTAAGGAGTAGTTTCGTCTGTAACGAATGGTAAAATGGCTGCCCCGCTGCTGCATTCCTGCCAATTTTTGCTCCCATGACTGCATGTATATATATACATACATCCCCGAACAACGAGACATGGAAAGTCTTTCATCAAAACATGGTACTTTGCCCCCAAGTTCCTTATCAATCTTGTCTCGGAACGCCGCATCCATGATGACTTGATTTCTAGTTGCGATTAAGTCCGTAATGCACCTGCATATCCCGTGGTTTTCGCCAAATAGTCTTGGTGTGGTCACAGTTGGTGCAGTAATCCCCTTCCTTTTTCTTGTCGTCATCTTTTTTGTCATTCTCCTCGCCGCTGATACTGTCATCACCGGATAGTAGGTAATGCAAGCGTTGTATGGCTAGTTAATTGTATTCGCACTGTAATTTCTGACGGTTTCGTAGTCGATAATATGCTTAAATTCCCCTGGCGATTGATATGCTAGATAGAGCCTCGACTATCAGCCCAGTGCGTTAAAATTAAGCGCCGTCAACTTCCGGCCATCAAAACGCATTTCCCCCCCTTCTTTACATACAATAAATAAATACAGCCTTGATTCAAAAAGCACCGCCGGTTGCATTGCACATTGCACTGCATGAAGGAGATTGCTGATTCTAGTCTAGGAGATTTGTTTTGAGGAGCAACAAAGACAAACCTGCGACTGGCTGGGCCTCGCCCGGGCTGACCTCATGTAACCATTTTTTCAAGCCACCCAAACAGAAACCAGAAAACCAACTCTTTCCGCAGGAGCTGTCGATAGACAAGTCACAAAGCAGCGGTCGCAGATCCATGATTATTATTCTTTATTATTGCCATTATCCATAAAACCAACCATCGCAGATCCTTCGCCCAGTAAGCAGTTATTTAGTCGAGCGATGGAGCAGGATGCCAAGACGGACGATTCCATCGCGCCTCACCGCAAGCAAACGTACGAACGAGTCTTTTCGAGCTTTGCGACGCCGCGATTCATTCAGTGTGAGTGCTACACAACTGGACTGCGCGCGGGTCAAGAGTCAAGACTAAATAATCCGTGAACAGCCCGGCATGAAGCAGGAGCAGGAGCTACACAAGAAGTCGCCCCGCCCAACAATAATGACGGCCTCGTGGATGTGCAAGCGCAAGCCCAACCAACAAACCCTCTGTTCTGGGTCAACTCGGACCTTCAAACGGTGAACGGGGGCTCGAGACAGGAGACCCTGAAGCGAATTCGATCGCATGTGATGTCCGAGCACAATCGCAAGAAACGGCTGGAAAACACTCGGCGCTACAATAGGGACAAAACGTGGAAGAACCTTGCGTTCCGGCCCGAGTCGGCATCCAGACTTTCCATATCGTCGACGTCCAATAGATCTAGCTCAAAGGCGTCGTCGTCGTCGTCCCCGGAAGATAAAGAACACTCGTTCAGGAAAGGAGGAAACATCGCAAAACCCAAAGGTGTCAAGACAGCCGCCCCGGCACGCACGTCGTCTGCAGACATCACACGAGATCAACGGCTGTCTGCCACGAACACGCAATATCAAGATGTGTACAGGCAAGGCCCGGATGCGTACAAGGCATCACCGCGTCGTGTAGCCACGGGCGATGTAGACCCGTTTCACGCGGCACAAGTACGACTGTCTGAAACGCAATATCAGCACTTGAAATTCTGTACGGTTTTCCTTCCACGCGAGTGCGCAACATTGATCAACAATCAACAACTAACGCAAAAATACGCAGTTTTGTACGACCTCATCCCGCAAGCAGCCCCTTTTATATATCATGGCATATCCAAGTTACGGAGCCACTGGGTCACACTCGTACAGTCGAACCCTTCTGCGCTATACGCTTGTATCACATCGGCCGCCACGAATAAGGCATTGATGACAGGGGACTTTTTTGCCGACCCGGACACTCAGCGCAGCAGCCCGTTAATCTTGGACCGGTTACGGAGCCGTGGAGAGACCATTGGCTTGATCAATCGCGACCTGTCTTCTGTGTCGTCGGCGTCGAGCGATGCGTCAATTGCTGCTGTTTCAGTGTTGATATCGATTGAGGTGCGTCTTTATTGATTAGCGTATGTGTACATGCATGTCTCAGACTAACTCGCTCATAGATTACAGGGAGCAATCCCCAAGATATCGCGATCCATCTCAACGGCCTACGAAAGATGGTCTCGTTGCGGAAGAACTTTTCTGATATAGCCAAGAATGTACGATGGCAGCTCGAGTGGTTCGTTCATTGTGCCTCCATTTGATAAAAAAAAAAATCCATTCTCGCTCACTAATCATGTAATTTAGGACGGACATCCGCTCCGCGTGCAAAACCATGTCCAAACCCCTCTTCCCATTCATCCGCTACACCATGCCTTCACATACCCCATCCGAAGTCCTCGTTTCCAACGCTGGCAAACTCGGCTCCAGCCTCCTCGCGCTCAACCACAGCCATCCCGGCACATTGAGTAGCACCATGACCGACACCATCAACGACCTCATAAGCGTCACGCTATACGCCGAAATCTTCAAAACCAACCCCAAACTCGCCGCCGTAATCTTCGACGAAGAAATAGAAGACTACTTCAACAACGAAGTCCTTTACACAGAATACAGCCTCCTAAACGACCGCTACATCACACCAACCATCCTCCGTGACGCCAACGACAACACCCCCGAAGCCGCCACCCGCATCGCAAGCCTCTTATTCCACAACACAGCCCTGTGGCCGTTCTACCCCAGCATCGCCCCCGTTTTCCCCATGCCTGTCTTCGCCCTCCAATCATCGATAGCCAGTGGCCTTGAGGCAGGCTACTACCACAATGATGCCACCGCGCCAGCAACAACAGAGCTCCTAATTTGGCTCCTGTTCGTGGGCGCATGCGCATCGAAATATCTGCCGCCGATTCGCGCGTTTTTCATGCAAGAATTGGGAGTTGTGTTGAGGCGGCATTGTGTTTCTTGTTCTCCTGCCTCGTCGTCTCCTTCAACGCCGTCGCCGCGCTCATCATCGTCGTCGTCATCATCACCATCATCATCATCATCCGCGGCGTTCTCGTCCTCATCAGGGATACGTACATTCGACGATTTTCGTGATCTTTTGCAGGGGTATTTGTATGTTGATCGGTGTTATTTGGTGGAAGCGAGGGGTGTGTATGCCGCTATTTTCGCCAGTATAACATAAAGGTGAGCTAATATATATGCTTATGTCACGTATGATGCATGAGTGATGATTATGTATAGTTATAATGTATAGTAGTGGCCATATACGTGTAAATAGATGTTATTCAATTCATTAGCTAGGTACTTTCCAAGGCTATGCCGTACGTTTCTTAGAATAATCATCGTCAATTCACAGGTTAAGCAAGCAACATGATTATTAGCTAAGCTAACGTGGTAAGAACGGAGATAAGAAATCAAACAAACATATTTAAGAAGGCGGCAGTAGAAGCGCGAGGGTATCAGGAAAACAACTGACATTACTCTCTCCATCTCTTTCTTTCACAATCCAAGTCGTCAGACAAAAAAGTCTACACAACCTCACGCGCCACCTTGGCCCGACGCTCACGTCCCTTCTCGGACCACGGGAAGTGAGCCACGGGGATGATGAAGAAACTGTTGCTCGAGTCCGCAATACCGGCCAAAGCATTGTACCAGGCCAAGAACGCAGCGAGCAGCGCAAAGAAGCCTCCCGCCTTGATGATGCTGGGGGTGGGGTCACCAGCGTCAGTGCGCACCAGGTAGCCAATACCGAGCAGCATAAAGGCCAGGTCCAGGGAGAAGAAGAGCGAGAAGAAGGCGATTGTTGAGCGGAGGGTGCACACCAGCAGCACGGTAGTAAAGATGAACCAGCCCTAGTCATGTCAGTTTCTTCTTCTTCATTTACCCTTCATCAATAGCGAGAAGGACGAGCAACATACCATCAAGAACAAACCAAGCGAGTTGTAGAACATATCCGTGCTTCCATTGTCAGCATTGAGAAGCTGGTCTTCGATGTTGAATCCGCCTGGAGTGAAGACGATGGCAAACGAGATCCAAAAGCCGCCATAGGAGGCTAAAGCGGTGGCACCAAATGTGTTGCCGACAGCCATTTCCCTGTGAGTAATTAGAAAGAAAGGCAACAGAATCAGGTATCTAAGACATACCACATGCCAGCCAGCAACTGCACGAGACCGCCGTACCCAAAAGCGAGACCAACGACGATGTTCGGCATAGAAATGCCGCGCGTGTCCATGTTGATGCAGCCCAGCACAAAAGTGGTCAGGGCGAAAGCGCTGAGACCGAGAGGCGCAGGATTGGCGAACTTGCGATCAGACACCGGGCGGTACAGACCAGGCTGAAATTCACCACCAAAGGCAGGCAGGCGTGTCTCGTGCGTGTTGACCTGGGCTAGAGGGCCGTAGCCAAAACGAGCAGCGGCACGGGCTACCTGGTGCTCCTCATGCGACATTTGGGGGTGCGCAGCTGTGCTGTTGGTGCCATTGCTGGTGCCATTGGAGGAGGCAGAGGCGTCAACATTGGTGGCCTCCTTGTCTAGCACAGGGGCATTGGTGGGTTCTGCAGCCGCCATTGCGCCGTGTCTATGTTCTGTGTCGCTGAGTTAGGGCTGGTAAAAGCAGGCGAAAAGGGGAATGTCACGGATGGCAATTGGGAGAGGAGAGGAGAGAAGAGAAAAGTGTATACAGAAAAATTTTGCAGATGACACAAACGGCTGCCTGGTAACCTCCTCGCGCCTTCCAAAGAATCGAGAACAGAATGGGACGGGACTATACCTTTTTGAGAGTACAACAGGGATGACTATACAGGATGGTGAACTATATAGAATTGACTTTTCTGGAAAGCAGAAAAAACAGATGGGAGGAAAAGGGCAGAGAGCAAGGAGCGAGACGAGACGGCCGTTCTCCATATATATAACTTGACTAACTACTAGCTAGCATTATTAATTGCATGGCATGTTATACGCCGCAAATTAGGGGAAGGCGGGGTCAGGTTCTGAAGAAGGCGATCTTGAGTCAAGAAGATGGGAGAAGGGATGAGGGGAAGCAAATTACATCGTGCTTCGTCATTTACGGCGCATTACCCGCTGACGGCGCATGGCTTGGCGGTGGAGTGCGGAGCGTCCGGGGTAGGGGCCCCGCACGCCAATCAGAGGCCGCGGTGACGTCCCGAAGAGGCTAGACACGGCAATCCCTCTATAATACGGTAACCCTTGTACTGTAGTCAAGCTGTGAAACTAGCTTAAAAGACACGACCATGGAATGCCGGCGGATACTAAACCCATTTAGCCTAAGAAAGGGTTGGAATAACGAGCCAAATACTAGTGCTGTACCGGTACTCCGCACCCCCGTACTTCTATTAATCGGCGATCTACATAGTTGGCGGCCCAGACCACGCTATTGTATCTCCGACTGTGTGACTATACCATCGTATACTTCGGTAACCTGTACCTAGGTAACCACATTTTTGGTCTCGCCGTTCACGTAGACCTAGGCCCACCACAGCAGATTGTAAGTACTTTGAAAGTCTAACTATCGAAGGCTGCTCTACTGAATATGCGAAATCAATGACCTTCATTTTATTAGCTATCTGTGTTGATTAGCAGATTCCAGCTGCCCGCAATTAAGCTGGAGCCGCAATCTAAACTTGGCGAAAAAGAAAGAAGAAAAAAAAAAAAAAAGAGAAATCCTAAGCTATTTCCACCCCTCGGCGATGAGGTTGTCGAGTGCCGCAAAGATGGCAATGTTTCCGCTTGTCATACGGAAAAAGCCGGCCACATTGCTAGTCTCAAAATTCAACAAAAGGTGCTCTGCAAACGCCATCCATAAGCTCTGAGTTCTTCTTTGCCCTAAAGATCTCCGCCATATTGAAAGACAAACAGGAGTCAGGAACTGGCCGCTCATTTTTGCTGAACCTATTGTGAGCTCAGCCAGGGCTCTCCGTCCGGAGCCTCCTCGCTGCTGGTGGTGCCTAGTAGGCCGTCACATTCATTATAGACCAGGTAACAGGCATTTCTTTTCTTTATATCTCCGGGTTTGCACGCAACAAGTTAGCTAGCATTGCGTCGCCACAATGAATATTAAATTAAATATCGAAGTTTCATACAGGCATTCTAGGGATACATTGAAGTGTGATAGACTGCATTTTACGGGTACCTAGGCAGTACAAATAGCTGTGGTATACCAAGGATACCTAGGTAAATCATAAAACCATGGATTGTCATCAACACACCGGTTGGTCCGGCGGAGCGGAAAGCTCTTTATGTTTCTAATACGGAGACTTATACCAATACGCAGGTCCATTCATTAGTAGATAGCTAGATTCCCTTTAGGGGAGGCATAAAGCTACGTGTCTGCTGCAATAAGCAGGCAAGATAAGATTGTGGGCTATGTACATAATTTCTGTTGCTATAACAGGACCCTGGCATAGAGTTGTAGAAATTTGGACAGTTTTCTGGCGTTTAGAGAAGATTCGTTACAAAGTCACTATCATCTTTTGCACGATAGAACCGACTCTCCTGAGTGGATCGCCACACTGCAAAGGCAAAGGCAGAAAATCTCCGGACGGCAGGAACCCCAAGCCTTTTGGGTGTCGCCACGTGAACGACGATATCCCTCATGTTCTCGCCTCGGAATGAGGAGCGACACAGATTCCGAGCCCCTTACAAAGCAGCAGTATCAACCGGCCACCACATCCTAGTCCGCCCACAGTTGCTGCTGTACCGGCGACCTTTGTTCCCATGGGCTGTGAACATGTTTTTGGGAAGTTCTCCGTATGCCGATCCCCGCGTTGCAGATCCACGCCCTGAACTAGGCCGGGGCAGCTATAGGACTCACAAGCAAGTCCCAGAAGACTGCTGCTATCTTGCAATATACCGGTACCTCCTTACACCAGTTGTATATACCACGGATACCCAGGGATAATCTACATACGAACCATGGACCATCATCAACACGTCCATTGTTCAATGTCCCAACAATTGTATCCTTTACTCCGGACTGCGGAAAGCCTTCCGTTGGACCTTCAAGGTCCAGGTTAGAGTTTTGAGTTTCGACGTACATGTACATCAATGATTCATGCGTTCCCCACCGGACACTGGAATGTGGGGAGAGTCTCCATTCATTAGTGCATGCATTCCCTTTTGGGGTCATTCCCCGCACCAAGGCACTAATCATAGATTATACAGAGCATCCGGTGCAAGATTGGGGCTATGTACATAATTTCTGTTCATGTGATGCATCATCCATTATTACTCTGCCTAGTATGGCTTAGTAATAATATATACAGGACTAACTAACTACCGCTCTAGCTTCTTCGCAGCCCTTTCCAACTGCGCATTAAACGTCTTCACCTGATTAAGCAGTCCGCCCTGCGACCCCTCAGCCGCCGAGCTGACGTTGTCAGAGACGCTGCGAAGTAAGAATTCGAGGCCTGCTATACCGGTGTCTTTTGCCTCACTATCGTCATTCGGCCGTACGCGGTTGCGGTCTAGTGTTAGTTCAAGGTTGTGAAGTGCATTGTTGATTGAGTCGCGCGACTACAAAAAGTTAGCGCCACGAGTAATGTAAGAATCTAAGCGAGAAAAAAAAAAGGAACTTACCATCTTCGCATTCTCCTCCTCCCCATGTTTCCGGCGCACTGCATCCATTTGAAGCGTAACTTCGTGCCTCTGTTGGCGCACCGCAAGTAATCGATTGCGCATCTCGGCGGCCTCGCGCTTCGCCTTTTTTAGCTGCACGCCCAATGCGAAATTACTGTCTAGCAACTCGCTGAGCTCGAAGAGGCGTCCCTCTAATTGACTGCCATACGCCTCGACGGCTTTGCGCTGACGGACGTATTCGGAACGTTTGGATTGGCTGGCGGTGTCATTGGCGATGTTGGTATCCAGCGCTGTCACGTGTTTGTCTAGAATCTCTTTGCAGATTTGAGAAAGGACGTCGGCGGCGTTGACGCCAGTTCGGCTGGGGAAGTTTTTGCCGGTTACTTCGAGCTGTAGTTCGTCGGATGAGTCCTGCTCATGGTCCGACGTTGACGAGTCTGGTTCTGCGTGCGACTCTAAAGCTCGAGTGTTGGCAAGGCGGTGTACGGTAATCGAAACTGTGCCTCCTGTCCGCCGTTTCTCTCGTTCTCCCTCTGTGGTCTCATCTTGCGTATCTCGCTGCCTTGTATGCTGTCGGCTGGTAGTCTCCTTTCCATTTGCGACACCAGGTGCCCTTCCACGGCGACGCTTTGTGGCTTGCCTTTGCTCGGTGCTTGTCTCGGGTTGTTTCTCGGTGTCTTCTGTAGGTTCTGTTGTAGTCTTCGCTTCTGGCTGGGGTTGTTGCGCCTTATCAAGGGATGGACGACCCCTGCGTCGGGGTGCACCACTTTCTGGCTGTTTCTTCCTTGCTTCGCTTTCTCTTGAACCTTGTTCTGCGGCAATGTCGTTTTGTACATCGACCGTTTCAGCATTCTCTTCGGTGTCTTTTTGTTTGCCTTTGCGCTTCCTTCTAGTCTGCGCTGCAGTATCATCATGTTGGGCTTTTTCAGATTCGACGTTTCTTGCCGGCCGTCCCAGTGACTTTCTTTTGCCGCGCGGCACTTGTTGTGTTGATACGCTGTCTTCCTCGCCGTCTTGCTCGCGCTCGGGTTCAGGCTCCGCATCTTTCAGTTTTTGTCTGCGTTTATTAGCCCCTGACTCCACGTTTTCACCCTCGGATTCACGATCGTCTTCTGCACCATCTTCGCCACTTGGCTGTTTGGCTAATCCTCGTCTGCGTTTCCTGTTGGGTGGTTTCGACTGGCTTTCCTCTTGATTTTCACGAGGCTCCGAACCATTGACTCCGCCCTGTCCTTTGGCTGGCTGTTTGCCCGCTTCGCTTGCTCTCCTGTTAATGTCCTCCTGAGGAGTGCTAGTGATAGTCTTCGGCCGTCCTCTTCTAGCAGTCCTTACAATTTCCTGCTCGGGTTCGGCTTGCTGCTCGACATTAACAGTTTCATGTACATCATTGTCTTCAGTCTGGTCGACAGCGGCGGAATCAGTAGCAATAGCTAGCTCCGGACTCTTTAAACCATCGACTATACCATTTGATGGGCTTTCAATTTGCTGACTATCGGCACGTGTAGCTGAGAGGGGTGGATTTGCGACTGGCGTAGATTTCGAAGAGGACGTAGATGTCAGACGATCATTTTCTGTACCTGCGGCAACAACTCAGCATAAAGCATATGCAATGATGCATAATCCAACTAACTAATTCTCCTGCGCTTGCTACTCCGGCCTTCCTCTTGCTCATCAACTGTATTTGCGACTGACGCTCCGCCGTCCGACTTTCTTGCGGAACTTCGACGGGGCGAATGAGTAGCAGCGATGCTCGTACGCGGTGTTCGTGTAGTTGGAGTTGGTATCCTTGTAGAACTTTCATCATTGACAGGAGGCGTAAGTGCTTTTGCGACTAGCGAATCGATACCATTCGTACCCTCCTCTGGTGGAGCAGCTTGACCGTTTTGAACTATCGAGGTCGATTGGCCAGCTGCAGGTGGAGATCCAAAAGAAAACCCAAAATCAACCGCCTGCACCTTGCGCGTGCTGTTGTAATCATTCCGCGTTGTGTTAGTTGTTTCGTTCTTGGTGTCGCGCGGGGAGAATCAATAAAATGATGAACATACCCTGCACCGCGCTGGCGCATCTGCAAGCGCTCTTCTCGATCTGTTGTGATATTGCATGTTAGCTTGCACTATTTGGGAAGGTGTTTGAAATTATCATACTGGAAGCCATATTGCGTGGTTGTTTCTGCTCCAGACAGGAGCTTCTTGCGCAAATCAACGCGCTTTGCTGAGAGATACCCCAAACGCGGGAGGTAGTCTTAGGCTAATGCGTTTGCGGATTAGTGCGGAGCCACTTGGCATCGTCAATTGAATTAATTCTATCTTGACTGTTGGAACTCACGGAGTACAATCAAATTCGACCAAGCAGTTCCGCACAAAAGCCTTCTCCGTGACCGATTCGCATTGAAATATTCTCACTAGACAACATCCACGATCTGTTAACCATGGGCTGGTTCTGGGGCGGTTCGGCTCAACAGGATCCGACGAAGAAGCTCGCCCCGGAGCTCCAAGATTACCTGGAGAAAGAAACACCAAGCGCATACACAACCAGTGCGAATCCTCCGACGACAGCTCCCTCACAAACACAGAATACACAGCCGAACCCCGATAGCTCCAACATCAACACATCCGAAGACAGCTCGACAGTCCCCGCCGCCTCTTTATATCAGGACGGACGATATGCGCACCTCTGGAAAACCTATAAGCCCTTGGCCGAAGTCGAGGCTACGCAGTATACGCAGTCCGCACAGCGGGTAGTCGAGACATTCAAACAGCGAAAAGACTCGGTGCATGCCGCGGCCATGGAGAATTGTGCCCTGGAGCACGAGGCTCTGACACAGTGTTTTACCAAGGGGGACTGGTTGTCCATGGTTAAAGCTAGAGCGACTATGTGTTCGGATGAAAATAGGAAGTTTTCACGATGCTATACTACACAAGCTGTTCGTCTCGTCTCTCCTTTTCTTCTTTCTCCTTTGTTTTTGTCTATATCGTTGCTTGTCAAACGTGGTAGTGCGGCTGACTCTGCAAAGAAATTTCTACAAGCCCTCGGATACGCCGGTTCGTTCGAATGGGACGACGACAAAGAGGAGCGCATTCAGATGCACGCCGACAAACTTTACCACCAAATGCTCGACTACGAGAATCAGGTCGCAGAAGCGCGGGCTGCAGGCCAAGAGCCGCCGCCGATCACATCTCTTTTCAACCCGAGTGCCAAACCGGTTTCACCGAACGATAGCAGCGTAACACCGGGCGGGATACAGCTTCCGGAAGGCTATGAGCTAGGCCGGTCATTAGAGGGACTTAGCCCGCACGAGCGAGAACTCGAGATCCAGTCTATCAAAGCGGATATCGAGCAGAAGAAGAAGTATAGTCAAGAGGCGGCGCCGTTTATCAAGACACAAAACGAGACGCGGGAAAAGCGGCAGGAAAGGGCCACAAGGTGGTTTGGCGAGACTATTGGTAAATGGATATCGTAGGGACACGTTTTTGCTTCACACTTCACTGTATATTATGACATGGACAATAGTAATCGCAATTGCATGTACATCTCGGTCTGGTGCAAAATCATGTGACATAATGTGACCTGTCCTATCGCAATGCCCACAAGCCAAACGTGAAAGGCTGTTGTTGGTCTACTGCATGGTGATCCATAGCAATACGTATGTTGCTGGATGTCAATTACCGTTCCAAGGAACCGACACACGTGACGGATGCGTTGGCAGTCGGCACTGAGGAAAGAGAACGTATGTATCACTATCAATAATACGGGACATGTATATACGGCGTTATCTTAAACTCAGTAATCGAGTCTCTGCACTCCGACGCGCTGTGATTGGCTGCAGGCGCGACAACGCGGCGAATAGATTAATCCGCCGTAATCTGGTTTCCGTACCGTACACAGCTGTGCTGGATGCAGTTCTTAAGTTGCAAGTTGTACGGCTGTCTGCGCATGCCCTCTGCGACGATCCAGCTTCGGTTTCTACTCGATTTTTGCGACGACGTTGCAATCGTCCTTGCCTTGTCTTTCCATCTGATTGGCCTCTGTCGTTTCAGCCCTGGAAGTGGCCGCCAAAGTGACTAGGCTAGGCTTGACTAACTGGGTGCTAGTTCGCTTTCGAGCCTCCTCCCCTACCAACCATCTACCGCTCTCACTGAGGAGGTGTCACTTCACTCCGTTGGCACTTCTCATTTTTTGTCTCTGTGCAATACTCCTCTCAATTGGCCGTCAAATTTGCTTCGTCGCTACTTCGAATTGGAGCATTTCAACCTCATTTGTGACGCTGTTTATTGGGCCCCTCGAGCAGTGCTCTGCGGAGCACTGTACTTAAACTTCTCTCACCATGAAAGCTACGCCGTTGCTCATTGCCTGGCACAATGACAATGCCCCCGTGTATTCAGTGCATTTTGACCCTCATGGAAAGGGCCGATTTGCAACTGCTGGAAAGTGAGTTGATTACAAACTATTCTCGTCGTTTGGTCTTGTCTTGGTATTATGTCTTTTTGTGCTGACCATGTACAGTGATAACAATGTCCGAGTACGTAACGTCGCCTCCCTTTTTTCCTCGCCGCATTACCTTCTGACCACTTGCAGATCTGGAAAGTCGAGAGTATGGGCGAGGAACGCAAAGTCTCATATTTGAGCACCCTGATAAAACACACGCAAGCAGTGAACGTTGTTCGATTCTCTCCAAAAGGTCTTTCTTGCCCACCGCATCATTCCATCCACACGGTCACATACTAATATCAATACAGGAGAGATGCTGGCTTCGGCGGGAGACGATGGGAATGTCTTGCTGTGGGTGCCGTCGGAATTGCAGATGACAACTCTTGGAGAAGACCACTCGGACGATAAGGAGACCTGGCGAGTGAAGCATATGTGCCGGTCATCAGGAGCAGAAATCTATGATTTAGCCTGGTCCCCAGACGGTGTCTTTATAATCACAGGAAGCATGGATAATGTTGCTCGTATTTACAATGCTCAAACAGGTTCGATCTTGACCTCACACCCACCAGTGTTCCCAGCTAACATTCAAAAAGGACAAATGGTCCGGCAGATCGCTGAACACTCCCACTATGTCCAGGGCGTAGCCTGGGATCCGCTCAACGAATTCGTCGCCACGCAATCGTCAGACCGATCCGTACACATCTACGGTCTTAAAACCAAAGATGGCCAGTTCTCCTTGACCTCGCACGGCAAATTCCTCAAAATGGACCTGCCCGCTCCTGTACGCCGAGTACCGCCAGGAAGCAGTCCTGCCCCGACAGAAACAAAGATGCAGCAAACTTCCAATACATTCGCCATTGCCTCGCCGGCACCATCGACGCCTGGAACGCCCAAAACAACGGCTATGCCGATGGATCCCCCTCCCGTGTCTCACAGTCGTCGCTCCTCGTTTGGCTCATCTCCCTCAATTCGTCGGTCTGCTTCGCCGGCACCGTCCCTGCCCTTACCCGCCGTCAAGCCGATGGAAGTCTCGTCACCAAGTTTGTTCGGTGGGCTGGGAGTCAAAAACGCGAATCTCTATGCTAATGAGTCCTTTACCTCCTTCTTCCGCCGATTGACGTTTACCCCGGACGGCAGCCTGTTGTTCACACCGGCAGGTCAATTCAAGACAACGCAGGCATCTACTGGCGATTCAACCAAGGGAAATGAAGAAGTAATCAACACAGTCTACATCTACACAAGGGCGGGTTTCAATAAACCACCTATTGCGCACTTGCCAGGGCACAAGAAGCCGTCTGTTGCAGTGAGATGTTCTCCAATATATTATACACTTAGACAAGGGATTCGACCGACGAGTCATATCACGCTTGATACGTCTTCGGGCGATGATAGTTTCCCAGCATTACCGGAATCTGTCGTGAGTGGGAACATCACAAGCCACCCATCAATGGATCCTCCACCGTCTTCCACTAGCGATAGTTCGAAGCCACTCGCTTCTCCTAAGACGGAGACTGATGCTTCTTCTAGCTCTGCATTTGCCCTGCCTTACCGGCTTGTATACGCAGTAGCTACGCAGGATGCGGTGTTGATCTATGATACGCAACAGCAAACGCCCCTCTGCGTTGTCAGCAACCTGCACTTTGCCACTTTCACTGATTTGAGCTGGTTTGTTCTTGTGTCGAATATGTTCTTTTTGGCCTCTTGCTGACTGCTATATAGGTCTTCTGATGGGTTAACGCTGATAATGAGCTCATCTGATGGATTCTGCTCAACGCTTTCATTCGCACCGGGCGAATTAGGGCAACCATATCCACATGCTATCCCCTCATCCTCATCAAATAATACCCCTCTGCCCACACCTACTCATACCGCATCGCCTTCCCTAGCAAAACCAAATCCGGCGCCTGCTAGCACCGGACCAACAGGTCGTGCTGGCAGTCCCGCGCGGTCGTCGTCAACCTCTTCTATCCAAACGCTACCAACACAACCAAATACTGTCATCAACAACCCAACACCCACTCTTGGAACTGTACCACTTGTAACAGCCACCAACTCAACACAACCTCAAGTTCTACCTCTCACTACGCCGCCTCTAACCCCAATGCCAGGGATATCACATAGCACGACCAACTCATTCAGCAGCACAATATTAGGAAAGCGTGATATCGGCGCGGCCAGTGAATCAGAGAAGGAAGATGCTAAAACTAGCGAATTCGGCGACAAAGAACAAAAGCCAGCCAAAAAGCGCCGTATTGCGCCTACATTGATTGCGCAGGATTCAGCCAGTCTGGCGTCGTCACGCGGCGAGCAGACCGAGAAGCAACCGGCAGAGCAACCGGCAGAGCAGACAGCGCCAACGCCTCAATAGTTTGACATCTCTATCAGACAGGGACACACTCTTTTTTTCAAAATACATTATGAAAGCATGGATGGGCAGAAATGGAGTTCTAACGGAGTTTTTCATTTCATGGTTGCTTCCTTGGAAGCTGGAAGCTACGGTGTATTTCTATGCTCTTTATTCATTTTATGCGATGGCTGACGTCTTGGGCCGTGGGTTTGGTTTAGATGTATTCTCGAATACATGTACAAGTAGATCGAATGAAATACGAGTTCGAGATTGTCAATAATCCACTAAACTGAAAACAACTAGACGGTGCATATATATATATCTATGTAAAATGAAACGGAGCATCTACGCCACCGCCTCCAAGGAACGAGTGAACTCGTCGCTGAACGGGTAGTCGATATAGCCCTCCTTCGTCATGGGCGCATATGTCTTGTTGCGCACGTTAGCGGTCAACTCAATGCCCTCCTTGAATCTAAAGGGCAAGTCCGGGTTAGAAATAAACTGGCGCCCAAAGGCAATCAACACAGGCCGGTCCTTGTGCGTGACCTCGAGCGCCTCACGCGCCGTCTGGGCTGTATAACCTCCGGCCACAATCACCGGCGACGCTTCGCCATACGCATCCACAAAGAATCGCAGCGACACATCGTGGTTATCGGGATTATCTATATCGTAATACCCACAAATGCGCGGTTCTACGAGATGCACATACGCCAGCTTGAACGCCGCCAGCTGCTGGGCCAAATACGTGAACTGCGCCACCAGTTCCGAGTTCTTCATGCGCATCCCCTGGAACACACTGTAGGGGCTGAAGCGGATGGCCGTTCGATCAGCGCCCACCGCCGCGACAACAGCCTTGGTAATCTCGAGGGCGAATCGAGCCCGGTTCTCGACGCTGCCACCCCATCGATCCGTGCGCATGTTGACCGTGTCCTGCGTAAACTGATCGATCAGATACCCATTTGCAGCGTGTATCTCCACGCCATCAAAGCCGGCCACCTCCACGGCCGCTTTGGCTGCCTGCACATAGTCGTTGATGTGCAGCTGGATTTCTTCTTCGCTGAGGGCCCGCGGCGTGGCGTACTCGCTGCCAGCGTAATTGGCTTCTTCCAGACGTTTGGCGCTGCTGCTTACGACGTCGTAGCCTGCAGCTTTGGTGAGTTCGGGTGTCGCGGTACGACCCAACGCCCACAGTTGCAGGAATATGTATGATCCCTTCTCGTGCACTGCAGCGGTGATTTCCTTCCATGCATCAACCTGCGCTGGAGAATAAATCCCTGGCGCACAGGCGTAGACCCCTGCGCGCGCCGAAATTAGTGTTCCCTCTGTGATGAGTAAGGTGCCTGGCGTGGAGCCGCGCTGTTGGTAGTACTCCTTGACAAAGGGCAGTGGCACTTGGGCTTCGTCTGATCGAAAGCGAGTCATTGGCGCCAGGACGATGCGGTGAGCCAAGTCCAGACGGCCGACTTTAAGAGGCGTAAATAGACGAGAGTCGTTGGCAGCCATGATGTTGGTTATGCCTTTTTTCACCCTTACAGCTCCCTTCAGATTCGAGCCCAATACTCTTATATATATATACTCCGTATGTCATACGGTGCTTAGAAAGCACAAGAAACAAAGAAGCGATAACCTTCGCCTTCTTTCTTCAGGCGGGGTAATTATGTTTTCTGCTAAAAACAGTCACTAAGCTTAGTGCTTACCTTGTTCTGCTGTTATCTTTACCATTATTTACCTAGGTACACGATAGACAGCTGTTTGGCGGGGAATGGCAGGAGTTGGTTGTTCCAATATTTTGTAAGGACGTCTTGTACATAGATCTCTCGTTGTCAGAACCTTACCCAAGGAGTTTACCTACTACCCAATAATGCTTGATTGTGTATCACACATCATTTTCATATCCGGTGAATGCCTAGTGGCGGTTGCATTAGTTCGATGTATATATTAAATATGAATATATATAACTACGAGTGGTTATTCACTGATTACTAAATGCACGTGATTAACCCAACCCTACCCCTCTACGTGCCACGTGTAGCCAAGAACAATCAGCCAATGAAGGTGGATGCATTCAAATTTTCCTTTCTTGCCATACTTTCATTCTCCTAGAAGACGCGACGAGCGCAAAGCTAATCCGCAGCTGGCCTTCGTAGTCGACGATGGCGTGATTTATGTTAGTGTTGGAAAATTTCCTGTTTTTGCACACTAGCACGCTGGAGCTCGGCGCAAAATAAAAGTAAAAGAAATAAAAAAAATGTCAACATGCGGAATGTAACGCTGAAGCAACCTTATCTGACTGGACGTCGATAAGCATAGACGCGCGAGCTGGAGCTGTCGTGATCCACCTTGTCCGATGGCACAATCTGAAAGGAAAAATCTCTTCTCTTTCCTCTCCGGTCTTTGTTGATCCGAAGCCCTCGGTCGGTATCACAAACAGAACGGCCGCAATGGCGGACTTCGATAAGCATCCTGTATATGGAGGGGACGCCGTGGCCGTGGAGCCACAGCATGTTTACAACAGTGATGTCCATTTTGTCGACGAGCATGAGCGCAAAGACCTGGCCCGCGGCCTCAAGCAGCGCCATGTGCAGATGATTGCAATTGCAGGAGCTATAGTATGCTTCTTTTTTTTCTTTTCTCTCTCTCTCTTTTTCTCATTAATACAGTCAGTTACTGATCGGCTTGTGTAGGGAACGGGTCTTTTCCTTGGTCTCGGAGGTTCCATCGCAACAGGCGGTCCATTGGGTGCTCTTTTAGGCTACGGCTTCGTCGGTATCATCGTTTGCGCGATCCAGTTCGCCCTAGGTGAAGTGTCAGCTTTGTTCCCCGTTACAGGTTCCTTTGTGCGCCATGCCGAAATCCTGATAGATCCCGCCGTCGGGTTTGCCGTAGGCTGGAATTTGGTCTACGGAAACTGGATGGTGAGTACTCATTCGCATTCTGCAAGCCAATACCAGAACTGCGTATAAATGATAATCTTATTGAATTAGAGCGTGCCGAGCGAGATTTCTGCCGGAGTGGTGTTGATCCAATACTGGAACACTTCTGTTAACCCTGCTGTTTGGGTTACCATCTTGATCGTGGTTTCCGTTTTGGTCGCAATCATATTTGTCGGCGTGTACGGAGAGGTTGAGTTCTTCTTTGCTATCCTCAAAATCCTCCTTGTCATCGGCGTCGTGATCATGGGCCTTGTTATTGACCTGGGCGGTGTCCCCGGCCAACAACGCCTCGGCTTTCACTATTGGAAGAATCCTGGCCCATTTGTCGAATACATCGGAACAGGGGCCTGGGGACAATTCCTGGGTTTCTGGGCCGTTATGTCCAATGCAGTCTATTCGTTTGCTGGCGTTGAGTCATTGGCAATGGCCGCCGCAGAAACCCAGAATCCGCGTCGAAACATCCCCAAAGCATGCAAACGGGTTTTCCTTCGAGTGACCCTCTTCTACGTGGTGGCCATCCTGATCGTGGGCATGCTAGTCTCTAGCGCTGATCCCCGACTCGATAATGATTCGGGAACCGCCGCCCAGAGCCCCTTTGTCATCGCGGCCAGTGATGCGGGCATTAAAGCTATTCCGTCTATTGTGAATGCCGTGGTGTTGACATCTGCTTGGTCTTCATCTAACCAAGCCATACTTGCCGGCACACGTACCTTGTATGGGCTTGCGGTCAAGGGCCACGCACCAAAATTCTTGCTGTGGACGACTCCGTACGGCATTCCGTTTATGTGCGTCGCGGTCCAGATGGCCTTCTCGTTCCTCGCATACATGTGTGTATCCAACGACGCCCTGAACGTTTTCTGGTGGCTGGTCGATTTGACTGCTGCCGGTACGCTGGTTAGTTGGATCACTGTTGCCTGGAACCACATACGCTTGATTCAAGCACTCAAGAAGCAGGGGATTCCTGCAACAAAATTGCCCTGGCATAACTCTTGGACGTGTAAGTAGTTGTCCAACACGACCTTTTCATCTTGAATGTTTGTGCGTGTCTTCTAACTGACAATTTATTTTATCATTAGTCTACGGATCGTGGTTCGCTCTTGTATCTTGCATAATCATCTTATTCACTGGTGGATTTGCTGTATTTACCGCTGGCAACTGGAGCCCGTCGGATTTCGTGTCGAGCTATCTGTAAGTCGTTATTCTCCAACCACGTGTCTATAAGACAAGACTAATTTTATTTCTACAACAGAGATATCCCATTAGTTCTCGTGGCATTTGGAGGCTACAAACTGATCCGACGGACCAAGTGGGTTAATTTGAGTGATATTCCTCTTGCGCAGGCGTTGGAAGAAGCGCAGAGTGACCCGGAGAACGTCCCGGTTGTTAAGGAGAGGTGGTGGGAGAGATGGAATTTCTTGTGGTGATTGCCTTCTTTTCCCCATTTCTCATGTTGATAGAATAGTCTTAGGCTATAATTTGATAGTTTCAAGTAATGCACTATCATGACCATGAATAGAACTGCACCATGAACCGTCTTAGGGCTGCGGAGTGCATGTGATACGGACTACCCGTTTAGGCAAGAACCTCGGCTCAACCCAAACTACTAACTTGGTCCTCCGATAAGCTTGAGCTGACGTTCCCTTCTTTATTTATTTAAGCATTCTTTATGTCCCCTGCATATAGAATCAAATAACAAGGATGAAATCTCTTGCCCAGGCGGTAATCATGCATCCTCGGGTTTATACCAAACGTGTCAGATTACTTCTACTCCGACTGCGTATCTCGAGGCTATTTTGGCTGTTATTTGCATTTTTTAATGTCAAATGTCTGCCATTTGTATGGCACGTAAGTCTCTTATTTCACCTGGAAGTTCCTTGTAGACGCTTCAAATCTCACAGCCTTTTTTTGTGTGTATATAGTACCGATTCTTCATCCCCATGGTGACTGCAGCTCTTCGTAAACCTCTGAACCAAACCATGCTCCGCCAAATAAAAAACGACGGCATAAAAGAAGAAGTACACGGGCTACCTCTAGTATTCCTACCAATCATCACAAAAACCCGTGTCGCCCTCTTCGAAGGCGACTTCAACTTCCATAAATCCAACAGCACCTACTTCACCGACCTCGACACAAGCCGCTCCCATCTTCTCTCATTCCTATGCTTTCACGGAGTCGCCAAAACAGACAAAGAGCTTTCCGCCGAAGGGAAGAAAGGCACCATCACTGCCATGTTGGGATCAACTTATACGCATTTCAAACGGGAAATTCCAACAGGCCATGCGTACGAGGTTTGGTCCCGGATTATGACTTGGGATCATAAGTGGCTTTATGTTGTGACCCATTTTGTGTGCAGGGGGAAAATCGTGCCTAGGGCTTGTGTTGCGGATCTTGTGGAAGACCGACAGCAACAACAATCAGTTCATATGAAGCCCTTTAATACGTCGCTGTCTTCGAGCGAGATTGAGTCGTCTGTTTATGCGAGTTCCGTCTCTAAGTGTGTTTTTAAAAAGGGTCGTCTGACTGTGTCCCCCGAGCGTATACTTTCTGCATCTGGGCTTCTGTCCAATGTACTACCACCAGATACGTCACCGATCGATCCGACCAGTTTGAAGGGCGGAGATGGAGAAGGAGAAATAACAATAGATGTGCTTGAAAAGAAGCTATCAGCTCATGCCGACGACCAAGACCTTGCGACACGGATAGAAGCAGAACGATGCAAAAATCTACGATTCGCCGAGCTTTCGTCCGGATTGGAAGACTTGCAGCGCAATTTTCTGAAAGATGAAGAGGTTTTGAATGGAGTTATTAGTCTAGGAACCTTCACTGATTTGGGATGCCGTGGTTGATATAGAAAATCTCACCAGGGTTCGATTAGAAAACTTAGAATTAGATTGAAACGGGTGTTTATGAATTAGTTACGGATTTGCTTCCTCGCGACTCTAAAATGAATGACTTGATTTCCATGCCGATAATTTATCCATGCCCTTTTGGTACATTCTATGTGATCTGCTTCCGACCCTCGGAGAACCTCCGCAAGTCGGATATTTGCTGCATTTTACAGTCGGACTGCCTAGCTAAAAGTAATTATTCAACAGACAATTCTAGCTAACTATAGTAATATACTCCGGAGAGAACAAAAAGGAAAGCGATATATCACACAATGTCTCTCATGCGAAAATGTCACGCCAAAGCCTTCCAAAAATCATATGGCCGTACAATGTCAATTTCTACCAGCTCTTCCAAGAGACCATCCATGGCCGTCCTAGATGATTACCTGGGCATTTCACACAAGCACCTCTCTCAAATTCCGCGCGACAAGTTACCGATCACCATATTCCAAGACTCGTTTCCTGCATACACCCACCCTCAAACAACACAGGCCGAGAAGCAGGCTCTGGTCGACCGCCTAAAACCATTCACAATCATATCTAGCATGCGTGAACGCACTCCCTTTCCTGCTGAACTCCTACGACAACTACCAAATCTAAAACTATTGTTAGCAACAGGCACTCAATTTGAAACATTTGACTTGGACGCCGCCAGAGACCTTGGTATCATAGTTGCAGCAGCCCCCGGCAAAGGCCGCACGGATAATCGCCCTGCTTATACATGTATTGCTCGCCCAAAAATTGATATCAAGAAAGGCGGCAGCCATCCCACAACACAGCACACATGGGCACTGATTCTTGCGCTCGCACGCAATATAGCAAATGATGACGCTGTCATGAAAAACCCGGCGGTGCTGGGATGGCAGACGCAGCTTGCCAAGGGACTCACGGGCGCAATTCTGGGTGTAGTCGGACTGGGTCGACTGGGCGCAGCGGTTGCACGCGTTGGGTCGTTGGCTTGGGGCATGGAAGTGGTTTGTTGGAGCGAGAATCTCACTCAGGATAAAGCGAATCGGAAGGCTGAAGAAATGGGTCTTCCTGTTTATGGAGGAAGTGGAGGTGGCGCGGATCCGGATGCGCCTACTTTCAGGGCTGTGAGTAAAGAAGAGCTCTTTCAACGTGCTGATGTTGTGTCTCTGCATTACGTCTTGAGTGAGCGGTCTCGGGGCATTGTTGGCGCGAAGGAGCTGGGGATGATGAAGAACTCGGCTTTATTGGTGAATACATCGAGGGGCGCCCTGGTTGATGAGGACGCTCTGTATAATGTTTTGAGAGATGGCGGCATTGGTGGTGCAGCTTTGGACGTCTTTGATATTGAGCCATTGCCTGCTATTAGCCGGTGGCGTTCGCAGGAATGGGGCTATGGAGGACGAAGCAATTTGCTGCTTACGCCGCACATGGGCTATACAGAGGAAGGACTCATGCATACGTGGTACGAGGAGACTGCCGAAAATGTAGAGCGATGGATGGAGAATAAGGCCATCATAAACCGCATTAATTAGTCGAATGGCCTATATCTATAGGGGCTTCAGTCACTATTGCCAATCTAGATAGAGCAACTAGCAGACATTTTGGTTAGCACTGGCATTTTGAGGGAGGCATCTGAAGGGCCAGGAAGGGCTTGCCTCAGGGGCAGCTTATGCCGCCGTTTTGGTTGTGTTTGTAGGTTTCAGCTCCTGATGACTGTATCCAAGGTATATGAGAAATCCAGAACCACAGTATTTTGCTACCAATTGGTGGTGGTTTACTTGCTTGAAGGAATCTGATTTTTTTAGGACTATCTGGGGTGGAATGATCAACCCCTCGGCAGTCACATTTCATGCACTAGATCATTTTATCAATTTAGTTCACTATAATTAACATTCTAGTTCTCGTTTCAAGAGTGGAGATATTATAAGACAGGAACAAAGTGAGCCGGTAATAAAAGCATGATCTTATCGTACTGAAAGAATCATGAGGATGAAGCGAGGAAAAAGTGAAAAGAAAGGTAAGAGAAAGAAAGAGAAAGATGAAGGCCTCGTCGCACATGGAAACTCCTTGATGAAAAGAATTCAGCACCCCCTAACTCTCCAGCTAACCGCTAACCTGCCTCTCATCGGACCGTTGTTAGAGATTTTTCAAAATGAGACGGTTGCTCTGCTTGTTCCAGAGAAGATGTTTCCAACTGATATCCCGTGAGACCGTCACACCAAGCGCCTCGATCTTCTCGCGGATTTCTGATCGACGCTTTTCTAGCAGCCGGAAGCCACCCGCATCAAAAACCAGAGGCACCGGCAACCCCTCCCAACTGAGGACAATCATCTTGTGGAAAAATCTCCCGTAGTACATGAGATTTGCTCCAGGCGTGGTATCAAGGTCTAGCATACCGATGCAGACAGGAATACAAATCCCCTGCAGGGATGCAAGCGCTCTGAAGATCTCAAGCTCATCGTCAAGCTCAGCGGCATGCCCATATTCAGCCATTTTGACGAGAAAGGTATACCCATAACCTTCTAGAACCCCCCTGAGATATTGGTGTCCACGGCCCCTCATGTGTAACGGGTGAAGTTCTGTGGTTGGGGTGGGCGTCAGAAGCTGATGTCGGAGGGCGTGCATAAACTCAAGAGCATTCAGCCCACAGCCATGTTGGCGGTGCTTCTCACTATTGGGGCATTCCGGGTCGAATCGAGTTCCGCCAGCAAGAACTTCAGCGAGACATCTGGAGGTGCAAAACGCGGTGCCTTCATACGCCCTTATCACGGGTGCCTGGCTCGGTGCAGGGTGAAGCCTCAGAGGATTCACACGTTTTGTGATGCTGAAAGCGTTGACTCGGCACGTCTCCAGACGGACTGCAATCTTCCACCACTGCTGAGTGGGTGCCCTGTCTTTAATCGAGAACAGCGCGAGTGCAATGTATTCGCTGAGGACAGTATGTCGTAAATCATACCTATCTGGCTCTGAAACTTCGTCGCCGTGTAGTATGTGACGATGGAGTTTCAACACGGCGGGAGACTTTTTGCTGATCTTCAGGAACATAAGAGTCTTGCCAGTATCAACAATTCCTCGAAAGATCCCATTTTGAACCATGTAGCCAAATGCCTGAAAGAGTGCTGCAAGAAAGGGGTCGTGGGTCTCTCCTTCGGCGATAGACAGATTGCCGTTTTGAACACGTTTTGAGCCAGCTGCTATCTGCTCGACTGACAGATGCTGTGGGGCGACATACTGCACGAAGAAAAGGGGAATTCTCTGCCTACCAACCAGGCAATAAAATACGCAGTGGTTTGCGTCTCGTTCAATCTTGACATGCATCTCCGATGAGGGGAAGCTGTCCTCATCAACCAAGATATCTGAAACCTCTTTCAAGGAAAGCATTCGCAAATATTCGTCTTCCATTACTTTCCTCCATATAAGACGCATGTAACGATGGACAGTCATATGCCGGAAGACATACACGCCTTTCGCCGAGCTAACAGACTCCATTCCTTCGAGGGCCACGTCACAGTCAGCAGGGGATGGGAATACATATTGACCATTAATGTAGCCATCTTCGGCCATTGCGTTCCAGACGGCGTCGCCTAGTTCTGGGAAGTGTCTCCACACACGAATCTGCTTTGGATGGGGCACTCGTGTTCGAGTTAGGCTGATAGGATCCTCGGAAGCACATTCTTCAACCTTGATTGCTTCAGATAGCCTGTGACACTCTTGGAGTAGCCCAAAGATATCTAACGGCAGAGCCCTATTTTGATCTCTGGCTATCAGCTCGCGTATGGCATTCGCAGCGCAGACAAGTTTGTTATAGTCAACTCTCTTTTTCTCGTCAACCGGCTTCTCGTAGGGTGACATCTTGGTGTTGAAAGAGGCAATGAAACGAGTTTCTTGATAAAATCTTCTAGATTGGGGAGAGAGGAGATTCTTGTGAGAATAATTTTGAAAGGGGGAAGAGTCATGTTCATTGTGTGTTAAAAGATTTGTGGGAAGTGGCATGAAGGCACTTTTTCTCGGCGTTGTGTTAAGCCCTGATCTCGTCTTCTTTGAAGACGACCACAAATCGTGAGAGCGGTCTTAGTAAGTCTGCTGATTGCTGCATGAATCGTGTTGTATATGAGCATGGAAAGCCCTGGCTATCTTGTTTTGGGTGAATGTGTGTGAACTAAGGCTATTCATCTGATCTATACTTGGATAACAAAGAATGACAATACAGTAGTCATTGCAACAAATGCCGTAGATTGAATTAATATTGAGGGTCTACGATGTGTTTACACAAGAAGCAGTCCTCCATATGAAAGTCCTGCATTGTATTCGACAATCGCCGTGGGAGCGAGAACTCTGTCTAATGTTAATTGAAGAGACAACCCGAAAGTCACTACAAGTCTCAATAGCACCGTTTGGAATGATACTGTATTGTATATTCTGCCTTTAAAAGCTATTTTTTACGCAATACACTGTTGTGTTGTTCCCTATGTACAATCCAAAATTATTCAAGATCCGGCCACGCTCATCACAGGCCGTTGGAAAGCGGTCTTGATTGGATTTTATTGTCTTTTTTGTAATAGTCCCATTAGCTATTCATGGCTTGAAGTATATATCCTATAGTTTTTATGCCTTACTCATCCTAGAGCTGGGTTTATTGGGCAGTCTCCATGCCTTGTGATGTTGATGCCGAGGCTCATTCCCGATGCGGCAAAACATATACAAAGCCCATATCGGACGCTATTCTCCATCGGGACTAGTCCGAATGCTTCACGTGGCAGCTTCCCCAAGAAGAATTCTTTCTTTTTGACTTCACGTCTTCAAAACATTCATGAATATTCAGCTCTTTTTAGCATGCCGCACTACTTTATGCCCCTAAAAAAATAATCAGCAATGAATAAGTCATGAACAATTTCAAATTTGAGGGCGGCAGCGCCACCACCACCGCTTAGTGCGATGCAGCTAACTCAGATTAAACCGGAGCCACCTGCTCTGATTCGCCAATCTTAGGCGAGATGGCTTATCCTCCAAGCCTCGGCCCCGGCCTTCAGGGCTAGATTGAGATTCAGCCTTGGAGATCTAGTTATGCTTTCCGTTCGGAGAGCGGCTCAAAACATAGTCCTTCCACCTTCGCTGTTTTCTCACAACAATGAACATCGCAGTGTGCGAAAGCCAACCACCGAATGGCCAACCGGGTTTCCGCACCTGATATCATCACCTATATCGGCGTGCCTCTCGCCGTGCTAGGAGTCCTTCCAATCCTGTATTCGTTCGTTCGCGCCATCCTCGTCCAACGATCGATCCGCAAGACCCTCGATCGTCATGGTTTGTTTAATCCTGCCGTTACGCGCGGCAGTCTGATTGAAGGGATTGTCGAGGTTGAACTCCCACGATGCACCATTACACCACTCGATCGAGAGATAGATTTAGAATACTGGAAATTGAATTCAAACAGAGTGTTCCTGAAAGGCGGGAATTGGACTATATTCAATTGGAACACTTTGGTTACAGGGAAGCAACTTTATCGGTGCCAGTATAAAGACGAGCTAAGAATACCCGAGGCGGACATCGACTTTGAAGAGCTCGTTGCTTTTCTGCTGGATCGCGGTGCTGTTCCCGACCCGAAAGGATGGCGCATGTTGAAATCAATTGGCCTGTGGACCCCGGCTGGCACTGTGTTGTTGTTGCCCCCTAGAGGCATCCCAGGCTCTGTCCTTAAAGTGACCCCACCAAACAATGCAGACGGTGTTCTGAGTTTACAAGTAGACTGGAAAGCGGAATGGGATTCTAGAGGTGCGCACAGCCTGCCACCGTTCTGGATGAGATTAGAGCAGCCTAGATATCGAAAATTATTGACCGAAAACGACCAAATAACCAATTCTCCCATCCTTGAGGGACAGGTCAGTTTTCCCGACCAGCAAGGCTCGTCGAATGAGCCTCCCATCCAAGACATAAGCCGCGAGAATACCCTCGTTGCCGAACCAACTTCCAAAAATGAATCGTCTACCGCTGAGTCTGTTATTCAGATCATCGATAATATGAAGACACAAATTACTACTGTTCCCAATGATAGCGTTCGATTCAAAGTTGACGGTGACCATGTCCGAAAGGTATCATTCGAAGCTGAGGGGGTACCTACCGGCGAGACCCGCGAGATTGATGATCTTGGGGAAACGGCCAGACTTTGGTTTATTTCCAGTGCATCGGCGATGTGCCAAACCTTGAACTGTGACATGTGCACTTTTACTATTCCATCTCATCTAGCAAGCTTTGTCAAACGCAAGTCAGTTCCATGCGGTGTAATGGTTATACTAGACATGCTCAGCAACGATGAAGTGCCCCCATGGGCCTCTCCGCCACCACGTCTCCAAGAGACCCCCCAGGAGATGACCGAACGTACACAGCAGAAAATTTACGAACGACGATTGGAAAATGCAATGCCTCCAGGCCAGGCCACAGAAGCACGGCGCATCAGGTCAATGCGCGAGGCTCATGATATTCATATGCGGCACATCGCCCGACAAAATGCTCTGCGCGAATACGAACAGCGACGGTTCATTGAAGCCATTCAGTCGCCCCGATTAGATAATGGCACAGTAGCCGAAGCTACTTTGGCTTATCTCGTGCGCGAGAAAGTCATTCCCGAAGATTACAAAATTCAGGATGTGGCAAAAGCCGTTTTGTATATATTGATTGTCGACAGCGCTCAAGCGAAAGTCATAGTTGACATTCTTGAGAGATGGGCCCTTTGGAGCCAATTTGGTGGCATGCAGAAGGTGCAATTAGATGTTCTGATTCAGAACAAGGTTGCATTTTGCTATGCGGCCGCGCTTGTTGCTGTTGTGCATCAGGCTCAATCGGAGGATGTCAATATCTCTTCAGCAGATATGCTTGAATGTCTGAGAGTCTGGAAAAGGGTTAGACTTGGTTAAATGCCATCGTTTATGAAGTGTTATGTATCCAGATAGGAGAAGAGAGGGGGAATGGAGACGGTATTGTTTTTAATGAACTCACACATCTTGGTGGTTGATGCTTGCTAAAATCTAGAAACAAGGAAGATTGATTGGAAGCTAGCTGAGACATGCTTTTCTATTTGAATGACATGCTACCACTAGCTAGACTTGCTAGTTCAGCTATCAAAGATGCAGTATCATCTACAACCATTGCCCCTGCCGTGCTTTCCTGGGTAGTGTCCACTGCAACACTGACGACGTTTGGAACTCTGCCTTCTTTCTCAATTTTATTTGCCCAGCTGAACAAAGTCTCGGTGTTACGAGCGTTTCCAGCGATGAAAAGCAAGTCTGGTATTATTGAATCAAGGCTGCTGATTCTTCGGAGCGCTAATTCCGCAGCTGTGGCATCAGTTACGTCTGTAGACTCGACAATAACAGCGCCATCTGTTTGAACTGCGCGGATAGGAATGCTTCCACGCGAACTGTTGATCTGGTCATTCAACTCTGCTGCTTGTCGATCGGCGAAAACTTGATCAACTGCATCTTTGTATCTGAATGTGAGCGAGAAATGTTGTTCCTCAATAGACGCCCCCTCCGTACGTTCTTGGAAGTATTCCATCACTTTGTGGACACCCGAGCGCCAACTTAGAGTATCTCCCTCTCCTAATAGTTGCTGCCATTTAGCCTGCCCAGGCTCTCGTAAGAAAGCTCCATTCTCTGCAATGAACCCAATACTCGATATTCCGCCTAATTTCGACTCAAGCTGCTTCGGTGTTCGTGAACTTGTTAGGTAAACAACATTTTTTGGATCCGATGAAAGTGTCCGTAACATAGAAAGTCCTGTGAAGTCTGAAGCAGTCATTTCTTCCTCGTGAACCTGCAGTGAAGGAAACATGGCTTGGTCTTCTATAATGATGAACCGAGTGTTGGATCTTTGGTACTTCTCTCGCACAGCAACTATGGAAAGCGAGGGAATTTTATGTAATTTTTGTGACGACTGTACCTCATAAGCTTGGTGGAGTGCATGCAAAAATGAGTCACACCATATTGAGGCAGTGTGCCGCGCCATTCGGTCTGTTAAAAAGCGCCAATTCTTCTTCTTCTCTTCAGGCGACATGACTAGAGCACGATTTATGGCGTCAGCGCATTGAACGTAATCCCATGGGTTGACAAGAAAGTCGTAGCCGCTGCAGATAGAGGCACTTCCAGTGAATTCACTCAAAATAAGTGACCCGTGCTTTTGAGAAATGCCTGAATTCCCGTCTTGACAGACGACGAAGTCATGTCCAGAAAGGTTCATGCCGTCGCGAAGACTAGTGATCATGAAAATTTCCGCGACCGACATCAACGCGAGGAATTGCGTAAATGAGATGTCTTGCTTCAATAAAACCAGCGGCTGGTGAGTCAATGTTGAGTACTTGGAATTAATTCGCATTGCAATCTTAGTTATTTGGGTTTCGAGATCGGTGAAGTCAGGGGAATATGACGAGGCAACTTGAACTAGTACAACCTGTTTTGATGTTAGTTAGCTTACATGTACTACGTATTCCTAAAAAGGTATCAAAATCACTCACATTGTCCCGCCATGCAGGGTATTTTTTCAGAAACTTTTCATAAGATAGGAGCTTCTGTTTGATACCACCCGCAGCATCCAGGCGGTCTCTTGCGATAATTAGACGCTTGCCCTTGTATTTCTCCTTAATCTTCAACACCCATTCTTTTACCTCAGGCAACTCTCTCTGGGAGTTCATCAGATCCAAATCAATGCCTATGGGGAACACCTGAACGGGGGTTATCTGCTCGGGTAGATGAACACCATCCGTAGAAACATCCAGCCGTAAAATTCTCTTGCATGTATGATGAAAGTGGTAGACATATTCCGCAGTTTGTAAGCCAATTAGATTGGCTCCGAGGAGCCCTTTTATCAGAGCTCCCCTCGCAGTCAGGCAGCGGAAGATTTCAGAAGAAGGAAAAGCGGTGTGCATGAAGAAGCCAATCTCGGACTGGGGAAGTCTGTCTCGTAGCATCTGGGGAAGTAGCATGAGATGATAGTCATGAATCCATATGCGATCCCCCGGTCGCCATCTAGCTGCTATTGCGTCCGCGAAGATTTCATTAAGCGTAACATATTGTTTCCAAGAGTGATCGTCATATTCCTTGTGGCGTGGGCTTTCCTGCATCTGATAGTGGAAAGCTGGAAAGAGGACGTTGCGGCAGAAATGAAAATAATGGCCTTCGAATTCATAATCTCCGACAAATACTGCAAGGGAGTCGAATTCCTCACTTAGTTGCTTTGCGATGTTTTTGCGTGTGCCTTCCTTCAGCGAGTCTACCGGCATGCCCAGAGTGCCTACCCAAACCTTGTCATGGACAATCCCAGCCTTGACGGCAGCATCGATGGCGTTGCGAAGCCCCCCATTCCCCTGGACAGCTGATTTAACTACCCAATCAGCATCAGACAATAACGCTTGCGGAGCGGCTGGCTCTTCTGGATCATGATCGTTCAGCCAATCTGCAGACCCGTCAATGATACTAGGGCGGCTGAGAATAGAAGAATGAGGAGGGTTGACAGCCTTTGACTTGGGTTGGTTAAATTTGCGACTTGAACCCCAAGAATCTACATGGACTTCGGTCGGCGCCGGTGCCTGGGGTTCATCTGACGCTGATTGTAGTGCGTAAAACGGCTTGAAGATCGTCTCATGATTTTCAGATTCCCTTGAAAGCACGTTTGGCTGTGTTCTCCGATGAAGACCTGCTAGACTTTTCGCTTTTTCACCAGGAGGAGTACCGGGGTCATCAAAATACCCCTGGCCATGTCGGATTCCAGTCGCTTTGAAGTCTATAGTGTACGGTAGAAAGCTGACCGTGTTAGTCCTAAATGTTCCTCCTCTGTGTAAAGGGTGTGGTATCCTTACAGAGAGGCTACGTAGAGAGTCATGGATGCAACTGACTGCTAGTAGTACTCGTATAACAGCTTCTAGAGAGATAGAACAAGTCGACGCGATTCAGATAGGTTTTCGAGCCTTAAATACGAACTCAGTTGGCGATCAAGTTTTGGCGGACGACGAGGTAAGGGATTTCTGCAGGCAGGTTTCCCCTTCTGGTCTTAGAAGCGAAACTTGATCGGAAGGGTAGAGGACTCATTGAATGCACACGGGTTGTTCACATTGCGAGATATTGTTGAGCCGAAGAAGATCATGGAATGCCTTAACAGGAATGCGACAGCGGACGATGGATGGATGGATGAATAGATGGATGCATTTGCGGTGGTTGCGGCCTTTGCGGGGGTTCCTCCTTGTCGAAGAAGGCAGGTGCGCATGCTGAGCTCCTGCCATGCCGCCAATCATACTGACCGACCACAAACTGCAAGCACCGCCGACTCTTTTTCTCTCTGCTGCACTTGACATCGAGCAGAAACCTCCCCCCTGCCAGCACTTTTGCTGGTTCTAAGCCGAAAATTGATGCTTCTCGACCGAAATTCTGGTGTGTCTTCTTCGCAGTCGTCTCAGGGGACCCATAGACGCCTCCTGATTGGCTGCCGGCGGCCTGCCTCGCTTTGTTGATGTCTAAATTCCGCACTTTCGAAGGCTGAATGGAATACCATCAGGAAAACAAGAAAATCTGGCTCCCGCCACAGACTCTGCTGCAGGTAAGAAGGATATGCAAACCTAAAAATGTCTTGGACAGACGGGCTTCTGCAACTGTGAGCACGCTTTGCCCTGGGAGATCCACAGGTGGGCTCCGAGTCGCCTCATATCTGCTCCCCGCCAACGAAATGCTCGGCTTCGGCCGTGACTCATTAGTTACGTAGTTTTTTTTTTCTTCTTCTAGATAACTGACATCAGTCTTCTCAGTCTAGGTCGACTGGAAATTGCGCGGCCTATCGGCGAATGCTCAGTTGACTACGAGGGCTTGTTACATTCATCTCGCTGCCTAGTGCCGGTCATTCAGAGAATTGAGTCGGCCCGAATCAAAAGAATAGGTAGAAAAGGCATAAAAGGAAAAGGCTGGGAGGCTAGGCAAATTCGATAGTCCATCGAATATAGAAATCGCACCCATGGCCACAGTACCGTCGCAGTCTGAAAATAGAAGGCTGCTCTTGGTGTCAAATCGTCTACCTATCACAGTTCGACGCTCGGATGATGGAAAATATGACTTCTCCATGTCTTCCGGAGGCTTAGTTACGGGATTGAGTGGCCTGGCAAAGACGACGACATTTCAATGGTATGGGTGGCCTGGCTTGGAGGTCCCGCAAGATGAAATTACGACGGTGAAGACGAGATTAAAAGAAGAATACGGTGCGACACCAGTATTTATTGATGACCAGCTTGCGGATCGCCATTACAATGGATTTTCGAGTGCGTCACCCAGAGAATTATATTCGCTGTTGTTTTGTCCTAACATCATGAGGTGTATTCGACTAATCTCGAACGACAGATTCAATCCTGTGGCCTTTGCTTCACTACCATCCTGGAGAGATAGTTTTTGACGAGTCTGCTTGGGACTCGTACAAAAAGGCCAATGCACTCTTTGCGGAGACTATCGCGAACGAGGCACAAAACGGGGATTTGGTTTGGGTACATGACTACCACCTCATGCTCTTACCTCAACTGTTGCGGGAACGTTTACGGGATTTAGGAAAGAAAAATATCAAGATTGGATTCTTTCTGCATACGCCATTTCCTAGCAGTGAGATTTACCGCGTTTTACCAGTTCGAGCTGACCTTCTTCGGGGAGTTCTTCATTGCGACCTCATCGGTTTCCACACGTTTGATTATGCACGCCATTTTTTGAGTAGCTGTACTCACATTTTGTACGTATACCGACGATGATATCGGGAATTCACCGAAGGCTGCTAATTTTCATAATATCTAGGAACCTTAACACAACTCCAAATACTGTTCTCTTCAAGAACCAGTCGGTGGCTGTCGGGGCGTTCCCGATTGGCATAGATCCAGACAAATTCCTTGAAGGCTTGAAAAACTCAAATGTTCAAAGTCGTATTTCGAGACTCGAATCGAAGTTTCAGGGCATGAAATTGATGGTCAGTGTAGACCGTTTGGACTACATCAAAGGCATTCCCCAAAAGCTGCACGCATTGGAAGTATTTCTTTCCAATCATCCTGAATGGGTGGGCCAGGTGGTTCTGGTGCTCGTAGCTGTCCCAAGCCGAGAAGACGTTGAAGAATACCGCAATCTGCGAGCAGTGGTGAATGAACTGGTGGGACGAATTAATGGCCGGTTTGGTGAGTCGTCTACAACTACTTTGGTTTGGGTGATCTCCTAACTCTTTGGTTTTAAAAGGTACCGTCGACTATATGCCAATTCATTTCATGCACAAATCAGTCAATTTCGAAGAGTTGCTTGCTCTCTATGCTGTGTCTGATGCATGCATTGTGTCTTCTACACGTGATGGCATGAACCTCGTATCTTTCGAGTACATTGCGAGCCAGCAGAAGGGGCAGGGAGTACTAATCCTCTCCGAGTTTGCCGGTGCTTCTCAGAGTTTGAACGGGAGCATAGTGGTCAATCCGTGGAATACAGAGGACTTGGCTCAAGCGTATCATCAAGCCGTATCCATGGAGGCGGAGCAGAGGGCCGCGAGGTACCAGAAGCTCTGGAAATACGTTTCCAAGTATACGAGGTTTGTACTTTTTCTTTCACTATTTATATACATCAGTTACTAACAAATTGGCAATCATAAAAGCGCTTTCTGGGGCACGTCTTTTGTCGCTGAATTATTGAACGACTCACGAATAGATCAACAAAAAGACTAACCTACATATAGAAAATTGGAAATGTTGGCGAGGATTTTGAAACAGGTATCGACGGAATGACCCATTGGGTTCTTTGTTTGGTTGATAAGTCGGTTGATGAAGAATTTTACGAAGGTATACGTAGCCAAGTGACATTCCCAGTCCGTTTTTCATGTTTATTTCAAGCGGTGGTTGCTCATATACATACACGGGACATGGGCATAACGACAGACTAGCGAGTTATCATTGCCTTTCTGATAGAATCTAGTTATACACGTGCATAAAGACATATTTCATATCGGTATCCCTTTTTGAGCAAGTTACTTCCCCATAGATTGGCTGCCTATTCAAGCTACCTAGGTAGGTATCTACAGAAGATCCTCCCGGGACTCAAACTCATCTGCATTGATCAACAACATCGGGCTTCGAAGATCTACCCAGCCCAAGAATGGCCGACTCACCGCATATCCCATCCGCTCCTGCAGCGCTGGAGGGAGTCCCCGAATCGAATCAATACTATTCGCCAAGTACTGATTTTCTTCCTGTCTCAACCAGCCCCTAGTACTAAACGTAGACAAGAGGACACGTTCCTCATCTTTCGTCACATTCGCGGAACCCCCATGAAAACATCCCGAAAGCATCATGAAGGCGTCACCAGGGTTCAGTTCTGCATAGACAGTTTGCTCTTCTTTTGGCGGTCCTTCTCGGTAGTCCCATAGATGGGATCCTGGAATAAAGCGGGTGGCACCTACAACCTCGGGCAGCCATCGATGATGGTACATTTTAGTGAGTTCAATATATGCAGACATCAGGTTTAACCTTGGGTTAGTACATGAGACATACCATTCGCCTTTGTGCTTCGCGTGGCGCCGACAAATAAACCAACACCATAGTCTCTACCGAGGACATGCTCAGCAACAGCACGGTGATCAGGGTGGTGGGGGACATCATCACGATGAAGAGCCTGGGCTCTTGCTCCAGGTCCAATACGAAAAGCGATGGTGTTGTGGACTTGGGGGAAACTGATACTCTCTTCGTTCTTGTCGCCAACCTGATTTCATCTTAGCGCTGATATCTCCTCTCTAAAGCATCAGGTATATAATGTTGCTAACCCAATTATACTTGATATGGCTAGTGAGCAAGGAATCAGTGACACCAATCCAGAGCGGATTCCCGACAATCGATGTCGCGAACGTCTGAGATTTGCCCATTAAGCCAAAAGCTCGTCGTGTCTCCGGAGGGAAGAAGTCTCCTATCAATTGGTATTAGCACCTTAACTTTAAGAGGAAGAAGAGAAAAAGAAAAAGTGGCTGCTGGTATTTTCACATACCATCCCAGGGCTTGTCTGCATCTAGATATGGATTGACATCCTTCAATATCCGATCTATGTCTTTCAAATCTAGGAAGTTGCGCACGATAACTCCTCCAGCAAGTTTGAGTGCATTGACTATGTCATTCACAGTTGCTGCGGAGCCTTCGAAGGCTTGGACTTTTGGAATTGGCGATTTTGAAGATTGGACCTTTTTAGAGGCGTCGAATGATTGATCGATGCGATTAGTTGATGACATGGTCTAAGCCTATCTAACAGCGATCTGATAAGAATGATAGACAAATACACCCAGGTGCTCATTTGTAAGTTTTCGTAAAGTTGAAAATGCCGTCTTTTAACAATCGAGGGCTGTCCTATTTTGGATTCCGTTTCCTATATCGTAAGACCGTGAACATATAGAAGTATGCCTGCTATCTTACGTGATTGAATGACATTGTACTGATAAATGATCTACTGAGCAAGTCTGGGAGATAGCCCTCTGCCTAATTAGGCAACCTCACGAGTCACAAACTAAATGTTTCCCTTTCCGGCTCGCTTTCCTGTTATGGACATTTACTGCGTGGACGTTCAAACAGAAACTACCTGGTTCAATCGACTACAATCTTTCATCTTGATTCTCAATATTTTCAGTCTTGTTACTATCAACACTCGTCTATCTATCTGTTATGAATGTGTAGCAAAATCTCTTCAATTCTTCCAATGTGTGAGAATGAATGAAAGTTAGATAGCCAAGTCCATGTCTATCCAAAACAAAATTGCATAGGAGCTTCTCCAAACGAACTTCTGAGCTCCTGCCTCTTGTCTATTACAGACCCCCACCAGGCTCTATCACCATGAAGCCCATCTTGCCCCATCCAGACTTCTTCAAGCAATGAAGCTGCGCTACTGAAGAGGTTATAGCCCGAAGCTATATCCCAATATTGACAATAATCGCGAATACTCTGTCGCGAAAACCCGTCCTTGGTTTCACACCCGGCAAAAAAGAGAGGGAGAAAGGCCTGTTTCTGCACGATGGAAGTACGACGACAACACTGAACGTGCTCCAAGATAAATCTTGCATATGTTGCCAGTTTTTTTGGCACGCTCGTTTCCCGATTCCATCGAAAGACTCGCGTGATGTAGATCAAGAGACCGTATCGCCATGCCTCAGTGCAATGCCACCGGTCTCGTTGTTGATGCATTGCTTCTTCTGATAGATCCTCATCAATATCTGGGTTACTATTTTTCCAGTTCGTGATGGAATTCTGAATCTCGTCCACAAGTGTTAGGTCAAATCTTGTCCATCGCATCGATAAGGCCTTTTCATTTTCTTCGGCGAGATTTGCTAGCTGCATGAGAGGGACAATTAATTCTCTGGGGCAGCCAACAAGGTCGAAGAAACTCCAATACTGATTATCCTCTAAAGATAGTAGGGCTTCAAAGTATGAATAAGGGAGCAAACATCCCTGCCGTGAGAGAAGGGCTATAGTTGCGTCCCACCTTAAGGGTCATGGTCAGTGTACGTACGATACTTAGCAATGGTCGCTAGAGCTTAATTACGTATAACATACCACAAAAGCAACACAACTTGAGCTTGGACTTTTCGGTTATTTAACCAAGCTCCTGGTCCACCAGAGAGTTTGAGGAGCTTCCCGGCCTCGTAAATGTGAGTAGCCCAGTTATTAAAGGCGCATTGTGTTGCCTAATTTTGAGTTGGAATCTAGGTCAATGAAAAATGACATGAAGCTCTGCCTACGTACCCTGCATAAGAATAGTACAATTGTTGTGTCGAGAAGTTGCACTCCATACGACATGTTCTGTTCTTTCCGATACAGTTCCACGGCAGTATTCTGATGATCGGCAACGTCAGTTATCGGATAGTCATCTTTACTTCCTTGTCTACCAGCGTGGTAGCAAGATACTGCTAGGATAGCATGTAACAAGGAACGGGATGCGCGGCAAGTTTCCAGACGACATCGAAGAGGATTACTGGGAATATCTCCGCTCAGTGGCGTGATACAAAACTCTTGATCATCTGCCAGTCCTGGTTAGGTATATATATTGACCAATGGAATCTGTGACATACACATGCGAAGTAAGGGCTCGAATTTCCCAAACAAGTCTTGATGTAGTATAGGACTAGTCAAGACTATCAAGTGCCGTGGATCTATAAACATAGGGGTTGAAGATGTGGCATTATCGACATCGCTAGATGGGATAGCATCCGCAGTATCTACAGTACCAGTAGGAATACCGCTCCACCGATCAAAGGATTCGAAAGAGCAGTCAATTGGAGGGGTTATTGCGAAAGGACCTATATCGTCATTGAGGATTGGATTCCTAGCTATATTCATTGTATTAATGATTATGTTTTAGAACAGTAAATACTAGCAGAGGGTGTCTCGTCATCTCACCGTGCATACTATCTTCAGGAATCCTAAGCATAGTACTGTGTGGTGTACCTAGGCCGCTAGGCCTTCCCACTGCCAAGTCACCTTGCTGAAAGAAAGTAGAGCTCTGCCTGCTTTGAGTCTCACACAATGGTACAGTCGAAATTTTCTTCGCCTCTGGGACATCTTCGAAAATAAATTTGAATTTCCGAGGTCTATGAGGCCGAGACCGGCTACTTTTGTCTCTGAGTTGAAAAGAAGCCTTTAGTGACAGAGGCTCTATATAGAATGGATCATCTTTGCAATTTGAGAACATGTCTTCTGCTCTTGGCTTGCTTTTGGACCATGTTAGCTGCATCGGGTACCCGCCGCAGAGTACATTCCTGGCGAAGCAGGACGAGCATCTCGGCCGCTTCCTATCGCACCGACGCCGATTCGCGGCACAGGTGTGGCAATCGGTCCTAGCAAAGGCTAGAGAGTTCGTGCGGGAGCTGGAAGAAGATGGAGGCATGGGGCCTGTCAACTGTCTTTGGATTGTAACTGGGTCGAATTGAGAGCTTTAGGAAGAGAAACAATTGAAGCAGTCGCCGCCCTACAAGGATAAGATGGTTAAGCCCCACTCGAATTGCTTAAATGGTCTCTCCTGCCATATTGGGACTAGATTGAGCAGATGGCGTGATTCTATTCGCTGTTCTTAATATAGATCACTCTTACCTTACCGTATTAGATCATGGGCGCCTCCTTTAGGAAATTTCGTTATTTTAGGATATTTTCCTCTAACATCCATAGATAAAACCATTGTGAAGAAATTTTGTCTATATTCTAAGGCACCAGAAAAGATATTACTAGATATTCATTGCAAAGATCTGTTATTCTGAACCAAATTCGAATGTTTAATAGCCATTGATCTCACGCAACAACAAACAAATTAACATCCGCTATGGCGCACAGAGAGAAAAATGCGGACTTCATCGCGCTTGCAAAGACACTTTCTGTGGAAATACCATGGTGTGATGACTATGAGAAGATGATATCCGGCATGACGTTTGTACACCTTCCTTATGGTTCTCTTTAAGCCCTTGGTCGATTGTCTACTCACAAGCTGTCATACTATAAAGATATAATTCATTCGCGCCGGAATTGGTTGAAGGCCGATTGCGTGGACGCAAGCTCGTCAAGAAATACAACGACTATCTTCCAGATGACGCGACGGACGAGTCCTTAGCAGCAGACCGTGACGTTATGCTAAAAGAGTTTATTGGGCATGTTGGTAAAGACGTCTGCATTGATCCACCTTTCCGAGTTGATTACGGGTGCAATATAATTATTGGAGATAGATTCTACGCAAACTTCAAGTGCGTTTTCTTATTCCTAAAATATAAGGAGACTGGAAGTTGACTTCTCAAAATTATAGCATGGTGATTCTGGACTGCGCAATCGTGACTATTGGCGACCGCGTGAAATTCGGTCCGAATGTGAGTGTGTTTGCTGCGACGCATCCGGTAGAGGTGCAGGAGAGACGAGATGCTCCAGACTATTCGAATGAGGTCACAATCGGGAACGATTGTTGGATTGGAGGCCATTCGGTTATCATGCCGGGTGTTACGATCGGTGATGGCGTCACAGTCGGTGCAAACTCGGTGGTGACTAGAGATATTCCAAGCTTCTCAGTGGCTGTTGGGTCGCCGGCGAGGGTGATAAAGAAGGTGAAGCCCGTTGATGACGTGCAGGCATAATAGCATTTTAGGCAAAATAACGTATAAATGAATACAATGAATACGCTGGAGCGTTGGGTTGGTTTATTACTTCAAAATGGTAAATATATCATTATCTATATCATTAATCCATTGGCCGTTGTATAATATTGTTCCCTGGACTGAACCCATTAGTATACATACACAAAGTTAGGATTCTGCTTGTCGGTCAGATCATTAAACGCCGTTGCATTAAGCGTGAATGCATCACCTGCACCCTCCTCTCGCAGAATCTCCCTTGCCTTCTCCTTGCGTCGATTTTCCCACATGAACATGTAGCGTATGGCGAAGAATAGCAGAAGCTCGATGCAATTCGAAACCAGCAGAGACCCGATTCCCAAGCGGTAGGTGGGTGCTTGGGCACTCTTGTAAAAGAAAGGACCGGCGATGTTGCCAACGCACACTCCAAACCATATCATGCCCGAGACAATCATTTTTTTCGATTGTCCACCGACGTTGGATGTGATGATGGACAGGCTTAGCACGAATGAGGCCTGGTATGATCCTGTGAGATAGCTGTAGATAATAATCAGCAATCAGAAAAAAATCATAAACAAGGAAGAAAAAAAAAAAGGGCCATATGTAAAGCCCAACTTACAAGCAGATCAATCGGCCAACATATGCGTCAGTAGGTGCAAGGAGAAAGCCAAGGCTACCAGCAATAGTTGGAAGCATGAAGAGAGCACAGACTAATGTCCGACTATTAAGTGGCAGGTAGTGGTTAGCCACTGCTCCAAGCACGATCCAAATCACCACTGTGGCGCCCTGCGGTATACCGAGAAGCGCAGTATCTAGAGTATCAAACCCGAGCCCTTGAATAACCAAGGTCGAGAAGTTGGAAATCCCACCATTGGGGATGTTGCTAACAACGCCCAGCAGGAAAAACATCCACGTTTTGTAATCAAGGTATGCCTCTTTGATTTGGTCCCATTTGATTTTGCGCTGCTCAACACCGGTCTGGTTGCGTCGCATGCGAGCGATAATCATCAATTTCTCGTCATGAGTAAAGCCCCAGAAGGTGGTCGGCGAGTTTGGAAGAAGCAGTGACAACACAATACCCCAAAATGCACAAACGGCACCGACTATAATAAACTCATAGCGCCAGGAGACAAGAGCACCCTTTATGTGGCCAATTCCGTAGCCTACAAACCGTCAATCATCAATATCTGACACGGAAACTAAAGAAAGGCTTAAGACCTACCAATAAGCCCACCACCAGCAACCCCGATACCATTCCAGAGGTAGTAGGCTGAAATGCGTGAAGGCTGCTCTTCGCGAGTGTAGTAGGTCGAGATAATAAGCATAAACGCCGGGTCTGCAATGGCTTCAAAGGCGCCTGAAAGGGCTCGAAGAGCGGAGAGAGTGGCAAAGTTCTTGGATGCGGCCTCACACATGAGAAGCACCCCCCACATAAAAATATTGAAGCTGAGGTACCAGGCTGGAGGTAGTCTCTGCATAATCAGATTAGACGGAATTGCCCATACTAGCCAACCAAAGTAGAAGATACTCGACAGCCACGAATATTCTGTTCCAACGAGATGCAGGGAGTCCTTGATTCCGAAAATTGCCGCGTAAGAAAGGGTTGTCTTGTCGACATACTTTATAGCCATAAGTCAGCATCAGTGGGACAGTAGAATGCAGTTGACCTACATAGAAGAAATAGCAAATTCCGAGCAGAGGAACAATGCGCATGTCAAGTTTACGTTTCAGCCGTTTTTCTGCATCTTTATCGATAGCCTCATCTACCGGATATCTTCTAATCGCTTCCAAATACAATTCGCTATGATCTTGGTCGATCATGACATCTTTTCGGGTTGATTCGACATTTTGCAAGTCCTCGATGCGAGCTACTTCGTCCACCTCGTCCACTTCTGGGGCATCATCATGCTTGGGATTCATGATTCCAAAGGTAGCAATAGTAGAGTCGAGTATTATGAAGAAGATATTAATTAAAATAGAGACAAAGAAGACTTATAGGCATGATTAATATGACAACCAGGCATGGGTGCCAACCCCAAGTCTGTGGGACAACATTTTTAAACTTCAGCTTCCATCGTGGGGGATGAGTAGGGAAAAATTAAATTCCACCAATCGAGTATTGACATTGCCTTTCTTCCTCATCCCCCCCACGTCTTCTATGTTCCCATTTTCGATCGTTTCTGGGGATGATGATGTCCATGCGGTGTGCGTTCAGCTATTTCGGGCCTTGGTTCCCCAGAATCTTTCCATTCCGGGACTAGTTCATCTATGTACTCCAAATTAGCAACTTTAGCCCCGCAGCCACCCCCACGTCTTCCACACAGTCACTTTGTCATGCCACTGATGATGCAAAGGAAGTGTAGGTAGAGTTGTTGATATCGATATTCTAGAGCGACCGGTGGTCTGATTGATATTCTTCCGATCACCAGTTTTTCATAGCTTGCCAACCCAAGGGCAAAGTGTACGCTGTGGTTCACGGAGAATATCAGAGGTTGTGGTATTTCGTAGACGCTTATCGGCACTGAAGAGTGATTCGTATAAAGCTATATGAATGAGCACACCAAGACCTTCGTAACTAGAGCTTTGACAGCTGATTGAACCTGTGAACGGACTACCATCTGTTAAGAGCATTGCCAAAGCTCCAGCGATTGAAAAATCCTCATGTCAATGATCAATCTCATGGTTCCACGGTAACTCTCTAAGCAGGGACAGTGTCAATGGAAAGCAAGCTTCAGTCGGAGTTGGTGCCGCCATGACGGTTCTAGCAAATGCCGATTCTTGACATGCGCGAATGTTAAGATGCTAGACGTAGATTTCAATCATCTGTTTTGAAAACTGAATTCAAGGGTCTCCAATGATGCCAACAGCCAAAGTAACGAACAAATTCTCCACTATGAAGTACAATTGTGCGTCGTAATGCTTAATGCTTTGATGCCTGAGGTAACCCTTTTTGCAATCGCAGACGCTAGTGTCTATTTGGTCTAGAGTCTAACGTATTTCCCGGGTAAACCGCGCACCTATAATTCCTATACAAAATAGACATTTTTACCCCCCCAGTAAATTCCACAAATTTATATATAAAGTAGATCTAAAAAGTTTATATATTAAATAATATATATATAAGAGCTTATTTATAAAAAGTAATAAGAATCTATCTATAGATTTGTTAAGATAATAAGAAACACGCTAGTAATTATTGTAATTTTTAATACGAAAGGGTTTATAAGATATATAGAATCTATAAAGCTATATATATAATATTATATGAATATTATTTGATATATAAACTTTTCAAGTCTAGTTTATATATAAATTTGTGGAATTTACTGGGGGGTAAAAATGTCTATTTTGTATAGGAATTATAGGTGCGCGGTTTACCCGGGAAATACGTTAGATCATCCCGCTGATGATTCAGCATTGTCTTATTGGCTGCTGGTCTGGATTTTGATGCACTAATGATTATACTTGCAGAACGCATCTCATCGTGACAACTGGCAATAAAGTGCCCCTCGGCAATCGCATATTTCGTTCGCGTCTATCGATGGATATACGCAATCGAGGACGAAAACATGCGCAGGATTAGGAGACGGTCAGATAAATGGATCGCTCACGTGGCCTCGTATCCATCCCGCTAATCCAGAAAGAAAACAATAGAAAAAAGCCGCGTCGCCTCAGGTCTTTTCCGTGCTGCGCTAAACCTAACCAGGGGCGTGTTAGTAAACATTTGTTCCGGCGCTAATCCTGATGTAGAATATGCGACATTTGTGCCAAGCCCCCCTTCTCCGCCTCGGGTTGCGCGTTTCCGCTACTGCGCGGCTTGGCAAAGGAGTTGTGCAGATTCTGCCTCACTACTACTCCGTACTCAAAAGAGTAATGAAATCATTCAACATGCCGTGATGGCAGGCGTGTTACTTGTAAGTAAACAAGTCAAGAAACTACTCTACAGTCTAGTCGGCGCAGAAATTTTCATTTCAGGGCAGCTGCTAGTTGTTCATATCTCATAGCGCTCTTCGTATCGTGAAACCGCCGGACCTACGACGCACACCACGTACCTATCTATATATACGTATTGCGCAGCTCCTAATAGTCAACTTTTTTTTTTCCCTGGCTAACTAGTTACTTGGTACTGTACTTACTCATCGGACACGTCAGGCTCGCTCGCGTTCATTTAACTTACCAGATCATTTCCAGCATACGCGGCCTTGGCCTACCAGACGCATCTGATTGGCCACGCTCTCGGGGCGGCCACTCCAGCTGACGACGCTCCCACCAGCGAGCTTGCGTGTTCTCGTCTCCTATTCTTAAACGGGGTTGCCATTCGTCCCAGTCTGCATGCACTATTTCGGTGCGTCGTCGTACTATCCTTTGAAGTCTCTGTCTGTGATTGATACTACTATGTAGTATGCAGCATTTTGTAATCTCCCCGGAACCAAATAGAGTAGTATAAGATTCCGCTCGGATCTGCCGCGGCAAAGTTGATCAGATAAACCACAGTGTTCCTGCCAGCACCAATGGCTCGCAATGTAACAGACTCCTATAGTGTTGTTGTATGTACAAAATCATACTACGTGTAGAATTCTTTGATAAATTGTCTCTGCCTCAGGTATACACTGCTACATTCAACTGTGATGATGCTGAGCATTCTCAGATCTAAATTTAGCCGGTTGCACTGGGCGGCTTGGCGGCCCGGAAGGGGAAGGCGCCGACCGTCGAGGCGTCGTAATGCCGTACAAGCAAGTGACCCATCAGAACCCACCAAACCACGTTGGGGAGTGCGTCGCTCGCTGTGTACGAGTCCCCTTCACCTCTTCTCCTCCTGGACGTGCCTGCAGTTTTATCTATCCTTCAATCCTCTCTCTGTACATCGACGCCTTCCCCTGTGCGACTGCTAATCCACAACTCTGAGACACCCGTCTTCTCTCAACAAGCCCCTAGCGCCCGAAGGCCAGAGGACAACTCGAGCTAGCCGTGCACCGCCCACCTTTGTTTTTCTCCAGCTGCCAGACGAAGAGACACCAAAGGAAAGGCAAAGAGAGGGAAGGAAGAAAGGCCAGAACTGGGATACACTGCCCTACGGTCTCCCAGTTCTCCGCCAGGACCTATTTGATAGCAACCAATACATACGCCGTTGCAATTCAGAGCAGCCGGGTCAATACAATGGCGAACAGATCATCACAGCGGTCTTCGGGTTCTACAAAAACAATGGGCAATTTCGATGCGACAGAGCTGTCGAAGGAATTCGAGAACCTGATGCGGAGCAAGAAATTCAATGATTTTCAGCAACAGTCACGTTCCAAATCGCGCACTGCGTCGCCAGCCCCTTCGGAATCCCCTCTCTCTCCAGCATCGACACAATCGCCAAAATCTTCGACAAATCGACGGCTCCCAATTATGCCTCAGCGTCCGCAAGATACCGCGTCTATCAAATTCTGCAACCTCTTACATGTCTTATCTGTGACTCCCAAAAAATACGAGAATCCAGGCTTATTAGACGAAGCTTTGACCGTCATCCCTCTTGACCGATTGTACGCGGAGGCAGACGATGAACACCAAATACACCAAGCCCGAAGTGCCAGTGTAGGAAAGAAACCACAATGGGGCTATCAGGACTTCGTGATTCAGTCACTTCTCAGGTAGAGATATTTTTTTACTAATTCGCCAAGACTGGCTCATTCCATGATCTGCTTGGGTGCTAACTGTGAGATGAATACAGGTGGTTCAAAAATTCTTTCTTTACTTGGGTCAATAATCCACAGTGTTCGAAGTGCTCCATGCCAACCATCGCTCACGGAATGGTTCCCCCCACACCGGACGAGACTGCTCGTGGCGCAACACGGGTCGAAGGTTACAAGTGCTCTGCCTGTGGGGCTTTAGAGCGATTTCCACGATATTCAGACGTCTGGCAGTTGTTGCAGACCCGGTGCGGCCGTGTTGGAGAATGGGCCAATTGCTTCACCATGCTCTGCCGAGCCTTGGGCAGCCGAGTGCGTTGGGTGTGGAACTCAGAGGACTACGTCTGGACAGAAGTATACTCTGAGCACCAACGAAGATGGGTGCATGCCGACGCTTGTGAAGGTGTTTGGGATCAACCGAGGCTATACACAGAAGGTAAGTAGACTACAGTGAATAGGGGGCATAACCTAGGATTTGCTTCTAACGCTGGTGATCAGGCTGGAATCGGAAGTTGTCATACTGCATTGCATTTTCAATTGATGGTGCCACCGATGTGACGAGGCGATACGTCCGTAATCTGATGAAACATGGCGCCCAGCGAAATCGGGTTACGGAAAATGTGCTTTTATTCGCGATCTACGAAATTCGAAGAATGCGACGTGAAAAGCTTTCTGAACAAGACCACCGACGATTGCGGAAAGAAGATGAGCGGGAAGAACGAGAAATGCGCATGTTTACAACCAGAGCACTCGCAGCAGAGATTACCTCTCTGTTCCCAGGCTCGCGACAGACTGCGCGGGACACCGATCATAAAACGCCGCTTACCCAAGATGAAGATGCTGCGCAGTGGATCAGTGGCAGGCAACAGAATGAACACGAGAACCAAGGCCCAGACTCACGGCGAGATCGTGATAATCGAAGATGATTATCATAGTTCGACGCCTATCTACCAATCACCCTCTTCTCACAACAGCAGCAGCAGCAGAAGCTACTTCCCCTATGGAAATACCGCCGTTAAACTTCAATCGACATACCATACGAGGGAATCTAAAAGGAAACGTCGATTCGATTTTCGAATCAGCACACCAACATTTGCTATATACGTTCATGCCTTACCCAACTGGCAATGTTTAAGCACTCTCTAGGCGACTAGACAGTACGCCATACACAACATATCCCTCTTTACATTTTCTTTTTCTTCTTTCTCCTCATTCTCCATGCTTGAAGCATTGGATACGGACATCCCTTCCAATGTTCGCTCTTCTACTACATCATCCGGAATCGGATATTCCACTTTGATGTCGACACGTCACGTCTATATTCTTATTTCTTCGTCCTCAGGGGAATTCATGACAAACCCAGGACCTATTTATACCATGTCATCCACGGCGTTCTTTTCTATTCTTCTTTCTTTCTTTTTTCAAATACATAAGGATGGTTAATAAATTGGTCTTGGTACTTTCTATAGCATTGGAGCTATTGTGATCACTATATCATCATCGTCATGATTTCTTTTCTTTATGTCATGGATTATAAGTCCGCTGTCGCTTTTCCTTTACCATCTACATTTTCTCATGGCGATATACACCAGGAATGGGTTCTAAGGAGCAAGAGGCGCATGTTAGTCTGGTTGGGTTTTGGCGTTTTTGTTATGATGTTATTTCAGCGGAAACAGCGCATAAAATTTCGCCAAGGTAGTTTCTACTTTTCATACACATCACAGGTAGCAGTGATTTGTTTATGATATTTCAATAAATACCTTTTATCTTGATCACTTCCAGGCTTCAACTCAACAGGACAAAGAACTTGGAAAGTATTTCTCGCGCTTATCACACCGCCGGGTATTCTGCCGGCCAAATCACATTTTCATTGGTTTGTGAAAGAGAACGCCCTGCGGATAGAGTTGATTAGTAATCAACACAGGCGCCAATACTTTCGGGGGGCCGCCGCCGGAGATCAACATCAGTTCCCAAACGATCATCCCACTCAGGCATAAGTTTCCAAAATCGGCATATAATACTCATACGCAATGCCACTGGGAGGCTCCAATGAGAAAATGTAGCTGCCCCACCACGGCCCCGCACTCCAAAACAAAGCACCCAGCCAAACATTCGAATTATCAGCCAGATAATCCAGCATACCAGTAACAGCCTCTTCACAGACAGAGTTGGCGCCCCCTGCATATTCGCCGAGAATTGCTGTCTTGTTGTTCTCGATGAGCCAGGCCGTTGCGTCTTCGACACGTTCTTGGCCAATCGTGCTGCTTACGCATGCGTCTGAGGTGCCGGAGCCGTCTGAGTCGAGGTATTGGTGCATTTCGTAGACGAGGAGGTTTGACGGGTCGGTGAGATTGCTCATGCCAGTGTTGTAGGTGGTCCATGTCCAGGCGCCCGTGTATTGGTTGCCCTCGGCGAAGATGTACTGTGTTGTTGCGCCGACGCCGCGAATGCCGTTGATGGCTGCTTGGTTGAGGGCTACGACGTCAGATTCTTCAAATCCGTAGTATTCGTTGTCTGTGGTTTGTTGAGAATTTAGTCTTTGTCCTTCAAAATGGGAATATAGTGCCTTACTCGTGTCGAAAATGACTTTGTCATTCGATGCGAACTGCGTTGCGAGTGTTGCCCAGAAAGCTTCAAAGTCGGAGGTTGAAGTAATAAGATTACCATAACTGAGAAGAGTCAGGATTAATAGCCTCTTTATTTGCATACTGGGGAGTACTTCAAGGCTCAAAGGAGGAAATAAGAGAGACCTACTACCGTCCGAAGTTGTGCGGATCAATCACGGCATATGCACCCTGGTTGGTGATATACTCAATGACCTGGTATCTCGTTAGCACAAGACCGAGTACTAGCAAGTATATATATCAGCTGCCAATACCTCGCTATAGCCATCGAAATAATCTGTATCAAGCGACCCGGTCATCTCATTCGGAATCATACGTTCCATCAGAAATGGCACTCGAAAAATGTTCAACCCAGCATCAATGAGTATCTGGATTGCTGTTGTATTGGGAAAAGTATAATCTGTGCCCTATATATTTACAATACTTGATTAGTGTGGATCTGTATTCATGTTTGAACCTGGTGAAGAGAGTCAAGTACATAGACCCCTGGTATATTCCCGCTTCCGAATTCTGCTCCAGATTCATTCGCACCAAACCCTAACGTTCGATTATTTCATGTTTTAGCCAATGATCATGCACAACAAAGCATTGAACAGGGCGTGAGGAACATTGGTGTGGTCAAAATACATTCGAAAGAAGAAGCCCGCTTCTTAACCTCCTTCGTGGGTGTACCGATCACGAAACCTGCCGTGGATAGAAAGACTGAAAAGACGACGACCCTCATGCTGGTTTCTCTTTGACGGTGACTGATATCTTAATTTCCTTACTTCGCATTTTCCTTTCAACTACCTAGGTGTGACCTGACCCCGATTCCTACTATGCTTTTATATTTATCTCGAGCAAGGCTCGTCTGTCTCCGGTATCATATCCTCCGCATTATAATCATCACGCATAGTGATCTAATTATTGACAGTCCTATAGGACTATCTTCCTGGAAGCATTCATATCATTGGTGGCTTATTCTATATGCATTGAGCATGAAACCGAAATGGCCGGGACTCCCCGAAATGGCTCGACAAGGGTAACGTACAGTATACCTAGGTACTCACCTAATTAGGTGTTTTGCATGAGGAACAGGCTTTGAATCTTGGTAGAAACATGGGTACTCGTGTAGACGAATGTTGCACCAGATAACAGCGGTCCTGGCAATATATACATGCCAGCAGATTATCCGGTTATATTATTGTGGATAAGCAATCTAAGGGCGTGGCATATTGAGAACCCGTGAAGTCACCTAGCGGAGTATCGGCTTGCTCTGAAGGTTATGATATATCAATATGTCGATCGAATAGACCAAAGATTCATATTTAGGTACTATGTAGGTACACGGCTGATGGTGACAAGTAGCTGTACACTTGCAAGGCTAATGACGGTGTCTCTAGAAGCCCAAGAAATGGAATTTCTCTTTTCAAGTCGCCAGTCTTGAGTTAAGACAATTCGTGGGATGGAATCCGGAAGAAAAGCTTCTGCAATGTGGTGATCTCAACAAGGATGGACTCCTTGGAAGTTGAGAGTTGAGAGAAAAATGCGAAGGCCGACTCCATGGTGATTGCCTAAACGAGTAGCGCCTTTCCTAGCCCCAAGCAGGCAGGACGAACGCAACCATCTAAAGCCTCAACTGTACCTATTTCTCCCTCAGACTCGTTTTTCTGGGGCCACCAATTGCAAGTCGCCCATGCCACTCACGGCCTTGAGCGGCCATCATGCCATGCAGCGCCCCCACCTTTTAAATCCCTGCACCCCGGACTGCATGAACGACCGCAAGAGCCTGCCTGAGGGGATTCTTAGAAGCCTGTCCATGCTGACCAATTCAAGAGCAATTACTGAGCCACAGTATCCGCTCCCTTGTGAGAGGAGTTATGAGTAATTCACGCGCAGGTTTTATCGTCGAAGACATGATATAAGCTGACCTCGAAGTGGCAGGTTCTTCGAGAGCCACTGAGGTCCAATCTTCGCCTGGCGTGCAAACCTTTGTCAATAACATCGTCGACCAGTACCCAATCCCAGAACAAATGAACTTGAAAAAAATCTACTCGCAATGCAGCTGACATAGGCAACAGATACAAGTACGCCGATATTACGCTCGCAAGAAAGCTCGGCAAGCTAAATCTATACAACCGCCTACGACTGAAGGACTCCGCGAATGGGTCTGAACCAGGAAATCCTATTGAAACGCATGCGAGGGTGTCAGGTTTCAATAGTGTCGTTACGTTTGAGGAGTCCGGTGGACAAGTGCACGTCCCAATACCACTTCATCACGCCGATTATTGGAGTCCAAGTAACAGCTCAAGGATTACAAGACAGATAGAAAGCAGTGCGCCTTGGCAGGTTCATCTCGAGGCGCCGTTCAAATGCTCGCTCTGCAAAAAGATCGTCACACTCAGGGGCCAGGAAGCATGGATGTAGGTAGAATATATCCTAGTGGCCACAGCACGATTTACTAAGTGTGGAAATCAGGATACATGTCTATGCAGATCTCAAGGCCTATGTATGCATTCATCCATCGTGCAAGCAGTCGTTTGAGTATTTCCACCTCTGGGCGGATCACGTTCTAACCTACCATTTCCCCGAGCTGAAACGATACTGTGTCTATTGCAACGGTGAAATCCTTAGTACTCCCGGCATTTCAACAAGAAATGCATTCGTGGAGCATCTGGTATACAATCATTGGAATACCCTTAGCGATACGGAGCGTACTGCTGCAGTGTTGAACACGGAGAGATTTGTCTTCGCGCCTTTCGACTCAGATTGTGGCATTTGTCGAAGATCAAATTGGAAGACATGGTACGACTTTGCTGCACATGTAGCTCGTCATTTGGAGGAGATATCCCTGGCAGCTCTCTCCGATATTCCATATCCACTCAATAATATCTCGGAAATGAAAACAGAGAAAATAAGAAGTCGTCATTCGAAGAAGAATCTGCAGAGCAAGCCAAAAGAGAAGGACGAGCCTACAAAGTCGATGCGAGCCGAGAAACAAGTAATATCTCTCGAAGAGAGAGCCGAGAGCGATGAAAGTGACCAGGAAGATCCCGACTATGTTAAGATAGGTTTGGAACCACCCGATACACTGTCGCCATCCATCAAAAAACCGCATCGAGACAGTTTACGGCTTCGGAAGGTACGTGACAACAGCATCACCAAGGCCAAGGAAAGCATCGGAGAGCAAAGCGAGTCCCTCGAAGTACCTGGCCATGGGAAGCTCACTATAACTGGCTCAAGCGAAGCTCACGTCAAATTTAAAAGCAAGGACCGGCGCCACATCTATCAAAGAAGTGGTAAATCACCGTCCAAGTCCAACACGATAAATTTGAGACAGCAACTATCCCCACAATATTCCAACGAGGATGTTCAACAGACACACGCCATTGATCTGCCCAACTCTCATTACTATCCATATCATTTCCAGCATGGGCAACAAAACCTAGGTGTCCAGGGCTACGAAAACTACAGGTACGCTGGGGCTGTCGTGCCTCAGAACTATTATATGAACAACTACTATCCCTATGTCCAAGGAGTATACGATCAAAAATCTGGCTATCATAGCCCTATGAATGGAGAACATGCGTTTTCAGGACAGATACATCAGTGCGAATGCCCTACCTGTGCAATGAGTGAAGATTATGCTTGATTACGCAGAGCATGTTTTCGCTGTGGCTTTGCCCTAGATGTTTGAATTATAAAGCGTTAGTTGCATTGACTTCTTCAGTACTTGTTCCATTCTTGTTCCATCTCATTCGTGTACTTAATCACTGTAATAATTCAATGATGATTAGCTTAGACTGAAATCCAACCCCATTAGACAGATTTGTGTGACCCATGTGAGAATAACTAGATTCGGGATATTTGTCTTAGAAAACGCCCCTTGGTGGCAGTATTGGCAGTATGATATTGTTAGTGAAGCAACGTATGAATGAAGTAGATTCTCTGCATATTGTGGAATAAGATACATGTACGGGATATATAAAATAATTAGATGCTAATATGATAAAATACATGCGAAGTAGATATCCGTCCAAATCAGAGAGCGGATTCGGTCGAAGAAAGTAAAGACGTATTACTTTGTTTCCATTGACGGTATTTTCCGTCTCGATTCATCAGCTCACTCTCTGGAGGAAGATTTTCTGAATGCATTGAAAATATGCTTGTTGTTCGGAGCCCTTTCTTCTTTTTCTTTCTCTTTCTGATTGGATTTAGTACGCGTGCACTCCTTCGTCAAGATGTCACCATCTCTATCGCTGGAAACTCTCCGTAAAGCTCCTCCACGTTGTTTTAATGAAAAATTTTCATTATTTTCAACCCATTTCATAAATGGGGTGCTATCGTCAAGATAATTGGAATTTTCCGCGGGCCCCGGAATCGCTGTGTTGAAGATTGCTTGGACGGATTGTTGGTTTTCTCGTCGGATTCTTGATATGAGATTGGCGCGTAAATCGTCATCATAATCATAATCATAATCGTCGTCGTCTTCTTCTTCTTCGGGTGAGCCAATTCCAAGTTCTATGCTGGCTGTCTCATGATGCTCGCTATCGGCAGAGTCTTCATCGATTTCACTTTCGGACATGTCGTCATCATCGACGGTGGTGGCTTGGGATTCCTCGATGATCTGGCTTCGATTTTCGACTAGACTTTCGTTCCTCTCAGCAGGAGGAGGAGGAGGAGGAGGAGGAGAAGAAGAAGAAGAAGAAGAAGAAGATGATGAAGAAGATGATGATGATGATGATGGTGTTGGAGCCACTAGATTGACCTGGGTACCACTATCAATCATGCATGGGCGGTTAGTGGTAGGAACAGCCGGTGTGTTTAAGCTGAAGCCGAGGTCTGCTTGGGTTGATTTATCGGCAATTGGAATGACATCAAAAGTAGAAGAGTGAGGGATTTGGGTTCCCAATGTGGCTTTATTCCCTAGGTCTACCGCGAACGATGGTGATTGATGGGTGACAGAAGAATCCATCAAGTTATCTATGATGGTTTGTGTCCCCCAGTCAGCAGGAACAGAGTCATCACGCTTAGAGGCGACTATATCGAGCGTTCGAGGTGTGAGGCTGCGCTGTTTGAAAGATGGCTGAGTGAATGTATTGCAGAAGTACTCCTCGTAGTTATCCCAGTGTTTCTTAGCATAAATGCGCGCCTGAACGTAATTCCTGTAATCCAGCAAATGTCTCATGACGAATTCATCCCACAAAAAGCATCTCCGTAATATCCCACGACTGCGCAATGATTGCAACCTGCGGCACATGTTGACAAAATGATCGAAATCGCCCGCATATTTAGCATACGACTTTTTAAACATCTCGAAGATTTTCAAGGGGCCGTCCGGGGTAAGAGAAAATATATGCTTGTGTCTGTCTTCATGGACATTTTCGGGCTCGGGGTAAATCGTAAGTTGTATACTAGAAGTGTTGATGTTCGCATTGGCGACATTCCTAGGCCTTTTCGAAGGGCTTGTGTCGATTGATTGGACATCCTCAGCCTTTCTTTTAAGCTTGCCTCCAACATCAGCAGTCATGGGAGTTTTTGAACTGCTACCTGTCCGTTCCCTGACTGGCTGATCATCACGTATGTAGACCTGTGTATGTAGGTCTGTTGAAATAAGCGAGCTTTCTGGAACGAATTCTAGTAGCCGCTGACTATCTTGATGAGACGGAAGGCTACAGTCGTGTAGGTCACTATTTGTACGCTGCGAATCCGCAACAAGAGACTTCTGATTATAGTCCATTCCATGTTCCTGAGCTGATGTGTTGCCTGTGCTATTGACGGAATTGGCAATCACTTGCGAGGATGATTTATCGCCCCCAGGGGAGCTCCGCTGGGCTATAAAGGTTGGTGGAAGGTTGCATACTTTCGCTGCATTTTCGCTAGTTGTGCGCTTCAAAACAGCGGGTAGAGTGTCGAGTATTTGCACTCTGTCAAGGGGAGCCGAGCTTGTATTTGATGAGACTGGAGCTACGGATTCTGAACTCCGTACTTGGTTCGCAATGCTTTGGGAGCTTGTTAATAATGCTTGAGGAATGGAGGTCTCCATGTCAGATTCGTCACTGGATTCGGCAGCTTCGCTTTCTGGTCTTGCGTCATTTGATGGAGGATCAGCGATAGAATCAGAAGCAGAAGACAGAGTCGAGGCCTGGCCCTGGTCGCCTTTAGGCTCGTTCGTTTCTTGCATAGGGTCACTTGGATGGATGGTAGGAGATGGTGGAGACGTAGGTAGGGATATATGAGACTTTTCTTGTTTGGCAATGCCATCGACAGCATCGGTGGTCTTGTTAGCAGTCTGTTTCGGAGACTGGGCTGGCTTTGGGATACTTTGCTGTCTGATCGGACTATCGGAGGGTGCCCGAGGTCGCTGTATGTGTCTAGTAGGACTTATAGACCAATCCGAAGTTTCTGAACCCGAGTCACTGTCATTTTCTGAAAGATGTCCTATTCCCGAAGAAGATGGCACGCCCTCTTCCTCTCCCTCTTTTTCTGGAGATGAATCAACTTTTTTACTCGACATATTTTTCCTTTTCTCACGAAACAGTCTAATCATCTTTGCATTCCATTCCTGAAGTAAGGTCGTTGGTACATGGCCCTGTGGAGTAGGTTCACCAACATCTGCAGGAATCCAGCAGTCATGTCGATCAAGAAGTTCTTCTTGGTCCTTCGGAATAGCCACATCTCTCCGACCAAGCTTGGCTATATTATTCCATATATTTCGGTCAGAGTTGGTTTTCGTTTCAGTTATCTCCGCCGATCGAGAGTTTTCAACATTGACATCGGTCCTAGCGTTGTCAGTTGAACTCGCGGTCGTCTCTACTATAGGGGAAGTGCTAAGTCTAGGTGACGTGCGAGCTTTTTGAAAGCTCGTGACTTCTCCTTGTGACGGTGAATTTAACTGATCCGGCTGCTGGCTTAAAAGTGTGTTCGGGTTTTCAACAGCGTCTATCAGCAGTCGTGGCGAGGTCGCTGTGGGTGCTTGTCCCCGCGAAGATAATTCAACATCTTCTGATTCGCCTGGCCTCACAATAGCCTGACTTTGTCCGTCGGTATTTCCTCGGGATGTGCTCATGTCTGGGACAGAGGACCCGTTTGCATCTCCATCAGAGGAATGAAGTGTTACTTGCTGCGGCTGGTCTTTGGGCGAAACAATCTGTGGGCGCCTAATCTTAAGAAGCTGTAAGAGAGAACTTCTATTAGTCGCAGGAGGCTCGGGAATAGCTGAAACAGAGATCACGCGTCGTGGATTCACAGGGTAGAGCTGAGATGCCAATACTTCCTGCGACTCGAGGACGGGAGCGGCTTTTCCTTCTGTGTTGGTGCGTTGGGATTGTGTAGAATCACGCGAAGACGGACTTGCTAAAGACGGCGGGCGAGGGGACAGCTGGGTTGCTTGTGGCTGCTGTGTGTCAACATCATCTTGGGATGTCTTCGATCCATAACCGTTTCCATCAGTGGCGTGAAGTAATGTCCTAGCAGATGTGAAACGAGCCACACTTTTCACGTTTGTCCCAAGCATAATGGCCAATTTATTTGGCGGTATCGATAATTATATCTGCTCAGTTTTCCAAAGTGCCAACTCCATGGGACATTTTTTGCATTATGTGGGATCTTGCGGACACGCGGTCTCTCGATATTAATAAGGCCGTTACTATTCGTATCGCGATTACAGAACTAAGCACTCATGTAGCCCCTTCACAGCGCACCGAGTTCGGCCGTAGCTTGCTCTCTGTAAAGGTATTCGAAAAGCTCGCATTCATTCGTGTTCGATAGTTTATGCTGAGAATCACAGTAGGAAATAGTATTAAATCCAGGTTTTCAGCAAGTGTGATGGGGAGCTGAGGTCGAATGTGAAATATGCTTCAGGAAGCAGCAATAATTTCGCGGTAGGAAATTGAGGACTTGGCAAATAAGGCGTTCAATCAGCGAAATAAAGACTCAAGCAGTCGCAAAAGTCAAAGCTATTCTAAGGTCAAAGAATTTCTGAGTGAAATGGCATCGAAAAAGTTGAAGCATCTAACGGCCTTCTCACAGCGCATTCTCTCGCGTGCTTGTGGATTTATGAACGCACGCTTTAGCATATAAATTGCGCAACGGAAATCGACGCGGTAAGTAAGCAGGAAAAAGCAATGTGTTTGAGCATCGATCTTCTCAGCACATTGACAAGCAGCGCAAGCACCGTAAAGAAGTCGCCGTCGCCCCCCGCGTTTCTCTTCTTGTCTTGAGACTTGACGCGCCTTTGACGCGCTAAGCCCATTATGGAGATATTAGCTTTCAGCCACACCATCGCGTGTCTGACGGCGAGACAAGCCACAAACATGCGCCACCCCACGTCATCCCATTGTGCAGTTGGGCCAGGCCTTCCGCTTCATGCATGAATCCGCATCTCATCTTGATTCTTGGTGCCTATCGCTTGATACCTAACATTCATATGTCTCGGCTCTAACAGTGTCTACGGCTTGAAAAAAAAAAAAAAAAAAAAAAAAAAAAAAAAGAAAAAGGGAAGGTTAGAAGTGGCCATTCCTGCATTCTTCCGCAAAACGCATGCCGGAAAAGAAACAAACAGGATGACCGGTCTAGCTGCCGGCCCGCTTCAGAAGCTTCGCTAAAAGGTCGTCCAGAATGGCTTCACAGAAAGTTGGAGAACCCCCAAGCCCGTCCGCATCCTCCATATTCCTGCCCCTAGGTAGACGCGGTTCTCGCAGTTCTCTGTCGACTCAAGCCGAGCGGGAGACGTTAACGGAGGCCCTGGACCAAATTCATTCCGCCGCTTATCAATCCGAGTCCTTGACGGTTTTCAACGAGTTCACAAATCCTCCAACCCCATTATCAGTCGTTGAAACCAACAACGTATCCAGTGATTCACAGGGCGGACTCACTGGGCTATATAGTCGGTTACGTGCATCAGTTGGTGGAGTTAAAGATGGTGGAAGTTCCGGAAGACGAGTTGAAGGGGCCATTTCCGATACGGCCAACAAACAAACAAGGGGGGAACATAATGCTACCGCCACGAATGATGCTCAAGCTTCTAATTCCTGCTCATCTCATGCCTCCAGAACGCACGCCCCTTCTGTCGGGGCTTTATCTCCAGCTGCAGAGTCTTTTAATACAGCACAGGCTTTAAAAAACAGCAATATTACCTCGAAACCAAACAGTATATCCTCCTCCAAGACATCCCTATCATCAACGCCAGTACCACCACCTGCTAGAATGGCAGACACCGCAATTAGTGAAGTCAATGTCAGTGTCGGCCCCGACAGTCTCCAGAATCTGGGATCCGGCAGTGGGAATCGGTCACTTAGCATCGATCCCGCTGCCACAGACAAAACTGACTCTATACGGTCTCCTGGGAATGAAAATATGAATGGATTCCCCAGTCAGCAGACTCACTCCCCAGTTCTCAGTGGAAAATCGCACAATTCTCATCGAGACGGTTCATTTTCCTTGGAGTCATACCCTAATTCAAGGTCCGCAAATGGTCTGTTGGAAACCGATAAGCCTGGGAAATTTAATTTGGCGACCAAAGATCGACGAGAGCTTGCCGAAATAGACACATCTTTCGGTGCTGGATCGCGAAGTATAAGGCCAGCTGAGAGCAGCGATGGAGTTATAGACACAACACATGGAAACACACTTACAGCTTCCTCGAGCTCTATTACTGCCGATGAATCCACCGCTCCAGCTTCTGCGGGTAACAGTATGGTACGAGAGTCAGATGAGAACTTGTCTCTACTCGATCGGCATTCGTCGGCTACTCAGTCTTCTCCTGCTTCTCTTGGAGACCGCGATACGAAGCCTTCAGATATTTCAGCTCCGTTACAAGATAGACCTCGCGAAAATCTTGCCAATAAAGTCAACACCAGTCGTTTGCCAGGTTATGTGATGTCCAGAGTCTCATCTAGCGAAACTACCACAACTCATTCAACTATACACGGTCACTCCTCAACCCACCTCTATCGTCATCAAGCGGCCAGCAAGAGGGTTGTCTCTCAAAACAGCGCTGTTACTCAATTGAAAAGCAAGTTATTGAGTAAAGAGTTTTGGATGCGAGACGAGAATGCCAAGGACTGTTTCTTATGCGGTGAACCTTTCACCACGTTCCGTCGAAAGCATCATTGCCGAACATGTGGACAGATCTTTGATTCAAAGTGTACATCGCTAATTCCGGGAGCCTTTTTCGGTCAGAACAGCTCTGTCAGACTCTGCAAGCCTTGCGAAGATATGGTCAATTCGCGGGAATATGATTCGTCGGACTTATCAGACATTGAGCAAAGTCCTATAACTACAAACCCTGGGAACTTCGATTTCTCAACAACTAATGGGTCTATCCCTGTAGGTTCAGTGGAAGAGGATGATGATACATCTTCGGTCGTTTCTCAGTCTATTGAGCATGTATTGAAGACACCAACTATGGCAATTCCAGCAACAAGACGCGTCAATGAAAACGGCAACCGTCGGTCTGCTGTTTTGGAAATTGGAACTGAACGACCATTGACTCGTCCGACGTCATCTAGGTCCCTCAGATCTTCGGCAGGTTTGAGGAATCACCCAATGGTTCACAAAAGACATCACTCGCGACAACAACATTTGCGGGGTTTCAAACCCTTTCATGATGATCGTGCACCTTTTCAACAACGTCGCCATTTAGAAGACATCAGCCAAAAAGAACGACTCCCAGCCTTTCATCATGATAATATTATCGACCCGGATCTAGCCCAATACTTGTCGGATGATGCTTCTAGCGGTGACGAGCAAAATTTGCTTTCTGTTGTGTCTGATAATCACATGACTAAAGTAGGTGCTGAACATGAAAAAGCAACTTTCGGAGGTCTTCTTGCGGCTGTAAAAAAGGGTCGCTCCCGTTTCGGCGAGCGCAGTGTTGCAAACAGCTCAATCCTCATACGTGATGCAGACGATGCGAGTGTCAGTAGCTCCAAAGCTATGAATTTGCCTCGCAGCTCTCGAAGGCGTAACCTTAGCGTTGCCAGCAGCATTCATCAACGTCCATCGCCTCGAATTTCTAAAGACAACCCTCTGTTACTACATGATCACCACACGATTAATAGTCCTCAATTAGCCACTCCGGCATCACAGAGTGGCTTTAAGATGACGAGAAGTTCATCCATGAGAGGGTCCAGTGCTCCAGCCATTGAATTAAATCGACTCAGCTTAGAGCATGTCCGAAAATTGCTTCGGCAACTTCTAGCAGATTACTCGATTCCGCATGCCAGCAGCTGGGAAACGGCTCTATTGCCAATCTTACTCAAAGCGACGGATGATGTTGACCCTGATGTGCAACGTGGCGATGATATGGACATTCGACACTACGTGAAGCTTAAAAAGATACCTGGTGGACGTCCTGGAGACACGTCATATGTTTCGGGCCTAGTTTTCACCAAAAATTTAGCTTTAAAAAGCATGCCCCGAAGCATTTCTCAGCCGAGGATCCTCATTATCACATTTGCAATTGAGTATGCTCGGCACCAACAGCACTTCATGAGTTTGGAACCCGTAATCCGTCAAGAACGAGAGTTTCTTGAGAATCTTGTCAGCAGAATTGCGGCATTACAACCAAACCTGCTTCTCGTTGAGAAAAGCATATCTGGTTTGGCACTTGAGCTTCTTGAAAAGGCAAATATTGCTACGGCATATAACGTAAAGCCCTCTGTGCTGGAAGCCGTTTCAAGGTGCACACAAACGAGGATTATAACTTCCATGGATAAACTGGTTACGATACCAGCCCACACGGGATATTGTGACAGTTTTGATCTAAAGACGTACGTTTACGGTGGCCGGAGAAAAACATATATGTACATCTCTGGCTGCTCGAAAGAACTCGGCTGCACGATAGTGTTACGTGGTGCGAACGACGATGTCTTAGCAAAAGTGAAACGCATTACCGAATTTTTGATTTACGTCGTTTATAATCTCAAACTGGAGACGTGTCTAATGCGAGACGAGTTTGCAAAATTACCTACGATTGAAGATTTTAGCAAGGGTACCACACCGATTGGGGAGAAGTCTGAGACTACAACTAAAAACCCAGCGACAGCTGAATCTGCTAATGCCCATGTGAATTCGTCTCAATCCGATGCCAAAGAAGAGAACTTGCGGCAGACATCTATAGCGGCTGTAACAGTGGAAGTGCCCGATGATGCACCGATGCCCACTTACTACGAGGATATGGTCGAAAAGCATCAGACCAAATTGTTGTCCGCCTCACCATGTGTAAAATTTGAGCCTCCTTATCCCCTGATGCGCGCACGCGAGCTAGAGCGCCGAGTATCTTACCTAGCGCGCTTGCGTGACAGGGATCCGGTGGAGCAGAGTCTAGACGAAAAGAACAAGTCTCAAAGGTTCATGTTGATTACCCCCGAGCTTGTACACCAAAATCCGGATAATGCATCCGCGAAGGTGAAAGAAGTCCTGCGAGCAGTCCATGATGCTGAGTTGGATAGAGCTACGCACAATTTTCAGACACAGAAGCGACAATGGGAAGCTTATCTCTCGGGCAATCAGAACCTCTTCGATCCGTATGCACATCAGAACATCGTGGTGCTGTACAGTCTTGTGTGCACCACGACTTCTATACCTTGCTCGGGCCCGGATGTCTTCGCATTGGACTTCTATAATGAGCATGAAAGTGACAACCACGCCTTCGAGCCTGACTGTACTTTGGGACAATATGTGGAAGATTTGTGCTTGGAAGCAGATTCCGTCTGTACCGCTAATGGGTGCGAGAATCGCATGTTTGAACACCATCGGCAATATGTTCATGGAGAGGCGCAGATAAGCATATTTGTCCAGCCCTATCCCTGCAAAGTACGTGGGTTGCAAGATACAATTCTTATGTGGAGTTGCTGTAAAATATGTGGGAATGAGACACAGGTAATCCCCATGTCTGTCAATACTTGGAGGTATTCCTTTGCGAAATACCTCGAGCTTTCATTTTGGAGCAGGGATCTCCGCGCGAGAGCCGGAGTCTGCCAGCATGACATTCACCGGGATTACTTGCGATATTTTGGGTTTAAGGATATGGCCTTGCGAATTCACTATGATCCCATAACGCTCCTGGAAATCATCGTACCTCGTACACGCGTTACGTGGAAAGTTGATAACGACCTGCGGCTGCGAAATGAAGTTTACAACAAGTTTGAACATCGTATCTCTAAGTTTATGATGTCCGTGAAGAGTCGGCTCAAGAGCATACATGTGGAGAGTGTCATTCCTGAGAAAGTCGAGGATTGCCGCAAGGAGATCGAGGCACTTGTGAAAAAAGCAAACGAGGATCACAACTGTTTGATAAAGCACTTACAGGAGAAATATATGAATTCTCGATACTGGGAGGTCATCCCACTAAACGAGGTCCTCCGTGCCGTCCAAGAGAAAGTTGTTGAATGGGACACGGCTTTTGCTGAGTTCGAGAAAGACTTTTTTCCGTCAGAGAAAGATATCAGACGCTTGGCTTCATTACAACTTAAGAAAATCTTTCTCGACAAGGATGCGTCGGCCACATCTCTTACATCTTCTGAAGATATCCCAACCAACTCAACTGAGCAAGACACTCCAGAGCTGGACGGAGAATATGCGAAACAATCCTCTGTGCGACGCATGACTTTGTCGCCAGAAAAGGCGCAAGACGTACTGGTATCCGTTGTCGAAGAACATTCCGGCAAAACTGAAGCGCACGAAAAATTAGACGAACCCAAGAGTCCCAGTCTAATGAGGAGGTCGACTATACCTAGTACGGATGTAGCCGACCATGAAGACGTGGAAGAGCATCTAGATCTTGTAGATGCAGCGAGTCCACCCAAAAATCTTCAACTTGAGCGACAAAATTCTGCGGATATGTCTCTTAGTTCACGAACTGCGACACCATCTCCAGAATTATTTACTCGGGCTGAATCGGGTCAGAGAAGAGATAACGGTCTTACAGAAGCCACAACTAGCCCCAAACAAATACCAGCCCCTTCTGGCATTCCTCGACCTGTCGAGCAGAGTGCCAGACGCAGTGGCAAAGCAAAATCTCCGCCCATGTTCCGAGCATATTCACAGCCAGTCAATACACCCCGAGAGAAAGGCACAAGAACTACGGTCAAGTCGAATTCTGGTAGTTCGACCAAGGTCACGAGTCCTCTGCCGAGTCCTTCGGGTTTCGAAAGGCCAAAGGGAGAGAAAAGGCTCACAGATCGTATTGTTTTGGGTACATTGAAAAACGGGCATTCACTAATTCCTCGCTCAATTCCACCTAAAAACAGGAACCCTCGCGTGTCAAGTTTAGCCAGACATTTTGAGCAGCTAAGCAGGGAATTCGAAAAAGAAAGGCAACGCGAGAGATTGCAAAGAGCAGCCAAAAGCAAACATTCACGTGCTTATCCCATCATATCTTCTAAAGCAACAGTGGAGGTCTATAAAAACGTACGAGAAGCGGTTGAGGAGCGAGAACCATCTGGTGAAGGTGAAGGTGAAGAACTCTTCTCTAACACAGAGCCGCCATTACCAGAAGGAAAGCCTAGTGATAAGACAAGTGAGGGACTGTCCGAAATCAAGGCTGATACAGCAAAAGAAGTCGCCCCTGAAAAATTAGAATCGGTTACCAAAGAGAGTGAACAAAGTGTTATGGTCGATAATACATCCGAGGTGGAGGAAGCTCAAAGCGATGAAGACCAAAGTTTGACACTACCAGATTCCCCAGATGAATCGATCAAGCTTGAAGAGATGGACTTGAAGGAACTCCCAAAGCATGAGCGCAACACACTGGTCAAGATGCTAGCGAATTTCTGGGCTGAGCGATCTGCCAGCGGATGGCAGGCACTTGATTATCCGTTGAAAGTGTCCGATCATGTCTTCGCCGATTGCGATATCATTGTTCGCGAGGACGAGCCGAGCTCATTGATCGCATTTGCTCTAGATTCTCTAGACTACAAAAACAAGCTAGCGAGTATTCAGGATCACTACGACAAGGAAGAACATTCCCACGACGATGCAGCCACAGAATTAGAAGCGCGTGACCAGGTACGAGTCGAAAGTGCGCTTCTTCGGCCCACAGGAACGCACCTCAAATATCAATTCCAGGAGGGCCAGGCCAAGATGCTCTGCAAAGTCTTCTACGCCGAGCAATTTGATGCACTGCGCAGGAAATGCGGAGTTGCAGATCGCATAGTCGAGTCTCTCTCTCGGTGCGCCAAGTGGGATTCCAAAGGCGGAAAGACGAAGTCGCTGTTCCTCAAAACGCTCGATGACCGATTCGTTTTGAAGTCGTTGTCTCATATCGAGACGCAAGCTTTCCTAAAGTTCGCACCGGCCTACTTCCAAATCATGTCGGAGGCGTTGTTTCACGAGCTTCCATCAGCCATTGCCAAGATGTTTGGCTTCTATCAAGTCATTATCAAGAATCCAGTTACAGGCGTTGAGTTCAACTGGTTTCTGCTTTTGATGGAGAATCTGTTCTACGATCGAGTGCCAACACGCATCTTCGATCTCAAGGGTTCAATGCGGAATCGCAAAGTGCAGAGCACAGGGGAGCGTGATGAGGTTCTTCTTGATGAAAACATGGTCGACTTCATTTACGAGACACCACTATTCACTCGAGAGCATTCCAAGAAACTACTCAGCCAAAGTGTGTGGAACGATACCTTATTCTTAGGTCGTCAAAACGTCATGGACTACTCCTTGATGATTGCAATCGACGAGCCCCGTCGGGAGCTCGTCGTTGGTATCATCGACTGCATAAGGACGTACACATGGGACAAGAAGCTTGAATCGTGGATCAAGGATCGTGGCTTTGGAGGTGGAGGTAAAAACAGACCAACGGTAACTAGTCCGAAGGAGTACAAGAGTCGGTTTAGAGAAGCAATGGCTAGATATGTTCTCCAAGCGCCGAAGTAAGTCAAGTCACTGCTAATTGTTTCCTTCATTATCACTTCTTAGCAAAGCTAATGTCAAAACAGCTGCTGGCACGAATTCCACCTCACGTATATGGACAACAATCGTCGCATCGAAAACCATCTTTCCCACATGAACACGCCTCTGGATATAGAAAACAGCGATTTGACTGTGGTAACGAACAGCGAATAGATTCTTCTATCTTGACTTTCCTTTGTTTTGCGTTTCTTGATTTTATGTACTTTGATAAGATAGTATTTATACGTACACGATACCCCATCCTCATGCTATGAGATGAATGATTTATGCATATTAACGAAACCAATACCTTTCTTTTTCCCCCTCTCTCTTTTCTTCCTTACATTGTATAATAAAAATAATAAACATCTCTGCAAGTAACCACCTCCAAGGGTCCCAATAAACTAATCTTTGTGCACATCGATAATTAGGTGGGAAGATCAAAAGCATCGGCAAATCTCGGAATCCCGCTGCGTTTAGTTTAACTTTAGGACCTCGGTCCAAGGGGAAAGAAAAAGGCGACGAATATTTAGTTTGGCCTGTAATTCACTAACTACGCATTTACGCAATTGCCCCTTGGGTAGCATAATATAATATATTTATTCTTTTTTTCTTCTTTTCCCCCCCCCTTCCTCGTTTCCAATATTCTTTTAGAGAGGTAATACCTGGATATTGAGAGGTTTTGTTTTACGGATTTGAGTATTCGCCTCATATGGTCAGATACCTATCTATCATCTTGGGAATCAGATCCGGATCAGATTAGATCTGGTTCAACCGACTAAATTGGCCGACATTGCATGATGTTTTGAAAGAACGATTTATCCAGACAGACTCACCGACTGACACTCTAGATAGGCAGGTTTAATTTTGGTGATACTTGGGTTAATGAAGAATACACACCAGGACATTAATTGTTCTACCACGCAAGACAAGTCGGGACGAGACGGAACGAACGAGACCAAACGCTTACTGGTCTATGAAATCACGCACGCATACCTGCCGACTTATCATGCAGAAACCCTTTACGAGAGAGATCAATTTGATTATACGCGAGTCATAAATACGAGAAACAAAACCGAGAGAATCCGCACAATGAACCACAATTCCTCTAAACCTGAACGGCGAAGCGGGAGAGAAGAAAAAGAACAGATTTCCAAATAAAAAAGTTTCTCTTTCTAACGGTGGAGGGGACAAAAAAGAAAGCAAAGAAATGTGAACAAGTCAACGAATATTGTTGCATTTAGCTTCGTGATATTCATATCTGCACGACTAGCCTATTCTCTGCGCAGACCGAGGTTTTGGCTGGAACTACATTTCTTCTGCTTCATGGGTCATTCCTGTACGGAGTCAGCAAAGATGCAAAGGACGAAAGATAAGAGCCAGAAAGAGGGCAGGCACTTACTCATCCAGACCAAGGCTCTCTTCAGCAGGGACAACACGGATGGTGTTGGTGTGGCCCTGACCACCGCGCCAACCCTGGACACAGACAACGCTGTCGCCGCGGTTGATGACGCCAAGCTTGATACCGTTGGAGATACCCCATTTGAGACGACGGTCCACATCCTCCTGCCAAATCTTGACGTTGAAGTCGGGCTTCTTCTCGGGGAAGTAGAAGGGGTACACGCCACGGTACAAGTGCGAATACCGAGAAGCAACCTCGTTACGGGTGATCATGATGATAGGGCAGACGGGACGGTACTTGGCCAACAGACGAGCGGTTTTTCCACTAGTTCCAAGTCAGCGATCCGATCGATAATAAAAAGAAACAACGGCGACTTTTCCTACCTAGTGGTCAAGACAAGGATGGCACCGGCATTCAATTCCAAACTGGCACTGACAGCCGACATGGCAATAGCCTCAGAAGTGTCAGCTGGGCGAGGGCAAAGAGTTCGCAACTCGTCAAAGACGTTGAAGTGAGGAACTGCCACTTCGGCCACCAAACAGGTCTCGTGCATCATGCTAACGGCCTCGTTGGGGTAGTTACCCTTTGCGGTTTCTCCCGACAACATGACACAGTCAGCGCCGTCAAGAACAGCGTTGGCAACATCCGAGACTTCAGCACGAGTTGGGCGAGGGTTATATGTCATAGACTCAAGCATCTGGGTAGCGCAGATGACGGGCTTGGCCTTCAAATTACATTTGGCGATCATCATCTTTTGGGCAATGAACACCTTAGGGGCGGGGATCTCGATACCAAGATCACCACGAGCGACCATCACACCGTCAGTCTCTTCGAGAATCTCATCAAAGTTGTTGACACCCTGTTGGTTCTCGATCTTGGCAATGATCTGAATCTCCTTACCTTCCTCGCCGAGGACTTTACGGATTTCCTTAATGTCCTCGCCGCGGCGGATAAATGAGGCAAAGACCATGTCAACCTTGTTCTTAACACCAAATCGCAAGTCGTTCTTGTCCTTCTCGGACAAGGCGGGGAGATCAACATCAGTGCCGGGAAGGTTGACACCCTTACGAGAAGAGATGTTGCCATTGTTGAGGCACTGTGCGCGAATCGTCTTGTCGTCGACCACTTCCACGACTTTCAAGGAAAGGATACCGTCATCGACGTAGATGAGTTTGCCGGGTGAGATCACCTTGCTGATGTTCTTGTAGTCGACATACCTGGGGACAAAGGAAGGACATTGGTCAGTGGCTACCTCAGTGCAGAAACCCACTCCGAGGGCTTATGTGTGTGTGGTCTGAAAGGATGTACATACATGTTCTTGTTGTCACTGGCAGTGGCATATTTGTCATCAGTGGTGACGTTAAGGATTGCTCCAGCAGCAATGGGGAAATCCTTGTCGTCAACTGTGTTTCCGGTACGGATCTCAGGTCCTTTCTATACGATCATTGAGACGTTAGAGAAGATCAATGATGAGAAGCTCAGCACAAGGCCCACGAATAAAAGAAGTCCAACTTACGGTATCAAGGGCAATGGCGACAGGACGGCCGGGCTGAGTACGCTCGGCTTCCCTGGCATTGTCAATAACGGATTGGTGGTACTATGAGAATGAATACAGATTAGACTGGCTATATTTGGAGGCTAGACGGACAGTCAAGAACCAACCTCGTACGAGCCGTGAGAGAAGTTCATGCGAACAACATTGAGACCGGCTAATTGAGGCGGGGGTCAGTCTTGTTTGATTGCAAGATGGCTAGGCAGGTAAAAATTGGGTCCGCGGTGATACCTTTGCGGAGCTCATTAATCTTCTCGACGGAGTTGGTCTTGGGGCCTGGCAGGAGAGCGAGAGTTAGCACGGCAGTCCATTGATCAGGACAGGACAATACACATACCAATGGTACAGATGATGGAGGTACGACGATAGTTTCGATCTGGGACCCTCTCAGTATCAAGATGGGAGTACCATTCCAGCTTCATGCGGTTGGTAAGGTGATCGAAGGAGTTGGTGACAGCCATTGCGAACGACTGTGCAACGTAGAGAGACGGGGGGGAGACAGAAAGATTCAGCGAGGTGGAAGCCTATCCAGAATCCGGATGGGGTGCAAAGTTGGGTCGTAGATGCGAGGTGAGTAGAGTTCACTCCTGGATTAAAAGGAAGAGAAAAGCCGCGAGGGTGTTGGAGGTGGTTGACCGGCGAGGGGAAGACCCGTGGGCGGCAGCAAAAACGCAGTTGGCCCAAGCACTGATTAGGACTAGCGCCGCACTTTTTTCTTCTAAGAAGAGACACGGCTACGGACAAGATGCTCGGCTACGTACTATTTCTTTTTTTTTCTTTGCAGATACGAGTATTGCATACTAATAGAAATATTTATTATTACTATCGCTTTTGTTCTTCGTCTAGTTCCTGTCCTTAGTCCGATAATGCATGAAGGCATAAAATCCTGATTATAAACTCCGCGACGATCCGGTGAGCGTTTGCAGCCTCTGGTCTACATGTACAGCAGTTGTAGTTAGCTTAGGTAGTTAGCTCTACGACGTAGAAAAAGCTCATAATGTCTCGTGATCTCGCCCACGGTTTCTCCGGGGTCCTCACGGGGTACTGTGCGCCGGTGGCCCCCTTCGTGGGTGTTAAGAGCATCTCTCGTCTGTTGAACATTCAATTGGGGTTGATTATGGAGGGGTAAAATGGAGCGGTCGCTGATTGGCTGCAGCCCTTGTTATCGGCCTGGTGGCCTGAGGCTGCTATCATCACATGACTCGGCCCGCTGGTTGCCCCGTGACCGCCGACTGGCAGCATCAATCTGCAACTAGCTACAAGCAAGAGAAAATAATAACAGGCTGGATTTCCAGGTCTTCACAGTCTGCATAATTTCATCCTCTTATTCTATCCAGTCACGATGGTTGTACGTTTACACATTTATCTCCCGACATACACCAACCTGATGCATTGGCTGACTGGAAGATTCAGCTCGGACGTTTATCACATTACGCGTTTGACGCAGTGCTGAGTATGTATACAAACTTCTGTTGCTTTGGGTGTTTGTACTGACGAGGTCTTTCAGTTTCTGCCTTTCTGGCAGGTATCAAGCGATCAACTGGCCTCACGTATGTCCATGTCCATGTCGTCCCGAGCCTCTCATACACAACGACAATCTGCCTGTGGCCAAAAATAAAGGAATAGCAATGGAATGGAAGATACTAACTATTGCACGTCCGCCCCCAACATCGGCTCTCCCCTTTTCTCCCTCCCTGAGTCCTTCGAGTCTTTCAAATCTTCAGCCTTGCGAAGGTGAATGCATACATATCGCGGATGAAGGGGGGCAAAGAAAAGAGGCAGGGCCGATGTCTTCAGGACCCAAGCGCACAGCCCCAGTCTTAATGCAGACAAAATCACCGATAGCAAGGATATCAAGCGGTGGATAGAAAGTTACCTCGGAGTCGGCGAATGGGTGATGGACCAATCCGTTGCAGTCCTGGGTTCGACCTCGTACTTTGAGCGACGACGTTAGAGAAATAAATGGAGATTCAGAAAGGAGCAGAAATCTTTAACTTGGATCCGACAGACGACTTGCACAACGGTCAGATCTCGCATTTACCGGTTTCGGCGTTCTTCGCGCGGTTACAGACAGCGTGGAGATGTATAGGTGAAATGAAACACAGAAAAGAAGAAGAAGACCGGTGTCACTATTATATTGCTCTCGATTGCTATGGAGTGTATATACCTCGGCGTTGGGCTTTTCATTCACTTGCAGCAGCTTCTCTTCACTCACCTCGACGATCCTGCCTTTCTGATGTGATGACGAGGACTTGCATGGGACACGAGTGATTCGTCATGGACAGAAAGACGTCTTTCATTTTCGTTATTGTTACTGCGACGTTCTTTTTATGTTTCTTGCTATTGTTGCATGAATACCAATATAGTTCTTACGAAGCAATCATGAATATACGAGCCTTACAAAGCATAGTACCCTGATATCGTAGATTGCTCCAGAAGAAAGAAGGAATTAGGAATCTACCTAGACAGCGGTTGACTGGGTTTCTATCATATGCAGGGGTGCGACGCCATCTTGTCAAGCGAGCTGTATTCCATTATTAATTTGCAAGATATATATATATATAATCTATTGAATTTACACCAGACAAACGAAAAGAAGGTAGAATAATCTACTTTGCACTTCATTCATTCATTCGTCATATCTTCGTGAATTGATCAATATCGACCCGTCGGAAATATGAGATGTGACGCATCGGCTCCCAATATTGCGCCACACAATCCGGGGAAATGAGGAATAATTGGGTCTTGACCCATCGATCTATAACAGCTCGGTTAATTCCCGTATAAATAAGACATTCTCAGAGGGGGCTGTCTTACCATCGGTATAATGTTGAAACGCAATATGGCCCTTGCTATTCACAACGCGAGCACCCCGGAACTCCTCGTCCTGCGAAACGCTGATTAAACCTTTGGGACCAATATCTTCTGCCACGAAAGATATTTCGCCGCGGGGGATATTCGGGTCACCCGTCAGTTTGATACCTTCGAGACGACCCTGGAATTTGACGCCGTCAATTTCATCAACATCGTTACTGGCCTGTGCGTCTGGCAGACTGGCACGCTCAAAAGCGTCTTCTCCACGTCCATTGAGTAAAGACACCTCTTCCTCTTCGTCTTCGTCGTCCCAGTCCGGACGTGTGCCTCCTAGCATGGAACGCAGGTGTCGTCTGGCATTGTTTGATAATGGTGCTGGTTCACCGGTATCCCGTTGTAAAAAGAGAAGGAATTCGCATCCATGGAAGTTATAGTCTCCAATCCAAATACCCTGGAACGGTTTTTCCTTTGTAGGAGTGTAGAGCGCGGGATCAAGAGTCGCAAATATAGATAGGTGATCCCCAGGCTGCCGGGGAAGTATAACTTGACCCAGACCGAAGTGGAGCCACTTACGGAGATAAAAGCTGGTTTCTGAGATTTGCCTGGGGTTATCAGAAAGTTTCTGGATATGCTGAAGTGTCTCAGACTTGTCATCGGCGAGAAGTTCATGGTTTCGCCGGAGAGACTTTTCGCCGGGGATTGTAACGGGCGGCCAAAGAAAGTCATTTCGCACGCGTGGAGAAATACCCAGACTTCCACGACTGAGCGAAAAAGAGCTGCAGACACCGGCGCTTTGGCTTGCCATAGACATTCTGAATTGATCCGGAGAGTACTGACGATCCTGGGGACGCAGTCGCTCCGGATTCCGCAGCTCAAGGACTGGATCATCTACCCATAGACGCAAGCGTGGATTGAAAGGCTGAATGGCAACTTCCGGATTGGATTTCCATTCTACACTATTTTTATCCCTCAGTTCAGCCAGCAAGCGAAACGCCTCAATGACGCCGCGTCGATTATCGTAACGAGCAATAATTAATTTGCCAGTATATTCATTATCGGAGAACCATATCTTATTCCTGGGGAGGAACCAGTATGGGTGATGGGCGGAATAAAGGTCCCGAAAGGAAGAAAAAGGGCCCGGTTTGGTGATTGTGTGAGGGAGATTGGCATTGACCAAGCGTTCCCATAGCTTGTCATCCTGGGCTTGCCGGTATAGCGCTCGACAAGTTGCAGAGACCGAGACCACATCTGGTGCTGGAAGAAGCGACAGCACGTCTTGGAGCAGCTCGTCGGGCAAATCTGTCAGTTGCCTCATTCTGCTGGTGTTGATATCGCCATCCAGCTTGGGTCCGTCATCTAAGCTTCAGAAAGATGGCAGCATTATAAGTGGGCGATAAGCAATGGAGCTCATTGCATTTGTGACTGCACTATCTGTTTAGCTCAACTTGGTGAATCTGGAGTTGGGCGTGCACTAGGTAGAGAAGAGGGGGGCGATTATATATCATTCTGAATAGTAAGTTAGTCACCTCTCCGTGATGCCTGAGGCCGTCAATGATGGTGGCACCGTGGACAGTGACCCCGATAGCGGCTAGACTAGGCTCAAAAGAGGTTAGTATATCGTCTCTCCCTTGCTTGAACTTTTGAAGCTTGAGTCCCGTGACTCCACGCGTGAGACTAGCCTGAAACGTCGAGAAAGCTTCCAGACGCGTCTCGGCCAATCATCTTCCAAGCCTCAAAGAGCCCTTCGACTCCAAAACAAACAAAGATCGATCATTTGTGGCTGTTCGCGCTGCAATTGGATAAACGGCGAATAGTGAATCATTGTCACAGGCTAGTGTGCTATGTACTGAATCAGCGTTGTTTAATTAGCTACCTCGTCTTTCTTTTAGCTTCGTGATATCGTTCCAATTTGAAAGGCCGCGAAATCTTTGTTTACGCTTTCCTAATTGGTCCATGTCCGTGCTGGATATGGTGGACTATACCTACAGAAGGTTTTGAGGACTGTGTAGGTCTGCTGCCTATTTTCCTAGTTCCTGGTACATTCGTGCATTGTCCAGAGCTAGTATTTGTTTGTATACAGTCCCACGCTCTTTTGTTTTCTTTATTCTCCTTTTGTTCTCTGACCTGATAATGCTTCCTACATAAGCCGCCTGCTTAGATATAAGAAAGGCTGATACCTTACGTTTTCTACGCCATATTTTATTCAACACCGCACAACAGTGCTCTTACATACTATATATTCTCCATAGCTGTACATCTATATATTGTGTATTGAGGTATGTATATCTCTTGTCTTCCACTCTGGCTACCTAGGTATGTTGGCTAAATTATTGGATATAGCAACACTACATTGACTGAAACGATGGACATCCAGCTTGAGAACAGAAGCGGCCGGAAGAGGAACCGCACTGCTTCGGCAGACCCGAGCTCGTCGTCGCCTGACACAAACGACGCGACCACTGAGAGGAGTGAAACCCTCGACGATGACAATGATGGCCAGGGACAACAGCAGCAGCAACAGCCGCCGCCGCCACAAGAGACCGGGCCAAGTCAATTGCCCTCGCCTGACCAAACACCCAAACGGGCGAAGAGAGTCCGTTTCTCAGAGCCAGTCCTTGCCATACCTAGTCGGAGTGGGTCTCTTAGCGGAGCGACAGGTCTTACTCCGACGTTTATGCGCACGTCTATAGATGCAGGCCAATCTCAAGAAAATGAAGAAGAAGAAGAAGAAGAAGAATCTCAAACACCTTCCCGTCGTAATCGGCGGAGATCGGCTCCTTCAACAGTTCCCGGGACCACTTTGATAGACCCTGTACGGACGAATCCCACCCACGTGCAATACTATCCCATGAGACAGATTTTGGACGGGAGAGTAGCACGCAGACTTTGGCGCAGCGGCCTCAGCGAGGAACAGAATGCTATAGAGAGGGAAAAGAAAGACGAGAAGAAAAGTTTGCAGAAGGCACGCGCGCAAATCGAAGCATTGGAAAGAAAGGTGGAATTCTATGAATCGGCTCAAGCCAATACTAATGATATTTCCGACAACTTTGACACCATTTTAGTCGGAGACGATAGTACGGTGGATGACTCCGTCTTTGTCTCAGAATCCCCGGTTCTAAATAACCGACACCGCGAAGAAGAGCAAAGAGGAACAGAACCCCCAGGTTTAGATCATGTGGAGGCCTCGCCGCCAACAACGTCTCCTAAAACTCCAACAGCAGATTCTTCCGTCCAAGTTGACATACAGGAGGAGGATTGTTTTGCCTCTGAGGAACACCAGCTCATGTCGGCGGAGCTATCAGCAGCCAGAAAAGAAAAACAAGATCTCTTTAACGAATGGCGTAAATTGAAAACAGGACAAAGCGAGTTAGAACCTAATGTGACGCCAAATGAGTCCCCTGACTCACCTCCACCGGACTTCATGAAGCAAATCGTGCCCGCCATGGCGTCTGCAATACAGCGAGCATCAAGTGCAGATCAAGCTCTAGAGATGGTCCGTGGCCAACTCTCCAATATGGGGTTCTCGGGTGCCAATGTTGATGAATTACTCTCACAGCTGCGTGAAAGCATCCGCTCTGCACGCCTGGAACTCGAGTCCGTCCTTCCTGGAGAGACGCCGGCGGGTCTCATAGACGGCAAATCCACCTTCGAAGCGTTGGTCAAGATATTGAAACAGTCCTCCGGTGCTTTGCTTACAGAACGCAAACATACAAAGTGGCTATCTGATTGCAACAAGGCACTGAAGAATCAGTTTGACAAAACCCTTGAAACACTTGAATCTGAAAGGCTGCGAGGGAAAAGGTACGAAGAGTATACTGATGCATCGGCTGAAGATATGCTTCACGTTCGAATGCGCATTCAGGAACTTGAGGCCGAGCTGGCTGAACAAGCAATTACCATTGAGAGACAGAATCAGGCACTAAAGCATTATTACGAGGAAGGCAAAAACTTTGAAGCAATCATCGAGAAATTGGAAGACGAGAAGAGGGCTGATGGTGAAATTTCAGCTTCTCGAGTTGCTGAATTGCAAGCTCAGCTTGCCAAGAAATCTGACATTGCATTGGAGCAAGCACAGGGAAACTCGGTGTTAGGGAACTATGTTGAAAGCGAGGAATATAGCACCAACGATCTAGTTGACATGGTCAAGAGACTGGAAGCGAATAATGCCCGTCTTTTAGATGAATTGGCAAAACAAGAGCGTGAAATCGAGAATCTCAATGCCCGCTTCAGCCAAGAATCGGCGTCTCTACAGTCTGCCGTCATGGAACTGAAAAGGAAAAACGAATTGCTAGTGTCTCAACGCAAAGAAGAAGCCGAGTTCCGTGATGGAATGGAGCAGTTCTTCGCAAACTGGATGGAACAGGGTAAGAAGTTCCTGAGAACACAACACTGGAGCGCACGAGCACGAAGGGAAAAGTTGGGTAATGGCTCGAATTCAGCAGATCTCCGTCCCCTAGCAAATTCGCCAACCAAGGCCATTCGAGACGGGTGGTCAAATGTCCGACTGGGTCGTGGCAAGGACTGCCGCACTCTCATCACTGGTGATCCTGAGAGAGGAGCCCGTGGACGCGATAGTGGGATTGACCTCCTTGATGACAGTTCTCTAGACCCCGGTGCTGTCACTCGGACTCGGGAGAAAGGCGACGAAGGAGGTGATCCTATGGACGAACTTCTTGACGTTGATCAGGGAGAAGAAAATATCCAGCAGGCTGAATAAGCTTGATAAACCTTCTCTATCCATGCTTTGGGTAGATTTCCTTTGTATAATATCTTCATTCTCTTGTATTACCTCTGTACACACCAAGGCAGGTCGGGTCTTTTGCAATTGTCTTTATATACTTGCTCTCATTTTCAGCTCGCAAACAGCTTATCCTCTGTGGAAAAAATGTACAATATGATTATCAGTTTTAGATAAGGAAATCTACGTGCCTACCTCTTTCTTCCATGACTTTCCGGTTCGGGGATGTTTTTTTTTTTTATTTTATTTCCGCATTTGGCAAAGCGTGGGAGAAGCTCTGAATGACGTCGATATGGGTCACGAGGAGGTGACGGCCGTTTTGTTGCTCTCGTCCCTGGCTTTCCCAGGGATAATTGTGAGTTTTTTATTATATGGCTATATTATACACTAGATATTCATTCAACAAGGAGATTTGGAAGAAAATGTCCAGCTGGTTTGGAGGGAGTCATGGCAACAACAGGAACAGCAACAACGACAACGACAACGACAACCAGAGCAGCACCAGCACTCATAACCCTACAAACTATCGTCTGAAGGTGACTGCAGGATCAGAATACGATGTCAAAACACACCAGCTCGTTCCTGTTAACGCAGACGAAACCTTACGCATTGAAAGCGAGCATGCCGTGATTCATCTCTGCGTGCGTATCCGCGACTACACAGGTGAGTAACCGTGCATTCGGTGAAATTTCGAGATCGGGGTAAGTTTGTTCGATATACAGCTGACCCCTCAATCAAATGAACTAAAAACAAGGCCTACCAAATGGCTCACCCGCGACAAACAAATACTTCTCGCACCCCCTTCACCAAAACGATCAATACTCCATCTGCTTTAGCTTCACACCCAAACACGATATCAACGGCAACAACCTCGTCTTTGGCAACGACTTTAGTCGACCTATTCGTGATAGCATACCGCCCGGTTTCAGCACGGCCTTGCGGATTGTGAAATGGGCCATCGATCCTGCTCTAGATGGGGATCCGTATGCCGACAAGCCGTATTTGTATAGTCCCGGTCTTGCGTCGTGGAATTACTTTCGTATCGGCGATAAAGTTCAGCATAGCGACAACAAGCACAAAGAAACGTCATCCATGAATGTGCATGACCTCGTGGTCGAGGAAGGAGCCGACGGTAGCGGAGAGCAGACTAGAAGCGAGAAATTCCAAATCCCCAGTGACTCAGCTCAGAGGAGAAAGCATTTTCTGGATGAGAATATTCGACAGGAATTCATTTTTGAGAAGGACAGACAGTACCTGGTCGATTTTGGAAATCCATATTTAGGGTTCAATGGTGATTCATACATATTCCTTTCCTCATTTCTGATCCCAGTATCGAACAAAGCTAACGCAGCAGATTGCCCTCGCAAAACAGATTTTACACTTCGCCTTCCCGGGTTTCACCTTCACGTGGCCGAGTATATTGACGCGAAGAAGCATAAATTACGATACACGCTCAAAGACAGGAAAACAGACCAGACTTACCTGGTAGTCCTACTTACGCTGTTGGTGCGTGGTTCCGAAGAGGAGGTTCGTGAGCGAGATGATTCGTCCAGTGAGAGGGGCAGTAGTCGAGAGTCGTCATTAGAAAGAGATGATAAGCATGGTCACTCGCATCAAGAAGGGCGACAGGGTGATGTAGATTGATGTGTTGTAACATGACAGTAACCTGTGAGGCGGATACTTGCAATGGCGGTTTTCTGACCTGTTTTTGATTTCGTTGGCATCCACGATACAATATCTAACAAAATATCATACACCAATGGGTTAATGTAGAGAAGAAATTTTGCATCACTGTTCACCACCATATATAGAGTACTTTTTATAATTACAATTTCTTCAGCACGTCTTCAAGAACCTCTTGCGTTGTGGCCTTTCCACCAAGATCAGGGGAAAGCAACTTGCCCTCGTCAAGGTTAGCATCGACGGCAGCATAGATCTTGGCGGCAGCAGGCTCCTCGCCCAGGAACTCAAGCATAAGTGCCACGCTGCGGAGAGTGGCAATAGGGTTGGCAATTCCCTGCCCTTCAATGTCGGGTGCACTACCGTGGCATGGCTCACCAATGGCAAAGCCATCACCAACATTAGCACTAGGGACCAGACCCAAGCTGCCAACCAAGGCTGCAGCACCGTCGGACAGAATGTCACCGTAGAGATTGGGAGCGACAATAACATCATAGTAACCTGGCTGACGGAAGAGCTTGTACACCATGGAGTCGACAATTTGTTCCTCCACGCCGACAGAGCTGTACTTGGAGTTTGCAAGGGCTTGGCGAGCAGTTTCACGGAAGAGACCATCAGTTTGAGACAAGACGTTGGACTTGTGAGTGATAGTAACCGTGGGCTTGGAAATATGAGATGTTCCCGGCGAAACTTGGCGGATCTTCTGTCGTCGTAGGGCGATTTCTCCGGCCATGGTAGCAATTCGGGAGGAGGAGCGTTCCGAGATACGCTTGATAGCCTCGGCAACCTTACCGTTGGGGCCCTCGAATGTCTTTTCCTCCTTCACGTAAAGGTCCTCAGTGTTCTCGCGAACGATGACAAGATCAATTGGTGATCCGGTTGCACTGCCACCAGCGGTGGTCTTGACGGGACGGACATTGGCATAGAGATCGAGACGCTTGCGGAGAGCAACGATTGGGGAAGAGTAACCAGCAACTTTGGTGCTGGGTGAGCTATTGAACAAGATAACCATTAGGTTCTTTCTTAATTCACATCCACACGGGATAGGCTGCATAATTACCTGACTGCACCGAAGAGAGCGCCGTCGCATTCTTTCTTCAACACCTCCACAGTCGTGTCCGGCAGCGCAGTGCCGGTCTTCTCGAATGTCGCGAAGCCGGCATCAAGGTCGACAAAGGAGAACTTAAGACCCAACGATGCTGGGAGAGATTCCAAAAGTCGTCGACCGGCCTAGAACGGACAGAATCTGTGAACATGCTGCCAATGCGACTATTGTTGACACAGTGAGTATGTATACATACCGGAATGACCTCTCGGCCAATGCCGTCTCCGGGGATTAAACCTGCATGATGATGACCCGGTCAGCCTCAACCACTCGCACATCTCTGAAATGGACGCAATTGACCTATGCGCAGTGTTCTGGCAGCCATGCTTGCTGTGCTTTTGCTTTGACGTGAGAATAGAATGTCCGATTACGGAAGATCTGCCCGCACTTTTTTTGCTGGAACATCGTAATTCCGCCCGGCCCCGGTGCGGAACGCGGGACTCATCGCGCGTTCCGATTGGCTGGCGGCGAAGCCTCCCCTGGGAACTATTGAAATTCGATGTAAACAAAACAGAACAAAACACTCGACTTTTTTACGCGAGAAGATGGAAAACTCAGAACACAGACGCCGACTCGAGTATATGGCATCGATGCTGCAGGAGATAGCTCTTGCGGACATCTGTCTGTCCCGTCGTTGTGCGAGAAACAGCCTGGATCCCAGCAACGCGTCGTTTCACGTAAGGTGCTGCTGATTGCGTTAGGGATCATGCAAATAGAATATGCGCACGCCGTACGAGCACTTGCAAATTTGATTCGAAGCACAAGAACCAGCTACGTACTCAGATGGCTGACTGCCAGTCAATCTCCGAGCGTTACAACTTGCAGGCCAGGAACGAATATCGTAGTACGATGTAGTTCTAGCTATAGCATGGTGTCAACACTGTCACGTCCCCCGCAGTGAAGCACCACTGCAATAGACGGCCAGATTGCGCGTGAATTTCGCGTGTCCATGGCCATGTTCATAGAAGCAATAAAATCCATAATACATTATAATCACGGCGTAGGATGGAAAAGCAAGATCGAACCACCGGGACGGTTCTCCGGGGAGGGGGTTGACGGTGATCAGTGATCACCCCTGGCGGCGGCCCAGACCGGCGTTAAGTAATAAGAAGTCGGCCCCCCTGGAGACCTCGTCCCTCTTCTCAACGACTACCACCACACATGGACACGTCGTCCGCTTCGGCCCTTTTGCACCTCGATACCTGCGCGATATTATCTCTGTCCACCCCCTTAATACGACACTCACTCAGCTGTTATCTTCCCCGTCGTCGAGCCCCGTCCGCGAGACGGCTGGTTCTCGCTCGCTCGCCCTCTGACCTACGCTGATCCTGTGAAAGATCCCACCTCGAGCTCGTGCTATTGCATAAGCACCCCCCCCAAGTTTTTATTCGGCACTATACAATGTCTGCTTTGCCAGCTTCCGGTGGTGTTCGGAGCCTTTTGGCGAAATTTGAGAACACAAATAACAACAGCAGCAACAACGGCGCTGATGTCTCCCCTTCCCGCGGCCGCTCGTCTTTCGAGTCGAATGACAATGCTGCCAACAGGCCTCTGTCCAAAGTGCGTGCAAGCTTCGTTTCTGTTGAGAGGAATGGTCAAGGCTCTCCTACCCCCGGCATGCTGCGAAGGACTGAAAGCTATGGGACAGATGCCGACTCGAGCCAGCGCTCTGCCACTATGTCACCCATCGAAAAGTCCTTGGCATCACCCTTCAGCCCGTCTCCTCAAAAAATACGCACTGCTCTTGCCGCATTTCAGGGTGGTCCAGTTAAGAGTGTTAATGAAAAGCTTGCATCTTTAGCCGTTGATGATAAAGAGAGTCCCCAGCCATCAACTGCCACTAAAGAGTCCGGGACCATACAAGAACCATCACCCGTCGTGGCTGTTGATAAGCCCTCGAATAAGCCCGCACATGGTGTCCCAAAAAAGCAGCCTCCTTCAATGACAATCAAAAAGAGTGCATCCACGATGTCCATTCCAAAAGAACCATCTACAAGCAAAACTACAATCAACAAGACAGCTGCCAAAGAGAGGAAGCCCGCAGTAACACCTACGAGGTCGGCTACTACAACAATACGTCCTACGGCTCATGCCGATAAGCCTACCACTACTACAAAAAGGGCTGCTGCCGCGAAGAGCACCGTTCCCGCTGCCCGGCCAGACCGTTCTAAAACGCCGTCTCAAGATCCCATAAAAAAGCCTACTATTCAACCATCTCCCCAGAGCAAGCCGGCCTCAAAATCCCCAACCCGTCCTGTACGCCTCCCTGCTTCCTTAGTGACCCCTACCGCTGCGTCGACTGCCAGAACTGGATCTCTGGCACGCTCACAGAGCCACATCAATCTGCGGAGCTCGCCCAAAACAGAAACGGCCAAAACGCTTTCTCGCAAGCCATCCACTCTCAGACCTGATGCTGCTCGACTAAGCACACATATCATTCCTGATCGGCCGAGGTCAAGAATGAGCACCACGTCCTCGCGTGCTCCTCAGGAGGAAAGTTTCCTTGCCCGGATGATGCGTCCTACTGCAAGCTCCGCAAGTAAAATGCACGATAAAGTTGAGCCGAGGAGTCCGCCGAGACTCGCGAAGGCTGCGAAATTGTCGCCAAAGAAGGAACAGCCCGCCAAAGTTGTGGAGGACAAGAGCGAGAAACATGAACAATCTCCTCAAGAACCTTCCCCCACTCCTGTTGCTGTAGAAGAGAAAGTGGAACAGCCGATAGTCCCGAAGTTACCAGTGGAAAAAGCCGTTGCAAGCACAGATAGTGGACATATCGAAAAGCCAGCGGCACCGGCGTTGGCACCAGAGGTTGAAGATCCTAAATCAGAAGCTAAAGTTTATTTGGAACAGCCATCGTCAGAGCCCCATGAGCTAGAGGTAGTGCCTGAAGTTGAGGCAGAGCCGGCTTCGGAATCTACTGTTGTGGACGTGGAGCCCCAAGCTCCCGAAGTTACGGAAGAGCCATTGCCGGAAACCACTGTTGCCGAAGTGAAATCTGAAGATGTGCAAAATCAGTCTGCGCAAAATAATAATGTGAATCACACGGGCGAAAAAGAACCGGCTTCAGCTCCAGAGACGGTTCCTGAAGAGCCCGAGAGTAATACCCAGGAGGCCGCTCAAGAGGCTGATTTGCAGCACGAAAAGAAGGAAGATGACATCGAAGAGCCAGCCGCAGAAGTCGATGCTCCTCAAGAAGAGGGGCAAGTACAACAACCGGTTGAGGAGCCCCCCAAAGATGAGGAGGTAAAATCAAGCGAATCAGCACTACATCAACCTTCAGAGGAATCAATCACAGACGTCCCTGGCGTTTCTGAGGAAGCACTCGCTGAAACCTCTGGAGAAAGCGCCACAGTCTCAGGCTGAGCCTTCACCAGATAAAGAAAACTAAACTACAACATAGCTGCATTTCCTATAAAAAAGGGAGACATGTTGTCTAAGACTTTTGTAGCACTTCAGCCAATTTTCGATCTTCTTTCAGCTTGTCGTGAGACCATCTCTTTATAATTGAACGGTGTTCTGGGAAATTTATTCATTGTTGGATTTGAAAATCATTTTTCATATTGCATCATCGATACACCTTTTCTTAGCGATTTCTTTTTGCCCTTTTTTGCCCCTTCCATATTAGCAATATAGCATCCTGTACTTTTGCTTCTTGCTCTCTAATCTTCTCTTCTTGTATCTACAATTTTGTGTCTTATATTTTCAACAATACATGAGAGTGGCTATTTTTGGGTTTGGTTTTCATACCTAGCTAGATATAGATATATGGAAAAAAACATTTCGGACTTGGTTTCTTCTTCTCCTTCTTTTATAGAGGCCTAGCCACCAAACGATTGAGGACTACTATACTTCTCGAAAAGCTTTTCAGTGTCGAGCTTACTTACATGAGACTATGTCAAACCAGTTAGTTATTTCAGCGCACTTCTTGGAAGAGGCGACTCTTCAGCAAAAGGATGAGACGTTACAACTCTTGCAAGCCTGAAACAGTAAATAAAGACAGAACGAGACAGTACAAAAGTTGACACTATAAGGAAAAGAACGAAATAGCATTCAAAACAGTAAAGAAACAAATTCCCCGCCCAATGACCAACTAAATTTTACGTACTGTACTGTGTATTCAGGTCCAATGAGGTCTCCATCCTTTTATGGCTCAGTCTTTCAGAGAATTCCCGGCGGAAGAAAGAGAACAGAAAGACTGATACAGCTTAGCACAGATCTATACGATATCCTTCTCTAGGGGTTGTTGTTGCTGTTTGGTAACAACGCCTGGATTTGTACAGCAGAAAGCCATCCCATCTTTATCCGCTCATGTGCGCTTATTCCGGAAGTATAATGGCACAAGAAGAAAGAAAAACATTCCTGTAGGACTTGGATATCTCCTGGCAATAGGCAACAAAACAAACGATAACAAGAAAACAAGAATGAGAAAGCCCGAGATCCCCGTATATGGTCCAGATAGGTGGGAAATAGTGATTCCCTTCTTCATCATCATTATCAAAGTGACATAGTCCAGGCTTCTTCAAGTCCAATGCCAACTGGTTCAGTTCAATTTGGTAAGAAATAGGCCGTGGCATGCATTTGCTCCGTCGGAATTTTTGAACCCCTTTTTGCTCTGCTCTGGTCTGTCGAGCTTGCTCCATAGGCTGTCTGTTGCACTTGTGGACTGTTCCGTCTTCCCCCCCACTCCTTTTTTTAGCAGGGGTTCGTCTTGAACGGTCGTGACTTTGGTGGATAAAGCGTATATAGAGGGCAGAAAATAGATTATAGAATCAGAAGATTTGGGGAAAAAAAGATGCTTGAGGGTTGCTCTCAAGTAGCGAATTTAACACGACGGTTCTGTCGGTCCTTGATACGTCTCTCAGTCTCCTGGTAGAGACAATCCAGGTATTCCATGGCAGTAGCATCCTTGAGGATTTTGGCAACCTGAGTTCCAGCGGAAATAAGCTGCAGGACATTCCGGTCATCCTTTATAGGCCTGGACTGATGCTTGGCGGCATGCCGCATTTCCAAGGAATTCTCCAAAACGGTAACAAGCTGCTTGATCTGGCCATTATGAAGTACCCGGGCAGGAATCCGGCGCTTGGTGGCCAATCTTTTCAATAAATACACCCATTCGGTCCATTCCCGGTCTGCTGGTACCCTCACCTGTCTTTTATCCGGCTCAATAGGGATGGGAAACTGGTATCTAGCGACGAAATCAAACGCGCATTGAGAGAGGCGGTCATTAACCTCACACAAGATGCGGTCTTGTTCTGATACATCGAGATTAGTAGGCAACACGGGCAGCTCCCGCTCTTGGGCAGCTATAGTACTTGGCGATGGCGGTTCAAGGAGTTGATGCGGCCCATCGAATTCATCACGGTTGGATGGACGTCTCTGAGAATGATACTTAACACTTCCCTTGGACTTGTCAGTGTTCCGGGACCTGCCAGTTTCCACAACATATTCGCGAGTATCGTAGGATCTGGTAGGCTCCACGTCATGCATATACTCGTCCTGGAACATTCTGCCTGTCGATTCCCATTCGGAATGCACAGAGACATGACGAGGCGGTCTCCCGACAGGAGCTTGGGGGACGGAGGCGCTAGAATAGCGTCTGTGTTTTGACGAAGATGAGGGCTGAGCATAGTAAGTCCTGTAATCTATTGGATTGGCCTGCGACATGGGCCGGTTGTTGGAAGCGTCGACGTCTGCAAAGGATCGAGGATTTGGAAAGCCGCAAGCTCCACTGCCAAAGGGGAAACGCAGGGTTCCAGTCTCAGTGTATTGCGCCAAAAAAAAAAAAGAATAATAATACGGGATTCCAAAGGTCAGATTTCACCTTTGCTGGTATATCACCGGAGCAGGGGTGGCGCTTCCATAATACCCCGGTTGCGAAGGTGAAGCTGGAGCGCTATGAGGTATATTTTTAGTGAAACATAGTTACTACGCAACAGGAGTAGTTATAGTAGACTTACCCATGTCTAGGAAAGCCATCCATACCGGGAGTGGGAGAGAGATAAGGATCCATCGATGGTGCTACTCCAAGCAATGGCTGAAAGCCCAGTGGCATTGCCCGCGATGTGACGACCGGAGGCATCAGTACGAATATAAATATCACGATCAAAAATAAATTTCAAAGCCCGTCCGTCAGTTTTATGTATGAAACAGAGACAATAAAAAGACCTGTTACACGAAGGCCGGAAAATGAGCGTATGATATATCAGAAAAAAATAAAGAAGGAATATTTAGTCAAGTAAGGCAGAGACTATTAATAACACTCGAAGTTTGGGAGCGCAAATGGAATAATCACTCAACCCTCTTTAAGCGCCCTAAACTACAAAGATGGCGTCTTGTTTCTGCGAACCGGTGGCAAATTACGGGCATTGTCCATTGTTTACGACTCGGCTTTTCAAAGTAGGGCAGAGATATCGAGCATTGTTTGTCTTTCACCGCCATCTTGGGGCAGAGAAATCGTCAATGGCGCATGCCTAGGTAGGATGGGAGGGGCTAGTTGTGAGGGCAAGATAATTACTATGACATTGCCGGCGGGTCCTTCACTAGGGTTTCTCCAGGGATGAACCCAGGTATGAGAACGGGTTGCTACGCTGCCATGATAGCAGAGAGCGGAACAGCTTCTTGCTAGTACTGCTTGAGGGATTTCTTCTTTACAAGAGACGGGATTGACAGCGGTTTTGGGCAGCAATCTGGCATCAGCGAGTGCTATAACCCGATCTCCAATGAAATCATTGGTGGTATGACTGATCGAATAGGAGATACGGGCTTGATGATGGTGCACGAAGTTTGAATTAGTTGGAACTTAGAATTCCTAATTGAACCATGTAAGTGTACACTTACTTGATCGCTCTGGATCTCAGCTGTTGGGATCGAGATGCTTCTTTGTTATCCGCACAGAAGACCTTCTATATAAGAGAAACGTCGAAGCGATGTGTTCAACGTGTCCACTGTAGCTTACCCATGGGCCCTTCATTGATAGGCACTAGAGTAATAAGGCCAGCAATCCAATGCATGCAATTGTGCTACGTGGATCTCGACGCATGTAAACAATGGCAATACTAAATTAATCAATTCAAGGCATGCGATTGATAACAGACTTCTGCAATTGTTTGAAATAGAAAAGATCGACGAGAAATATACATATGAATCGGGCATGCATGGCGCAAACCCGACTACCTATGATTGATCCCACAATCCTGGCAACTAGCTGAAGCTTGAAGCAAGATTGGGCTTTAGATTGGACCGCGGAGTGCATTGGCGCCTTGAAGAGCACGACAAAGCAGTGTATACTATTGGGTATCAGGCATAGATGCTGGTGTGCCCAACCCCAAATGCTTTCTGCAAGTCCATCAACTGCCGAAGGTGCTTGATTAGTTGGTTTTGCGTAAAGGGCCGAGTACTCCAATTAATAAAAGTAAATTAAGTGGTCGTATACTTGTGTCAGTGGCGCACAAAGTGCGATTACCCCAAAAAACGCATGACCTGACTTGCCCTAATATGTACCGTTTCGGGTATCGACCAGTCGTCGAGACGGCCTTTAAGTACAGCACCACCCGAAATCAAACCGAGGGAGATGCAGAGAACCGAATGGAAGTTTCCATGGCCTAAAGGCTAATCATGTATAGAATGCTGTAAAATAATCTTCTACTAGTGGATCGACTGTAGCATCCCCCCTTGCTGGAGGTCTTACTCAGAGCCTAATATTACCTACGTACCTACATGCTGTACGGAGTATTTATGAACTGATCATATGTCTCAGCTAGGGGTTGAAAAACGACTGTTAATCGCCCTTGCGTCGTTAATATCCATTTTGCGCGTGTTACCAATGATAGTGCCTTCAAGGATGGATATACATAGAGTAAAGATAATTGATTCATCAACAAATTAAGAATTACAACATTGATCAATTCAGGTACCGGTACTAGTTTCATAAACGCTTCTTTGCTTCAGCAAATTGGACATTTTGAAGGCTTGGGGTCTCAGGCAGCTTAATGCCTAGTCGACGAGCATAATCCTGGGAAGACAAAAGAGGAAGTTTGTTAGAAAAACAAGATGAAAGCAAGGCCTACGTTGACTTCTCCGACTTACCTCACAGCCAAGTCTAAGCCCTTCCTCCAAACCGAGCCTAGCCTCGTAGCCAAGTATACGGCGTGCCTTTTCACCATCAGCCCATTCTTTCCACACTTCCCTTCTCTGCATCGATTGCAGCCCAAATTGGCTTTGCAATATCCTCAAGCAAAATTTCTTCTGTGAAAATGAAATCCCCGGTCGCCGAAGTGGGATCGTTAAGAAGATGGCCAGCGGGAATAGTAAGAGTTCCTCCTTTGAGTGTTGCCGGTTTGCCATTCTTTCCATGATTTATCGTAATACTTTGAATTAGGCGAGGTGGTTGTTCTCTGGTGACATTCAGGGGCCGGCTCCTACTTCCTCCAGTTGTAGGATTTGAACTGTCATGGGCCGGCATCCACGACGTAATGTAGATGCTCGAGGAGGCTTTTTGAATATTGATGACGATACCCTGGCGAACCTCCCCTTTCGAGCCATTAATCCACCACGCAATGTCCTTCTCCAGTTTCGCTTTTGATTCTGATGACCCGACTTCTAGGGCCACAGTGGGCCATTCAAGATATGTTTGGCCACATTCATAGGCCGGAGCCCATGAGCGATCTGCTTCCTTGCACCGACCAGGAGTTTCTGTCCGTGTTGCGCCGCGGTTTGTAATTCGACGACGCACCGCCATACGCTCTGTTAGAATTGCAAGCATGACAACGAATTTTTCGGCGGCGATCTCGTGCACCTCATTAACCATCTTTAAAATTAGGATTCGAAGAGTCGGAGAGTAGTTAACGCGTCCAGGAAAACGCTCAGTACTGTCGACCGTATCGGGAGCAATCTCTGTAATGACCACAAAGTCGGTGTTGGAAGGCAAGTCCTCGAGCTGCCCCATGCCAGCATACTGATAGTACGGCGTGTCCGGCGGCAGGTGCGCCAGAAATGCATTGGTACTTTCTTCCATGGAGATCGAATCCTCACAGGCTGAAGACGGCTTGGAGATTGCTGAAGACTTTGATTTGGGAGATGATGTTGGGGGTTATATACGGCAGAGAACAACTTTAAACCGATGCTTTCAAAAACCCTAATATCGAGCGGACTATATTCACGTCAATGTGATATCACAAATATACAGTTGACAGCCACAGCCACGCCAGCTTCAGCTCTGGTGGCGTAATTATAGGACCAAGTCTCATTGCCACAATCTCTCCCATCAAGGAAATCGGGTTTCGCATGGGTGTTTTCATGGCCTTCTCCTCTACTGGCGCCCTGGTTGGCCCTCCAATTGCTGGGGCTAACATTTCTAGAGACAACGGTACTACACATTCGTCGCTTTCTTTTCGGGCCTGTGTTTCGTGGTTGCAATCCCATCGGAATGACATTTGTTCATGGTTGGTGTGAGCCTCACGGCCCGGATATAGAGCTGCCTACGTGATGGGGAATGGGTGAAGCATGGCGAGAAAGCAGGCCATGATAACGAAAAGAGCCGTTGACTTATTAATGAGTTTATCTGGGATAGAGCAAAGTTTTGATTTGACATCAAGATCATATAATAGATGTGGAGTATGTTCCGGATTTCAGTCGTTTGTATTTTTATTTTTACTCTCAAATAATCTTGTATCGAATAATCTTCTATTCTTTAGTCTTCTAATTGTAGAATGTCTAATGTTTACTCGCTCTGGAAAAATAAAAGTTCTTGTAGACTGACTAGGTCCTTCTCTCTAATATTTGATTTTTAGCAAGTTTTTCTGTCTGTAGCTGTATATCATTCCCTTTGCTTATCATATTATTATTCTTTGAAGGATTATGATAGAAGGCAAGTAATAGTATCGACTAGGATCGAACGTAAGAGTTTAATAATACTTAAATTAATCTCTAATTCTCAATACTGAGGATATTCTAGCCTCTATATATATATATATAAAGTCTTATTAATCTTTCTTAATTTAGATATTCTCTAATATAAAAGATTTTATATTTTTATAATATAACTACATATTAAAAATTAGCGCTTATCCCTGCTTCTGCAATATTTTGGTAGTATGGGTTTATCGTAGCTGTGAGCCTGGGGTCGAACCTAGTGCATTGCCAGCGTAGGTTAGGGCACAGGCCTCACATATTCGTGACTGCCCTCATATTGGTTTTACTGAAAGATAAATAGGATAACTTATCAATGTCCAATCTTTTGCTCAACAATGGTATAAACATTAATTATACGTGGTAACTGTGTATGTATGTATGTATGTATATTAAAAGAAGGTACATGGTCAATAAAGGCGGCAAGTCTGGTGCATTGACTGTATACAGAAATGAAAATGAAATCAAGTCTAGTCAAAGAAAGTTGCTTTCGTGCGAGAGAAGCCATTGATTCAATGACAAATCTACAGTAGAAGAACAATAGATGCCAAAGCAACTCCAACAAGAGCAAGAGGTCCAGAAAGGAAAGTCGTCTGAGATACTGAGGCACCAGTATATGTAGATCCACTTGCACTCGTAGTAGATGTAGCTCCGAGGGTAGTAAAGGATGAAGACGAAGATGGATGGGCAATACCGCTGGAAGTACTGCTTCCTGGGGATCCAACACCGGAGCTAGAGCTAGTGCTAGAGCCTGATCCCAAGGCAGAGCCAGAGCCAGTACCTGTGCTTGATCCAGAGCCAGAGCCAGAGCCAGAGCCAGAGCCAGAGCCAGAGCCAGAGCCAGAGTTGGAGCCAGAGCCAGAGTTGGAACCTGAGCCAGGTGCAGGACTTGTTCCTAAACCAGCTGTTGATGTTGCCTGGGCTGCGGTAACGGGGCACACAGTAGTGGAAACGACAATAGTCTCAGTGGTTACATAACTTGTTCGCTGACTAGCAGGACAGTCGGTCACAGTGGATGGACAAGCAGTGATAGTCGCTGTGCGTGTGCTGAAAACAGTAGACGTAGTGAATCCTCCAATGCTCGTTCCACTTTGGGCCTGAGTGGTAATAGAAGATGGGCTGCTAGTAGTAGTTGATCCACTGCCATTGGCAGGTAGAGACGTGCTAGCAGAGCCGGTCGAGCCAGTTGAGCTGATGGAAGATGGATTCACCACCGTAGGGACGGTAGATGACGTGGAGGCACTTTCACCAGAGCTTGAAGGTCTCGTGGCGGAGCTTGTAATTGAAGAAGAGTGGGAGCTCTGTGAGGAGGAACTTGTGGCAAAAGCCGAAGAACCGGAAGCAGACGAAGAAACCGAGACGACAGCAATTGAAGAAGAGGGCCGGCTGGTACGTGAGGAAGAGCTGGTAACACGTGCCGAGGAAGACGGTACGGGGGCTGAAGACGGGGGAAGAATGCCCCGTGAAGAAGACCGAGTAGTTGGGATTTTTGAGCAAGAACGCGAAAAACTAGAGACAGCTGATGAGGATGGACGGACAACTGCTGAAGAGGAAGAACGAATGACAGCAGATGAGGATGGTCGGACGACAGCTGAAGAGGATGCAGAAAAAACAGCCGACGAGGAAGAACGAATGATAGCTGACGAGGACGGACGGACGACAGCTGAAGAAGATGGGCTGATAGCTGCTGAGGAGGATGCAGACACAATGGCCGATGATGATTGACTAACAGCTGATGAAGATGAGCTGGCAACCGCCGAGGAGGATGAGGAGATAACTGCCGATGACGATCTCACAGGGCTTGATGAAGGCGTTGGTGTCGGAGTCGACACAGGTGAGTAGGAAGTTGTGCAGACGCTTCTGGGACCGGTGACCTGGAAGTTGTCCCAGCCCATATTCCAAGCTGCACCATTATCACTTGAGCCACAATCCATGCTAAAAATCACATCATGGCTCGTGGAAGTAGCTGTGAATGTGAAAGAATGCTTCTGCCAGGTTTCATATGCCGAGTTCAAGCTAAAAGATTCATAATGAATCTCATTGGAAGTCGAGTCGAGATATACATAGTTCCAGCAGTCACTTAGATATGTAGTCGGCACAAAACTCTCAAGCCAGTAGGAGCCAGTGTAGGTGCTGCCAACTGTGAGCCCAGTGATTGTTTGGGATATCTTAAAGTCGTGGGTGTAACCTCCTGTTTGGTAGTAATACGCCCCATCTTCAGCGGTCGAAGACTTAGCAGTAGACGTGCCTGCTTTGACCACACCATAAGTTTGAGCGTACATGTTGGCCACCGTCCAGTCAGAGATGCCATCTTCGAAACTAGGGTTATCAAAGAACTGGGCTACAGATTCCGAGCACGACACTGATGCGACCACTGTCGAGATCACAGGGACGATCTGATGGAAAAGAAGAGCGAGCAGGGGAAGACGACTTCCCATGTTTGAGACCCTCACCATGCTAGCAAACAAGGATTGGTAGCCTCTCGCAATCTCTTTCTATCAGTAGACCAGAGAGAAACAGCCTTCTTAGCTGCCTTTGAAAAAGAGTGACTGTTCAAAAGAGTGTGGGAAATAAAAATACGACAAAAACGAAGGACAAAAGGTCAGACCTTGGTGCTTTGTGATTTCGAGAGAACTTTTGCCTCCCTATGGGGTTTCATCCTGATATATAAATAAGTCCATCCTGGCGATGAGGTACCTGGGTACAAATTGCCCAGCTTTCCTGTAGTTAGTATCTGGTGGAGCCCACCAGGCCGCGTTTGGGAGTAGGCTGAACTATGACAGACATAATCTCGGTTGGAAAGTCCGTAGAAAAGGTCGAGAAAAAGCTTCATACGCGTGGAGAAGCAATGGCAAGTTCGTATTCGAAGAAGAGGTTGAGCAAGGCTGAGGTTAGCGTAAGCGACGCCCCCATCCGTCCGCCAATTTAGGGCTAAGTTACGGCCTCAGGCCTCCGTGCCCCGTCGACTTGGACGTGGTGGCTTTTCCTTCATTCTGGGTACCTGAATGACAATATTAAAAATTTAAATCTTTGGCTGACACTGCCGATCTCTGGGTCAAACTGCCGATAAATCGGAACATAAGCGGGCGTAAACGCCGTAAACTGACAGATATTTCCCTGCTAAGCTGTATATGTTATAGAATCACTATTGCAAGTTTCCAGAGTCATAACGTTATTTTGACAGAATTATCTCGCTGTATACTGAGCAAAATCAATATCCTCTTTGCACGCAACAATCACACTCAACAAATCCTTGGCTTATACGTCGCTCAGCTATCCCTGACCCTTTCAAGAAGTCGTTGGCTCAACTCAAATCACCTTTGAGGCTTGCAATAAGGTGATTTCACTCTTACAATGGCAAAGCATATCGCCGTCAGTGTATGATTCGATGCATTGCCACCAGGCACCACCTTCCAGACTTGAGAATATTTGTTGCACACATAGTACCCAAAATGGCCGGTCCTGCTGTTCCCTTATGTTGAGCGCATAGACGGCTACTACCTTGGGAAAGTCCAGTCTCCGAGGGTTGAAAGAATCCCGGTGTCATTGCTTGAGACCCTCGCAATTCTTTCGTCTCTTCACTACGACAACCTCTCGCCACCGACTCGGTGGATGTATGGATGGCTGCGGAACACGATGCAGATGTAGATCTCGGGAAGGTGGATGTCAATTGCACTGAGTCTTTACCTGTCGTTTGCTTAGTTATGGAGCAACACACTTGAAATAACGAAGTGTGTCTTTTCAAAAACAGGGACGATCACAAGAGTCTCACACTTGAAAGCTGTATATATCATTGATGGTGTTATCTTGAACCTGTTCGGCAGGGCATAATATGACTAGTTATAAACCGAAAGCTTCGAATAATATCGCATCGTGAATCATTCGTGACGGATAAGGGACCCGGTGACCAGTTCAATTGACATAGTTTCACATAACTGAAGGGAAAAGAGGGTTATTATACATGGAGGAAAGAAAAATTACAAGGGACGTGCGATATGATTGATATACACTCTTGAAGTCGCTAAATCCACATGACTTCTGTTGAGAAATAAAAAATAAAAAAAGGCGTAACCATCCAACTCCTGATTGATGCACAAAACAAAATTGCTCGAGGTTTGTTTCTTGTTTTTATTCAACTCGGCACAAAACCAAACCTCCGACCTTCTTCTCGACACATTGTCGCGCTTCCAGCACACCCTGATCGGTTGCTAGAAAGAGACATTCTCCAGGGGACCGTAATCCTTCTACGGGACCACTTCGAGAGCCCCGAATAACTTTTCGAAGACCCGCGACATCAATGTTAATTCTGCGCTTGGGTTTGCTGATTGCGGTTATTTTGCCGAGAACTGGCTCGCTCTGCCAGTACTTCAAACCAAGCCATAAGCGTCTGGATGCAATGTTTGCTTGCGTGACCGGTTCAGTCTCGACCAATTCACCGCTCCCTGTCGGTTGTCCCAGGATAAGATGAGGAGCCGGAGGGGATTTTCCGCCGCGAACAACGCTGCCAATAAGACCTTGTTGCTGCATCGCAAGAATCAGATTGAGGTGCATTTTCGAGTTGACTATGGATGTAAGGCCTAACCGGGCCTTGGTGACATTATTAAGGTGCGAGAACACGTGCGCAAGGTTGTTGAGAGACATGATGGATGGACGGGAGGTGAGGTCCAGGCCGATGGCCTTGATGGAATGAAGGTGGAAAGTGAACGAATGGTCGATTGAGGCGTCTTGCGCTGCGTGATGTCGGCTTTGGGTGTTTTTTTCCTGGAGAGCGGAAGAGCTCGGAAAAAGGATTCTGCCGCTCCGGCGCACTGCAAGCCCGCGGGCCAATCACGAGCGGCATCACGGGATCGGCTTGCTAGCGTCAACCAATGCAAGCAAATCACATCCATCACATCCATTGCATCCTCGACAGCCATCCAGGTTGCAGCGTTAGCCGCCCAGCACTGCCCAATGGCTTCTCTGGCGCTCAGAAGGTAGCAGAGCTCTGCAGCCTGCAGGAGGTACGATCCCCGCTGTGGCCCCTCTATGTTGGTTGCTATATATATCTGCATATAATGGGAGGCCATTCTCGCCCGGGAAAGTTGCGCTTGCGACTTTCTCTGTAAACTTCGCAACTACCTGGCTGATCGGCTCTGGCAATATGCCTCCCTTTCCTGGTGAAGACCGTTTGCTGACGCTGTGAGTGCTTCTGCATACTAATCAGGACTTGGACCTGCGCAATCTGACAATGTCTCCTCCGCATTCATTAGCTTTGCGGACGTCCACTACTATTTCACGATTCCTACCCCTAATCCAGTATACCACCGATTCGACAAAGGCTCGTATCTATACGTATATCATGATGCTGTACGGGGTAGTGCAAGACTGGAGATTGCAAACAACCCGGGTACAAATGAGCAGGACGCCTTTAACGGAGGTCTGTTGTCAAGTCCGCTCAAACGTCTTTAAACATCCATCCCAGGACTAAGAATAAATCGTAATAGTTCTCGACAATGTCCACATCGTACACTCAACCAGATTTCCAACGTTGTGTACCATGACGGTCGGCTCCCAAGTTGAGAACTCCCCTGTATCGGCACACAACTCCGACGGGAGCCAGGAACAATGGCTTCTTCCGTTTACCGATCCTCGTGGGCAGAGTAAGCGTAGCCTTCGCTTGCACACGCTGGACATATATTTCTGGACTAGTGAAGATGCGGATCAATTCTTAGATGCCGCGGAGCGAGTTCTCCCACAACAGCTAGAATCGGACCGCCAGGCGCAGTCCGAAGTCGTTGAAGAGCCTGCAGTGAGCACGGTAGTAGAGAAGTTGGAAAACGTTGCCATTACCGATCCTGCCTATCAGAATGGACAGACCAAAGACTCCCGTTCAGAGCCTGCCCAGACTGTTCAGGAAGCGCCTAAGGAAGAACAAACGGATTATACACCCCTGGCCTACAACCCTGCTGCTCCTGCTGCTCCAGAACCCATCAAGCATAGAGAAAAGACCCCTCCCCCTGAAGATGCAGATGGAGGCACCGGCCTCATCGCGGCAGCCGTGGCGGATCATCATCCTCAGTATTATCCTTCCACACCGGCTGCTAGCGGTTTCTCTCAACCACCGAACTATACGGCTAGCAGTCAGTTCAACTCTCCATCTCCAAGTCGTAGCCTATCCATATCGTCGAATCTTCCGGGACCTCCAGTTTATACGGCTCTTCCAGTGGCAAGTCCACCGCCAACCCAAGCTGGGGGCATGAGCTTCGCACCGCCCCCTCCAAACCCTAACGCTCATCTCTTTTCTCGCGATTCTTATGATTCCCAGCAATCTCAGACACTCCCTCAGCAAGTCCAGACTCCGCAGCCACAGCAACAACCACCGCCACCAACACCATCACAGCCACAGCAACATGCTCATCATTCCCACCATCCGCAATATCAAGACTATCTTCAAAACCAGGGCCATGCTTCCCAAGATATACGCGTTGCTATCGGAGGTTACTCCAACTACTCGTATGCCCAACACAATCAAAATCAATACGGGCAATTAGCTACCGAATATGACATCCACAACCATGTTTATCGCCCAACAGAGGCTGAGCTCAAAAACCCCAGGTTTTCCAATGAAACCCCTAAGCCCCGTGGAAATAAGATTGAGAAGGGAATGGTCAGGGTAGACAGCAAAGTAAATGGGTTCTTGAAGAGAATTGAGAGGAGGATTGGATAAGAGTTGGTACCAAAAGTATCTCTCATCGCGTTTTGTAACGATACCCGTGACGGCCTCCCTTCATAGTATATGTCATCTTTTGTCTCTTTCATGTGCAATGTGTGGAATTCTCAATTGGAACGCTTCAAGGGTGAAAACTACATTGTTCCATGCAGATTATGTTAGCTCCTACTCATCTCGAACATTATATATCGCCTATGCAATATCGCCTTTATTTGGTATCTTGAGGAATCACAAATAAGCCAAGTCTAGAACTAACAACCTATATATAGACTTCCCTCTTTCAAAATCTTGATTGGATGGAGGACTCAACAAAAAAATCGACACCAGGAATCAGGCAGCATACTCGGTCATTTTTGTCTAATGACAGCCTTTTAAATGAGGGAGCGGCGGAAACGGAGGGAGCAAACCACGAAGTGGCTTGAATTGAGTTCTATGGCAGATTCAGCCCATGAATCGCGCATAAAAATGCACAACAATTGAATATCATCCCATATCAATGTGTACAGGTGGCCCAAATAGGCACCTAGGTAGCTCTATATACCATATACCATATTTCTTTTGCCGGATGAGTGTTTCCTTTCTCGCCGCTTCTATGAGGGCGCTCACAGTCGGGCTCACTGAGCACCCAGCAAGAAGTCTGCCAACAAGTCGACTACGCAAATTGGACTAGCAATATATCCAGATAGTCATCTGCTTTACAGTCGAGGAAGTCTCTTTACAGTGTTCAAATGCTAAAATTGAAGATCTATATGTCGTTGTATACCAATAACTCCTACACCCACAGACGATGGTAGATAATATGCTTTTCTGTTTATCTAAAAGCTCGCAAACACCTGATGAGCTATTACGTGAATTGAGTCCCTTGTTCATGCTTCGTCATTTGGCTGCAATCAAAATTCCAGACAATGAATCGCCCATGGCAATTTTCTGTTATTTGTAGCATTGCTCAGAGTCTACAACAAGAATTCGCCAGCTGATAAGTTGTCCCTTTCCATGCTGCCACTTCTATGTGCATATGAGTGAGAGGTGCATTCTTATCGATGATTAGCTTTTCATAATGACCAGTCTGGTAGTCCAAATAATGCGAGATAGTGGAGTCATTGTTGACTCAAACTGACCCAAATCTTCCCTATCCTCAAACCCTGTCGTTCGATAACTAGGTAGGAGGGAGTAGAATGTTAACAATCCACGGTATTTGAGTAATGTCAGTCATCCCCTGAAGTGCAGAATTGATAAAAATTGTTTGTAAATTCGATTCATTGAAGTCGCAATCGGCTGGTAGGTAGGCCAAGTCGCTGCTTTCACATGCAGTTTCAAGCTGCGAAATGTTGCTCAAGACAGTGGACTTGGAATGATTGATATGGGTAAAATGAGAAGGTACTGAAGTCGCAGGCATATTCCCTCGCCATGTAATCAACTTCCCTCCCCAACCCTCATGGATGTGCCCAAAGCAGTGTAGTCGAGGCCTTGCACGGGCAACAGCTTGAAATAAATCAGGGCAGCCACCTCTGCGACCTGAGTCTGTATAGTCAAGGATGCCTTTTGGAGGCCCATGGGTGATCACTATGTCAATACCGTTTGGGATTTTGAAATTATGGCCTTCATTTGGGTGATATTGATATCCCCAGTCGCCACTCAATGATGGGGTAAAAGGGCTAGCGTATACACGTAACAAGGCACCGTTTCGAAGTGTGAACTCATATGAGCCCTCGTCCAGAAAAGTAATGTTAGCTGCTTCTGCATTTGCAGCCAGGATCTTTCTAATTTCGCCATAATCACCGTACGCCTTCCGCACCAACTCCGGCTCTAAAGCCGGCTTAGCATTGGCAACCATCTTTTCAAAAGCCGGAACATCCATTGTGAAGTCATGGTTACCAGCAATCACCAACTTGAGATCTGCCTTGATCTCTTGAAGATACTGCAGCGTTCTTTGGAACTCCTCGATCTTTGATTCCTGCGTAAGATCGCCACAGTGAATAACGACGTCGATATGTTCTGACAACGAACCCGAAAGCGGCCGATGCCCATGCGTGTCTGACATGATTAAGAAACTTGTTCTGACGTTCTGCGACATCGTGATATGTGGTTTGATGTAGCGATCTGTCTGGCCCTTCGGGAGCTCGTAAACGGTTTGGATGTTTGATGAAGCAATAAGATTTGAAAATCCTGTAGGTCTATGATAACAATCTCGTAGATATGAATCGGGAAGAGGTAAAATAGAAATGATGCATCAACGGATGGTTGCCTCCGATATGTAGCTTTACCTAGGTTGGATGCCTAGTCATGTGATGCAGAAGCTAGGTAACCAAACCCTAAATCGGTTGAAGTCTGAGCCTAATGATCCGTAGTACCTCCAGGTACATTGCAGTTCTTTCCTGGGTTACTTGGCTGAGCATAGTTTGACAAGTGAGTATCTGCTTCCTTTGATAGCGACTGAATCGTGCAACTTCCTGTTTTGGGGCTTTGTATACAAATCCGGAGGGTAGCCCTAACTCGACTGGAACACTTTCCGCTGCAGATGAGATTCTCGCCTTCCTCACGAGCACTATCTCGTGAAGTAAGTACGATTCAGAGCTCGTAGACAGAATGTAAGAGATCAAAGTAGGAAGTAGAGTAGACCTTTTCTCCCCCGGTATATCATCAGATATTGCAATCCTGCATCGCTTTGGGTAAGCCATTCTGAATACAACCAATATCGACATGGAGAAGCTATCAAAAATTATAGATGTATAATTACGGGGTCCGATTGATACGAACACGATGAAGCAGGACGATTCAAAACGCCCCAGACCTTCCCTGCTTGCTCTTCACAGCATATACTTCAGTAAGTCCCGATGGATATTGACATGTATCGAATTGTGCAATCTTGCACATCCAATCTTAAAGATACCGAGAACTAATCTATGGTATAACTGACAGGTGTCCTACCATACTGCCTTCGTCTCCTACTTCCACAATATGCCGAAGTCCAATTCAGTCATCACTGCACCACTGCGAGAAGGTCTCTTTGAGACCTTTCGAGCAACCACCCGCCTAGTCCGACCCGAACAACGCCGCCAACTTGTCCTAGTTGGCGGCACAGCCAGCATTACCCACTCTTCCTTGTTACGAACCGAAGACGTGGATGTTGCGGCGCCTCCCAGCGTGCTAATCGATATCTGGGAGGCAGTGACGGCCGGCGCCCCTAACTTTTCGATCGAACCCGACGGCAAGATTGCTTTCGATGCACCGCAAGGCTTCCGAGTTCGAATAGACATAATACAGATCGGCGACGGTTGCATCGAAACGATCCACGAGACAGAGTCTTTCTTTGAAGGCTCTGTCGCGTCCATGTCGGATTTGTTGAGGTTAAGGGCCGTGACGGTGGTAGAACGTGGGAGTGATGGCGAGTTTGAAGACTTTCGATGGCTATTGTGGGAAGTAGCGAAGGCAGGTCAAACTCTTCCGGAACTGGGAGAAGAGGACCTGAAGTATATGCGTCAAGCAGGGGAGTCTTGTCTGGGGTTCTGGATCGTCTGGTACTTGCTGCTGTTCTTGGCGGCAGTAATTTAGGCATTGCGTTAAGTCTCTTGCATTAGTATAATATAATAAGTATAATTCATTCAATTGTTTTATCCACCAAGTTCCATATCAAGCTGGCTGTTTGTCACATTGGGACAAGTGAGTAGATTGCATGATAAGAGATCTGACCATCAAGCATACCTAGGTATAATATCAAATAGTTCTCTCTGCTTTTTCTAATTACCAAGTAAACTTTTATTGATGTCACACTAATATACGTCGCAAACCTTCTCAGAATCACTGCTATATCTATGCAACAACGAATGAGATGATCTTCTAATAATCATACAATATGTACAGCCCCCACGAGGGTTCGTGCTAAAAGTGAATTCTATCGCATAGGAAATAGATAGTATCCAAGCAGCAAAGAACTGAGATCGTAGAAAGAAAAAGGAAAGGAAAAAAAAAAAAAAAAAAGAGGGGACAAAATTGGCCGCCCGTGTGTATCATTCGCTTACCACCGAGTCGAAGAATTGTTTTTAGAATTGTTCCTTTTTTAATAAATTCGTGTCAGATCGGACGAGCTATGGTGCTGTGGTTGACACCTTTTCGGCGTGTTATTGAGTCAGTGCCGAGAATAATTCCAACAGTCGACGTGAGATGAAATGTCCCGGCCATTTCCAAATCATAGTCCCTCCCATAGCAAGCCCTGCAGCGATCGTCGTCACACATGCCGTTCCAAGACTGGCGGTGAGAAGAAAACGCTGCTTCTCGACGGCTTTGACAATCTCCGAGTACCGCATGTTACTAAAACTCACTCGCGAATATTGAGTCCTCCAGCCTAATTGTGGTGTGTAACGGTCCATGTTCTCCTCAATGAATTTGCGGATCTTGTACCAACGTGAATTGACTCCTGCCCGCATTTCAATAAAATTGCCTTTAGACAAGTCGTTAATTGCGTACGCATCTGCCACGCGCGTTTCCGTGTATGCCTTGAAAGCCGCAGCTCGAGCCTTAACTCTGAGATCTTCGTTGGAAGTTTTATCATATACACCATGTGCATCGAGAATCTCAAAGAGAACTCTAACATCTTCCAGTCCGGCATTTAGCCCCTGTCCATAGAAAGGCAAAACAGCATGCGCGGCATCCCCGAGAATGACCACACTTGAGCCATAGTGGTGAGGCTTGCATTTGATACTAATCAATGGGAGATGTTGGTTTTCAGTGAACTGTCGATAGAGATCGTCGGGAGAAATCAACTCAGGGGAAACTCCCGGAAAGTATTTCTGGAAAGATTTACACAGCTGTTCTGGCGTGTTTCCCAAGCGGGCATAATGATCTGCCGGTGCGAAGAGGGTACATGTGAACGACCTGTCCGGGGACGGCAGGGCAATAAACATGAATTCCGTGCCAGGCCAAATATGTAAGTGATTGGGAGAAATACGAAAATCTCCCTCTTGGGTGGGCTCGATACGGAACTCGCACCATAGCGTGTCAATATACTCCTGTTGATAGTCCACTCGAGAGTACTTCATCATGTGGTATCTCGATGCGGAATGTGCGCCGTCGGCACCAACGAGATAATCAAATTGTACCTCAACTTCTGGCGCCCTGTCAAAGTCGACCGAGCTATTGTTGTCTGTATGGATGTGGCCAGTGCTTTGCTGACCTTCAGGTAGCTTTCGTTCGAACCAAGCCTTGCGCGCATGGAAATCTGCACCGGTGAGTTTGTGGTTGAAGAACAGTTTCACATTGGGCGTCTTCTCAAGCTCATCGAGAAGAGCGTTATTCAACGTCGCCCTATCAATCGAGTTGATGGCCTAGCAATCAAATCATCAATATTAATACTGGTTCACGATACCATGATGCCGGTCATAGACGCCTTACTCGTCCATGCACATCATAAGCTTGCGCTGCCTGCCATAACTCCCCAGATGAGTTCCTTCCGTGGATCATCCGTCCATGCATAGGAATTGCTTGGTCCATTATCATGTCGACCACATGTTTGCGACCCGAGAGGTTCATGGAATTAATGCCTCGTTCTGAGAGGGCGAGGTTGATCGACTTGGTAAAATTTAGAGGAACGGTCGCCGGATCGCGGAGATCTATGATCAGTCAAATCAGCTTAGCGATACTTTCTTTGCAAAATTCATCTAGCATAGGCAATCCATCATCTTGTGAAAAAGCACCCAATGTGCATGTCTGAAGACGCAAGCAGAAGATGTGAAGAGAGAATTCTTACCCCCGCGCAATTCATATAGCTCGACATCGTCCCCTCGAGAAGCAGCGTAGAGGGCCGCCAGAGACCCGACTGGGCCAGCGCCGACAATGACCACTTTCTGCTTTGCGGTGGATGTCATTGTTTGGCCGTCCAAGTCAATTGTAGAAAGGCACGTGTCGGTGGCTGAAAAAAGAAACCAGAGATCTGCGGAGGATGGTGGCGGCCCCCGCGGCCTATCTAATCAGGCAAGTGCCGCATGTGCGGGAGCGGGTCGGGTGCCAAGTCCCGCTGCCGTCTCCGAATTTTCTCGCTGCGGCTTTGCTTTATCCATCACGACCCTCGTTTTTCTGCTCTCTCTCTCTCTCTCTCTCTCTCTCTCTCTCTACTGCTGCAAGTTCAGTTCGATAACTTCTCGGTTACAAGTAACTTTACTCTCCAATCATTCCATTTCCCGTCTCTCCCATTTTCCAGCCATGACAGCGGCTGTTGCGCCTCGGAAATGCATCGGCCTTGAATGCTCCAACGATGCGGGGAGCCTCCAGTGTCCGACCTGTCTGAAGGTGGGCACTGACAGTTTCTTCTGCTCGCAGGATTGCTTCAAGCGTAGCTGGGTACGCATCGCACTCTTCTTCCGCCCTCTTACTGTCTATCTAACCGATTGCAGGGGTCCCACAAGACCATCCATAAAACCAAGAGTAATATCCTCAGCAATATTTTCATCCCGAAGGTAGTTTCTGAACCAGATCCAGCAACCGGACAATATAACCCATTCCCCACGTTTCCCTTTACCGGATCACTGCGCCCTGTGTACCCCCTGTCGCCGCGCCGCACCGTCCCATCCTCGATCCCGCACCCCGATTACGCCTACGATGGTATTCCGCGGTCCGAACAGAAGTTCGCCGGTCGACACAACATCACGATTTTGAACAAAAAAGAGCAGGACGCAATGAGGAAAGTATGCCGTTTGGCTAGAGAAGTTTTGGATATCGCAGCTCGAGAGCTGAGGCCGGGTGTGACCACGGACTACATCGATGAAGTCGTCCACAAGGCTTGCCTGGAACGTGACGTAGGAACGCCCGTCCTATCTAAATTAAATAATCTGACCTAACCTCTAAAAACCGATAGTCGTATCCATCACCTCTCAATTACGTCAATTTTCCGAAGTCAGTATGCACGTCGGTCAATGAGACTATCTGCCACGGCATTCCTGATCAGCGGCCCTTGCAGAACGGCGACATTGTCAACATCGATGTGACCCTATACCATGGCGGATTCCATGGCGATTTGAACGAGACATACTATGTCGGTGATAAAGCCAAGACCAACCCCGATGCTGTCAGAGTGGTTGAGACTTCTCGAGAGTGCCTAGAGCAGGCCATTAAGCTGGTCAAGCCTGGCATGCTTTTCCGGGACCCTGGCAACTTAATCGAAAAGCACGCCAAGAGCCGTAAATGTAGCGTTGTGAAGAGCTACTGCGGTCATGGTATCAACCAATTATTCCACTGCGCACCGAATATTCCTCACTACGCTAAAAACAAGACTATCGGCGCGGCCAAACCGGGCATGTGTTTTACCATTGAGCCCATGATAAACATCGGCACACACAGAGACAAGACCTGGCCCGACGATTGGACAAGTGTCACTAGCGATGGTTCACTGTCCGCGCAGTTTGAACATACCCTCCTGGTTACGGAGGACGGGGTCGAGGTCTTGACCGCTCGTTTGCCCGACTCTCCCGGCGGGCCTGTTCCCATGCCAGAGGCTGCTCAGCCGGTCGAGACAGCAGCTTCGTGATGGAGACTAGTGGAAACGTTTGCACATAATTTTACATGACGACGAGTCAGCAACTTAGATTGCTTTTGATTGCATAGCTCTTCGCAAAATTATAAGCATCTATATACCCTGTATGCTAGGTCTATATTCCTGTTGCTAAGCCAATGCACACAACAGCCAAGGCGAGATGAGTAGATGCGTAGATGAGTGCTTTATGTGAATGTTCGCTGAGATATCCGAATTCCGGATTCCGAACTCCGCCCAACGCCGCGATTGGCCAGCGTTAGTTAACTCCGTAGTCAATCCGTTATCAGCTTGCGTGCTAGCCTGTCTTGCTCGAATTTGTTATTCTGTTTACGCTTTTTTCTTTTTCTTTTGCTTGATGATGGCTTGCTGCCTCTGGACGGTCAATTAAGCAGTGCGATAATCGCTTAGTCCATTCCGTTTGGCTACTTGTAACCAGTTGACCAGTCACACAAGTTGACTGAGTCATCCAGCCAACATGCCCGCCGAGGAACCAGTTGCAATTGCAACAGAGAACACTCCTCTGCTGCGCGCTGAGAGCGTGGCCTCCAATGGTACCATTTCAAGCCCGCAGGACCCCGATGAAGGTCAAAAAGAATCACGCGCAACCTTGAAGTATATTTTTCCAGCAATCTCAATAGGAGTAAGTCTCCTAAACACAGTAGCTAGCTATTTGCGTAACTTCTTCGACTGACATAGTATGCAACTGGTGCAGGTCTTTTTGGCGGCCGCCGACCAGACTATCATCGTCGCGAGCTATGGCAAGATTGGCAGCGATCTAAATGCCTTGAACTTGACAAGCTGGATCGCGACCTCGTACTTCCTGACCTTGAGCTCATTTCAGCCATTGTATGGCAAACTGTGCAACATTTTCGGTCGAAAGCCATGTCTTCTCTTTGCCTATGTCTGTTTCGGAACTGGCAGTTTGTTCTGCGGCTGTGCTCAGAGTATCAATCAATTGATCGCAGCGAGGGTATGTATGGTCTTTTTGTGGTTTGGCACTTAAAGGGGGGTCTTTTTGTGTACACCATGTTTACGCTTCTCTCAGGTTTATCAAGGAATTGGTGGTGGTGGCATGACGACCGTTGTTAGCATCCTTATAAGCGACCTGGTGCCTCTGCGCGATCGGGGTCTCTGGCAGGGAATCATTAACATTGTATATGCTTCTGGATCTAGTATTGGCGCACCGCTGGGTAAGCATTTCTGTGGTCAGGGCAAACCTTTGGCGCATAGAAATACTGACCGAAAGAATAGGCGGTATACTGGCTGATTACATTGGCTGGCGTTGGTAAGTTAGGGCAGAATACATTGAGTCAAACGCCCACTGCTAACGACGTCTACCAGGGCTTTTATCGCGCAAGCACCGCTGTGCCTCATGGCGTTTATTGTGGTCAGTGCCTCACTGCACATCGAGAGCCCCGACACGGGCGATTGGCGTACCAAACTGCGACGCATTGATTTTCTCGGGGCTACTGTCCTAGTAATAGCTGTCCTAGGTTTCTCTATTGCCCTGGACAGGGGAAGTAACGTCTCCTGGAACATACCGATAACTTATGTCTCTTTGACCGTCTCAGTCGTCTTCTTCATTGCTTTCATTTTGGTTGAGAAGTTTGTCGCAACTGAACCCTTCGCTCCTGGCCATCTAATTTTCGACCGGAACCTGTTCGCATGTTATACATGCAATTTCTTTGGTTTTGGGGCCTTCATGGGCATCCTATTCTTTATTCCGCTCTACTTTCAAGCCGTCGATGGTGTTCCTGCAAGCATTGCTGGGTTCAGACTCATACCGCAAATCATCCTCGGCGTATCAGGCTCCTTGTCCGCAGGCTATGTGATGAAACGGACCGGAAAGTACTATGGAATAACCGTATTTGGATACTCACTCCTGCTCTGTGGCTCAATCGTTCTCTTCCTCTTTTCTGGCGCCATCGCGGATGACTATCGCTTCCTAATCCTCGGTGCAATGATAGCTGCCTTTGGAAATGGAATAGGCAACACCACAACTTTGATTGGACTTAGTAAGTACTATGCATTGTGCCAACACAACGAAACCTAACAAGCCAATTCACTAAAACTTGATATCTACTCAACAGTCTCGAATACAAGCCCAGAAGATCAGGCCGTTGTTACAGCTTGCTCATACCTGTTCCGCTCCCTCGGCAGCGTTCTTGGGTTGTCGCTAGCAGCCACGGTTGAGCAGCATTTCCTTCGCGATCGATTAGAGACTGCACTCCACGGAAGCGCAGATATAGATCACATCGTACAAGGCGTTCGGCAATCACTCGGATATATCGACACATTGCCCTCCGATCTGCAGGTTATCGTTCGCAAGGCTTACGGTTGGTCTACGAATCTTACATTTGCCGTCCAGATGAGCATAACTTTCTTTGCCCTCTTCACCAGCTTTTTTGTTAGGGAGAAGCGGCTTTGATGAAAAAACGCCTTTGTAAGTTCGTGGTGATTACAATCTTATATATGCATAGATTTTTTATTTACATTGTATAGTTGTGAGCACGAGAGATGACGGTTGTTTATAGAGTACATGCCTGCGCACTTCATTTGAATAGAACGCGATCTCGTGTACATAACTGACATGACTCTGAGATACATCATATGCTCTAATAGAGCACAGAATGAAAATTGTTCCTCAAATAATAAAAGAAGAGTCACGATGTAGAATATAGAAACAAAAGGAACATGCTCTATGCCAAATTGGGACTAGTGCAGTTAGAGCTCCGAGCAGGACCAAAAGTCCCCAGACGGACGATATTCGCAAATGTCAAGCTTCAGAACATCGATTTGATCTTTCCAGCGCTGGGATTATCGAGACATTACTCTTTATTCAAGCCCCCAATGCTGCAACGTACGCATTTACCCTCTTCGGTCCATTTTCTCTTACTGATTCTCATGTCGTTTGCTTTTCCTCAGCGTCTCATTTGAATCCACGCCGCCGTCACCCAAGAGAAGCTCGATCAGCCTCGTTATAATATCTGACCGCTCATATGAAGCATATCACAGCCAGGAAAACAATTTTCACCAGGGGTTGTTTTTAGCGTGATGCTAGACGAATATTCTCGATACCGTGCCGTGCTTTTTACGGCTGCCGGTATTGCTTTGCTGGGTGGCTTATTTTATGTCAATTCCAACCAGGCTGCCTCGTCTGCAAACGCGCCCCAACTGCAACGTCGGGGTGCTATTGTGCGTCGAAACCGTCGCGGAACCCATGATTTTGTGTCCGACACTCCCTCCTATCGAGCGATTGCGCACCTCGAGCAGCTCGAGAGAGAAAATGGAGCGTACGGAACATTCAGAATTGAGACGGAGGATGGGCGGATGGTGGAAAGTGGTCTCCTTCCGTCTTTGCTTGCCACCCGCAATCAACTCATGGCTGAGGTTGGGATGCCTGAATCTCATGCAGAACGAATGCGTGATATGATGGAGGATACTTTTCTGGAGTCGTTCTTCGCGCTCGATTTCCCGCCTAGCCACACCATCCCTGAGAGCTCACCGGAGCGAGAGTATCTGACGCGGGAGCTCAGTTATCGCGGCATCTCGCATGCTGGAATTATTAGGGCTCTTGCGAATTTCAATGCGGATCCCGCTTTTGGTGAAGCTTTGCGTGTTCGTCGCCAGCTCGGTACCAGAGTAACATTATCAGCAGCGACTCCAGCTCAGGAGCTTGAAGAACATAATCCGACTGTAGAGGAGGGAGCTGAGACGGAAAGCGTATTCTCTTGGCGCAACGATAACGCTGATGGAGAGCCGGCTCGCGAGGGCCAGAATCTACTCAATCTTCTGTATCACATTGCAGAGGATCAGGCAAAGAAGGATGGATATATACACCGTGGTGTGACTTGCAATAATTGCGGCATGATGCCTATTCAAGGGATTCGTTACCGTTGCGACAACTGTGTAGACTTTGATCTTTGCGAGAACTGCGAAGCTCAGCAGGTTCACAACAAGACTCACGTCTTCCTCAAAATCCGTATTCCGGCCCCGTATATGGGTATCCCACGTCAAGGACGACCAGTCTGGTATCCTGGAAGACCGGAAACGCTTCAAAAGAATCTTCCTCCACCTTTAGCCCGACGTTTAGTCAAAGAAACCACCTTTGAAAGCACAGAAGTTGACGCCCTGTGGGACCAATATCGCTGCTTGGCTAATACTACGTGGCCTGCAGACCCTAACAAATTAGGGATGGCTATTGACCGCAAGACCTTTGATCGCTGTTTTATACCGAATACTTCCTCTAGGCCCCCGCCCCCAAGTCTGATTTTCGATCGCATGTTTGCATTCTATGACACAAATGGAGATAATCTCATTGGCTTTGAGGAATTTATCAAGGGCATTGCGAGCTTCAATAATAAAGCAATAGACGAAAAAATGCGCCGCATCTTTAAAGGCTATGACGTTGACGGCGATGGCTATGTTGAGCGAAAAGACTTCCTGCGCATGTTCCGCGCATACTATGCACTTATCAAAGAGTTGAGTGCCGATCTAGTTCAGGCATGGGAGGAGGACTTTGGTCCTGGCGACGGGACTCTTGCACGCGACATTGTTCTAGGCACACGTCCTATCAGTTCGGCATTTAGTGGCAACTTTGGCAATGCAGAAGCCCCGAGAAATGGAGAGGGGAAGCGAACCAATCTTGACGGGGACATGGAGATTGTTGACGGAGGAGGTATTTTGCGACCTGATGGCACGGATTACGGTGATATGTACTCCGCTGTAGGTGATGCCGCTGTTCGCCGAGAGTTCCGACAACCGCGATCCTTATCCATCATTCATCGTGTGGTGTCACCCCCGTCTTCGGTATCTGAGGATGGAATTGAGGGCGAGCACGAAGCTGAAGGTGATGACGAACAAGAACAGCCTGAATTGAACGAAGGGGAAGAAGCGGAAGAAGAGGAGGAAGAACTAGACGAAGAAGATAGTGGAGAGGATGAAGAAGAGGGGCCAGAGGAGGAAGCCGAAGATGGTGCAGAAGAAGAACGGGAAGAGATCATGCGCCCTTCCACTGTCGACGAAGCCCGGAGGAGGGCAGCCCATGAGCGCTGGCGCCGTCGTCAGTTCTACACAGACGAAGAAGATGGCGCAACAGCACCTGAAGGATTCGATACAGACACAGACATACACGACTCCGGAGATGACTCAGTCTATCCGGAGCAATCTTCCCGACCACCATCTTTGCGGTCAAGATCGTCTTCAAAGGTTCGCTTTGAAGATGATGATTACGACGTACGTTCTAATGGCTCGACCTCGGTTGGGGAACGTTGGGGTGGATTTGACGTGCCCGAACCAGAAAGGGACATTGGTAAAGAGATCCTTTACCAAGCAACTAAAGAAGGGATGAATGATCTTTTGGATGTCTTATTCAAGCAAAAAGAAGATCTTTTAATGGAGGCTCACAGGACGCGTAAAGACCGTCTTCAATGGGCTGCCGAGATTGAGTCTTTCGTGGATCCTAAGAAGCGCTTCAATTCGCACAGTCCAGAACCAATTCGGTCTGAAACCGGGGATAAAGAGCTGGATCATCTTCTAGATGCTTCGGGCTATTCGATAGTTGACAACATGGAAAACGACGTGGATAGCAACATCGGGTCAGAACCTAACATAGATATCGTCCCTCCCCCAGAAGAGAGAGTTGAAGAAGCCGATCCGACTCTTCCGCAGAACAGACCTAATGAAGCAGTAACCGTACCGACTATTGCTGCTGCCGCTGCTTCATCTCTTCGTCTGAGATTTGATGGATCTACAACCTTCCCAGCTCCACAGTCCGACGACTCGGACCAAGCGGAGGCAACAGCACCCAAATTCTCGCCGGTTTTAAAGCCATCGCCGTCTTCCGGCTCACCCGTTCATCGCTCACCTGAACTCCCCCCTTTGCCTCAGCAGCCGACTAGTCTCCCCTCTCGTCGTCAGCTAGCCTATTGGGCGCGTCTAAATCAAGTTGAACGAGAATCTATTGAACGAGGCGGTGGCGCCAAGCTGAATTATGACGAGTTCCGCCGCATCATGAATACTGAAGAGGGGAAGAAGCTCAGCTTCATCAGCACCTATATTGAAATGGCCAGCTTTTGAAACTGCTGCTCCTTCATATTACTTGTGATGTATAAATACTCAACCAACTATTCATATCTAAGTAAAATACTATCTTTTCATGGGTGGCGCCTGGGTCTGGACTTGACATTGCATTTGCGGTCGCATGGAATGAAAGGGGTTTGTTGGTTATCATCTGGGGTTAATGCTGGACGCCACAGTTGCTGTCCAGTTCTTGTATAATAAGATAATTGAAGCCTCTATTTGAATATTCTTCCTTTTTCATACCAAGGTATTCTTCCACCCTTGCCATAGCATTAGTGACGATCATGAACTGATTATATTGGTAAATCTAATAACACATGAGAACGTTATATTGCCAGACTCGTTCCAGCGCACATGATTGTCATGATCATGCTGGCGGCTCCTTGGGTGTATATGACAGCGTCATACCATCCAAATCCGCACGCTGATCGATCTGAATCTCAATATCGTCTCGAACATAGATCTGCGCATGCGTAGGATGCAAATGCAACCATCTCTCAGACATTCTCTCAGGAAGCTCGCGATAATTCCCAATACCTTCTTGTTGATGTTGACTATTCCTACGTTTCCTGCTAGTACCAGCAACATACCTCATAATAAGACGATAAACAGGCCTCGAGAGCGGTATACAAGCCGCGCTAATAATAATACCGACTTCAATATTCGTCCACATTGCGATTCTGTGCGTGCCAGCTACCGCAGCCTCGAGGCTAGCTTCGCGCGTACTCAGAATGGGCAGCAGGCTCGTTTTGTACACCCCTACTGCCCCGGAGATAATGCCTAGTCCCATCAAAATTGAGATTTGCAATTTGCGCGCGGTGGCAAGTCGCATTTTCCAAAATACGATGGCTGGGTAGATTGCGTAGATGAAGTCGAACATGGACGATGATGCTGGTAGATATATCAATTAGTGTTAATGTCTCGTAGCAGGCGCCGCCGTTGTCTTGTAGGTTCTAGACAACTTGAGAGTACCTAAAATACTAGATAATACAGAAGCATTGACAGGAATACTTACTATTAGCGATAATGTCAACGTCAACCGCGATATTAGGTCTCCAACAAGTCGGCTTGTAGCGTTCAGGGTCCCATTGACCTGGTATGGGGTCGCATTGGACAAACGTAATGGTCACCGCAGGGACACAAAGCAACAATAACGAAAGAACGGGCCCAACAATGAAGAAAATCTTCACCCATTTACCGGGTTGCATCAGGCGAACAAGCAACAGGGCGACAGAGACCTTGGGGAACCATAAGGCAGGGGCAGCAAGGGCGCTAGAAACGAGTCCAAGCTTGAGGGCAAGGGATATATCGACATTCATAGCTTTGACTGACAAGGTTGCGAGAATTGCAGCGCTGAGGTTAAGTGTCTATAGAAATCAGTTTAGTGATAGTCAAATAAGACGTGCATGAGATTCACTTGTTTCCCGATTAGATTGCGTACCCATCCAAAAGCCATGAGTGCATCTTCTAATCCAAGCCCTTCATGGGCGAGGAAAGATTGGGACAAGATGCGCAGAATAAACGTTATTGTTGCGACGGCCTCGAAAACCCATAGAATGGTATATGTTGATGCCGTATGTTGGGCTCTAACGTCTGTAGATGTGTTCATCTTTGCTAAGAGACATGCTAGTTTGTATGACAGCAAATAAAATGATGGCAAGAATAATAAAGAGATAACATGATCTTCTACACCCGATCGTACGTCAGATTGCTGAAGAACCTGAGTTCGTGCCTTGAATGGTCTGGGTATACATGCACGCATTGTTTCGGATTGAATAGAGGGGGAAATGGGGCCAAAAAGCAGGTGTTGAGAATGAACCAATTCCTATTGAGGTTTCTAGGGCTATTGTTACACAAGACACGAGAAAATATGCAGCTCAGATACAGCCACTGCCACCTCATGCTGTACTTCATCATCTGTTGTAGAGATTCCCTCGCTTAGATATGATCGGTGTTTCTATAAATTTGCATGTTGATCTGGGTTTATCATTCCCCCCCAACATTCCCAGGTAAGCTGCATCAAATACTTGGTTAGGACTTAGCCCTAAGGGGCCAGACAAAAGAGCACCAAACCACGCAGTACCTGATCTCCTTTTACTATGAGCATCACATGCCGCTATCAGTAGATCTGGGCATTATGCTTGATGGTCAAATTTGTTATCATGCAATCACCGAACCTAGGTGAGTATGCATCCAATCTAAGTAAGGCTACATAGCGGAGGCCATCACCAAACATCCAAACCGTTTACGTGCTCCCGGAGGGCCCGACAGATCGCTACATCAAATCACATATCACGATGTCGCTAAACATTAAAACGAGTTTCTTAATCATGTCAGACTCGCATGGGCACATCTAGGAGGGTTGGGGAGGAAAGTTGATTACTTGGCGAGGGGATATGGCTGCGACTTCGATACCTTCTCATATCGATCGTTCCAAATCAATCACATTCATAACTCGTGAATATGATTAAGATCAATAGTCATATTCATTTATTCATTCGCTCTGATTAGGGTGAATCTTAGCAGCGCGCTTCAAGCATGGCGACTTCGCCGACTACCATGAACGGTTTACCCATCAATATGCGCACCTCTTCTGCCGAATTGCAAAGTGGAAGATTGCCCCGTCCTCCTGGCTATCCTGGACCCCCGTCTAAAATCATCCCCTTCCTCCTAAGCATCCCAAAAGGCGCCATGAAACTAGCTGCCTGGTTCTCAGCATCTCTTCTCTTCGAGGATATCTGTCCTCGACGCCCTTTTTTTGGCGCCTAAGCTAAGCAACCACCACTAACTTATCATGTTCCTTTTATCCTTTCTTTTCTTCTATCAGTATTGAACAGGTTAGATTGGGTCATGGGGAGTTGGCGGACCACTGCTGCCGGCAGCAACAATCAGCCCCTACACGTAGAGGCCATCCATCTGACGACGGCAAGTTATGTAAAAGCGCCAAAGAGTCACTTCTTGTAACTAGTTCTTGACACCCAGGGCTTACCTTGGCGGGCTTTTTCCGGTAGGCAGTGAATAATCACGGCCTCTGGCCGTTACATGATGTGTCTCTCTCTCACTAGTATACTCTGAACACGTTAGTATACTACAACGAGTCAAGCTGTACGGGGAGCCACTTCGATCTCTGTGATAACCTCATACTTTCTCTTACCAGTGCTGTTATCATGTGTATGTCAGTGGCGTCTATTCTATAGTTGTCCTCCTTTGCAAACCTGTGGATCGCCAGGAACGCCTATGACGTAGCGAGGCTCATCGCTCCATAGCCCTACCGGAGTACTTCTACTTTTAAGCCCGCACTGTCCAAGTCGGGCTCATCTCGACTGCCGATTATGACTTCGTACTTATAGACAAGTAAGTAAGCATGGCTTCTTACGACCAAACACCACGTTTCGTGACAAAAGAGCGAGATTTCTACAGGTCGGCAGTCGGCCCGGCGCCGTTTTAGGGAACTTTGCTGACTCATCAAGGTACCTCCCGCACGACCACGCAACATATCCCTTGGTTCCTTTTGACGATTCACGTCGAGACCACTTTGTTCCAACGCCGTCGCGAGATCATGTCTTGACGTCGTTGGCCCAACTCGGAGCCATGCGGCTTCGTGCCGAGCGGGCAATCATCTCCCTCTTCGGTCTCACCCACCAGTATGTCCTCGCCGAGGCTACGGGGTCCCTGACAGGCGACGATTTACGGTTAGGATGTTGTGTACTGCCACTTGGGAGCGGTATCTGCATAGAGGTCGCTCAATTACCTTTGGCAGAGCCTTCGTATGATCCCGAAATTGCTGGAGGGGCTTTAGTCATATTGGACGCGGAGCAGAGCCAGCACGTAAGACAACACAGTCTGATAAACAGCCTTCTTATTGCACGGTTTTGCGCTGCAGTGCCAATAGTGGGCCCCCGTGGAAGCACAATAGGATCCTACGCTATCTTCGATAGTCAGCCACGGCACTCTGGGTTGGACGAATCTTCGATAGAGTTTATGAAGCACATGGCGGCGACAGTCATGGAGCACTTGGATGCTCTGCAGTCGAAGCATCAGAATAGCCAGGCAAAGAAGATGATAATTGGGCTCGGGAGCTTCGTAGAAGGCAAGACCACGCTCCGTGATTCCTGGCTTGAATCTCAGGAACAGGAAGCCACGACCTGCCAAACAGGCGAGACGGTCGAGGGGCAGTTGAATAAACAGCAGCAGGACATTCAGCGAACGCAAAAGCAGTCCCGACAGTTCCTTCATCGTCCGAAGAGAGGATCAAGATGCTCGCGTGAGGAAAAGCTGGAGGGGCGCCAGCATGTGAAAGCAACATATCGAGCCTCTGCTTCAGACGTTAGATGGACAGACGACAGCACCTCGGCCGCATTTCAACGGATATTCTCTCGGGCAGCGAACTTGATTCGTGAGTCGTTAGAAGTAGAAGGGGTTGTGTTTTTAGATGCCCGGATTGGGTCTTTTGGGGGACTTGTCGGATACGAAGCCACACGTGACCGGGCAAGGTCAGGCAGTGAAGACAGCACCGATTCGGGAAGCAGTGAAAGTGCATCAATACCGGTTCCCTCTCCTGCAAACCCCAATGATGACACTACCGCCTGCCGGCTATTAGGCGCGTCAAATTCATTCTCCTCCACCATCGATAATCTTCATCTCGCGTCGGAAAGTGACTATGCAGTTCGCGAGACGGTGCTGAAGACCATGATGAATCGGTATCCCCAGGGGAAAATATTCAACTTTACTCAGGACGGCTCGCTATCCAACGGTAGCAGCACCAGCTCGGTAGGAACACACATATCCGAGGATAGCGGGAAACGACAAGGGCCTAAGCATAAACAAGACGCCCATGAGCTTCACAAAGCGCTTGGAGGTGCCTGTAGTATCGTCTTCCTTCCGCTTTGGGACACACATAAATCAAGATGGCTATCTGGTGTGCTTGTTTGGACGAATACGCCCAAGCGAGTGTTCACAGTGGAAAACGAACTCGCGTACCTTCAAGCGTTCGGCAACAGCGTCATGGCTGAGGTACACCGACTTGATGTGGAGATGGCTGAGAAAGCCAAGACGGACCTGGTCACCAGCATATCCCACGAACTGAGAAGCCCTCTGCACGGTATTCTTGGAACGGCGGACATCCTGAGCGACACAGCCTTAAACGCACTTCAGCAAGGAATGGTGCATACGATCGAATCGTGTGGCCGGACATTGCTCGATACGATCAACCACCTGCTTGACTTCACTTATATTGATAAGTTCAAGCAAGACCCTAAGTCCAAGGAGAAACAGCAGCGTAAGTCTAGCAGTCATGGACGAGCAAGGCCGGACAGTAACCCGCCGAGCAGCAGCACGAATGGGTTTGAGAACGTCCAGCTTGACTCTGTGCTTGAGGAAGTTGCGGAGAGCGTTTTTGCGGGTCACAGCTTCTACCACCACCCTCGGGCCCAGCACACAGAGCCGCACGATACAGGAGAGTCCCAAATCGCGCTTCCACCAAGGCATGTGACTGTTATCTTCGACATTCAGCAATTCGCGGAATGGAAATTTTTCACACAGGCTGGGTGCTGGCGCCGTATTTTGATGAATGTCTTCAGCAATGCGCTCAAGTACACTACTCAGGGTTACATCTGTTTGGGGCTGACTGTAGCCGAATCATCTCGTCGACGCAGTGATGACTCCGCCGTGTCCCGAGAAGGCAACAAGCAATATACGGTAACCCTTACTGTGAAAGACAGCGGGCATGGCATTGGTGCGAAGTTCCTGCGAAACGGGCTATTCACTGCTTTCTCGCAAGAAGATCCCCTGGCCCCTGGTAGCGGGCTGGGACTGAACATCGTCCAAAAAGCGCTGCGTTCGCTTAACGGTTCAATAGAAGTCAGTTCCGAGAAGGATAAGGGCACTGAAGTCACAATCCAAGTACCGCTCAAACTTGCTTCAGTTCCGGACACATCGGATGGATCTTCTTCGAACGTGGCGTGTGACCTGGTACGGAGGGAAGCGGAAGGAAAAACGATCGGCCTGTTAGGATTTGACTCATTAGGCTCATCAGAGCGAGATAGCACGCTCTACGAATCACTGAAGCGGATGTGCGAAGACTGGTTCCATCTCACCGTCAGAAAAACATCTGTCCACGGCGAACTTATTCCCTGCGATTTCTACCTGATGGTCAACGTCGACCTCGGTCCGGACGCCGAAGGAAACCAGCAATTCAACTTCGGGGAGTCCGGCGGGATATCGCCGCTTATTGTCATTTGTCAGTCTCCCGAGACGGCGCACAGCATGTTCGTGCGCTCCATGACGACGAATCACAGCAAAAACTCCGTCATCGAGTTTATAAGCCAACCTTGCGGTCCTCGTAAACTGGCAAAAACTTTAGAGCTATGTATACGACAGCTGCACGGCGAAAGCACTCACAGAGATGAAGATACTCGATGGGTTGAGGTGCCGGAATCTTCTCATGTGCCTTTGGACATTGATACACGAGATGCGCCAGGCGACAGAATGAAAATCAGCAAACGGCCTAATGCAGACACGAGGTGGAGCCAGGACTCCGACTTCAACAATATGGTTGGCAAGCCACTTCACGAGACCCCTACCGCACAGGACAAAGAGAGTATGTCTGGACCTGATCCACCGTGCGCACTGCTTGTCGAAGACAACCCTGTAAACTTGAGTATCCTCGCCGCGTACGTATTAAAAGAACAGTGGGATTTCGTAAGCGCAGCAAACGGACTTGAGGCATATGAGAAGTTCCGTGAGAACCCGGGCAAGTTCAGAGTGGCTATCATAGGTAAGCAACGGCACTGGGTTGTTCCTTGCTTTTTCGTTATACACTAACATGCCCTTCTGTAGACATTTCAATGCCGATCATGAACGGCTTCGAGGCTAGTCGAGCATTCCGGCAGTTCGAACGAGAACACTTCAATGCAAATCCCGACTCAAAACCACCCTGGTACCCGACAGCAATCATTGCGTTGACTGGCTTGGACAGTGCAGATGCGCAGCAAGAGGCCTTTGCTTCTGGAATCGATACCTTCCTCACGAAGCCAATCAACCGGCAGCATATACGAACTCTACTCGAACGGTACAAGGCATAATGGATGTCTTGACGAAGAACCGCTACGAAAGCACCCAGTCTACCACTGCAAATCGTCTATATACAATCATACAATATCAAATGATGGCATTCTACCATCTAATTTTCCTCGTCTAGATCTCAGGGGTCTCCCTGTATCTAATCGTTGAATGGGCTGCGCGCAATTCGACTACTCCGACCAACAATCCCCCGCATCTGTGAGACCCCATATTGCATCATTGAATTCTAGAGAATACTAACAAAATTGAAAGTGTGCATCAGTTCGTTGACGCCTACTGGTGGAAATTTCTGGTGGCCGGCGTTGTTTTATTGGTGGTGGGTGCATTCGCCCACCGAATGTACGCATCTATTCTCCTGGCTACCTCACGAACTCAATCACTCTACAGCAAAAATGCCAGAACTATGAAAGTTTGGCCTGGTCCGCGCACCAAAACTACGAGGGTCGCCTCCGACATCACGACAACCAATCCACCGAACACCACCGATGGCGATGAAGCCGTCAAGAGTACAAATGGGCCGGGTGCCCCCCAGGCACCCGAAAGAAACCCCATTTTGAAATTTTTTAATTCGTCTTGGGAGAGGATTGGCCCAATTTCCTCAGTAGAGACTAGGAGACAGGAGGCCCCCAAGTATAGGTTAATGATTATATCAAAATTAAAAAGCACATATTATTGACAACGGAGAATTACGCCCAAAAAGCACCATTTATACGATTACCAGAAAAGCCCTATAAGGGGTCCCTTTTTGGTGACTTAATGGTTATAATCCGTTGTTAATTATTCTTAACGATACAAATCGATGATTGTGCCTCCACTTTCTAACACCATTGCGACACCAGTAATCAACAAGAAGTATATGCAAAGCCTTTTTATCTTTACCAATAAAAGTGTTAACATGCCCGCTTCTTTACAAACAACAACCACATTCCCTCATGCAATGCATCAGCACCTCCGTGCACTATTAAATTAGCACGCATCATTTTGCACCAAAATATGTATGGCGACGTATGCAAGGTTCCTTACCAGGAAGTAGTCGACACAACAATACGATCACTTGTGCGTCCCACCAAGGCCTTCAATAGATCATTGATACAATACTGTATTACCTGCTTCATACTGCGCAGGTAACTGGCACCAAACCTCATTTTAACCAAGACGTCAAGAATCTACGGGTTACAGCTGAAAATCTTTCAACACTCCCGTGAGCTGTACGCCCTGAATGTGTAACATGCACCCTCAAGGTTCATAATCCCGGCCATGCAAACGCAATATTTGGTAGTTACGATATGGTACAGATAAGAACTTCTACCATGCCCAGCCTGCCATATCCAATAGCATCCCCGGATTTCCCGAAGTAGTCTCATCTTATCATATTTTGCATGCGATTCGTATTTCCTCATCAAGACTAGTGTGCGTGAGCTATATCAGAGCTACTATACGTTTATCGACATGACACGGTCTCAAACCTTTGTTTGGTTCTAGATCCGTCAAGTGAATTACATTTGAGGGGTTGATTCGACCATCTATCTCTCGCAGCCGTGGGGAAGATAACATGCCGGGCGAGATTGCTTCGAGTCCGAAGCGGCTTAGGGCTTTAGGGGGGGTTCTTCTGGAGTCACGTTCTCATATTCACCCTCATGCAAGACTTGCTATTACAAGGACAGAGTTGAGTATATGCGGTTGTGCGAGATCATCGTTTTGATAGTGATTCATACGCACCATTGCTAGTATAGTCAGACCTGAACTACTAGTACACAACGAAAACCTTGAAAAATTGATAATCTCATTTCTAGAAGGTAGTTTGTTTACATTACAGGCCTCGATATCCAAAACTGTCGGCCTATATTGTCTCCATATGCGGTAAATCTTTCAAGGCCTGCTCCAAGATCTTCACCCCCTCAAGCATTGTCTCTATATCAATAACAAGTGATGGACAAACCCTCAGACGTCTCCCTGATGCATTCGCCACAAGACCTCTTTTCAGACACAGGTCCACGAGTCGCTTTGCAGTCACCCGGCCTTGAGGGTGGGTTTCATGGATGTAGATACTTCGGAACAAGCCTTTCCCAGTTACAGTATCAAAGTAGGGCGAGTCAATCTCGGCGAGCTTCTTATAAAACATTTCGCCAAGTTTGTGGGCTCGATCAGGGAGTTGTTCGTCGAGTATGACATTCAGGGCTGCCAGGGCGATGGCACTCGCTAATGGATTTCCAGAGAATGTAGAGCCGTATCTGTGAGACAATATGGATAAATCAGTACTAACTTATAAACACGGGAAACAGGTCTAATATTTTGACACTTACTGTCCAGGCTCAACACCTCCCAAAGCATCGGCAGTTCCTACCACCGCGGAGATAGGGTACAAACCACCGGAAAGAGATTTCCCAAGAACCACCATATCAGGCTTGATATAAGCCGAGTCAAATGAAAACATAGACCCTGTACGACCTAATCCAGCTTGAATTTCGTCGGCAATAAAAAGAACATTATGTTTCGTACAAAGCTCTCGCACCGCCATTAGATACTCATCAGTGGGAGCAAGACAGCCGGCATGTCCCTGAACACATTCAACTAAAAATGCAGCAATGCGTGTACCACATTTGTTGAATGCCTCTTCAAGGTCTTCAGTCACACCAAATCGAATTGTATTACCGGCACAATAGGGACCAACATTGGGCATCCATGGTCCGCAGTCTGTGACCAGTTAGCTTTTATTCTTTCCATGGCTTTTGCATTGCAAACTAGGGAAATGAAAATTGCGTACTCTTTCTGTAATGACCGTCAGTTGAACCAGACAGCAAACTCAGAGATCGACCGTGATAATTCGCAACCGCAGTGAGTACAATGGCCTCACCTTCTGCGATTCCCTTCTTCTTATACCCCCATGCGCGCGCGAATTTGACAGCCATATCGACCGCCTCTGCGCCCCCATTCAGCATAGCAACCTTATCATATCCGGTCACTTCACATAGCCTTTTGCAAAACATGGGGTATTGCGCCACGTGAACGCTCCGCGAGGGCATCGCTAGTTGCTGACATTGTTGTATCATTGCTTGCACAATCTTGGGATGGCAGTGGCCCTGATTACATGCAGAGAAACCGGCATTGAAGTCAATGTATTTCTTGCCATGGAGATCCCACAGGAATGCCCCTTGACCCTTCGTCATGATCACATCGTGACTTGGCATGCCTTCGACGGTGTATAGCGCGTCGTAATGGAGGTAGTCGGCAGTAGAGTATTCCGAGTTTTCTGGTTCGTCGGGACGTACCTCAATAGTCGTTAACAAAGTTGAGGGCTCATTGGGAGCCTTTGGAGAGATGCCCTCAGTTGAAGAAACTGCTGCGGAAGTCATAATGGGAAGTTGGTTGGATTTCAAAGAATGGTGAGATGCCTTGCTCATCGTGTGTAGCACTCTAGACTGAGCAGGGAATACAGTGAATGTTGGGTCTTATTTGCTTTTTCATTATAGCAGAGACAAGGGACTAGATACGCGTCTTCAAGATTCCTTCCCAATCCCCCGCGAACCAACGAGGTATATTTGGGGGCTATCAAAAGCGGAAATATTGCCCTTTTCGGCCCTCAACCCTAACCTTTCCTATTAAGGCAAGTCGAAACGCCGAGCTCAGTACAGAAGTTGGCGATATCGGATAACTCCAAAACTTTACAATAGATTGAGGAGCCAACTGAGCCCCGCATGCTATCTGTTGTTATCTTCGAGGTCTCCTCTCGCACGGGTGTTATGATTCTTGACATTCCCTTTGACAGGAATTTCTTTTCTTTTTCTGCATTGTCTATTCATAATATCTGTCGATTCATCATTACAATGGGTTCAACTGCGAAATCGAATATCTTAGTGGTTGGATTTGGAGGCATTGGCACGATAACCGCCTACAATTTGGAGGCCGGCGGTCTTGCGACGGTGACAGGCGTGCTGCGGTCAAACTATGACAGGGTAAACGAGCATGGCTTCAAAATATGGTCCTGTGATCACGGTAATATTCCGTCTTGGAAGCCGAGCATAAGTAAGATTTCCCGAACATGTCATTTTATTCAAAGAATAATAATAAAGCCCAAGAAGCTTACTGCCGATTCTAGTATCGAGGAATGTGCCAGATGTGCAGGCTGAGTCTCTCCCTCCATATGACTACGTCGTCGTCTGTACAAAGAATCTGCCCGATATACCACCCACAGTAGAGGAAATAATCCGCCCGGCAATCACACCAGGCTACACGGTAATTGTTCTGGTGCAGAATGGGCTCAATATCGAAAAGCCGATGTTCGCTGCATTTCCCTCCAACATCGTCATCTCCGGTATCTCGCGGATGAGCTCCGCGGAGCTGAAACCGGGTCAAATATTCCATCAGGACCATGACATTCTGATCATTGGCGCATTCCGAAACCCCAATTTGAAGTTGGAAACTGAGCTGAAAGCTGCCAAGCACTTTACTGAGCTGTACAACGCCAGTGGGAAGGCAACCGGGCAATATGCTGAAGACGTGTTATTCATGCGATGGCGAAAATTGGTCTACAATGCCTCTTACAATTCTCTTTGTGCGATTACAGGCATGGATACTTCTAAGCTTCGTCTCTCAGGTACTGCTGTGCACGAGCTTTTGCTGCCTGTCATGCTGGAAGTCAAAAGTATTGCTCGGGCTGCTGGTGTCCAGCTAGCCCCAGACCAAGAAGATGCATCCTTAAATGGCGATGCGATTGATGCTTATTTTAGGCCTAGCATGCAGCAGGATATCGAAAAGGTACGGCGGTCTATGATGATGATATATGCATTCAAATTTCTAATGCATCTTCTAGGGTAATTTTATGGAAATGGAAATTATCGTCGGCGAGTGTGTGAGAGAAGCACAGCGTCTCGGCGTCCCGGCACCTACACTGTCGTTTATTTACTCCCTATTGAAGGTCTTGCAGTTCAAAACCAAAGTGAAGAGAAACATGGTCACACTTCCTCCTATGAAGGACTACGGAGCTGGAGACATTCTGGCCATGTTAAAGGACACAGCCAGCCAGACATGATTAACGCTGCAATAACTGGGTATTTGTACTCAATTGACGTGTTAGTAGGGTTACTGGATAAAAGTGTGGAATAGCTTCCTAATTAGTATGTGGCCTAAGATTTCATACTAGATTAGTAGTCTGCTTTTATAATAAATTGCTCAACAGGTCTATAATACTTTATCAATAACTTAGCTAACATACCTATTAATACTCTCTTTGAAGTTTCCCTAAGTATTTGTGATGATGCAAAGCCCCAAGATATGATTGTTAAGGCACCAAGAGAAAAAGCTGGATAAAGAAATAGAAGAGAAGTACTACATGACAGGCTTCAGGCTCTTTTCCATGCGACGTCTAGTAATATAGATTGTCCACGATGTCCCTGTTAACAAAAGCTGTTTGCTTTCTAGACATCACAACCATCCTCAGGCGTTGGATCGATATATGGAGTAGATCCTAGTCCCGCATCTATGCAGCAAATTACTTCATATGAAAGCCTCCCTTATGTTACCTGTCGCTTGTACAGCGGACTTTCAAAATTTCATATTGCACTAGTTCTATACAAGAGTCTGGTCAACTACTTTGGTTTTGAGCTGATCTCACCACAGCCTTGTCTTAACCAATCTAGGACATGCGAAAATATAGATTATCTGAGACAAAAGTAGCCTCAGAGCTGACTAGCGATTTTGAAAATACTCGTGTTTTCCCCGTTGATTAAATGCATCTTTGAAAATGAGGACCAATGGAATGTTACGAGGTTTTCTTTTGGTGGGTATGTTTGTCGACGTTCTGATATGTATAAAGATATCGCACATTGGTGATCTTTAGAACCTTGGAATATGGCCAGTCAGCTCCCAATTTTAGTCCTTTATTTTAAGCTTTGTATTTTACGGAGAGTCCACTCGATTTTAGGCATTATGCGCCTCTATTTCCTCCTCGCATTGGTCGTCAGCACCGCGGCTTTGCCTACACACGATCCTATCTAGTCAGGCTACTTCCTGGTCTTCGCAGCTTTCATTTGAGTGCCCACAGCAATACCTCGGTAAGTTTCCAGTTAGGCTTGATCAGCGTTGAATGCTGAGGGAGAGGAGGTCATTTGAGGTCTTGCTCTCCATGCATAAACTTTCCTTCTCTTTCCCCTCGTTATTTTTCACCTCCTCTCTCTCTATCATAAAATCTCCCAGGTTTCCTTTTCAACGTTGTACATACATAACTTGTTTTCCGGGCGCTACCTGTGGAAGTGACACTGTAACAGGTCTCGGTAGCGGCCATTTTCTGCCTCGATTTCACAGATCCTTTGTATGCCACGTATTCTATGGACTGTAACTTGCCGAGTCCCTTTGTGCTCGCCCCCGGTGATACCTTACTATCTCTGAAGAGTTGCAAATGATGAGAGAGAGATGATGAGGAAAAGTAGGCTCGTAGCCCTAGCCTAACCCTAAGATAACTTAAGAGGGGTTGGCAAGATAAATAATCCGCTGCTCATTGGCTACACTACGCAGACCCAGCTCTTATATAGATAGAGCTACCATGTTCAATTATCTCCAGTGCTGTAAGATCAGACATCAAAGCAAAAGGTCATAGTTAGACAACGGACAGAATGGGTTTGGAGAAACGATCGCGACGGGGCTGCAAGCAGTGCCGGGCAGGCCACCACAAATGCGACGAGATAACGCCCGCCTGTCGTCGTTGCCAAAACCGCGGCTTCGTCTGCGACTATGGCTCAATTTCTATCAGATGGTGCAATGTCCGAACAGCTCAGTCCGTCGGTCAACAAACTGGCTCCTCGCGGGTTTCTCCTGTGGCTCCTGTGGAACAACACGACTCTCCCTCTTCTTCTACATACCTCTCCGCCGGTAGAGAGACTATCCAATTTCATGGCTATAGCTATACCGATGCGCATCCCTCCTCTTTATCGCCTCAGAGCCCGGCTGTTTCACCAGTATTGCAGAGGACTCCACTATTTGAACAACCAGAGGAAGTGACATTGTATACATATTGTATGTGGTGACGTCTTTCTTACGGTTCATTTACTTATCTGACGATCCATCTCAGATGTCAATCGGGTCGCAGGGGAACTTCAGGCTCGTGACGGATTTCACAATCCATACCGCAAGTTGTCCGTTTTCAGTCTCAGTTTTCCAGTGCTTTTGCGATCAATCTTGTCGTGTGCGGCCGAGCATACCCGTAGCCTAGGTCTCTGTCCTGCTCAATTGGCCGTAGATCTCCACGATCAAGCAATCCGAGAAATCCGTCTAGAACTCGCTGGATGGTCACCACGCACACCGGTGGTGCATAGCAGTCTCCCCATTTCGATTGGCATGACAGCTGATGAAGCGCTTCTGGCAGCAGTCTTGTTGCAGCCCGGTGCTATTGCATTCAGTGGGAGTTCACCCCTCTCGGTGCACACGCATCTTGAAATCGGATTCCACATGCTCACTGACCTTGGATACTTGAAAAATCCCAAGATTGTCAATTCTTTCATTCCAAAATTTCTACTTCAGCGGTTTGCCATCGTTGATCTTGGGATCTGTGTGTGGCATAGACGGAGGCCTCGTATTGCTCCAGACATATGGCTCATTGAACCCATCGATGTCAGTAAGATCATGGTAGAAAATGCCTTTGAAGACATTCAACCCTCATTCTACGAAATGGTGGGCTGCCCATATACTGTTTATACATTTCTCAACCGTGCCATGCATCTTGCCAGCGACGTTTCTTGCATATCAAGTCCGCAGTCACAAAGAAATATCTATCAGAAAGCAATTTCACTTGAAACAGAAATCCGCACGTACGACCTCACCCTCCATGATTTCAGGGATAATGGAGGTCTTCCCGATGCACCCATGGCTGCAATTTGCCGTGCCTTCACGCATGCTGCATTGATTTTATTGTTCCGTCGGGTCTTTCTCGAGCCATCCTCCTCCCCAAGAGTTCAAAATAGTATAGAAACAATATTCGCACTCATAGACAAGATTCCAGTCACCCCAAAATACGCATCTGCCGGGGCAGAAGATGTGCATTCTGGAATCGACTCTGCTACGGGTCTTCCATTCTATCTTGCGGCGCGCGAAGCCCTCACAGTTGAAACTCAGGGTATGATCAGAAAGAAACACGAGGCATGGCGCAAAGTGTATCCAAATCCGGCTAGGATTCAGCTGATGAATGTGACCGAAAGGCTCTGGTTGGAGCGATTTAAAGATCCTGATTTGAGCGAAGAGGCCTGCCAGGAAATTGAAACTTCGTGTGATGCATATCTCTTTTAGGCATTCTATAGTATCAGGGGTATACAGCTGTCACAGATTGGGGTCATTTAAGGCGAATCTTACACCTGGTTCTTGAGGCTTATTCTACAAAACGAATTTGTCTTGGCCTTTTTGTTAGTCCAGGTTCCATGAGGATGGAGCACAGTCTATTAGGCAAGCATTAAGGGCGCACCTGGGTAGTTCGTTTGTATACCCAAGACCCTATTGGTATGGATATATAAAATACGCTGCATATGACAATTTCAAGTTAATGGGTACTAGTCCTCTGTGAATGTGTACATGGTATAGGTAAAATCACTGCGAAACGATCGAGCGACTGAACCCTAGGATCAGTGCAATTGAAATTCTAGCCCTTCGTCACAGCAGAGTCCAAGACTTAAACAGACCTACCTTCGATGACCTCTGCCTCTCTTTCGACCTCGGAGTTAATCTGAGGTAAGTACCGAAATACAATCGGCATAGCAGCAGCAATCAAACCACACGCACCACACATAACAATCACGGCAATAAATCCGGGTTTGTAATCAGGGGCATCATTTGAAGGCCACATACGACTTCCGTATATTGAAGCCAAATCTCCAATTCCATTAACAATGGCAATTGCAACGGCTCGCTTCTCCTTTGGTAGAGAGAGTGTCTCCGAAGTCCAGATCAGGATCAACGGAAAAGCGCAATAAACGCCAGCCATGTAAAAGCAAATAAAAGCATAACGGGCCGCGGAGTTCTTCACGGCTACAATAATGATACCTGAGATAGTTGCGACACCCATGCCGAATGAGATGTGCCATTGCCGATCTTGCGTGCGGTCAGACGAAAGCGAGACGCCAACCAGGAAAATTGTTGCAACAATCCTAGGCCTGTGTCAATAATTCTTCGACAATGCAAAGCACCGGAAGTTGAGAATTTGCTTACCAGATAGGAATTGTCATCCACTGGGCCCTATCACCCGAGTAACCCATATCGTCGAGGACCGTGGGAATGAAATACGAGATTGTAGCAACGCCGTTGTCAAGAATGTATAAGACAACAAAAAACCAGGTCCTCAAATCAAGAGTAGCCGCAACAAACGCTTGCCATGGGTTCATTTTCATGCTCTGGTGCGTCTCGTGGAGTTTTCTATCGTATAGAACCCGTATCTCAGCAAGCCGGCGCTCTTCAGGGGTGAATCGAAGACTTGTCGATGGATAGTTGGGCAGTATGTAAATGCAAATCATAGCAACACCAATGGTAATGACACCTTCAAGGAGGAAAAGCCAACGCCATCCGGCCATTCCGTGAGACCCTTCGAGGCCCGCGATGACGGCTCCAGAGATAAGACCACTAACGGCTCCAGCAATGCAGAGAGCAGTAAAAAAGATTGAAAAGCGCTTTCCTATCTCACAGCAAAATGGCTGTAATGAGTTATTTGCACCCGGGAAGGCCTTTTTAGATGATCGTACGAACATACCAATTTCATGTTTCTTGTACCAACAACTCATTAAAAACATGACTCCAGGCATGAATCCTGCCTCTATCAATCCGAGAAAGAACCGAATGACAAGTATCCCTTGATACGTTTTGATCTGCGATATCCCTGCTACCAAGGCACCCCAAGCAATCATAATGCCAGGAAGGTACCATGAGGGACGCACACGTATGAGGATGAGATTGGATGGGACTTCAAGTATCACATATGCAATGAAGAAGATGGTAATCAACATGGCATATCCTATTTGATACAAATAACAATAATAAAGTCAATTATTTCTGAGATTCTATTTCGTTTCCAGCATGCAGGAGAGACATACGGGAGCTCGTTAAATCCAAGGCATCTTGCATGCCTGCAGTTTTTGCATTACCCTGTGTTTGTCAATTACTGGTCGTTGGTACATGCAAGACGAGCAATGATACGTAATACGTACAATATTGTTTCGGTCGACATATGCCAACACACACATCAACCACAGAGTAGGCATCATGAGCAAATCCAACTTCCGAACCAGTCGTTTTTCGAGATCTGTGTCTGGCACATAGCCCGAGATATCGTCCTCAGACGACACATCCTTAAAGTCAGGGACGACTGATGACACTATTGTAGGCTGAACATCAGTCGATGGCGGGCGCTCGGAGATATCTTTCTTTACAACATCCATTTCAAAAGTATTAATGGCCGACTTTTGCACTAAACGTCGATGTTAAGATGGTTGGAGACTCGTCGACAGGATACATAATGTATCTTATAAGCCCCGAAGGGACATGACGCTGTGCCAGATGCGCATTGGCAAAGCAAGGATTCGTTACTGATAGCGACGATACAAGCGCACTCTGTCTCTATCTGATATCTTGGAGTATGAATAATTGCTAACCGCATCTGGCAACCATAGCCTAAGGCCATCCAAACCGTGCTAGCCCGCAACTTAGGGCCCGATAAGGGGTGGACGAGGCGAGATACCGATTCGAGTGTTGAGGGGGAGAGCAATCGTCTCGAGATTACCTCTTCTCACCGCTTTTGAACGAGGGCATGGTAGTTGTGATGACTGGAGAGACGAGCAGCGCCGATATTAGTGCAAGTATAAATAATCTCGTTCCCTTTTACTATCTTTGGTCTTGTCATTATTCGCATCTCCAAAATAAATACGTATACCTACGGCTTACCTACCTACCTCATTGCCCGAGCTATCAATTGACCACTAGACAAGGTAAACGCATCGCTGACATGCCAGCACCAAACGAAGTTTATACAATCGCGGATATCCGAGAGGCTGCCGTAGCCAAGCTCGATCCAAAATGGGCAGCCTATCTTAACGAGGGCGCAATGGATCTTGTTACCGTCAAAGCAAACGAGACAGCCTACGATCGATATAGGATTATGCCACGCATACTTCGAGACGTCAGCAAGGTGGATACAAGTGCCAACATGTTTGGCACAAAAGTGGCAATGCCATTTGGCTTTTCGCCAGCAGCAATGCATTGTCTCGCACATGAAGATGGTGAACTTGGGACATCGCGAGCAGCCGCAAAAGCGGGGGTTCCCATGGGCCTGTCTCAGTGGGCTACCAAATCGCTGGAAGAAGTCATTGCTGCTGGAAAGAGTGTCCAATCTACTAATTGCTGTATTCCGTACGGGATTCAAACCTCGGGTGCTGCCCGCAAGGAGGATATCGTCACGCTTATCAAGCGAGCCGAAAAGGCAGGCTTTAAAGCCTTACTGTTAACCGTCGATGCCCCGACCATCGGCAGACGTCTTAATGAGTATGTATCTTGTAGGTCCTAGGTTGTTCTAGCAGAGTCTCATCCACAGACCTAGATATCGAAACGGCATTGATCTCCCGGAGAACTTGAAGTTCCCGAATCTCTCGTACGACCCAAAGAACTTTCGGGATACGAAACGGGACGCCGGCACGACGTTTAGCGAGTTCATCCCGTGGTTATCAAGTGTGACGCCGCCAAGTATGGAGATATGGCTGAAGGGAATCTACACCCCGGAAGATGTGATGCTGGCTGCTCAATACCCGCGTGTCCGAGGTGTCATCGTATCGAATCATGGCGGCAGGCAACTTGATGGAGCCCCCGCTACTCTTGAAGCTCTGCCCGAGTGCGCAGCTGCCGCAAGGTCAATCAATGCATCTCGTACTGCCGCAAACAAGTTGATGGTTGGGATTGACGGGGGTATCAGGAGGGGAAGTGACATATTCAAAGCGTTGGCATTAGGTGCTGATTTTTGTTTTGCCGGGAGGATACCGATTTGGGGTTTGGCATACAACGGCCAACAGGGAGTAGAAAGGGCTCTGGAGCTGTTGCGTGACGAACTTGAGATGTGCATGCGGTTGGCTGGATGTAAAAGCATCGCCGAGATAGGGCGCGAAAGCCTTGCAGTCGTGGAGGGCGGAGTGCCTGGATTGATTACGAGATTGTCCAAATTGTAATGAGCTTATCCTTTTACGGCTATTGAGGCTCTAGAATAATACCGCTAGTACACATAGCATCCTTTCAGGCAACTTTGATTGGTTGATTCTCCCTTCTTTCCCGCAAATATCACTTTGACCCACTTTGATATCGTATATATCGTACTGATACGTCAAATCCATAGAGTTCGTACCTTTAAGCTTCATTTCGAAGCTGTATCGTTTAAGGCGGGTGGTTCTTTATCAGGTAGGTCTGTTGTCATGTTTTGATATTCTGCTGTTTAGGATTACCAATCCAGGCAAACTAGCTCCCCACTGACACTTATAAATATATCTGTTCTGTTCAGAATGCTTGAGGGAGCCGAGATATCTGGACGGCCAAAACTTGTATATACAAATGTAGTAAATGATTGGATATACTCTACCTAGTTTCATACCACTACCTAGGTATAAGACAAGGTGCCTGTTGACTTAGGGCTGTAGATCGATAGACTTCCGAAATGAGCTTAGCCCGAATTCATAGATTGGTATTTTTAGGCTTCACCTTCAATATCTTACTATGCAATAAATATTCACATAATAAATTTTATTCTGTTTTGTTCCAGATTACTTGTATGGTTTAGAAGACACGTAGCCTTTTAGCTTTAGTCCAACAAAACTACTGCGACGATACTCCACTAGCTGAGGCTGACGTCTCTAGCCCACACTTCTCTGTTTCTGCAACCAACTTTCCAACCCCAAACGACAGACACGGCAGTGGACGTATCAAAAAAATGATTAAACCTACAATCGTCTTCTTGCCCGGAGCCTGGCTCACAGAGTCCTGCTACTCTCCTTTGCTCTCATCCCTAAAGAAAGAAGGCTTTCCCGTCCACTATGCACAATACCCATCCCTCAACCCAAGCCCCCAGTACATTCCAGATGCAGATTGCCAGCGCGATGCCACTGCCATCCTCAATCAAGCCATCAAGCCCTTAATTGAGGACCAGGGCCAAGACGTCATTCTTTTCATGCACTCATACGCCTCAATGCCGGGAAGCGCTGCAGCCCGCGGGTTCTCCAAATCAGAGCGTTTGCGAGACGGCAAGGCCGGCGGCGTAGTGGGATTGGTTTGTATTGGTGCGTTTCTGGTACCTGAGGGTCTGAGTTGCGCTGGGTTGCAGGGTGGGAATTTGCCTGGATGGATTCTGGTTGATCAGGTACGTATCGTATCCCTCTGTGTATATACATAGTGGCTAATCTTTGCTGTTAGCCTGAACCTGGTGTCAACATCGCCGAGGACCCAGTAAAAAACTTTGCAGCCGATGTCAGCGAAGATCTGGCTCGGGAAATGGCCATGCAGTTGAAGCCGCACTCGAATTCGGCTTTTATGTCAAATCAGCCTGCGCCAGCATGGAATGAGCCTGCTTTCGCTGGGAGATGCGCCTATATCGTGACGGAAGAAGACGTAGCTGTTCCCAAGGCTGCTCAGTATGGAATGATAGCCGCGACTGGCCAAGAGTGGATTATGAAGGAGTTAGCAGGCTGCAGCCATATGGCGCCTTTTACGACCAGAGTTACGGATTGCATCAATGTCCTGTATGAGATTTTTGATGCTTTTCAACGATGTTGATGTGGATTCGTTAATTCCAAAATATGCATGTATGAGAAAAGTCTGTCTACATATCGAATCTAAACTAGACCATCTTCCGATCATATCGAGGTCGAGCAAGAGGGTACAGCTTAAGCTACTCCAACATAATACTAAGAGTCTTGAAGTCATCGAGCATTGTGGCATCTAAATATACGAAGGTCTTATATTGTATGATACATAACCATAACCACCCAAACAATACCAAAAAAGAAAAAAAAAAAAAAAAAAAAACAATACCTTTTCAGTCCCAATACCTAATGATACCGTCCAGCCCACCAGTAACGACCTTACTGCTCTCCTGAGGATGCCAGTCCAGACACGTCACAGCCGAGCCCTCTTTACCACCTGCTTGGATTTTGTGGTACATCTTCCCGGTCTTCCAATCCCAGAAGCACACGAACCCACCCGAATCACCGCTAGCAACAAACTGGCCATCCGGCGAAAATGTGATGTCAATAGCATACCCGGCATTGTTGTGACCGCGAAACCCCTTTTTGCGGTTTTGACGGAACTTGTCTGTTGCAGCGTATACGACAATCTGGTTGTCACCGGACTGGAAGGCAACATATTTGCCTGATGGGTGAGGGCAGGCGCGCACCATAGCGAACATATCTGCTTCGGCGATGTATTTGATTGGCACCGGTATTCCGTATTCCCACGCCCGTAGGGATTTGTCGTCGGACGTTGTAATAAAACGACGATTGTTATCTACAAATGTGATGGTATTAACAGCGGCCAAGTGGTGGTCGTATTCTTGCACAAGTTCGCCAGAACGGGTATCAAATTGCACGATTTTCTTGTCAGACATTCCAGCCAAGAATTCGTGATTATGCTCGGGATCAGGGTTAATGCGCACGACATGTGGCGTTTTGCCTGTGCTAAAGCGGGAGATGCATTTTCCATATTCAGTATCCCAAAGTTTAATCTGCCGATCATACGAGGCCGTAAGAAATGTTTTGCCAGTGGGATGGAAGGTGGTGTCGCTGATGGCTTTTGAGTGTCCCGAAAATGTACGCAGGAGCTCACGTTGATGATAGACATCCCAAATTTTCGCCTTGCCGTCAGCACCAGATGACAGCAGTAAGTGACCGGCTTTAGGAAAGAAGCGGAGCGATGTGATGGGCTTTGTGTGCGATTTCCAATTGTGCACCAATTTTTTGGGGATAAAATTCTTGATGCTGCCTGGTTCCTTTTTAAGATCGATATCAAGATCTTGAGGAATATGCCTGTGATTATTGCTATCAGTACAACCCAAATTAAAGCAGTCTGAAGGATAGATTGAGGCAACTCACATATATGTCCGCCCAAGATAATCAAACTGTTCGCTCCCATGGAATTCAGTAGTCTCCGTCTGCGACACATCATCCTGATAATCAGTCGCCATAGCGGGCATCTCTGACACGGGAATTCCTTCCTCATCCTCCTCGACATATTCCTCGTCACTGGCGAGCTCATGACCCGCCTCAGCGGCTTCTTCTTCGTACACCTCGTCGTCACGCTCGTATCTTGCCCACGGTCCGAGATATGCTCCTTCCCCGTCAACAATACTAGCATCACCTTTCTTTTGCCTTTTTCTCCGCAAAGCCGCCGATGCCTCCTTTGACGGCTTCATCTGAACAAAGTCCCTTCCGCCATATTGCGCAGCTCGCGCTTGATCTCCAACAAACAGCTCCGGCCTACTGGGGTCACGCGAATATCCCAAGCTCTGAAATGTGCGATGTTGCGTGATAAATGTCGCTTCGCTGATAGCTGCTTCCTCTGCATGGCCCGAGGGCACATTCTTGCGCTTCAGTCCATTGCCGACGCCGTTGGGTTTGAACGGGTTGACGGGACCTTGGGCCGGCCGAGTTAGGTCGTCGTATGTAGCATTGTAAGTAAGAGCAGTTGAGCTTCCGGCACCGGCAATCAGTTGCAACCTGGATGGATCCTGTGGGATGTTGTTAGACATAATGCGTTCAGAGAATTCCGTGGGGGAGGAGAGTGATGGAGGAACCAAACCTCTACATTGACTTCAGGAGCGGCGACAATCTTGGTCGCAGATGTGAATGTTGTAGTCTTGGGCTTGTTGTCATCCTCGTCGCCTGAAGAATCGTAAGTTGCGCCCAGGAGCGATGCCATGGCGAGGGTTAAACTAAATCGATCGGAAGAGACTTATATGCAGAAATAATATCATGAAATCATCCTCGGCCTGGCGCGAATGTCGAATTATTACGGCGCGTCATACGAACCAACTGTGCAATTCCAAGCAGGCACCCCCCGTTCACGTGCATTAAGGTCTCTAGACTAATATCATGTTTGAATATAAAGAACCAAAAGGATGTAGCTACACTCTCAATCATGGACGATTAATAATCATAAAAGAAAAATCGCGCTAGAGGTATATACAACATCCAAATCACGCAGCAAAGACCGTTGCTTCTCCCTCCCCGCCATTCCGCCGTTTCTCCCTATTTCTCTGCATAAATAAGCAAGCAAAATACAATTATCTCTCGGTCAACCCCTATCATCACACACAGACAACTTCAAGAGACAGCTAGTAAGCAGTCCCGGGCGGATTAAGCATCCCGAGACAAGCTCATTCGTTCACCCGACTATTTCGTTCCTCGTCTCCTCTTCCATCCCCGCGACACCCAGATTGAATCATCATCAAGAGTCATGGCGCATAGCGTGGTATTCGTGTTATTGCGCGGTGATTTTAGTGGGATTCATCGTGGATCAGGGCGACAATCATGCTGTACAGGTAGAAGAAAAACATCAAGAGGTGGAAACCGAGCTTGAAGAAAGACTCCTAGAATGGTGTTAGTAACCGTATAATATAAACATATTTATACAGAGCTTGAGGTGGGAAGATTAACCTTCTTGTGGATGTTGAGCTTGCGGAAGATCTCAGTGGCGTCCAAAAGGTGCTGGTTGTCGAAGATCCTAGTTCGAGTCAGAACAGCGTCTTGCTAAAACAACAGGGTGCCCACGTACTTCTTTCCGTTCCAGGCGAGCAAAGGCAGATTCAGAATGATGGCAAGCCAGTAACCGTTGATAACAAACAGGAAGGTCAGGAAAGCGTGAACAGCAGCTTCAGGGACGATGTAGGTGTTGAGACGGTTGCAAAGCTCGATCGGGTTGAGGTAGTCACTAGCAAGGAGATATATTGTTAGAACTGGGTAAATAATAGAAAGATACTGTGTCTATTAGACTTACCACTCCAAATCGCTGTACATGATGGTAAAGAAGACCTGCAGGAACAGGTTGACGGCGTTGATCAACACCGCCAACAGGTAGAGCCACGCTTCGCCAGACATTTTCAAGGTGATGTATCGCGATCACACGAGAGAATAAAACAGAATAAGACAGGAGAATATAGGGTAACTAAGACATGGTTAGCGGTTCCTTTCAAATCGTCAAAAGGGAGGGCATTTGCAGGCTGCGCGAATGCATGACGTCCTCGATCGAGATTGCGACTCACAATAGTTCTATAGAACCGGTAAATTAGATTTACCAGAAGAGCGCCTGCTGAAAATGAGAAGGGGGGCTGGAAACAGGATTGAATAGCTTTTGCTCGTAACGTGGAAATGCTCGAGAAGCCGTTAGGGAAACAGCGCTTTCGTTGCCACCGAAGATTGTGGATTTTGGGTTCTGCTCCGAGTCCGCTTTGACGGCGGCGGCTGGGCTAAGGCTAAGCTCGGCGCGGCTAAGGCCAAGCTAGTTAGGCTGCTCTGGGCAACCGTAGCATGCCATGGCGGTTGATTTACAAGTAATTATTTATTTTTACTCTGAGATGTCCAAACGTGAGAATGGGGGTTGGGAGGAAAAAAGTAGATATATTGACTAGCACTGAAGGAAAATATAGCAGCAAAGAAAACAGGATTGAGCAGAACAATCCCCATGCAAGAATGTAATCGAATCACTATCCTCAACAAACAATCAATTAACCCCAAGAACGAGATAGGTATTTATAGTCAGTGAATAAGAAGACACGTTGGCAGTTGCCGTAGTATATATGCATGTGAAAAGCGTAATTATCGCTTCTCTACTAGGAGTAAATGCATGGCAGCATAGGCCAGGACCACGAATACCGCAGAGATAACACCTAGGCCCACCACGTCTTGCCATAGAGCAAGGGTATCAAAACCAAAGGCACTAAGAATCGACGCTCCTGGGACTTCAATGTCGAGGCCGTATTTGTGATCTATAAGCGTTAAGAACGTCACTTCGTTGACTATCAAAGCTTCGAATCCATAATGGAAAATGGAGAGCTGCAATATTCAAGTATTAGTATAAGTAGCAAAAATATATATTGACAACGGGGCATAAAAAAAGCAACGCTGTCACTCACAGTTTGTAGCCACATGGCTGCAGGGGGTATGGCGTCGTGATTCAGCAGAAGGCCTGCGAAAAGCAAACTAAAGAGCATAACCAAGCTCCCAATAAGATTGGCCACGCCACCATCGCGGAAAACAATTCCAATAAAGAGACAAATTCCAGCCGCTGCCAAATTGAACAGGACTAGAATGAGGATAAATCTCGAAAATTCAGGCCATGCCGGAATCAATCCAGTCATCGGATAAACAATGACGCCCATGATGATCGGGGGGATAAGACGCAGAGGAACAATGTCAAATACAACCTTTGCAGAAAAGTATGCAAGAGGCGAATAGTATCCATTTGCACGTTCACGAACGAAGAGAAGTCGCTCAGATGAAAACACAGTAAGACTTGTCAAGGTACTGAAACCGAAAAGGGCAAGGATAAAGAAGAACAACCCGAGACGATTCTGAAAACCCTTGATATCGTCCGTAAGTCCGTAGAATAGGTATCCGCACAGAACTGCGAGCAGAATGGAGATCGCGTAGTGTGTTAACATCAACATAGGGTTTCGATATAGGTTGCGCCAAGTACGCTGGGACAAGATAACAAACTGCCGGAGGAGGCCAATACGCGCGTAGCCCTTTGTCGGTGTGTTATTGCCAAGGGCACCACCATTTGGAGTACCGTTCGCCTCGTTTGCGCGTTCTATTGCAGACATAATCTCCTCATGTACGGAGTTGGCTACATCAGACGTCGCGTAGCTAGATACAAGCGCATCCAGGTCGGTGGTTCCTGAAGCTGGTGGTGGAAGTTGATCAGGGTCATCCAAGGCCTGAGAAGGGACGCTACCGTAACGAGAAGACAGGCGAAGCCACTGTTGCGAATTGTCCCCCGTTGTGATACCGGCATCCTCTTCATCAGTCTTGGGCGTTGGTGGAGTTTCCAAGTCCGCTCTTCGTCGGGTATATAGTTGTTTGTCTTGACGTTGTTTCAAAGACTGGTGCCGTTTCGTTCCTGGACGAGATGAGGCTTCTTGGGCATTTCGGGCAAGGGTTTCTTCCATGCTAAGATTGGATGCACTAGCAATTGATTTGACTGCACGAAGGCTGCTTGAGGCTGTTTTGAGATTATCCGTTTGCACATCCAACAAAATATCTTCAACACGAGTCTGGGAGACTCCAGCGTGCATGGTCAGGTCGACCAAATAATCGGCGATATTAAAGCCCGGAGGGCAAGGGTAGCCAATGTGATCAAAATACTGTTGACAGGAAGAGAAAGGACCAGAGTAAACAGTTCTCCCCTTGGCCAAGAGTATCAACCGATCAAACAAAGCAACGATGTTGGAACGTGGCTGATGGATTGTAAAGATAACGGTGCGGTTGTACGTCTTGGCCAGTGTCACAAGACATTCAATGACGTTGAACGCATTGTACGCGTCTAGGCCACTAGTAGGCTCGTCGAGAAATAGGATACTGGGGCTGGTGACCAGTTCGCACGCGATTCCTACTCTCCTCTTCTCTCCTCCAGAAATTCCACGTCCATGACCTTCCTCGGAGCCTATAATTTGATCTTTGATATGATGGATTCCAAGTTGTTTTTCCACGTCCGTGACTCTTTGCTCCTTGGCGATATAACTCATGTCCTTGGGAAGTCGTAACAAAGCACTAGTAAGTATAGTCTCGTGAACAGTCAATGTGGGTAGCATAGTGTCTTCTTGATCAACAAAGCCAATCATGCTTTTGAAGTCATTGTCAGAAACCTTCTCGCCATTGATATAAAAGTCGCCCTGAGTAATACCACGCTTATTCTTTCGGGCGAGGATATCAAGAAAGGTAGTCTTTCCAGCACCAGAAGCACCCATGATGGCAGTGATTTCACCCGCCTGTGCAACACCTTGAATGTCTGCCAAAATCTGCTTTCCGTTGAGAGCATAGGACACATTGTCGAAAAGCAGGGCAGCTGCGCGCTGGTCAGCGAGAAGCTTATCGGCTTCATCGTCGGAATCGTCAGAGAGTCGCACAGCACCATAGCCGCGGTAGGCAGCGCGTCTAGAAAGATACCATATACCCAAAATTACCGCGACAACAAAGAGAGAAGATCCTGCAATAACACCCGCGATGAGAGGGGTATTGATCTGCTTCACGGGGCGTTGGTACCCAGGTACGTCTGTCTTGTAGAGACACTCTCCTGAGCGGCATTTCAGCGTAATACTCTCGTCACCAAAAACACTTTTGATCAGGTCATCCATAGCAGGTTCTTTGAAAGTACTGCCATCGTCCTTGCCGCCACTAACTGTTGACAGTGTACTGAAGGTGGCAGGACCCTTGATCTCTTCGGTGAGAAAGTCTCCGATATCAATTGAGCCTGCTTCACCACAGAGCATCCGGTCTGGAATACATTTGCAACGAATGTTCTCACATCTGTAGTTCGTGGTGTTCCGGTCATATTGGGCATCCAGTCCCCACTCACAGTTATCGAGATCACAATAGAACGATTCTACTTGGTCCACCCAGACTATAGCAAAAGTCAGCCATATCCCATGATTATTATTTGTTCAACTCTGCGATACGCACATTGAAAGTTGCAATTCTTTTCGCCTTCCCCCTCCTTGCAGGAAAAGGTCACTTGTGGTTTCCGCTCTTTCAGCTGGTCGAGGATCTTGCGATTGGTGACATCACACATCTGGTGGTTTTCTCTAACCGTCAGACCTTGTGTATAACAGACACCTCCCTCCTCATCCGGCATCAAGGCATTGCACGCATCGTCTGATTTGCAGACATTGCAGTTGACACCTTCCCATCCTTCCTTGCAATCACAGTACTTGTCTTGCCTAGGGGCACGATTTACGCCATCCGCAAGCGAGCCGCATGTAGGGACTGAGCAATCGTCACCGCCATACCCAGGAGGGCATGAGCATTTTCCGGTGTACTTGTTACAATCGGCGAATTGGTGGCACTGAAAGGCATCGAGCTGGCAGTTGAAACACGGTGGACAATCTGACGGGCGATCGTCGAAGATTGTAAGGAGCGGGTCGACACTCCTAGCGCTGTAGTTGAAGGCGGCAGCGGCGCCCTTTGAAAAGGCGACCGAGCATACAGTCCCAAAGAGATAATATATGGCTCGCATGGTGAAGTCTGGCGGTGTCTAACGAGGAGCCAAACGCCAAGCGGGACTGGCCGATCGGGTTGCTGCCCGAATGTTCGTTGAATAACCGGGCTTGATAGCTCAAGGACTTGAAACGAGAGAAATTCGAGCCATGGAATTCATACGAGTGAGCTGCATCAACTGTCGGTATAGCTCGAGAAATGCTTGGTTGTTGCTTGGTTGTCCGAGGCAGGCAGGCGGCAGCTGGTGATGACCTAATGCAGCTGGCCCTTGCAGCCAATCACGCACTGCGCTGCCCCAACCACGCGGACCCACTTGTCAGGAGACCGCAGATGACGCACGTTTACTCTTTTAAGTTAGGGTAGTTAACTACTTCTGTAGAACCTTCAAAGTTCATTCACCACATCAGCCGCGAAAAAAAAGAAAAAGAAAAAAGCAGCCGTTTGTTTTCATAAAAAATTTGCGCTTATTCTAGACACAATCTATAACTGGTCCCTCCGGAGCTTCCCTTCTTGCACTGCAAAAAGGGTCCATCATTCTATCTCCTGGGTAGTCGCCTTGTCCATATCGTCTAGCATGAACGTCGGAGTAATGCTCATTTTCGACCGAGAAACCACCGACAGGACGGACGGCGCTTCGCGGAAGAGCCTGTCGATATCCTCCAGGCTGCGATTTTTCGTTTCGGGGTAAAAGAAATAGATCGTGGGGGGGATCATGCCTCCAATGACCGCATAAACAATATAGTAACGGTACCCGATGGTATCCAAGGCGGTCGGCGTAATCATGGCTACAATGAACATCCTGTATTGGGTTAGCACACAGCTGAATGAAATTGACTGCAACAGGTGAAATGAGCATTACATACCAAAGCCATTGATTAGCGATGGCAAAAGCCTGCATCGCAACCCGGAGCTGAGCAGGAGCAACCTCGGAAGGGTAGAGGAAAATCGGTCCCAAAAAGCCCACAGGCAAGAAAGTGGTATATAGAAAGATGAATAAAGCCGACACAATCGACGCGGCGTGTTCACCGGCGAACGAAGGCGAATTCGACACAGTGAGAGCAATCATGCAGGCCGACATGCCGCCGCCGCTAATTATAAAGGCAGCCCGGCGTCCCAGCCTATCAATGATGATAAAAGACAGAGCGCAGGCGATAAATTTCCAGGTCATGGCGCAAGCTGCAAGGATCTTAGCGGTGCTGGCGGGGAGGCCCAGGTCTGTTTGGAAAATGATGGGGATGTATATTGAGATCAAAGTGCCGCCACTCATTTGCTGCATAAACTGCAGGCCGATGCAGAGAAGAAAGCGATATAAGAATTTGTCTTCACCCATCCGAAAAACATCGGATAGTGCCAGCGATTTACCAGCGGTCTGTTCAATCGCAGACTCGATCATGAGCATCTCAAGCCTGACCTCTGGTGAGGATACATCTTTTGCCCTTAGGGCAGCCAGTGTCTGCTGGGCCAACTCGCTCTGGTTTTTGCGTAGCAACCAGTAAGGAGACTCGGGGAGGCAAAAGATGCTAGCCATGATCACCATCCAGAATAGTGCTCCTATTGCCAACGATCCTCGCCATGAGGCTTGTTCGTCCTCAACGTGCCATAAACCAAAGTTGGACCATTGTGCTAGAGTATATCCAAGAGCAATAAACGCGCCAGTCAACACCACGTTCCGACCTCGTCTCTCAGCCGTTGAACACTCGGACTGCCACACGGGGACAGTGGCGCTTAGGACGCCGGCTCCTGCTCCTACTAAAACGCGCCCCACGACCAGCTGCGGCAGGGAATAAGATGTGCATTCCAGAATCTGTCCAATTAGTCCCAGGCATGCTCCTGAGAAAATAGTCTTCCGACGGCCGAGGATTTCTCCAAGCCACATACAGGTAAGAGATCCTGCGCAAGCTCCGAGCATCAGGCTAGCCACCACAGTGCCCTGGATGGTAGAGTTGTTGCTTTTTTGGGTACCGGTCGTATCGATGGTGTCAAGCTGGGGGAATTGCCTGACCCAAGAGGGGAAATCGACCACTCCTCCCATGCCCGACTGGTTGTAGCCAAAGCTAATGAAGGAGGGAGCTACGATCAGGAAGATCTGAGCATAGCGCAAAGCCTCCCCTCTCAACATTGACAACATGGTGTGGGAGGTGTATGTGGAAGGAATTCGGAGAGACAGAGAGGGGGTGGGAAGGAGGGAGAGTCCGAGGGAAGAATCGAACTGACCCGGGGAAGAGTACGGAGTAATTAAAGTAAATTATCCCAGTGCAAGCCGGGGTTTGAGTTCACCACGTAGATTAAATTGAGAAATCTGACGGTGGATCCCCAAATCAACAATGCCATTTGCAGACACCGGCAATCCTTAAGACACTTCGGACGATGGAACCTTGTGGGAGCCAGGCCGGACGCCGGAGAGTCCACAGTGACACTGTACGGATTACTCTATGGCGTAAAACCTAGACGGCGTCAAGGGGGCGAAAGTGCATTACCCGTGCCAACGCCGCGTTGAGGGGACGGCTACGTCCCTCATCAATAAGGGAAGTGGAGCGTCCTTATTCAACAAAAAATATGCGATTCGGTTTGCCAGTTGACTGACTACGTGCCCTTTGTTCTCCACTTTGTGTACGGAGTAAGTTAGGGGGGTGAGAAGGCTGACAGACCTTGAATTAGCCCTGAGCTGAATGGCTCTGGCATCCATCCCGGCTAAACCGATATCCCCACGGGATATGTTATATCCATAGATGTCAATCAGAAGCTTGGATTGGATATTTTATAGAATGTTATGGACAATATGTTCTACCCATTTCGGAAACTTCACTGCCGTAAACATAATTGCCATGCAAGTTCTGCATCGAAGAATGCGTGGTGGATAGATATATATGGATTATTATTATGGAGTACGGTTACGGTAACCCGGGACTCCCAAGTGCCGTTGGGAATCGGGCAATTCTGCATGCCGAGAGCGAAATCCCGGTCTATGTCCGGGGGGACAAAGCTTGATTCAACTTGATACTACGTGCGTAGGGGGGTTTAGCTGCAAGCGTACTGCTAGTTCAGCAAATGAACGAGCCATTTCTTTAGAATCTGGGCTTTGCATCGAGATATCAATTCAAGTGGGCGATCGTGGGGAATCTGACGTGTTTCGCTTCTTCCTCCCCTTGCGTCTTTTAGTAGCACGGCCAAACTTGAAGTAGAATAAGGGATTGTTTTCTAATGGATATTGGGATTGTCTCGGAATTTTTCACTAGACGAGAAGAAGAGAATGAAAAATAGAAAACGGACGAGGAGAAAAATTAAGAACAGAAACAGAAGCCCGGGGGAATAATGGGATGGACTAAGAGAGGGATGTTATGCACCCCACGCTAGCCAGGAGCCCTAGCCCTAACTTCTAAGTTGCATGCATAAATCTCCTCGTTCGGCATTGTCCGATGCCGATATTTCCATCGCCAGTGAAGTGCGCTATTTTCGCGATTGGTGTATTTACATTATTCTCAATTTTTCCCTCTTAGGTATTTCCAGTGTTCGCCTCTTTTGTAAGTCTGAGTTTGGGCCGGTCAACCTGTATGGCCTAGCATGGAATTCTATACTTAGCAGCTTATCTGCAGCCACTCACGAGTCACATGTCAATCATATGACCATGCTGCCACGTGATGCCCACTTGCAGACGCTTACTCCGCAATAGGTAAAGCCGCTCATCATGTGACTTTGTAGCAATGTTTGTACTTAATTTGCATTCGAGAGTGATCACACAGCTTGGAATAGGCTGAATTGCGGGAACAGTCGTATGGTTTACTAAGGTAAGTGAACACTCTAGGCATGTACGTATTTGATTGTTTGCGAATGCGTAGCATTGAGCGTGCCGATATACCTATATGCACTTCAATATAGACATCTATCTACAGTCATCACTGAGGATTGTATATAAACGGCCTATTTATGACATGTATTGTACGTTGAAGTCCTGAATTTCCCTTTCTCTATTTCATAATTCTACTAGGGTTAGGATCAACAGCAGATATGCATTTGTCGGATTATCCGAATATCTTCATAAACCCGGATTTTCCGGGGCCCCGCGTTTTACCTGCCTGGGTATATATTTATGTATACAACACATACCTACCTGCTCACGAAGAAATGGGATTTGACCTGTATCATTTATTCATTTCAATCCAACATACCACCTAAGTAGCCTGTTTATCAATTGAAACCACATAATAATGGCTCTCGTAAAACGAAGTATACCACCGGACGGCCGTGAGCCCTACATTATCGGACAATTAGAAGGCGAGCGCATCACAATCCCCGGCAGCAAAGGCGCCTTCCGCATCCTAGCCTCTGCCAAACAGACCGGGGGAACAATGGCAGTTTTCCAAAGCGCAGCAGTGCTATCCGACGCGCCGGGATTCCATTACCATAACCAAGCCCATGATGTCTTCCTGGTGACAAAGGGATACTTGAAGCTGTGGAATGGGGAGAAATGTCGAATTATGGCACCGGGGGATTTTGCTTATGTTCCTCCTGTATGTGACCTTGTTCAGCGATTCATGTCGTTCTTGGGTTTTAACGGCTTGATATTACTTGATAGCATGTCGTTCACAATCCCGAATTACTGGGTCCTCATACCGAAACATACGGGCTTGTTACGCCGGGAGACTGGGTTGACTTTTTCCGGCATGTATCAGAACCATATGAAGGCGTTATACTTCCAGAGAGTGACAATCGAGATCTCAAGGCGCTTCTAATCCCCAAAGTCATGGCAGCCAAGGGCCAATTCGACGTCGTATTCCAGCCAAGTTACGTACCACCAGCACTAGGAAATTGGGATAAAGACGACGAACAGCTCCCAGAATCAGAGACGCCATTACCATACTATCTACGCGCAAACACCGGGCCTAGGTGGCTCTTGGGAGGTGTATTGTCCCGCCCGTTCATTACCACAGCTCAATGTGACGGGGTATGTGCTATTTCGAGCATTGAGTCATCAGACACTTTTACCGAATCGTTGCTGTCGAGAAAATTAACTTTCCGCACGGTGGACCACTGTCTTTGCGTAATCGAGGGGTTGTTGGTCATTCGCATTCCCGGTTCGCCCGATAGTGTGATCCGAGAGGGCGAGACGGCACTTATACCTGCAGGTCAGGCGTTTTCGTTGAGATTTGGTAGTAGATATGTAAGAGTTTGGTCGTTTACAAGTGGGAATGGAATTGAGTCGCTGGTTCACAGGCTCGGAGTGCCGTTTGGAGGCTTCGTCTTGCCTGATCAGGCCCTGTCTGTTGAGCTTGATGAACAGAGAGTCAAAGAAGCTGCAGAAGAGCTTGGTGTTGATATTCAGGATTGAAAAAATCTACCTAGGTAGGTAAACCGTCCTGTCAATCCCGGTTGTATATATTAGATTGAACGAATATTGCTTACCACAACAAGATTTCTAAGACTATAGTCCTGCTTTTTTCTTTATTTCATTATTATCGATCTTCTAGTACCTGCTTATAGATATATGTTCCAAATCTACCCTAATGTAACAAGCCCACTCTACGTGTTATATTCTCAAAGCAAAGGAGTTTTTCTAGTTCTATCAAGTCCGCTGGACGCTAATATCCACAGCTCTTTCTCCTAAATGTGAAAATCTAATAGCTCGAATGGGACCGACAGAGTACGTATAGGGCTATGCGAGTGAGCCTAGTATAACCTGTCTTTTCTAGTAGATGTTTTCTGTGGCTTGTTCAATCCTTGGATTGTATTTCTCTAGTGTCTAGATTTTGATTGTTTTTTTGTATTTTTTTTTTTATTTTTTTTTTGTGGCTTTTTCTTCTGTCCCTCAGCATAGCTAGATCTTCTTTTATTAGTTCTTGCAGATCTTAGAGAACTTAGCTGGTTGCGAGATGTCGGCATGAAAATGAGCATTACGGAGAAATGCAGCACCAGTTCTACCGATTCGGATAAAGCGATTTGGATTTGGATTTTCGCTTGCCTGGTCTATTCAGCTGCCGTGAATATCTACTCAAGAAATCAATACATACTATCTCAACGGCAACAAGTCCCGTTATGGTGTTGCAAGGCCGTGAAATCGATATTAGCTTAACAGTTGCATTGAGCCGATAGTGGAGAGGAGCAAAGATGGCAGTTCGTCCATAGTTTGTTGAGACCTGAGTCAGTGTTAGCATCACATATGGATGCATGGGGAATACGTAGAAAATACCTGCAATCCACCCAGGCCGATCGATGGGTTGTATTTCCGATCGTCTTCTAAAATACCAATTTGATTGATACGCTCACCCTGCGGGCCATTTATAGAAAAGGATATCCTACAGCCACTGTTAGAGCCAAAAAAGTACAGACCTTCCATCAGAGTACAATATCTCCATTCCGACGAGTGGGCGAGGGTGGGAAGCCATGTAGAACACAAATCCTGTTAAGGATCCAAGAAGCAGGCCTCTTGGGCCACCGAAGTGGGATTGTACGCTAGATGAGTCCGTTTCGGAGAACGTCGGAGAAGTTCCAGGGTGACTGATTAATACACCGATACCCAGGGAAACAATCTTAAAACGATCTAAACCTGCAAATAGGCAATGTTGGTCTATCCTATTTGGTATGGCGATGGTGCTTTGAGCAATTCCTGGGCCAATACTATCACCAACCCAGCACGAAGAATTTGAATTCGCGAATATGAATTTGATCCCTACCAGCGCTTCTGAGCAAAAAGCCACACAAAGAGCTTTTAGATGGGAGGCAGACGGTATCACTATCCACCTCTCAGAAGCTGGATAGTGATAGCCGACTAGACAATCACTGACATTGCGATCTTCTGACGACAATAGGTTTATTCCCAATATAAAACATCGTGCACCAATTTGCACGGTTGATACCCCAATTCGCTGTCGATCCTGCTGACGTGTTGTCATGAATGATCTTGTCCGATGATATAGCAAACAACATCCCTCATTCAAGGGACTATCCGCGCCAATAGAGAGTAGCTGACCGGAAAAAACAGCTAGTTATCTCCATGAACCGAGGCTGACTCTCGGCACCTTCGCCATCCACTAGTTCGAAACAGGTGTCTACACTTTGCGCCGGATGCAGGACAGAACCGTATGGACCGTTTCGTAAATCATGCTCTAGACACACAAGAATAGCAACTGGTTCTAGCAGTCGCCGGATTCTCTTTCGATTAACCCAGGGTAAGACTCTAGCCCTAATCGATGCCGTGGTCCCGAAAAAAAGCCGAGACTAGTCTCGGGCATTTTTAAAAGAATCGGGAAAAGGAAGTCGGCTTCCTGACCAAGGAAAAACCTACTCCGCTAGTATGAATGTGGGAGCGTATCGATGTTTGCAAGTGCAGCTAGATTTTGACATACAAGTCTCATATTTAGAATGTCGTCAAAGGATAAATATGACAGTATTTTCAAATGTCATCTCGAGCAAGAGTCTATTGACGATATAGTACTCGAACTTCTCCGGGGTCGTCTGCCTTTTGACTCTCCTGTCGTTAGGAGTTTGGAGTCGGTGACGGTCATTCAGCTCATGGGGAGTTGAACTTCTGGTGCCCCCTTCGCTATAGTTATCAATATCCGCGGCAGTTGCAGTCGACAGATGAGCAGCATTTCGTCCATTCCAGAATGAACGGTCATCTGCCTTGCGGAAGTGGAACGCGGCCGCTTCCAAGTCGTCCACAGAAGGAATTGCACAGAGATCAGCGTAGAAATGTGAGTTTGGATCCACTGCCTTTGGCCGCCCGAATGGTTTGTGAGTTTGCACAGCGCCATCGTAGTCGTGGCCAAATCGGAAGCTAGAAAATTGAAGGCAAGGTGCGCAATAGAGCTGGTAAAATACCGACTCTACAATGGCCGTTTCATTCTGAGAGTAGCCACTCTGTCCATAACAGAGCCTGAGGAGAAGCAGTTTCCAGCATGAGTTATGGAAGCCGAAGCACCAGCGGCTTTCAGATGGTTCGCAAAGCCTCCATTCCTCCAGCGCTTCAGTACCCACGTCGATGTAGGATAGGGCGCTGTCAAGCGGTGCGTGCAGACTGTTCTGTCCGCGTACTATTCCTAGCCCCCGTGTCCTTGGTTGATGAATAGTGATGATTGCAGGAAGGCGTTGGTCCGCGGAAGTCGGATGCGCTGACGCCTTGCCTGTTATGGATGCCCCGACACACTGACAACAAACACCAGCTTTCTTATTACAGAAGCCTTGCCTAATCAGCAATCATTCGTCTACGACAACCATGCTAGCCAGGGCTATGTTGCTTCGAGACAGATGCATTTGCTCCTGAAGGATGGCGGTTTCAGGAAGAGCACCCTCAACCGGCATCGTTTGGGGATCATTGGCTGTCTCTTTAGTTCAGCGTTATATGCTGGGCGCGTAAGTATCATCGCTTTGGCATTCAATGCCATGATGCTACGATTATTTAGACGGAGGACGCCTACAATGTCCTTTGAAAACCATCATTTCAAACCAACTCATCGTTCCTTGCTTTTTAAATTCCCCGTGTTCTGGATGTTTGTCTCATACATACCTCAACCATTTTAAGTTCCACTTATTGTTTTGTGAATTTCACTATCGTTTTTTGCACATACTACCTAGGTACTATGGTTTGTGCTGAGCTTTGATAATACATACGTTAATAGTCTATGAAGTCAGAGACATTGTAACAATCTTGCTATTGACTTAAGTTTGCAGAAATTATGGCACGTAGAGTCGCTTGTCCCGAGTACTTTGGATGTTCAGATTAGACAGAAGACGATTGCTTTAGTCATAGAGTAAGCATGCAAAATTAAAATGCCGTTTATCTGTATCTTTTACACTTTAGGGTACCACTCACATCCTCCTGAGGAGCCTTCGATGTTCGTGAAGCAGCGTCTTTGTAAATCTTCAGGTCGCAAATTCCGGGGTTTACTGAGATCAGAAGTAATATAATGACGATTAGTCATGTCTTCTTCAGAACTGAGCGTGGTAAATTTGCTGTGCAGCTGTCGGGTGGCTTCACGTGTAGTTCCGATCACCTGCATCATTGACGAGGGCTTCTTTGGACATATGAAGGCGGCGATTGTCGACGGAAACCGGTGAAGCATATGTATTAGTCTATTAGAACCACTCTTCCCAAGACAGTACTAGCCTAGAAGGAGAAAGCATGGCGAAGCGATCAAATGATCTACGCCAGCTTCCTTAAGTCAATGGAAAGGCCAGAAATCGGAGATTTCTCCCTTGGCACCAGGGGTAAGCAAGCATCTTATTAGATGGATAGTCTGATGTCAGCAGCCATGTTTAGAAGATGCCGTACTTCGCCAGTAACTTCAAGTTTCTCCCTGCCTCGCAGGAAAACTGGATACAATAGAGTGTAAGCTTCTCAGGCCCTAGGAATCCGATATCTTCTTCTAATATGGGATCTTGGGAGACAACAACAAACACAGAACACAAAAGTGGAGCTGCACGTATTTTTCCAGTTATTTCGAAGTCAAAGTAGAGGCTCTGCACAGTTGAAGTGCCTCATGTTTCAATGTTAAATGATATACACATACTGATTTTCTTAGCGGATGAAAGTATTTCCGCTGCTCTCTCTCACGGCCATTCCCCACGGCGGGGAAGGAGGAAAGAAGCATCTTGGATCTTTCACAAGCGAGAAAGACACGAATTGGATAGTCAAAATGGTGAAGGTCGAGCCATTCGCAGTAGAGCAAGTGTGTACACTAAACCCATCAAGCTCACGAACATACCAGTGCTCATCAACCCCAATCAATGTAGTGGATGGACGACTTCGAGACTACCGCAACGTACAACATAGCCGAAACATGCTGTGCCTCGATTTCAATTGATGACTTGCAGAATTTAACAACCCCAAAACAGGCCACCAGCCCCATCTCGCTTTCCACAAAGCTGACCTATGGCGCGATCAGAGGGTCAGAGGAGCTACGAGGCCATCTAGCGCGTGTATACTCTGCAGAGGCACTGAGGGGGCTGCCGCATGATAATATCTTGATTACCTCGGGCGCTATCCAGGCCAATTTCCTCCTGCATTATGCCTTGGTTGGGCCCGGAGACCATGTCATTGTCCACTATCCGACATACCAGCAGCTGTACTCGGTGCCGGAGTCTGTTGGAGCGGAGGTCAGTTTGTGGAAAGCGAGGGAAAATGATGGCTGGACACTCGACACAGAAGAACTGAAGAGTCTGATTCGCCCCAACACCAAATTAATCGTCTTGAAGTAAGCTAGCTAGCTCTTCCGTTGGTATGTGCTGACCGCTGTTGCTTACGCTTTCATATTAGCAATCCCCAGAACCCGACAGGCGCAATCATACCTCGTTCTACATTGGCAGAAATCGTCAACATAGCGCGAAGTCAGTCGATCACAATTCATGCTGACGAAGTCTACCGCCCCATCTTCCACGGCGTATCTCCTGCAGATTCTGATTTTCCGCCCTCATTGCTCTCTCTCGGTTACGAGAACACGGTTGTGACGGGCTCCATGTCCAAGGCATACAGCCTCGCTGGTATCAGAGTTGGATGGATCGCCGCGCGAAACAAAGCCATTATCGAAAAATGCATGGTCTGTAGAGACTACACCACGATATCAGTCAGTCAACTGGACGATGCCGTTGCAACGTATGCATTGGCCCCGCACACAATCGACAATCTGCTGCATCGGAACATCCAGCTGGCAAGGAAGAACCTGGAGATACTAGAGAAATTCGTTGAGGCCCACACATGGGCCTGTGAATGGATAAAGCCACGCGCTGGCACGACGGCCTTTGTAAGATTTTCTAGGGACGGGCGTCCCGTGGATGACGTTGCTTTTTGTAAACTTTTGCACGATAAAGTCGGAGTGCTGGTGGTGCCTGGCAGTCAATGCTTTGGGCGCGATGGGGATTTCCAGGGATATGTGCGTGTTGGCTATGTGTCGGAAACCGAGGTGCTCGAACAGGGGCTGGCAAAGCTGAGCGAATTCATGAGAGCAGGATATGTCGACGATGTCCCGCTGGCTCGGTAATCTCTATTTATCGTCAAAGGGATCGTTCCAAACTCTTGTGCGTCGCAAATAAACAAACTATGCGGAGTACCCTGTGAATAAATTCTATACGCAAAAGAGAGCGTTTCTTGTGTCCATGCGATATGCATGTAATAATACCGTTTTCCGCCCGCTGCCGCGTTTACGCGCCTATGCACGTCATAATAGTTAAGTATAATTTACAAGCGCTACCGAAAACAGTATGGTGTACTCAATTATCAACCGAGGCACGCCGCTGGTCTCCGCATATCTCTCTCCTCCATTGTTCAGTCGCTCTCTTCTCTTTTCTTGCGCTCGTCTTTCTTTGAGGTCCCCCTTTCGTCAACATGTCCTGCCTCTGTCGCAGTGCTGCTACTTTTCCGTGATCGGCCGATGTATCCGCTCCTTTTGTGATATCTCGCGATGCCGCCACTCCCTGCTTTGAGTGAGTACTCAAGGGGAAAAACCCGCGAGGTACACTATAAAGCTAACGAATGAATGCTCTTAGCTATTCCTCTCGCCATCTCCACGCTCCTTGCTTACCTCAATGCGCGATGGTCCGTGTTCTACGATTACCTACTGCTCAGCTCGCTGGTCAAGATTGTCGTGAGAGAGAAAGTAGCCGAACGACAGGATCGCTTAAACCTGTTCTACGTCCTCGAGAAACATGCCTTGTCTCTCAAAACTGCGAACAGGCCGTTTCTCGTCTATGACGGCCGGACATGGAGCTACAAGGAGACGTACGATACCGTTCTCCGCTATGGACAGTACTTCAAGCAGAATTTTAATATTCAGCCAAAGGAAGTTGTCGCGCTGGATTTCATGAATTCTGCCACTTTTATATTCATTTGGCTTGGATTATCGAGCATCGGCGCCTTCCCAGCCTTCATCAATTATAACCTTTGTGGGAAGCCACTGACACACTGTCTGAAGGTGTCCACGGCTCGACTGCTGGTGGTCGACGAAGAGGTCAGAAACAATGTTACACAAGAACAGCTGGCAGAGTTCTCCTCGCCCGCTTTTCGGGACGGCAAGGGATCTGTCGATGTGGTTTTCTTCACACCGGAGATCGAGAACCGAATTCTCGAGATGCCTGCAGTCAGGGAAGACGACAGCGTTCGCAGCTCTCCAAGGGCTCGAAATATGTCCATGTTGATATTCACCAGCGGTACGACCGGCTATCCGAAGCCCGCTGTAATTAGTTTGTCAAAATTATGGGCTGGGGGAAGCTTCATCGACGGTCTCTTGTCATTGCGCACTGATGATCGGATTTACACGGTTTGTCAATCAAATCCTTTTTTCTTTCCCCTTGATGTCTTTTGCTAATGCTTATTATCAGTGCATGCCACTTTATCATGCCACTGCTTCAATCTTAGCTTTCTGTACAGTGCTTCTGAAAGGATGTACAATTGTTATTGGCCGTCGATTCTCAGCCAGGAACTTCTGGAAAGATGCACGTGCTGGTGACGCAACAATCATACAGTACGTGGGCGAGACCATGCGATATCTATTGTCTGCCCCCAAGCAGATTGATCCTGTTACAGGTCAGGATCTAGACAAGAAACATAATATTCGCTTGGCATATGGAAATGGCATGCGGCCCGATATATGGAACCAAGTCAAGGAACGCTTTGGGCTCGAGACCATTGTGGAATTCTATACATCAACTGAAGGGTTCTCGGGACACTGGAATCGATCCTCTAACAGTTTCTCAGCCGGTGCGATTGGTCGCAATGGACGTATTAGTGAACTCGTCCTTGGACGGACCCTCGCACTTGTGGAAGTAGATTATGAACTGGAAGTGCCACGCCGTGACCCAGTTACGGGCTATTGCCGCCGTGTGCCCAAAGGCGAACCTGGAGAGTTGATATATGCCTTGGATCCGAGTGACATCTCTATGAAGTTTCAAGGTTATTACAACAACTCTAACGCATCGAACAATAAAATTTTGCGCGACGTCTTTGCCAAAGGCGATGCCTGGTTCCGAACCGGCGATACTCTGCGATGGGACACAGAAGGCCGGTGGTACTTCAGCGACCGCATCGGAGATACGTTCAGATGGAAAAGCGAGAACGTATCAACAAGCGAGGTAGCCGAGACACTTGGTAATCACCCTGCTATCTCCGAAGCAAACGTATATGGCGTTTCCTTGCCTCATCATGAAGGACGTGCGGGCTGTGCTGCCATTGTCATAGAGACGGGGGTAGTTGATGTGCCAGCAGAGATTCTGGAATCACTAGCTATGCACGTTATCGCAAATCTCCCACGGTTTGCGCTTCCACTCTTCTTGCGAGTGACTGCCGAGTTAGAGAAGACCGGTAATAACAAGCAGCCAAAGCATATATTACGCGAACAAAGTGTTGATCCCGCAAAGGTTTCACCGGACGATCGTGTATATTGGCTCCAGGGAAATAAATATGTTCCTTTTACTCTACAGGACTGGCAAAAGCTCTCTGCAGCTCAAGTGAGGCTATAATCAGCTGTCCTAAAGAGTATTCTTATTATTAACATTATGACTACGCGACGATCAAATGTTATTAGTATTAGTATTACTATCGTTATTGTGTATATAGTCTATTTTCTTCGTCAGCAAGTTTAAGTAATAAATTCACTCAATGAATGCACATAATACACATACGACATCAGTGCCTCAGGTTGTTGTGATGTTGTCGAGTCGAAAGGCGGAGTCGGCTGTATGATAACAGCGCCAGCTTCTCCGGCGGCGCCTCATCATTGCAACGTATGAATCGGCTATAACCCGGACATACTGTAAAATATCGACATGAGCCATCAATAATTTATAGACAAGTTATATATCATCTGTTCAAAATCCCTCCCTTTCTATTTTCTCAGCCCATGACCCTCCTCGACGGTGCAGTATTGGAAACATCCGCTATTCTTACACAATGCTGTCGACACGACCAGCCATGAGGCCCCTAAAAGCTTCCATCTTCCAGCTGTTTCTTACATATCGATGTCTGTACTCGACTCATAACACGTCTTCGCCTTCTGACGCAGCATCAAAAGCAGCAGCAGATTTCCTTGCGCGCTTTCAATCGCAAGGACCCCAGCTTCGCACCCAATTACTAGACGCAAACCAGCTACATCTTCTCTCGCTCACTCTAAATCGACCAAAAAGACAACTTATCAATTATCCTGGAGCTAGCACTACTGCTGCTACTGTTACTAGTTCATCACCCTCTCTTCCCGTCCCATCAAACGGCTCGCCCGTCCCGCCGGGACACCATTTGGTCTATTTCACCCCGGGCTTCCTTGAAGAGGAGCTTGGTGCTGATGGGACGGATACATCGTATAATCCCGATGTGCCATTTACCAGGCGTATGTGGGCTGGTGGTGAGGTTAGCTGGCCGCGGGGAGCGGACGGAAAGCCGAATTTGTTACGAGTCGGACAAGAAGTTACTGAATCTACGAAAGTGCTCAGTGCGGAACCAAAGGTTGTTCGTAAGACTGGAGAGGCCATGATCGTGGTGGGCGTTGAGAAGATGTTCTCGAATGAGTATGGCGTGGCTGTCATTGACCGTCGGTGAGTTTATATATGTCTATATGTCCTAGATGTTAGAAAATCATCTAACGTCAATATGCAGCAATTGGCTCTTTCGTGAAGCGCTGCCATACCCTCCCAAGCCATATGAGAAAAAGGCAGAGACGAAACCTCCAGTATCTAAGCAAAATAAAACCCCGGCGCCTTCAAACCAGGCAGTAGGAGTATACAAACGATACTTTAACCAAACCGCAGTCACACTCTTCCGCTTCTCGGCTCTGACGTTCAATACTCACAAGATCCACTATTCGGTTCCCTGGTCTCAAGAAGTCGAGGGCCATAGGAATATAGTTGTTCACGGACCGCTCAATCTAGTCTCAATGCTGGATTTTTGGAGGGATATCCAGCATGAAAAGGCTAACAAAAATAGCAGCAGCAGCAGCAAAAACAACCAGGACCACCCAGACATTTCATTGATTGTGCCACAGAGAATTTCTTACCGCGCGACAAATCCGCTGTATGCTGAGGAGGACTATGAGATTGTCCTGGAAGAGGCTAGGGAGTCTAGCAGCGTGAACATCTTCAACCATGATGGCGTTGTTTCTATGAAGGCGGAGATAGAGGCATAAATACCAAGGCAGGACTTCACTGGTACTAGTATATAGAACGTACATATATATAGTAGTAATGCCCTGTCTGGTCCAAAGAGTCTCAACTATAGCATATGATCACGTGTTAGAGCTTACTTAAGCTCTTAAAGCGGCGTCGTAGCGGAGGTAGGCGTAAATCCGCCGCCTTCAGCTCGTCAGGCAACAAGCGCGCATGGATCAAAAGATGATACTATTTGTGCGAGATGCTATACTTGTCGATTGATACTTGTCGATTGAGTTATATCGAGTCAACTGCGTGCTGTCCGAGTATAATATGGCCGAACAAAGCAACGGCAGCACCACAAACGGCGTCAATGCCCCTCCCACGACCAAGACGAAACGCAGCAGAGTGCAATTTTCTTGCACAGCATGCCGTTATCGCAAGTAAGCTGCTGACTCATACTCATACATTCCTTTGTAGATCGATGTAGAACAAGGGTTTGGACACGGATATTAACGTGCAGTACAGATTGAAATGTGACCGCACCTATCCATGCGACCGATGTACTCGGCGTGGAGATGCAGCTTCCTGCACCTATGTAGGGCATGGTCCACGCACTCGAGCAAACCATCTATCATCGGGATCCAATCCATCTCACATTCAGGATCGGATCCAGCATCTGGAGAATCTCATTCTCTCATTTGCGCAGAAACGAAGGCAGGAAGACGAGAGCCGGGACGATACCACTGCTAGTTCCGCTGCCACTCACAGCGCTCGAGATGCAGTAGCACTGGCAACGGAGCAAAGCACGGCGCTGGAGGATGATCCAGGAAAGCTCGTCAACAATGAGCAGGCAGGTACCACGTATGTGGATGCCTCGCATTGGCAGGCTATTCTTGATGATGTAGGGCCTTCCTTTCTTCTATTCTATGCGTCTGGATTCCTCTCAGCCGAAGCTAACCTTTTGTGTTCATATGTATGCAGCTCAAAGAAGTGAAGAAATATGTGCATATTGATGGTGGTGATGGTAGTCAGATTGATGAGCATGATTTACTTAACGATGATTCCACGGACGAAATGGTTAAGTTAGAGCACGAAGCAAATCGACCAACGCTGCTGTTCCATGGAGGCCGTGTACCAACCAAGCAAGAGCTAATTGCAGAGCTCCCTGATAGATCGACAGTAGATAGGCTTATGGGTCGTCTTCTGAACTCGGAAGATCCGACGCTCGGTGAGTATACCGTTGTTCGCTGCATCCGTTGTTGATATGGGTATTTTTTTTTCTGATAAGAAGAGCTAGTTACAATTCACTTTCCAACTTTCCAAAGAGAGGTGTGTGCTCCAATTTTCAACATTGACCGTTACAAAACTTGGCTAATACTCCCTAGTATACTCAATTCTGGACAGACCCAGCCCAGGTATCACTACCATGGCTTGGCTTTTTATATGCATGCATGGCCATGGCTGTGGGCATGTTTCGGCGTAGCCTAGAACAACCGCCTGCCCCCTTGGGCAATGCAGCTGTTGAAATCAGCCGGCTTGAAAGAAACTGCTGTTATTGCCTCATCAACTCCAATTACCTGACAGTTGGAAAATACAAAGTTGAAGCGCTATTGATATACGCAACCATCGAGTTTACAAAACGAGGCAACTCGGCTATGAGTGTATCAATTATTCTAGGCATTACCATTAAACTTGCTATGCGTATGGGCTACCATCGTGACGCCAAACACTATGATAACATATCAGCTCTCGAAGGAGAGATGCGTCGACGCGTTTGGGCAACGATCTGCCAACTGGATACTTTAACAGCTTTCCAAGCGGGCATACCGAGGCAAACACAGACCTGGCAAAGCGACACCGAGCTTCCGCGCAACATCTCTGATGAAGAGTTTGACGAAAACTCCATTGAACTGCCGCCATCCAAGCCTGACTCCATTCGGACACAGACGACCTATCTAAGATCTAAATCCCGTGTTATGTCTGCCTTTGGCCAGATCTGCGATTTGGCCTACTCTCGTCACCCGATAATATACGAAACGATTCTCGAACTCGACCGCAAGCTAGAAGAAGCACATGAATTGATCGCGCCGCCTCTTCGTATGCGACCCTTGAATCAATCCGTCACCGATCATTCTGGCCTGATCATGAAACGCTATACACTCGAAGTGCTATACCAAAAGGCCCGTATTGTACTCCACAGAAAATATCTCGTCGAGGCTCGTTACAACCCTCTTCTTAGCTACTCGCGGTCCGTATGCGTCAAAGCCGCCAAGGCGATCCTTCGCCAGCAATACGACCTGTTCTACGAATCGCAAGTAGGCGGCCGACTTGAAAGAGACAATTGGTTTTTCAGATCGCTGCAGAACCACGACTTCGTCCTGGCTGCCATGGTTATTTGTCTTGAACTATTCAAATACAACGAAACAGTCAGTACCGCTGAGGATGTAGGGCCGCAGCCACGACAGCCCCAATCACAACAAGAGCCCCCATCCACTGCGGCCGATGAAAGAAATAACTTGATCGAAACATTGCGGAAATCTCGCGAGATATGGAAGGCAAACCTTATGCATTCGATGGAGGCACGAAAGGCATTTTCTGCGTTGACATTCATGTTGAAGAAGGCGGAGTTGGATGACGAGGCGAGGAAAAGCAATAGCCAAAGTCCAGTGCAGCCGAACGCGCAATCGTCGCTGCTACCAAACTCGAATTCGACTCCAAATGCTTCGCCAGACGTGCTGCGAACAGCGGGTTCGCCTTCAGATGATATTACAATAGGGGAGAGTGCGTTAAGTCGTAGGTTTGGGGGTATAAATGGTCAAGGTATGTTTTACTTATTCATAAAATTCAATTTCTCTTACCTATCTAACAGCATTGATAGCATATTTGGACAATTTCCTATCTCCCAGCAATCTTCCCACGCCACCCAAGTCCAACAGCACTGGAAACAATACCCTGGGGACTGCAGGCACACCAAGCGCACAAACAGGCATTACAAATAATAATACCATCAACAATAACATCCAACAACAGCCCAGACACGCATCAATCCCAGCTCTCGATGCCTTCCAGCAACAATACCCCAGCAACCAATCCTCACTAGTCGATTTCGACATGATACAAAACATGCTCGACACTCCCCAAAACCTGGACTGGGTACGTTCTTTTCCTTCTATCTTTCTCTCTCTCTCTCTTTTTAACCGTAAGAGTAATCCACTAACTTTTTATGAATATATAGCAACTCTGGGACGGCCAAATGCAAGACGACGACCCGGGATTTATGAATGAATTCTGGAACCCAGCAGGCATAATTCCATCCGCTGGCACGATGGAAGTAGATGGTCAGAACAACGCCAGTAGTAATGGCAGCAACAACACCAACGCAAACACCAACGACGGGAATAGAAATGGAAGTGGAAACCAAAACGGCGATAACTGGACGTCAACTAACTTGGTTGGTTTGTATATTGCACCAGGGTATCGTGGGTGAAATTGAGTTAAAAAAAGTGAGAAACGATTAAAGTATTGCCTGGGGAGGAGAGATGGTTGGATGGATGCACACACATATATATAGATAAATATATTTGTTGGAATGTACTATAGGCAAGAAAAGCAACATCCCGGATATCTTTTGATGAATGATTTACTCATCAGGAAGATAAAAAAAAGAAAAATGATAAACGCCACTCAAAAGCAAAATGCATGACTCCAAACCAGCAAAAGGATATATATGGATATATATATATGCCCGGAAATTTTTCAACATAGATCTAGAATCAAGTCCTTGTCTAAACATCATATGCAAAGGTCGTCAATATGTTTTGAATATATAGTTAAAAAAGACGGTCGGCGGGGAAGAAACAACATCTATGCAGTTAACCGAGGACATTCGCCTGCCGCGCGTTGAAATGCACCGGCAAATAGTTCTTGCATGGCGAAATAATGGAATAGGATTCCACCGAGAACAGCAATGTGCCAGATATTATGGCTCCCTCCGCAATAATCAAACCAACCGGGACACCAACGCTCGGGGATCTGAGACGCATAGACGCAAGCCCCAAGACCATAGACGAGGATGCTCTTCATGACTGGAGCGTAAAAGTAAAGACACCATTCAAAGCTGCGAGAATAGCTAAGTTGAATCAAAGGTGCGAATCCCGTAAGGGCCATGAAGCTGAAGAAAGCGACTCGGGCCCAGGCCATGTCAGATCGATTAAATGTCGGGTGCCATGGTAGGATGACGCCGCCGACGCCGAGAGAGAACGTGAGAAAGATATATATCCGACGGGACGTGGGTTCGCAATAAAAGGCTGTGTATTCCGTAGTCATGATCGATGCTGCGACGAGGAAAGATATTCCCGTGTAGTCAACGCAGGCAAATCGCTCTAATACTTTTTGATTCGCAATTCCATTCATCGTGTGCCACATTGTACTGCAGACTAGGCACTTGCATGCTGCAAAAAAGAAAACTGCTGCGATCATAACATCCGCTTTTGTGCTGAGAAGGAAGTTCGGGTTGAGGGGATAAAAGTAAAAGGCAATTGACAAGACAATAAAAAGCCCAATCAAATGAGACCAGATATTTACTAGCTCATTGGAGAATCTGAAGACGGACGTTATGCATTCCACGGGGGATGCGGTGAATCGATAGCCCTGCAAGATGTGTGGGTTGATTCTCCACGGCTGCGGCAAATCATGGTAATGGATGAGACGTTTCTCTTGTGCCAATCCAATAGCACGATCTATGCTTTCGCGCATTGCTTCCTTGGCCCTCCGCATACTCTCCATTCCCTCATCGACGGCTTCCCGGGCATGGACCAACCCGGAGTCAACGGCTTTCCAGCCTTCGTCGAATGCACCGGATATGCCTGCCTCGCGGACGAGTTGTGCCCGTGACTCAATGTCGCTTAGAAACGAGTCCATCAGCCGCATGCCTGCATAAGCCTTCTCACTAAGCGTTTCCTTCGTCGTCAGCGCATCGTTGTATCGCTCCTCGAGTGTTTCCACCAAAATCTTTGCTCGCTTCTTGCCGCTGCCCATCAATTCACCGGAAGCAGCACAGCAAGAGTCCCGGACGGCTTCTAATGTTGCATATCCTCTCCGCATGCTGGCATCTATTTGTTCCATGTGAGACTTTCGATATTCTTCCAGCCATTGTAGGCGCCTCTCTAACTCCACAAGAAAAACCTCGACCTAGAATTGCGTCGGTCAGCACGGAGAGTTTGGTGATTTCTAAAAACAAGTATTGAAAGAAAAAAGGAATGCCACTGACCCGAAGAAACACCGCATCAGCGTCATAGTCGCAAGAAGAGCGTCTCGCGTGTTGGAAAGAGTGTCGCCGTCGAGAACGGATCAGGGGTGTTTCTTCGTTGGGTGTTGCGGAGGTTGAGACGGCGCCCTCGAAAGCTCCCATCGTCACAGGAGGTTTGCACGCCATTTTTTCACTCGAACAGCTTGTATTCCCTGAGAGTCTGCACAGAGAGACTTCTTCGAGTCGTTGTTTATTTCATCGTCGGATTGTCCGGTGGAGAGGAGCCCCGAGCCACTGACTAGTCGTGACTAGCACAAGTCAGAATTTAGAAAGTCCGTGCTGACAGGTGTACGCTGTACAGGCGGGGCGACTCGGACAAGGCAAGAAATCAGTTGTCTCTCAGCATATGGAGATGCCGCTAGATCTCTTGTGCGTAACGAGAAATTGAGAGAGTTGTATCGACAGGGGAGGCCGAGAGTTGTGTCAGGACAAAGAAAGTAGAGAAAGAAGGACGAGGCTTGGCATCCCGCCGCCATCACATGAACCAGCGCAGCCTCAGGCTCGCGCTCGGCCTATGAATGCGCTTATCACTTCCACGAGTTCTTCACTCGCCGCCATCCAACAATCCTTATCTGCAGGTCGACGACTAGCTGCATAGCGCGATTTTTACGGCTGAGGAAAACTGGAGAAAAGAGAGAAAGAGGGAGAGAGAAAGAAAAAAAAGGCAGCAATGGCCGAAACAGCAACCATGACAGTCCGTGACATCGTCAGCGAGTCGACTCTTCTGCCCGTCCTGCAGATTAGTGCAGACGCCCATAGCGAGTGCCAGAAGCTCCTTGCCCTGATTGATCCGAACAATGCCGGTGCGTCGACCGTTCCGTTGTCGCAGGACACCATAGCTGCAGTCTCCAGACAGCAGAAAATCCTATACTCGCTTCTCGCCCAGCTGCGTGGCTTGAATCGCGATGCCATTTTCCGAGTCCGCGAGACGAAACAGTCGACCGCGGAGGCGCGTCAAGAAATTGACCGTCTGCATCTTCAATTACAGAATCTCTACTATGAGCAGAAGCATTTGATAGGCGAGATCGCGGCCTGTGAATCTTACGAGTACGAACATTCCATCTCTCTAGGTTTTGTCGTTTTCTTCTTCTTTTTCTTTTACTAACTATACTGTAATTATCTTCCAGTCACAAGTATTTGTCTCTCCCACTTATTCCGGTGGAGGAATTCCTCGAGCTATTCCCCGAACACACCGACTCAGATGCACACGAGCTCATGATTGCGCGTATAAATCACGAGCATGCCGAGCGAGAAAAGTTGGAGCAGGCGAGGCAAGAACTACTTAAACGCAAGCAAGCCTTGATTGCGGAGAACAAGAAACGAAAAGACGACTTGGCGAACTTGGATCAGGATCTAGAACGGTTTATCGATGTGCGTGTTACTTGCTACTATCTTCTTCTTTTTCTGTTGTTCAAGAGGCTAACCTTATATTCATTCAGGCCGCAAAACCGATCCAGAAGATTTTCGAGAAGGAGTATTAGGTCTATGCTCGGTACATTCTTACTCCTTGGTAGAGGGGTTCTGTTTAAAAAGAAATTTTTTTTCTCAAAAGGTTGCATATCAGATTACATGTACGTGGCGTTGTTTTGCAGATAGATACCCCTGGCAATCATTATGTTGGCATTTTACGGTGTTCGTCTCACCTGGCTATATAGATATTATGGCATTTGCATCGTTATTTCTGGATCATCCAGAATCAATAAGAGATTGTGTTTAAACACATACATACACGCAAAGCGTCAAGCATGGTATTGCTTTTGATTTATTTGAGATATTAAATATTAACTATTTCTTCGTTCTTCTCTGCCTGAAATCCGTAATCAAATTCTTCAGCTCCTTCAACAACGCCATAGCCAGCGGAACCCCAATGGGTCCCAACAAGGGCAAATAAACGGCAATCCTGTGCTCATCCGGGAAGTACATCTGGCCCACCATAGTCTTTTCAAAGAAACTCTTTTCGGCTTCCTTCTCGGCCACTCGCGCACTGGCAAGAGCAGACGTGAATTTGCCTTCGCGGAGTAGCTGGCATGTTGATGCAAGATGGGACAGGGTGGTAATTACTGATGAGGCGACGTTAAGAGGGATGGGAATTGATGAGAGAGATTGCGTTAGTCGGGCAAGTGAGCCCATGGTTGAAGATGCAGAAAGCAATAAGCTCGCGGCTCGGGTGCGGATTAATGCCTGCAAGCGGAGGGGAAGGGAGGATGGAGTGGCGGGTGTTCCCAGGAGAGTGAGTAGTTGATGCGAGAATGTCAGAAGAGCTGGTTTGAGTGATTCTTTGGTGAGGTAGGATGGGTTAGAAGAAGTGGCGGCAGCAAGCGGCGGGTTGACTATAGCAACACCACCCCATTGTGGCACAATCCAGCTCGTGGCCTGGCTTTCTTTGACGACGAGTGGTGACTGCGATGGAGCCGGTACGTAGAGAACGAAGTTAATTGTTGGCCCGCTGCCAATACTTGGACTTAAGGGCCATTCCGCTGCGTTGATGAACGCGCTCAGGTGCTCCTCCTTTAAAGTCCATTGCTGAGCTGCCTCATCAAACTCCGGGTGAGGAGAAGACGGGGAAAATGACGCATAGAGCTGGACTTGCGTATCGATAGAGAAGTTGCTGATTGGAGAGAAAGCATGTAGTAGGGGAAGCATATATTCCTGGATCGCATCCTCAATCTCCCACGAAGACGGTTGTGAACCAGGCGTGAAGAGCGAGAAAGATAAATGATAGGTCTCAGCATATTTAAGAGACCTTGTAACTCGCTTGCTAACGATCTCAGCCATTGTGGGTGATATGGAGTTGAAGTCATGTCCGAGAATATGTGCTATGGTTGCTTTTTCTTCGTTGAATAACTTCTGGATCTCGCCAGCAATGAAGGTAATCAGAGGCGATGTTGTAGAGGTAACGGAAGGAAGCTGACTGGGAGGATACCAAATGTCCATCCGCGGTGAATAGGAATGAAGCTCTGATATCGGAGCTGGTATTTCTTCTTTCGAGATGAGGTTAACAACAAGTGCAGTATTCGAGTTGTCCACCATCTCCACATCAATGTCTAGCTTGTTTTCGGCCGTTTCTGTATGTTCCGCAAGCTTGAGGCGTAGGTGATGGACTGGGAATTCATTCAGATCGTCTAGGGCGTGTTGTGTCGTTCTCAGCAGGCCCTGGGCCTCTGCCAGTGAAATAGAAGGCGTGCGAAGGATAATTTCCAGCGGAAACTCTGGTTTGCAAGCCTATATATCATTCCATTTCCATATCAGCTTCTGTTTCCTTCGAATGGCTAGCTCTGTTATTCTCTCCTACCTTGTCCTCAGCCCAACTTGTCATTTCATCAAGGGGTAAAGACGCCCGGTAGACAGAAGTCGTTTTCCACCACATCGGAAATCCGAAAAATATAATGACTGCCCAGAAGGCCAATATCACCATCGTTCGCGTCCGTACCGCCCCAGGTTTCTCCAATGGAAGCGCATGGCTAACCACCGTGCTGACGGGGGGTGTCGCGCTCATTGCTATAGACTCAGGCACCACTGCAGCTGGTAAAGAGCTACCAGAGGCCGTAGCGCCTCCGTTCTGATCTATCATCATTAAAACATCGTTTCGTGGAGATGGTGGAATTCGGTCTTAAAAGTCTTGAATGTTGACGGAGTTACGCATTGATTGGCCAGGTATCTACTAAGAAATCACGTGTTGTTTGCCCATCTCCGCCAATGAAAATGAAGCATTCCTCCTGTCAATCGACAATCTTACACTGGAATGTGCATACTCTATCTTGTATGGAGAACGCATTTATGATCCTGCCTGGCACCTATGGCTAGTCGAATCATTGTTATTATCGGCTATGCACCGCAGTATAACATACATAGTATTAATTGCAACGTGATTTGAGATATTAACAACAGCATGACACCACACCAAACCATTCTCTACTTCGTCTGCGATGGGCTCTTCTCCGACAAACTAGGAGTCTTGGTGACTTTGTAAGAAGGCTCGCCCTTGTCATTGTGAAAACCTGCCTGTTCCATAACCTCGCTGAAAGTGGTATTACGATCTCGGTTGCTATGATCAATGCCTAGCATGTTGGGAGGAGAATAGACCTTGATACTCTCCGTGCTGGGCTCCCGTGGACCGAGTCTTCCAGTCTGCTGCGGCGGAGTGACTGGAATCTCACGTGCAGCCGGCATAGAAGGAACAGGTGGCGGTGATGCACTGTTCCATTGGGGACTGACAGCATTGGGATTGGTTCTGTTGTTGTTGTTGTTGTTGTTATTCGCCCCAATAAAGATACTCTTCACCCGTGTCCCGGTCCGGCGAATCCTCGATTTCGGACGTGAAACAGTGCCTGGCGTTGGGTACCGACCACTAAACCTCTGTCGTAGGAGGAAGTCGGTTCGGAATGAGCCATTATCCTCGTCTGGGATGGGGTCTGATATCCCGATGATGGCACCTCGCGAAGATCGATGACTCTTTTGGTTGGTGGTCTCTCCCTCGTGCTGCGCTGAACGTCGTCTGCACATCACAATGATTGCAGCCACCAGAGAACCCGCAATTGCACCGGGGAAGAAGCCAGCGACAACAGCTTTGGCAGGATATTCCTGGCAAGTAGCAGCTGTTTGAGTTTGTGTCGAGTTGACCGAAGCATCAGAAGTAGCTGCCGCTGTTGCTGTTGTAGGCAATGAATCACTGATAGATATAGTTGTCGGAGTGGTGGAGGCAATAGTCAGGGGGCCTGATGTTGACAAGACCGTAGTCGAGGCTGTTGTCAATGAACTGGAAGCAGAGGCAGAAGAATTTGCTAGTGACGAGGTTGATCTATCAAGGACACATGTGGTGTTCTTTGCACATGTATAGCCAAATGGACAACACCCACTACCGCAAGCTGGCGGGTCGTCAGACAGCAAGGTAGTTTTGACCGGAGCGGTTGGATAAGCGGTGGCATTCTGCAACTGCATATCGCAAGTAATGGGTACAATGAAGGAACAATCCGAGCCAGTTGGACAGCAAAGGACAGTGGTGTAGTTGTCCAAGCCAAGACATGTTGTGTCCGAAGAGCAGCAAAAGTCTAACGGATATGAGCTTCCACATGAAGTGTAATTAGTGGCACAGGAGGAGTCGTCTCGAAGAAAGAGATCATGGAGGACTGGATTGACGAATGAAGCTGCAGCCAGTGAGACCCAGGATGTTTGCAGGAATGCCACAGCGCACAGAGAGCCCAGGTACCTGACCATGGCTATAGATGTCGGAAGTTTGTATATCAGTTGAGCGTAGTAGTAGGAGCAGTAGCGAAAGATTGAAAAAAAAAAATGAATGGCCAGACAGATAAATGGAGAGAGAGTAGAGCGAGAGAAGTAAGATTTATGACCTGCACATTAAAGATATTAAGCCCTAGCAAGACAACCTCTTAACACAATGCTATGCAATAACAAAGAAAAGGAAGGAATAAGAATGCACAATAGAAGAACACAGAAACTGTGTAGAAGAAGAATCAGATTCACAGCCACGGCTGTCGTGTCCTATATGTGTCACGGTGCCAGCCTTCGCAAACTGAGGACATTTCGTGCTACGCGCCCAACTCCCATTAGCAGGTCTGAAGGAAGACAGAGTCCTGCGCTGGGATAGGCAGATGCTGGCCAGAAAGTGGGATTACTACAGGACGTCGTTTCTAAATATACAGACTATACAGTCCTGAAACGAGCCCAAGGAGTGGGACGTAGACTCTTCAGGGCGTTGTTTGGTGTTGAGCGCTCGCCGTATTTAGCAGCAGGCCGATTCCACGCTCTCATTGGCCACAGCCCTGGCGCTTCCACTAAGCCTGTTCGGGTCGCAGTGGCAGAATTTCTGCCGACTCCGAAACTGAGTCTAGAGAGAAGACAACATACCAGCCAGCTCTGTTGCGACTAGCTTCAGTCCTACAGTTTCACAATGTTGCAGCGACTATTACGGCCGCAGAGCGGTCTGGCAGCCATTTCCAAAGTGAGCAGAATCATTGACACAACAGTTGAGATTCAATTCAGTCTTCCCCCGGGAGCTGCGAATTCGACTGCCCCCGATCTCATGTGATGAATGTTTGGTCTGATTCAAATATCTGAACAATAGAAACCCTCGACCGGTCTCCCTCGCTTCCAGTATCGCAGCCTCCATCACGTTCCCCAATTGACGCACGAGCGGATTTTCAAAGAGCATGGCATTTCGGAATTCATGTCCCCCGAGGGATTCGATTTCGCCTGGACGCAGTATCAAAGTCTGATGGTGGAGAAGTTGAATTTGATGACACAAGGTGAGAGACAATATTTTGCGCACAAAAGCGGGCAGAAAAAGGTGTACGAGATACTCATCCCATGGCATCACAGATACGGCCGATGCGGATCTTGATACCCTCGCCCTCGTCAAAAAATACGCAAAACGGCGCGAAACCGCCCATCTCTTCAATTATGCCTCCATGGCTCATAATAATCATTTCTTCTTCCACCGTCTTGTGAGTTTCCTTTCCATATACTGCAGACTTTCACAAGGCACAGACATTGTCTTACTAACAATCGTCTCTGCCCGGGCAGTCCCCCGTCAAAGTCCCATTGCCCGAGAAATTGTCCTCCGATATGAGTGACAGTGCCTCTTCACCAGAGTCTCTAAAACAGGACTTTCTGGCGGCCGCCAGCGCCCAATTCGGACCTGGCTTTGTGTGGCTTGTGACCCAAAACCAAACCGGCTTGCTGAGGATTCTCTCCACCTATAACGCTGGAACTCCTTACCCTGAGGCCTTTGCCCGGCAGCAGGGAGTCGATATGAACACCGAGCCGGCCGCTCCCGCGTCGCAAAAATTTATTAGCTTCCTCGGTCTTCCCATGTCCGGGGAAGGCAATGCAGACCTCGCCCCGGGGGCGATCTCATTGACCCCACTACTTTGCGTTAACACCTGGGAACATGCTTGGATGATGGATTACGGCATCAACGGAAAAGATGAATATCTCGAGCGATGGTGGGATAGGGTAGACTGGAATGCCGTGGAAGATGCACACAAAGCTACGCGGGGATACGGCGTGAATGTGAACAAACGTCCTTTGTCGTACGCGATTTAAACGACTGGAGGGGTTTTTTTGTTCCTTATCTTGCTCCGTTTTTCATTTACATGTATTATATAGAACACCGCATATTGGGTACTGGGACAAAAATGTAATTTGTACTCTAGACATATAATTGACTCAATGTGTCTTCTCATGCAGCGTCTTCCCCGATATTACACACTGTATAACTGTATATATCAACAGAATATTATACATAGCATACATCCGTCTATGTATGCATGTTAAGTCAGCACCGAGCTTGGGCTATGCTACCGATTCAACGTCATCTGCTCCTTGATCCGGCGCTCAAACGCCTCAATCATAACCCCAGCAACCTGGGCCTCCACCGCCGACATCATTGCCGTATGCATGGGATTCTGAAAACGAAACCGAATCTCCAACCGCACTTCCGTCTCTTGCTGTTGCTGGCCTACGTGAGGAGAAGCAGCAGCAGTAGGCCGCGGAACAAGCTCCCATTTCGTGCTCAAATATCCGAATAACCCTTCATCGCCACCTGGAATGGGCTGGCCATCGTCGCCTACTCCGCCGCCACTTCGTGCTTCGACAATCCATTTCGATCTGTCGCAATTGACTCTGGATGTGAATGTTTCCGTGAAAGGGCCGTAGCCCACCGTCAGGAAGGCCTGGGATGGATACCCCGAAGCAGGATCACGCGCAGTCACAGTTGACGCGGCAAGGAACGGGAGGAATTCGGCGTAGGACTCGACGGATGCGATGATCTCGTATAAAGGCGAAGGCGGGAATGGTAGTATGCGGGATGCGCGGAGCGTGCGTATATTTTGTGGCGTGTTGTTATTATTATTGGGGAAGATATTTGGGATATTGATGAATGACCGTCGATGGCAGATTGGTAGTAATCGCACTTGTCGCGTTGCTGGATGTCTTGATGTATGAAGTGCTCGATTTCTCAACAGCATTGGCGCAGACTTCGAGGCATAACCTCGAGCCATTGAAAGCCGCGCAGGGCTGGCTAGCACATTATTTTCCTCGCGCCATATATTTAAGCTGCATCGTAATAAACGAGAACGCGACAGGTGTTCCATGATGCCGGCGGTGCTATCACTGCAGAAAACAGGCTCTCTCACATGTCATCATAAATAAAAATACAAGGTCGGACTCCGCGGAATCGGTCCGGTATTGGCCAAACCGCGTTCAGGAACCAATCGCATAGCTAATCAATGGCCATACCGTTGTGCACGCAGATCTGTGTAACTTATCGTATTTGCTTGGTATTGAACCGTTAAAATACACTAAGAGAGGCTAATTTAACCAGCCAATCACAGGCTGTACTTCACGAGCGACCCAACGGCGAGCTTGCGATCTATAAGAGGGTTCGCCACTTCAACGTAGCTATAGCCAGCTCTGAAGCAGTATGTGCTGCCATAAACCATGGGGCTTGTTCGATTGAAATCCCCAGCTGCTTTCTTATAGCTTTCGCACGCTGTCCAAGGCTGTCAACCTGCATCCACCACGGAGTAGACAGAAAATGGAAGAGTCTTCGGATCCCGGATCTCGCCAAAGCCGGAAAGTTCGACGACGAGGCACGAGACATGTCAAATCTGGTTGTAGGACGTGCAAGTGAGCAGCCCAGTCTGCATTGTCTAGGTATCTGGCATATCATATGGCTGACGCCGGCCTAGGATACGCAGGATAAAATGCGACGAGAAAAGACCTGCTTGCGAGCGATGCACCGCCACGGGTCGCACCTGCGATGGATACGGCATCTGGGGGACTTCTGCTACTGCTGGCAGTCGGATCTTTAACAATGGGTTCCGTCCGCTTGCTGAATCTAATGGTTCTCGCCTTCGCCCCGATAGAACTCGAGCTGCAATTGAGCCTATCTGCGACAATGCGTTTGTCGGAGAGGGTGCCAAGTTTCTCAAACATCTAAGCATAACAGTGGACGCGGACGAGTTGTTTTGTCTAGAGTTCTTTCAGGTTCGGTCTCTAGTCAAACTTCCCGGGCTTTTCGATTCCGAATTCTGGGACCAGGTTCTCCCACAGCTATCTTGCACACAAGGTGCCGTATTCCATGCTGTCATCGCACTAGCATCTACGCAGCGCAGTCAAGAATTTACCAGCTGTATGCGAGAATCTTCCGATAATCCGTTTATTGACTATGATTCCGAGACAGAAAAGTGGGATCGGTTTGCATTGAAACAATATAACAAAGCCATTAAGCATCTACGATCACACTTCCAAGATAATAGTCACCACTCTATTCAGATTGCTTTGACGACTTGCATCCTTTTCATATGCATTGAGTTCATGAGAGGGTCATATTCTATGGCGAACGTGCATATCGACCATGGAATCAATGTCTTGAGGACTTTGCAGTGGAGACTCAAGTCCAATGCATCGGCCAAGAGGTTCAGTAGAACGATCATTCGCGCATCAGAGCCCAAGACAGTGGATGACCATCTGATGGAAATACTAGCGCGAATGGATACGCAATGTATGTTATTCGGATATCCCTCGCGGTACTTGCACGCAACAGACACATATTCTCCTCCAAAGTACAAACTTCCAAATATGTTTGTCTCGCCGGAGGAATCACGACAATATTTGGAAGTTTTAATTGGCAAAACCCTTCGCTTGGTTGACAAGTCCAAGACTGACAGTCTGTACTTCCCTGCTAATGACATTAAGTGCAATCCTTTAGACACCAAGGAGGAGCTCCTGGGAGCTTTAGACTCGTGGATGAATATACACGAAAGAACCGAAAGCAGCCTTTTATCAAGCCTCAAAATTCGGCCGTTTCTAGGATTCACTGTACTTCGAATCTACTCGATTATGATCAAAATCATGCTCCTCACATGCCCCAGTCCCAACGAGGTTCGAAGCGAAATGGTATTCGATAAATATACAGGCCTTTTTAAAGATCTCATGAGAACATCCAGCGACATGGTCATGATGACAAGGTTTCCCGGAAATTATACACCGAGCACAGCGGGCTGTCGCATCGGTCCTTTGAACTTTACTGCAGATATGGGTGCCGTTGCACCATTGTACTATACAGCGCTTAAATGCCGTGTTCCCTACCTTCGAAGACATGCAATCCAGGTATTGAGAATTGCGCCTCACCGCGAAGCAGTGTGGGATGGGGCTGCTGTTGCGGGTGCTGCTGAGAAAGTTGTTAGATTGGAAGAAGGTGACTTTTATCGTTTGATTAACGATGAATCGACTCAATCATTCTCGTCGCTCCAGCAGGAACCGCTTCCCGAATCACACCGTTTCCAGGACGTCCAGATACTCATGGAGGATGGATTAAAACCCCGCGGAAGGATTATGTGTAGACGACGACGAAGGAAGTACATCACCTCGCTGGATGATTCGGAATGGGAAACCATTGAAGAATGGTTCAAGTGTGATGACCGAATTGCCACATATACCTGGGGTAATATTCAGGATCTGTATAGGGAATCAAAATTGGATTATGTATATTAACTTAAGACAGCGATGTTACCTACACTTGCATGAATGTATGATAGATGCCACGAATAAGATCTTGGCATAACGTACCTAAATAGTAGAGGTGGGAAAATACTCGAACAGGTAATTTCTATGAATATCAGGTGAGTCTGTAGCCCTAACCTGGGTTGCGCAATCATTCAATGACAACTTCTCGTCTATTTTTGATCTCATTCGCCATTTGCCCCATTTCTATGATGATACTTCCTGAGATATAATCTTTCCACCATACACTCATTCTAATCAGAGGTAGACCTCCCATCGACGACCTAACCTATATACCTGACCATCCAAGTTTGGAAGGCTGCTTAATGAACTAGAAATTCCATTTAAGCAAACACTATACAGGCCGACACTGGTTGAAAGACATAAATAACCGTGTAGAGCCAGTAAGAATAGCGATCAGCCGTCACAGATCGCCACAAAAATAGTCTTACCACGACTGCCAGACTCATGATAGCAAGAAGCACACTGAGAACGATAGTCGAGACGTCGTATCTGTACTCAAGGATTCGATGTCGCACGAGAAGGTACTTTATATCGTTAGCTGAAAATCAAACAAAAATCACCTTCCCCTCCGCCGTCTCAGAGAATTCTTACCTGAGAGGTGATTATTCCAGCCGAAATATAAATACGGGCTTGAAAAAATATCAGTCAAGAATGAAATTGAGGGATATAAAACAGAGAATACTCACAAAGAGTGTCACCCAACAAAATCGGCGTCGTCAGCCGTCCAACAGCCTTGTCCCCAGGTACATCTCTCAAGTCCTGCAACGGAATCGGCCACAGCATATACAAAGTAATATACTTAATCCATTCCCAACCCATTTCCGACTGTGAGCCACCAATTGCCCACGCTGCCGTCAACTGTGCAATGCACCCAGCACCCATACACCCATCTTTTGTGGGACCGAAATTCGCAAAGCCTAGGAAATTGTGCGCAATGGTTGTTGCAATCCATAGCATGGTCGGTTTCTCAACCCCGAGAGTATAGCTGTATGCTAGATAGATACTGGTTAAAGCTACCCAGCGGATTTTAGCGGCTTGCAGTGTTGTTGCGCCGCTGGCGATGGGACGATCTGGTTTGTTGACTTTGTCTTCGGCGACGCCGTCGATTTGGTTGGCGACCACAAATGTGTATAGATATAAGAAGCCATATAGGAAGGCGTCTATTGTTTTTCTCTCCATCCGTTGTTAGTAACTAGTTATATGAGAATGTGATAGGTTGCTTTGCAAGGCCCACGTACATGGAATCACGCGATAGATCTCCTCCGTTGAGGCCTTTCGATAGAGTAAAGATGCCAATGCAAACCCAGGAACAGGAAGAAGTCCCGTGCCCAAATCTCGACGCACAAATCCATAGCAGAGTTGCAGTTCGTGCCATAGAACGTTGCCCAGAGCGGAAGGCAGGTGGAATTTAGATAAAGGGAATTGGTCACCATCAGCCGGTGCGGCAGTTTTCTGCTTCAACATTGCTAGGATAGATTGACCTTATGTCCTTTTGGGTTGTCTTTTAATCTGCTTCACTAACTAGGTACTTTGAGTTAGACTCGGGGTGGTAATGTCGCGTGTGGCATAGAAAGACGTCGAATTCGGGCAGTACTACAAAACATATCACCATTTCCCCTCACTATGCAGGGCAAGTAAGGTCTTTTAATACTAATTCCCACTCGACTCTCCATACAACACGCGAGGCTTAGTTAGTCGGAAAAAAAAGCACGTGTGCTTATCATGCTAGCCAAGAGGCCTCCAAATGTTTTGATTAGCAAGAACGAATCGCTACAAAGCCGAGTCCACATCATGCCTACAACGTGTAGACTCGTGGGAAGGATAAAGTTTTTCGTTAGCAAAGTAACCAACATTTATGGCTGGAAGCTGAATGATGCGCTGCACTGCTGCCACTGCATGTTAAGAAGTATACGAAGAATGGCCCCATTTTTGGATCCACTCCCTTATGTAGATAGTGGATCTGGGCGGGTTAGACCGTTGCATTTTTCTGAGTTTATGACTCTATTCGGAGTAGTTAACTATACTACTAGTAAGGTTGGGAATTAGCAACTTTTCAAACCTAATACTACTGTCGACTCTGGAGTCTTCATCTTCACCACTGAACCAAGGAGAAACTGAAAGAGAACGCCTGGAAAAGAGCGTGGCAAAATACGTAAAATATCAAAAACGGCCGTCATGCTTGTTGAGTCCTACTACCCTTCAACGCCATGGTGCAGCCAAGAAGCCCTAAAAGCATTCCTTATACTGTACGGAATATCCGTACGTTAGGTTTATTACCGACAGTCTCGGTGCTTCCTAAAGCTTATATCCGTCAGATTCTTAAGCACCAACCGACCAATTGATCTGTGAATTGACATTTCCGGCTCCTATCTAGGTAAAACTTTGTCCTTATCTGTGTTTGCCTATCAAAATTTATCTGTGGCTGGACGTTGACGTATTGGTAGGGGTTTCTCGTATACTGCGAGTCATGATGCATGCCTAATCTTTTTAGACTCCATTTTTGACATGTAATTTCTCTCTTTAACGACTTGGATATCTCGATTATAGATATATTTTTGCCGAGCCGATTGAACTGTCTACATAAATTATACTCGACGATTCCGAATAGAGAATAGAATTGCAACACGGTGTTATGCGAGTCAACTTGAATTTTTTTTTGGCGTAAATATAATTTTATTCTAATCTATATAAACTTGATAGACCAACTAACAGGGAAAATTGGTCTATAGGACAAACGGCGTGAGACTCGAACAGGGATATATTATAATGTGGAAACGCACTATAACGTGGTATTCTCAAGCTGATCTGCAATTGTTTCCGGCGTCGATGTTGGCTTCTGGCTCTCACCGGAATCATGAATAATTCGTTTCTTAAATCGAGCCTGCAGCCAGCAGCGGTACATTTTGAGACGCCGCTGACGATTGACTAGAAGTCTCTGGTCTTTTCCTAGATTCAATATCTCAAAAGCACCTTCAATCGAATCTTTGGTCTCGTCCTTTGTTTGCCCGTCCTGGTCAACAGTTGGCTGTGTTTCTATTTCTTTGGTTTCGCCTTCCTCTTCGTGATGATCTTTGCTATCGTTATTGTTGACGTTCATTTGCAAACCCGTCTCGGGTGTCCAACCACTCCAGATTTGCCTCAACTCTTCAGGATCGAAGAAATAGACTCTCGTTCCGTCACCTCGCACGTAAAAGTTTTCTGCGATGTAACGCTCCTTTTTAAAGCGCACCTGGGCAAGGTCACCACGGCCGTAATCACGGAATAGGACCTCACCTCCCGGCTTGAGGACTCGATATATGTTGCGCAAGGCCGCATCCCACTGATCCGGTGCAAGCGCAGACATGATGAAAATGAGAATGACGACGTCAACCGAGTTTTCTTCCATTTCCGGTGGCAAGGAAGAAGAACCGTCCTCTCCCTCTGTCTCTGCTTGAGTGACATCCCAGACCTCTGCGCGCATATATTTTTCATTGTAGTGCTCACTTTCTCGCATCACTTTGACGGCATTTTTAGAGTAGTCACAAGCGTAAACCATTAATTCTTCATTTTCGTTGTTGTTAACGAGCGGAAATGCTGTATTGCCCGCTCCGGCACCTACCTCCAGCACTACCTTGCGACCAGCATCCCTTTTGGTCACTTCGGCTAGAACTGGGAACTCCTGCCGCAGCCACTTTCTATCCTTGAAAAAGTTCTGATTATGGTTCTTGTAGAACCGATCCCAAAATTTTGCGGGCGTTGAATTATACAACTTTTTGTGCCAGTCGGAAGCGGGGTTCTCGCGCTGCTTGGCATATTGCAGCTCAGCATAGGCCCGGTAGTCCTCGTCTGTTTCGACGTGGTCCCAGGCGTTATACTCGAAGACATTGTCTCCTTCTTCAAGGAAGCGCTGTCCGAATGCGAAAGGATCGGTTCGTTTGGCGTTTCGATCGGGGTCGTGGGAGCGCCAGCTGGGCACGGTGGGGGGCTCGACGAGCTGCGAGATTGTTATATAGTCGCCATCGGCGGGAAGGGCAGGCATTCTGTGTGGCTGGAAAGGTCAATTCATGACCTTTTGGGCTAACAATGCAATTGGAAAGGGCAAGCTCTTGTGCTAGGCAGCGAGTGTACTTCTTTTTTTGCCCTTTTTGAAGTTGTCGCAAAAAAAGCGAAAATAAAACGGCGCTAGACTGAAAAAAGGCCTCAAAGAGCCCCACGCCAGCCGTATCGATAAGGCCGGCGGGGGAGCCAATCGCGGGCGGGATGAATGCTGGTGCCTGAGAACTGCGGCTGCCCGCTCAGCCTCGCTCAACCGTTGTCGCTACGTATTCATCAATCGTTCTCATCACCATCGCCATCGCCACCTACTTTTCGTCCTCTTCCTCTTTCTCCATTCGTTCAATACTTATCATTCGCTTTGCGGCAATCAACATATAACTCGCCTCCCCTCTTTCTTGCTCCAGGAACCGACCCAAGCCGGGAAGGCGCAGGACGATGAAGTGATCCTTCTACAGTACTTTCGCATGTACCTGTTTCTTCTATGATTACAATCTAGATAGATTGCATTACATTGCAACACTGGGATTTCTGCCAGATCGCATGTTACATTGCATCGACCGTTGCGCCATTTCATTCATTAAATCGAACAAAAGTCCATTATTACCTGCCCAAAACTCGATATATAAAACATGCCGCAACTCTGCGGTTGTTTCCACTCTACCGCGCCGGAACCTTCGACAAGCCAGGTCTCTGTTTATCCTGAAGCCGGTTTTATGCACCGGGTAGACAGCCAAAGCCAACCGCCTCGGTACGACTCTGTCGACAGCGGCTATACTCCAGTCGTCCCTTTGCCGCGCTATACACCTCATCCAATGGGCACTCATGAGAAAAGCATTAGGAGCAATTTCCATGAACAGCAGCGGCGTCAACAGCAGTCTGATGAGAAGAACCTACAATATTTTGAAGAACCAGATGTCCCTATTCAAGCCCATAGCACAGGCGGCAGCAGCAGCGTAACAGTAACTGCAACCATGGATGACGCATCATCCGCATATTCATTCCCGAGCAGCTTCGGACATACATCCACAGACACAAGAGACACCCCTCCACCACCTTATTCGTCTTGTGGATCATTATACTCGAGATCTAGAGCATCTTCAATGAGAAGTAGCCATCATCGTCGAAGCGACAGTCTATCCAATAATTTCCCTTTGTCGAATAATCATCAACAAACAGGATCATCATCAGATTCTTCACCGGCAACAATGATTGCGCCACCCCCTACGGCACATCTCAGTAATTCTTCCTTATCAACCTTTGCGCTGTCGATGGCACATGCTGCTTATAATACGCGCCAGCCAGTCTCGCGCCCTCCTCTGAATCGGCGTAGATCTTCGTGGGAGAGCCGTTGATCTATGCGTGAGCTTCCTAGGTTATGTAAATGTACATATGCACAACGTCCTTTTCCTTTATTTCTTTTTCTTTCCAAACTGGTGTTCAAGGGGCGCGTTCCACTACTATGGGATCTAACGAGAAGGGGTTTAATCACTTATATTGTCAATACATATGCAGGCCATTGGTAGGCAAATATAATACAAACACTACAATATATATCTTGAATAGCCATTGAAGAAACAATAATGATAGCTTGGTGGTTTGTGTTTGAACTTTCCATGTGGGTCTCGATCCTTAACAGGCCATCAAGTCGTTCTCTAGGCATTATAAACAGGTAGCATATCCAGACATGTTATTGGCCTACATCGTTAAGGCAGGTTATGGGATTAGGAAACTTGGATGGCATTTCAAATTTTATGTAGGAAAAAAACAAAAACCAACGAGGCTGCGTGATAAAAAGAGACAATTCCCATTGATCCTCGACGGATCTTACGCGAGAAACACGCAAATAATATGTTCGCTGCGATGAGGTAACCACATCAGACAATGGAACAGCCCATCAATACTTAGGTACTTTTAGCAATTGTGGTAAGTGACTACCACTGTAGTCATGATGCTAGCACATTCGGCGGCCTGGGCAGACATAGGGAAGACAGACCGAGGAAGATAAGCGAAATAAAAATGATTTCCGCAGGACTTCTGGACTTTCTACATAAAACTTCTGCTGCAGTTGAAGCAAATTCCCGTACATTTGTGAACAGGGTTGCAATGTGTAAAAGAACCTTTGAAACACTTCAGATGAAAACGGGGCATCATAACCAGGGATATTCCAAACCTCTTTGTCCCATAACAACGTCACTAAAGGAGATTTCCTCGTCATGAGTCACTGAGATTTGTCTATAAATATGATTTCTGCAGCGCAATTGCTACCCTTGGTGTTTTACACATACGCGCTCTCATGTTTCTCAATCATCAGCAAAAATCAAATCGAACACCATGCCACAAACACCAAATACAGGCCGCGAGGCCTGCGATGCCGAGCTACATGATTTCTTCGACAAAATGTCGGTACCATTCGAATTGGTCACCGATGATCAAATAAAAGCTGCCAGAAAGGGAATATCAGATACTGCGGCCTCTGTTCAGCACAAGTACGAGGTATATGGCAAGTTGGATCACAAACTTATTAAATTGAAGGATACGAATAAAGAGCCCTTCGAACTGTCCGTATTCACTCCCAAAGACAAACCTGCGCCCGCTGGTGGTCGTCCTTGCCTGTACTTTATACATGGCGGTGGGTTCGTTACCAATAACCAGTATTCTGGAATTGATTCGATCTTTCCATGCATCGCTGATCTAAATGCGGTCTGTGTCTCCATAAACTACAACCTTGCACCAGAGTCTATTGCCCCTAATCAAATGGAACAATGCTACCAGGGACTGGTGGAGTTTTGGAACAGATACAAAGATGCTGGCAAAATCAACTTCGACAGATTGGCTGTCATTGGACGGTCTGCTGGTGCAGCCTTGCTGGTTGGACTGAATCTCAAGATTCGTGAGCGAACAAAGATCAATATAAAGTGCAATATAATGTCTTTTCCCATGTTGGACGACGTATGTGCTACGGAATCACACAAGCTATTTAAGAAATCACCGTTCCTACCGAGCAAAACTGTCAAAGCTTGCTGGAAATATTGTTTAAAAATACCCAGGAAGAGTACAAAATACACCGTTCCGGCGAAAGCAACGACAGAAGATTTGAAAAATTTCCCAGAGACTTTGGTGGAAATAGCAGAAGCGGACGTCCTACGTGATGAAGGCAGCGAGTTTGCCGCAAAGCTTAAATCTGCTGGAGTTCGTGTGGCTTGCAACAAATTCGCAGGCTTTCATTGTTTTGATGGAGGCGCCGGAGGTACAAAGATTGGTCAAAATGTCAAGCAGATGCGTCTGGAATTCTTGAAGAAACAGATGGCATGAATAACTCTCTTTCTATTTGCTGAGACCAAGGCTGGTAATGCCTTTGGTTTTTTACTTTACTTCTTTTCGATTTCATTATGCCCTTCGGGCTTTTGGGTTTTTTCTTTCTAGCTCATTCTTGGGTCTATTGTCACTTCCCCTTTGTTTTATATCCTTCCGATTTAGTGGTTTCTTATGTTTTCCTTTGTTTATTTTCTTGCCTCCAATATATCTGTAGTTCTTTCAGGTCTTTGGCAGCTATTGTTAGAAGCACATACGACCTGCTCACTAGATTGACAACTTGTTAAACGCTTAGTGCACCATATATGAAACGAGATCTATCTGGTAACCCTCATACCGGCCTAAAAAACGAATAATACTCTACACGTTAGCCTACATCAGTCCAGAAAAGATACTGTGTGCAGAGAGTATAGCAGCGGAGAAAAAAGCAAGCACAACTCATCGTATTGTTAATACCTGGGGTATCTTGGTTGGGGTTAGATGCTTATGCCACCGCTTCCTAGGCCACATTGAGGAATACGGTAAACCTGTGGCTAGTTAGACTTGATTCAATAACATTCAGTGACGAAGCAAATTGCAATAGATAGGGTTGACTAAGTCCGGAATAAGAAGTTGACGTCAGTGGCACAGTCCCCCCGCATTCCATCCCGCGCCCCCACTTTTCCCCGGATATTAGGGTTGGGGCTTGTGACTTATGCAATTATCTTCTTCATATATCTAGCGGATATACATCTTCTTTTGACCGTAATTCATGATGTCAAAGTCAAACACTCATAAATATATCACCTGCTCTTTCCATGGTTCAATTGCTATCATGCTATCATGCTAATACATCAATAATGCCGAATCTCAGTCCATGCCCAGTCACTGTCGGCATGGTATCCGAGCATCTTACCCAATAAGCCACCACAATCGAGACTAGCGTAGGTACGAAGCACTAATTGCTCGGCATTGCTAGCCAGCCATAGAAAAATGCGGATCCCTCCACACGATGCTACCCTACAGCCCCCACGGGGATTTGTGATAACAGTATCCAAGAACTGGCTAGTATCAAGTCTTTGTTTCAGAAATGAGCAATTCAATCCATGATGTCATGGATTGGTTCGTAGTCTACCTCCGTGGGTGGAGGGGATTCATTCATGTATCTACGTTTATGAGTATCCAGTTATAAAGTACCTTGTCTTCAACCTTGTCAGAAAGACTCTGGTTTCTTAATAAACCTGACTCCTCCCGGTCTTATCGTTGCATTTTGATTCGATTGTCTTTTTTTTTTCCCAATATGAGAGGCCCCTTAGAAAAGAAAAAGCCCTATTTTGGGCTGACAGGAGGATGGCTTACATTCTGGGTTACAGTATGTATTACTGCACTTCCCTAGATAAACGCAATGACCTCTTAACAATCACACAGGTCGCCTGTGCAACGGACATGTCGTTATTCGGTTATGACCAGGGCGTCTTCAGTAAGCCAATATCAATCTACCGCGAGAATGAAATCCAATTGACAATCTTTGATACAGGCGGCGTGGTGATCTCCCAGGACTACCTTGAGGTTCATGGTCTGGTGGGAAAAACAACAATTAGCTCAACTGTGACGGCTATTTACGATGTTGGCTGTTTTTTTGGAGCCATTATTGCCTTTACTATTGGAGAGGCATTAGGGCGCAAGAAGTCTATCATGATTGGTACTACTGTCATGGCCGTGGGCACTATACTGCAGGCAAGCTCGTTCAGCTTGCCACAGATGTTTGTTGGACGAATCGTGTCGGGGTAAGTAACTGACCGATTCGAGAAAGAATCGTAAATTGTATATCTGACTTTGCCGCACAGACTCGGCAACGGAATCAATACAGCCACGGCACCAATTTGGCAAACAGAGACATCCCAATTGAAGTGGCGTGGAAAACTCGTTACTTTCGAAATGATGATGAACATTGCAGGCTACTGCCTCGTCAACTGGATCAACTACGGGTTTTCGTTCGTTGGTGGACCGGTAGCATGGCGATTCCCTCTTGCCTTCCAGTTTGTGTTTCTCTTCGTTCTCTGGTTTACTACCCCCTGGCTTCCAGAGTCCCCTAGGTAAGTTGAGATCCCATCATAAGCTCCTTATGGAGTTGATAGTTGAACAGTTGGAATGTAGGTGGCTTATCGCTCATGGAAGAGAGGAAGAAGCGATTGAGGTGCTGAGTTGCTTGGAGGCGAAGCCCAAAAATGATCCATTCGTCGTCTCGCAGTGCCGAGAAATCAGTTTCAGCGTCCGGTATGAGCGCGAAAATGGCGTGCGATGGAGAGATATTTTCAAGAAGAGAGAAAATGATACCAAACCCCTTCGACGATTGGTTCTTGGTGCTGGGAGTCAGTTCATGCAGCAGTTCGGTGGCATCAACATCATGTCCTATTATTTTCCTACCGTGTTGACCAATGTGAGCAAAAGCTTTCCTCGGTGGAAGTTTTTGAAGACAAGAAGCAATAGCTAACAAAACCTTCCTTTTCTTTTTCCAGTCCGTCGGCCTTTCCGACGAGCTAGCACGTCTCTTGACGGCATGTAACGGTGTATCATACTTGATGTTTTCCGGAATTGCGGTGTTGTTGATTGAGCGAGTCGGTCGACGCGGCTTGATGATAGCCTCCACGTTCAGCCAATTTGCATGCTTTTTGGTAATTACCATCTTGCTTCGCTACTCTGAGGCAAGTGACCAAGGAAAAGAATATGCATCGGCATCAGTAGCGTTCTTCTTCCTTTATTTTGGCTCGTTTGGCATTGGAATGCTTGGAATTCCATGGCTATATCCGACCGAGATCAACTCCCTGCCGATGCGGACGAAAGGAGCTGCTGTTGCAACGGCTACGGACTGGTTCGTTATATCGCTCCCTCTCCGCGAGAAAAAATCTTTCTGACTGTAAACAATGAAATGCAGGATCACAAACTTTGCCGTTGTTGAAGTTACCCCAATTGGAATTGATAACCTGGGCTGGAAATTCTGGGTCGTATGGACTGTAACCAATGCTGTCTTCCTGCCCATTCTGTACCTTTTCTACCCTGAGACCGGTATGTTCTCCTGCACCCGAGAAAGATTCATGTTATACTAACCTTCACGTATAGCCAACCGAAGTCTTGAAGATATGGACGCATACTACAGATCCAATCCTTCATTGATTGTCGTTAATGATTCTGATGCTATTTCTCGGAAGCGGCCAGCAAAGTATGTTGTGCATGAAGCGGAGGTCGTGGAGAAGACGGCTGCAGGCAAGAATTATGCGTCTGATGGGACAGTGGATCACATTGAGAGAACTAGTCAGGAAGAGACGGACTTCTAAAATTTGGCTAGCACAAGGCTCATACAAGAATCATGCCATTCGGAGGAACCGCAGTCGACGAAAGTGGACAATGCAAGTGTAACTTTCTCGTCAAAAGACTAGACCTAGAATAAATGCAAATGACATTCAAGCTGCAGTCCCGCACATTAGAAAGAGGACGAATCGTCAACCTTGCTTAGCAAGTGCCTGCATCTAAAGTGGAACGAGGTATCTAGCGCAGGAAAAACCAAGACTTGTGGAACGACCGTGCTCTTTAATTTATAGCTGGAATGGATATTGATGGGTAATAATACATGCAGTCTCAAATAACAGAAAATATGCAAAAAAAGCTACTTAACAATGAATGGGTACAGATATTCCTATGCTCTTGTTCGAGCCGGAAGCGATACAATATTCCCCGTCTTGGTGGGAATAGTATTATCATCTCCGTCGCGTCCTTCATCATCATCGTACAGATCATCTTCCTCCAGTTCTTCTGACTCGCCTGTGATTCTTCGCCATAGCCCATCCCACACCCCTTTTTTAGTGGCAAGTCCACCAATCAGAAAGATGGGAAGTTGCCATACACTCGCCCAAAACAGACCACGAGCAGTTCCCTTGGCACCTTGATGTCTCCAGAATTGATAGGCCTCTTTCAGCATCCATCCATTGGCTAAGGAACTACTGACTAAGAACCAGTTGTTCACGTATCCGCTCCACCAAAATCCGAATGCAATGGGGAACATGAGCACCGAATACCGAAGCGCAACACGCGCGTTTCGAGCTGGGTTCACCCAACACATCATTTGATGGCCAGCCGCTTTGTATTCTGCCCGTATGAGATGAGAGAGTGAATTGAAATGTGGGAATTGCCACGCAAACAGCATTGAAGCCAGGAGCCATCCACCTATACTCTCCTCGCTTAAAAGCATGTCTTTCCATGTATCATGGCCCGTTGTTGCGGTTTGCCCAGCGGCAGCAACCCAGCCCATCATAGGCGGGATCGCACCCACAATAGCGCCAATCCATGTATTGATGACATGTACCCTCTTCATAGGTGTATATACGAAACCGTACAAAATTATATTCGCCGCAGATAAGGCGGAAACGGTGGGGTTCGTTCCAACGTAGAGAAGTCCAACACCAACGAGGCCAGCCGTAATGGCGAAAGCCAAAGCGCCACGGCGAGACACAAGCCCGCGCACAAGGGGCCTGTTCCGAGTTCGTGACATCAGGGCATCATACTTAGGCTCGAAAAACATGTTGAAAGCATTGGCACTGGCGCATGATATAAAAGTGCCAGCCGTCAAATAGAGGAATGTAAGCGTGGAGGTAGAGAGTGTCGGAAGCTGGGCGACTGATGGATCAAGGGCAAGGAGAGTCGTTATCGGGTATAGCCCATAAGCAGAGGTTGTGGAAAGGAGGATCAAAACGGATAATCGAGGTTTCGCGAGTGCGAGATACGCAGCAATTTTTCTGCGCGGAGAAGCAGCAGGAAGTGAGGATGAAATTGCAGAGAGTTGAGCGGAAGCATCCAGAGGTAACTGTTCCTCGGTGGCATTGTTTTTAGCCGCCTCCTGCTCCTCCTCCTTCAATCTCTTCCGCCGCCTGTGAGGTAGCTCCTGTATGTGATCTGTAGCAATTGCATCGCGGCTTGTTTCTGTGGGTATGGCTGAACTACTCGTGTTGAGGCGCGCCGTATGACCTCGATGTGATAAGACACCCTTCTTGAATGCCCGTTTTGATGGATCGTAGGAGGCAAAATATTCTTTCTGCAAGAGTTTAGAAGAACCGACTGCTCCGCTAAAGGTATTCGATTGCTGAGAATTTGTGGTCCCGAAACGTCGTTGTGCTGCAGCGCGGCCGACTACATTGGCCCTGAACAGGCAATGTGAGCATAACGAAGCCGCGTCTCGGGCCACGGGTGGCCGTATCAATGCAGGTCGTAGTAGCATGACCGAGTAATGCTATCAGAAATCTGCATGGCTGGAGCTAGCATTGGAGTGCCATCATCGTGGTACTGGCGATTGGCGATTGGCGATTGGAGTCGACTTCATTTTCTGTGAGTCTTTCTTTTCTCGGGAAGTGAAGTCCGCAAAGGAGCGGAACAGAAGCTGCAGCCACGGTTGGCCAATCACGAGCCGGACTGGGGCCCCACACCGGAATGACAGTATTCTTGAACGAAGAAATTAATTCATCGCGAGATTTGTTATACTCTCATCACGCCTCTACCGTTTCTTGAACCCAAAATGGACCAACTCCAAGCCCTCGTCGTCGAACCGCTCAAGCCGGTTCTGAAACCCATCAGTGATGCGTTGCCTGAGCCGGTGCACGATACGATCATTTCCCTCATCGGCGCGACCTGCCACAGCGCCCTTCTGCTCGACTTGGATGTGAGCAAGGATCCGCAATGCACCTCGCTCGCCATCTCCAAGGCCCTTGGCCTCGCCATCGTAGGAACTAGCGCTATCGTGAAGGTCCCTCAAATCCTCAAGCTTGTGAACTCGCGCTCCTCAGCTGGCGTGTCCTTCATATCATATGCCATGGAGACAGCCAGCCTGCTGATCACACTGTCCTACAACGTTCGCCAGCGATTCCCCTTCAGCACTTATGGCGAAAGTGCTTTCATCGCGGTGCAGGATGTTGTCATTGGGGTTCTCGTTCTATCTTTCGCTGGCAAACCTGCTGGTGCTGCGGCCTTTGTCGCCGTGGTCGCTGCTAGCATCTACGCGCTTCTGTTCGACCAGAATCTGGTCGATGGCAATACTATCTCTCTCCTGCAGGCGGGTGCAGGTGCCCTGGGAGTTGCAAGCAAACTTCCTCAGATTATTGCTATCTACAACGAGGGCAGTACCGGCCAGCTGAGTGCATTTGCGGTACGTACTAGTAACAACATAGCAAACGACTTTTGGCGAAACGGGTGACTAATGTTCTATTTGGCAGGTCTTTAACTATCTCCTTGGCACTCTATCTCGCATATTCACCACGCTGCAAGAAGTGGATGACAAGCTCATCTTGTACAGCATTCTTGCCGCCTTCGTCCTCAACGCCGTCCTTGCAATCCAGATGGTATACTACTGGAACAGCCCAGCAAAGAAGACAGCTGCTCCATCACAAAAGAGTAAAAAGGCAGCGGAAAAGGCCCCTGTGGCTGCTAAAAGCTCTGGCGTGTCGCCGAAACCAGCGGGGAAGACACCTTCCACTCGCCGACGAGGCTGACCGTGCCAATATTCTAGTTTTGATTTAGCTTGTTTTCCAGCATAGAATGGCAAATTTTGATTTTTCTATCAATGACTCCAGTCAGTGAGCTTGATGACAAAATAGTAGAATATCTCGTACCTAAAAGTCGCTTGTTTAATCCAACAATGCTGAGCTGGGTATCACGAGTAGATATGGTTGTATGAAGAGAATTTCGCAAATTCGATGATTGGATTCCATGATCAAGGCCCAGATTTCGGCTTCATCCCCGTCATCATATAGCGGAAAATGTCGGCGAGGGGCAGAGCAGGCGAAGCTGAAGCGCTCGGAACATGATCCCTTGCCCTCGCCAGATCAAACTCAACGCCACCAACGCCAGGCTTCGTATGCACGCCAACGATATCCATCTTCTCTCCATCCTCTTCCTCCTCTTCTTCCTCGTCGGATTCTTCATCTTCGTCATCGTCCGGCAGCTGCCGTGTTAGACCCGTCACCACATTCTGGATTCCCAATTCCTTTTCTTCTAGTGTATAGTTCCCTCCCCAGTTCCGCCTTCGAGCTTCTTGGTTTGCTTCAATAGGCGCCCATGCCCATAACTCCGCCAAGTCTGCTTCGCCGAGCCCATTGCTTGCGTCCAGCGATTCGGTGCCTGCAATCCGGCCTCTTGTAACCCAGTCTTCAACTCGGGGGTCTAGTTTCGTGCGCAGCAATTGCTCTAGGACGCCTTGTTGGGTAGTGCCAGGGAAGGACGGCGCCGGATACGCGACTAGCGAGGATAGAAGTTCTTGGTGTTCCGACAACTGGGTGCAGATGTTGATGAGATTGTTCGAAATAATGGTGGCTTGCGACTGTAAGGAGGACCTGTTTGAACAACAACCCGGGAAATTAGCTTTTGATTTCAAGTCTCGCGTGCCTGTCGCGGGTCTAGTTCGTACCATGAAGGCAGAGGGTCACTGTGCTGCAGGCTGCCAGTGAGCGAGCCGAGAGAGTGAGTCAGTTGCAGCAGACGCTGCCTAGTCTGCTCCAGGACCTTGACCTGGTTCTCGTTTATGGTAGCCATGGATGTGAAGCTATTCGCATGTGGATGTGCTAGTGAGATGACGGACGAAGCGCTGTCAGTTGGCAGGACGTTTGCGACCAATCAAGCAAGCACGCCGTCAACGACCCGCTCCCCGCTCGATCGGGCTAGATCGAGAATCGCTGAGAACTTTCGCCTTTTTCTGTTTTTGTCATTTTTGCTTCTTTTCCTTCCCTTATGATGTGTGGTTTGTGCTACTGTAACATATCGGCAGGGTGTTGACTTGGTCTGGGGTTACTTTTATTGTCATCACGATGAAGCCGGTGCGCGAGTTTTATATTCCTTCCGTGCACGATGAGACCCGCCTGAGCTGCCGCATATACCAGCCTGAGGGACTGGACTACCAGCAGCAGCCTGTGATCAAGGCTGCTGTCGTTGCTCATCCATATGCCACACTTGGGGGAAGCAACGACGACCCTGTTGTTCTGTCAATCACCGCGGAGCTTGTGCGCAATGGGTACACGGTGCTTACATTGAATTTCCGGTAGGTTCCTTGTTCCTGTCTGTCGCATTGCGCCATAGAGAAATCAACCACGGAGAGCATCTTTATTCTCTGATCGCAACTATGTGACTAATACTCGTTTTTCTATATAGGGGTGCGAGCTATTCCGGGGGCACAACGACGTGGACGGCCAAAGCGGAGATGGGCGATTATGTTTCTGCTTACGGATTTATGTTGAAATATTCACAACTCCTTGGGCCACCTAAGCCGGTTGAACTAGTCCTGGCCGGATATTCATATGGATCTATGATCGCCTCTTATCAACCCAGCGTCGAGGATGTAAGGGCCGTATTCTTCAAACCGAAAACAAACTCGTCTGCAGCCAAAATCATCGCGAAAGCCAAACAAGTGGCTTCGGGAGAAGAGGTAAATGAAGATGAAGAATTCTACGACTTTCGAAGAGTAGTAGAAATAAATGATACAGAAAGTGATTTACCGGCAGCAAAGATTTCTTTCTTATTGATCTCGCCTATCCTCTCTCTCGCCTCGGGATTCGTGACATTATGGGCAAACTTGTCAAAGCTGTGGATTGGGAACAAACAGATCGTCACCCCAGCCCCTGAACAGCGACTCCCAGGGAAAAAGACCCTCGTCGTGTACGGTACGGACGACATGTTCACATCCGCTAAAAAGCTTCAGGCCTGGACCCAGAAGCTGAAGGATGCGCCGGAAAGTCAGGTGGATGCTGTAGAGGTTCACATGGCCGGGCATTTCTGGATGGAACAAAGTTTCCATCAAAAGCTTAGGCAAGCCATTGGCAATTGGCTGGGTCCGGCGTGATAAATTGGAGCGACCTGCGGCTATATGTATCCTGTATAATATAATATAAACATTGGCATGTGAGACGAAATTAATAATGAGTTGGGATGTGTGGTAAAGCCTGAACAGTCTGCATATACATAGTGGTGACAAGTTCACTGCAAGCGGTTTTACACTGAATAAAGAAAATGTTCTAGGATTGTTAGGCGTGGACTCTCTTCGAAGGAAGTTTCATACACTCCGCAGCGTGGTCCACGAAGCAGCCGATGTCAGAGCAAACATCAGGATACCCTTCAAGGCCCAGAGGCAGTGTTGTATGAACAGACATGCCGTTTTCATCAGGTACCACCCTGACATACCTTGCAAGCAACACGCCTCCGTCAACGTCCCATTGTCCTCCAGTCCAAAACCAACGATCTTTCGGGGAGATAAATCCATTGCTATCTCGCGCCCGCTCCTCTAGTAACACTCCACCCAGCTTACCGTGCAACATAAGTCTGGAATCCCAGGCGCCCTCTCGCCATGGCAGCTGACGCATCATGGCTGCCATCATGCGTATGTCGTGCACGCGGCATTTGATAACTACCATACCCAGCGCGCTGAGGATGGAAGTGTTGAGCGTGAATCGGTATGACAGACATGAGTCGCGGAGGAAGATTGCGCAGCGCGTTAGTAGTCTATAGAAATCAGCCTCGTGGGCATCAGAGGCTAGCCCGGTGCAATCAAGGCAGGATAGAGTGCATATTAAGAGCACAAGATGCTGGATTTGCATGAGCTGAAGTGCACGCTGAGTAGACTCTCCATCGCCTTTGCTTTTGGCAACCCATAAGTCCAGTTCTGCCTCCCAAATGCCCAGCTGCGTGACGAGTACTTGCTGACGCTCATCTATCCCGTGTGGGGTAGGTGGAAATTGCAATTGAATCGCCAGAGCATGCCCGATGAAGGCGGCGGCCGCGCGAGTGTAGAATTTGCTCCATTGAGTTTGGAGCTTCACCATATTGGAATAGCTGGGATTGGGAAGGTTGTGGTTTCCAGAGGTGTCCCAAAGCTGGGTGTTGGCAAATTGAGAGATGAGGAATGCTCATTATGGATATCAGTGGGAGAAGGTGTTCGATATCTTCCATATCATCTTCCCTTGTATGTTCATTGAACCATGTAACGTGATTAGAAGGCGTGTCTGGGAGATATAATTTTAGCCTACCCTTGAGGAGGTTGATGCTACTTGTGATCAGGCCATCGACTGCCTTCATATTGCCCTGCAACAATTCAAATGTGATGAATAGCATGGACATGATGAGCACTGATCTGGGGGACAGCATGGTTTCTCCAGCTTTGACTCGACTCCTGAATAGAGAAAGAGCTTTGATGTAATGACGCACTGCAGCTTTGTGGTGATCATTTATAATGACTTCGGCAGTCCAGGCTCTACACACCCAGCATCTATATCACAACTCTTGTCTATACATCCTCCCAATAATGTTTTCATTATTTACAGCCATTCATTCAACTGTAATCTGACCGAGAGATGCATAGAGAAGATATAGAAGACATACTAGGCACCAGAGAGCGTCTGTGGTGTCCAAATGCGGAGATTACCCCAGCTTCTTCAAGTCCGACTTGTGTGGGTCAGTCTAGACTTCGAGGCTTCATTGACTGATGTTTCTTTTTGTCGTATTTTAACTATGTCATGCGTTTACCGGTATCTCTCGAAACCTTCGTATTGGATGGACACTACTCAAACGAGGCTGTGCAGGCTGAGATGCTCCTCTGACGTCGTGCTTGGACTGAGCCGGCATGCAATTAATCCACGTAAGACCTTTCTCTTCTCTTGTGTACTGTATTCAAAAACTGGGGAAGATTCTTTCCTTGCGGATAGGTTCTAGGACTAGAAAATACACTTCAAGGTGGAAGCATTCGCGTCCGTGGCAACCATCTTCCAACTCCTAGATTACGCCGTTAAAGCTACCACGAAGGCAGCAAGATCCATCCACGAAGTGCACCATGTCCCTCAGGCTCAGAATAACATGCAAACCAGGATTAATTTCCTGCATAGAACACTAGGTCTACTCTCATCAAAGCTCCGGAGAAGCAGCAGTGGCGGCATTGTTGGCAGCGGTATGAGCAATATCAGCAATTACTTCAACTACAAAGAGGAAGAGCAGGAAATACTCCGAATGGCGCAGCAAATCAATACAGACTGCCAGAACTGTGCGACAAGATTGGAACAGCTGAGCATGAGCCAGAATAATGTGTCGATGGGAAGGAGGGTCATGGACCAGATCTCTCAGGAGTTTAGAAAGCCGGAGATTCAGAGGATAGAAGCCAGGATTGAAAGGAATATGGGGAATATGCAGCTCCTGATGAGTTGTCTACAACTGTACGTTCTCACCGTCTTTTTCCTTTTCATCTTTTCTTTCATGTTGTTAGTTGCAACCGAAGTGGAAGGGGCATTTCTAATTCTGACTACGATAGATTCGTCGACGATGACTGAATCGCTCGACACGAACGCATTGAGGAGCACCTCCTTGACATACGCAAACAACGGGTTTTGAAAACACTGCGTGATGATGTTGTTAACTCGCTGCGACCGCATATTTCAAACGACAGCAATGCCGAAACCGATGGAAATGGAAATTCTCAAGCACAGCCTCTACCAATAACCTTGGACACAGATCAAGATGCGGGCGAATGGATGCAGACAACTGATAGAGCTTTACAGACTGCTGATTCATTAATTGATAAGTTGTCTCGCACCATGTCCAATCTTAGTCAGGGTTCTGGCGAAATAGATGTCCTATCCAGTACAGGTGATATACCCATAGTGCTGCAACGTGCCTTTGATGGCACCGCCAAAATAACTACTCCTGGTCCATCGGAATCTCTGGCATCGTCAGGAGAAACCCACCATCTGCAGCCAGACCTGATGACGAGTTTCTTGGATGCGAGCATCCACCACGCAATGGAGAGCCTCGAGTAGGGCAGATATTGAGATAGTGAGAGATACCTCCACGGGGCAATTCAGCACGGAGAGCTTCGGTATCAGCACTACGGACACGTTTTTGAGCAATGGTTTGATCTGCAGATCCGGCTTGCCGAGGTATACCAAATGCAAGGGAGGCCATCAGAAGCACATCTTCTATTAACGAATCTCAACTAATATCTCGCTGAGAATGTGCCTAAATACTGCAAAATTACGCCTCTCCGACGAGCCCAACTGTATCATGCCCAAGCCAAATTGTGTCTGCACAGATATCAGAGGTATCACGATATCACGCTCCCTAGTTTAGACCATGTTGCTAAGACGGCCTATATTGTAGTGGAGGAGCTGGTGAATATGAATAATGCGGAGAGTTGTCCAGATATGCACCTGGCAAGGATGGCCACCGAATGCGCCGATATCTGGAGCAAGGTGGCTGATCTTTGCGTGGCGATAAAGTAATAGCAACGGTGCTTCGGGAAAGGCACTCTTTATTCAACAATCAAAACGGCAATCCATTATCAGTCTTCTCGGTAGAGCTGCCTCAACAATGCCCCGGAATCCCAGGAGGCTGGGCTAATGAGACTATGATGGTTCATCAACGCATAGGGTCAAGTTCACCATCCGATGTGGTAACTTCGGATATACACAGATCATCATCGGATATAGCACCCTCAGAAATAGTCCCAGCGCCGAGCATGTGTGCAGCGACTGAAAAAGGATATGAAGCTTTATGCCAATATATAAATCGCAATCAGTTCAACGTCGAAGAAAAAAATTCGTCTGGATTGACACCTCTACTCATTGCAGCTAAAAGATCGGACTTGAGATCAATCGAGTTCCTCCTTAGCAACCTTTCTGCAAACATAGATGCCCGGGACAATCATGGAATGAATGCACTGCATCATTCACTGCATGCTTTCAATTGTAACAATGAGATCATAAGACTCTTATTATCCTGCAATATCGATGTCAACGCAGTCAACTTGCAAGACGGTGACACACCGTTGCATTACTGTATGAAGTTCAAACATTATACAGCTGCGCGTCTACTTCTCGATTCGGGAAGAGTCTACATTGAGGCCGCGAACAGAAAAGGTCAGACAGCAGCCATTCTTGCCACAGCTAACAGCCAATCCTTCACAACATAGCCATACTTAAATTGCTGTATCCTCATGGGGCAATCTTTGATATCGCGGCCATTCCTCGTGACATGTGGCCAGTCCTTGAATCGCTGAAAGAAAATGAAGAGCGACGACGGCGTGGAAGCGTCCAGTCGAGTCAGAGTCTTTTCAGTCGTACAAGTCGGAGAAGTGACAAAAGTCGAGGAGTTTCTATTTTTCTTTTTTTTTTTTAAAGTCGTTCGAATTGATATGCATATATACTTGGATGTATTTGTGTCGAGTCTCTTTAGCTTTGTTTTCTTTTTCGTATCTCGTGTCTGTCTGATGCCTATTTGTATTTCATTATTTAATTTTATATCGTTTTACAGAGTACTAATTAATTTACTTTGGACACAAGTCACCATTTTTGCTGGATACCTATGAAGATATGGATAGGGCTCAATCCCTCGCTCATTTCATCAACATATTGTCGATCGACGTCGTACTTACTATAAGGAAGATCACCACAGTCAGACAATTATTTCTAAGAAACTATTCTCAATATCGAAGAACAAGCCGTTCCGTAGTAGAATCGGAGACAGGACTATGCCACTGGCGAATTCGGTCTCTTGCACCCATGATATGTATTGTCATAGCCGCATGAGATTTTCTCTACTCTGCTGGATACTATATACTGCGCCCATTCTTAAGCAGTCGGTATATTGGTCACATGGCCAACCTCGAGACTTCCAAGGCGCTCCAGCCCACCGTTCTGCATTAAAATAGCATTTACGGTAGCCATGTATCTCTCAGTAGTGGTTTTAATACCAGGCTGACTACCGGTTAATATGTCGTAACTGATGCAAGCGCTCTGGCTTGTCCTGACTGGCCCCCTGTATGTAGGAGAGGAATCGACTCGCTGCTTGTATTAGATTTTAGCACTATTGAATCCGAGTAATTCCCGGAGAATTTGTCATACCAGCCTCCTTTTAAAGAACTTACACATTGCACCCGGGCTATGTCTAGCACAGATTGGTGACTAGCGCGCAGAAAAAGGCCCAAACCGTCCTTGACAGCGGTGCATGGCAGCAATGCAAGTGGTTCCTTAGATACGAGGAGAACACTAGTTGATAACAATCTGGTGTGCACCATGTACGATCTTCGTAACACTCTCTATAAAAGTGGTTTCAGTCACGGGCTAAATCAGTACAATTTGCTTTGTAAGATATCTGGGCAGCTGTCAAATCTAACTCCGAGCTGGGGAACATGGGGTAAACTAGTTGGTCTAGATTGACCTCCGTGCAGCTAGGCAAGGTGTACGGGCGTTAATCCTGGGTGATTTAAGCCGGTGACTGTCTGAAGAGACTGAGGTTCTGCAATAGGATTTTGGCTGGGTGCACCTAGCCTTGCGCCCTGCCGCTCGTTTTCAGTCTGACTATTTCTCCATGTCTTCATCTTTCTTGTTTTTATTGTGTCATACTTTGATGTTTGTATTCTTTTCTTCAAGAAAATGGAACTGAGTGGCATTAATCAAAATAAGCCTGACAATGGAAGGGTAATCTCTGAGTTTCCTGCTCGTACACATACACATCTTGATTAAGTGGATATTTCAGGTCCATCGATCTGGCCCGGCACAAGGATTAAACCACTTATTCAATAACAACAAACTCGGAATGTAAGATTCCAAAGAAAAAGAGAAGAAAAACCTTTCACAGCCTTAGCTAACAATGTGTACACGGGAAGAATCGACAATCCGATCAACTATCGACCGCCAGACGAGCTTGACAACGATGTCAGCCTATTCCACGAAAAGCATCAACTTGGTCAGGTGGTAGATCTCGAGCTTCTTCTTAGGGGGGCACATCTCGCCCGGGATAGAGAACAGTTTCTGAGTGACGGAGCCAATTACAGCGAGGTAGAACGTCGCGCTCTGGAGGAAGAAGAATACCCGAGTGTCTTCAGGCAGCCTAAGGAGCTGCAGGTCGTACTTTTGGCTTGCGCTATAGGGGCTATTGTACAGTCAGTATATGGAATAATCTTTTTTTTTTCGCCTTTTGTTATCCTCTTGGACTAACGTGTTTCCCTGTAACTAGAGGGTGGTCCCAGGCAGATCTTACCGGAGCGAACCTGCTATGGCCTGCCGATCTCTTCCATGTCCAAAAAGGAGGCCTCACTACTCCCCAAACATGGAAATTTGGCGTTGTCAACTCGGCCACTTATTTTTCCGCAAGTTTGGTGTAAGTCTTGCGTCCCTGATCATAGTATTTTAGAACATGTCGGGACTGACTGGTCACTACAACGCTCGTTATTCTCTTTTCTGTTCATTTGTATGTATCTTCTAGACAATGGATAAAAATACCAACGGATGCTTTGGCTCCCATGCCGATGCCTTGCATCATCCGACATGCGAGTAGGCCTTGCCTGCGAAGAACATAACAAGAGTCAGTAAACACTATCGATTGTCCGTCAATCAAACCGTGGAATAAAGTTTACCAGCTTTGCACGTATCCAGAGCCAATATTTGAGGCAAAAGAAACCAAAGCGGCGATAAACAAAGCACCTCTTCGTCCAAAGAAATGCTCATTCAAAGGATCCGATAGCCATCCTCCTCTATATTTGAGAGTGAACTTAGTCCGTCAAACATGTCCGTCAAACATCAGAGGTATGCTATGTGGTCTAGGTAAACTTCCTCTTCTAATGTTACACTGCGTCCAGGGCGTTTCCTTGTATCGTGGCAGTCATTTGTCGGTAAGCCAACCAACCCCCATGCATCAGTGTGACCGCGCATGTAACCTTCCACATCTTACTTGCATTTCAGCATTCGGTTTATTCCTCGGATCATGCGCGAATCTCATTTTTCACAAAGATTGGCGATGGCAACTCGCTTCGGCTTTCATTCCGGCTGTTCCTCTTATGTTTCTCGTGTTGATCTGCTCGGAGTAAGTAACCAGCCCCGTATACGGTGGACGGAACTTGTTGAACGTAAGTGCTAAAGTTTTACAGATCGCCACACTGGCTTGTGAAGCAAAACGACTATCCCCGGGCATGGAAAGCTTCCAAAGGACTGCGCGAGACTCCCTTGCAAGCGGCAAGTAAGTTTCTCTTTCCGAAGAAAAAGGCTTCTCATTATAGAGAATAGTAAACTAAATACCAGAAATAGGGGATTTCTATCAGCTCCATTGTCAGCTCCAAGTTGAGACAATCCTGCTGGGCAAAGGTGACATCGTGCACGAGATTGAGAACTGGACGCATAATGTCAACGGCAGACTTTTCCAACAGGAGGCACGACGAACGAACTTCTTCCAGCGTTTTTGGCAGCTTTTTACTATTCAAAGGAATAGACGGGCATGTCTGGCTGCCTGTGTGGTTATGGGTGCTCAGTAAGCTTGAATAGCTCGGCTCAAAATATTGGAACTTAGAGCTGGACTCTAATCTCAATCTTCATCGGCTTGCAGGCAATTATCCAGCATAAATATCTTTGCATTTCTTTCAGCGAGCTTCATCAGCAACTCCGGAAATGAACCAATATCAGGCACAGGAGTATCCAACATGAGCGCCTTGTGGCTGAGTTTTGGATTTGCACTATCCAACGCGGTGTATGAATGGATGTTTTTTCACCCGAAGCATATTATCAAACTAATAAATTCTAGATTCTCGCCGTTAGCCTACTTCACGATCGATAGTAAAGGACGACGCTTCCTTCTCCTTCTGTCTTTTAATATTGATGATACTGCTGCTCATCGCGGCAGGCTTCAGTCTAGAGATAGACCCTACACGCCCTAGGAACTCGGCACGTGTAGGAACTTTTGAGCTGTTTTTGATATTATACACTGCAATGTATTCGCCCGGAGCAGGCGTGATTCCATTCCTATATTCGAGCGAAATCTTTCCTCTTGTTAATCGTAGTGAGTCGGCCCTAGCCCTAACTAAATATTCTCTTGTTTCTGAATTTCTATAGAGGTGGGAATGTCTCTGAGCTGACTGTCAACTTTCTTCTTGCGGGCGTTCTCGCCATGACGGTTCCCCAGCTGCAAAATTCCTTAGGCCAGACCCGTCTTCTTGGGCTTTTTGCGTTAGTCCTTCTATTTCCCTCGTCGAACTCGTTCGCCATGGTACTTCTAGGATTTCACTGATCATATACATATGAGATGATAAAACAGTGCTCTTGATGCTTTCGCCGCCCTTCTCGTTTGGCTGTTTGTCCCTGGTACACGAACAACGGTCTCCCTCGAGGAATTCAACTACATTTTTGGGGTACCTACCCGGGTGCATATCCGGTACCAGTTTCAAAAAGTGTTGCCATGGGCTGTAAAAAGCTGGATTCCATGGTTCTTTTCACAGTATCTTCCGTGGGTGGCAAGGTGGTATTTGTGTTGCGGAGCCGGGATGGGTGAAAAGGAAGCTGTGCGTGATCAGTTGGCTCCGTTGGAGGCATTGTACCAGTGGAATTCAGTAAGGAGGATGATGAATGATGAAGGGGAGGTTTGGGAATATGCCAGTGGTATAATTGATGGTTGAGTGTGACGATATGTGGTACACGGAATATAATTTGATGACAACATAAATATGCCAATATGAATATCTACTTAAAACATGTGCAAGTGTCCTTATAAAAAAAGAAGAGATACTGACAGAGTCAGGCGCCAAGGCCTACTCGACTTTCCTAAGAATAGACCGCCACTAACTTTCTAATTAGTTAACTAGTTTATTAAAAATGTACAGTTGCCGGTTGTTCGCACAGTTCACACCCCCGAAACTTGGAGCTGTGCCTTTGTTATCATGACTTCTTTACCGGCAGAGATCCTACAGTTGATATGTGGATATGTACGGTGAGAACTCTCGAAATATTAGACTGGTACTAACTTTTTTGTACCAGACCGACGACATTTGTGGCGCGAGTCTTCGCAGCTTGGCTCTCGTCAACCACGCCTTTTACTACGCAGCTCTGCCGCATATTTATGGACGGGTGGCTATCAGGTTCTTTGATTACACGACTCTTGAACATGCAGTGACTGAGATCACGGAAACACCCCGTGGGAAGCATTATCGAGCGTATACAAAACGGTTGGATGTTTTGACACTCCCGGAAACATGGGGCCAGATTGCTTTTGCAGATACCGGCCTTGATCCTTCGCACACTCCGACGAGTTCATTCCCGATCAAGCAAACTTGGACCTGACCGGAAAGAATTTATTTCAATGGCGTACTCCAGCGTTAGACTCAGTTTCCCCGGAACCCTTGTATTACAAAGAGAAAGATTGGCGCCCGCTGGTCGTACTTCTCACTGCTCTCGATCGACTGAAGACGCTGAATTATGCCGTGGCAAATAATTTCCCCAGCTGTTTGCTCGAAGCTCTCCATCAGTATCATCCGACTTGTCAGCTTAATATTTGGAGTCCACAGAACATCGCCCTCCATGCACCTGGCCTGGGAAGCGTGGAATTGTCCAAGCTACCCCAATTCCTCGACCCTTTCGAAATCAATCTGTTTCGATCTCCGTGCCTGCACGCAATCATAATATACTACCCTAGGGGCTACGATCACGAACACCGAATCCCTACCGAGCAAGATGCAATAATCCCACTTGTTACTATGGCTCCGAATCTGAGGCATCTGCAAGTCAGATCATCTACTGGACAGGGGCTACTCAAAAGCAATGAGAATTGGAAGAACTTCCTGACCTCATTTGGTCCACACCCAACATTACCACCGCGCCCTGCTACCTTATCATTTGCTAACGGTCCGTTCGGTACTGAGCCTCTTGTGGAGAGATGGGGTCAGTACTTTGACTTTTCCTATATTCAGGCTTTAGACATTGGGCGCATTGAAAGCGTCTCGAAGGCAGTGGACCTCTTCTCCCGGCTACGGAGGCTAGAAAGGCTATTCATCAATTTTGATCAGCAATTGGTTAGACCATCTTCACCAGCCGTCTTTCAGAAGTAGATTATGAGTCAATTTTTGGTTCCATCAATCCGTTGAAATATCTTCGCATTCGTGGATGGCACGATAAATTAGCTATTCATACTATTCTTGTCCATCATGGGAAAACCTTGCAAAATCTTATTATCGAGTCGGGTCAAAGTGATGACCATATACATGATACACCGTATCATTCATACCCAGCTTTTGCCTACGATGATATTTTGAACTTTGCAAAGGAGGCTCCTAGCATTCGGCACCTCCGCTTGACGCTTGAGCGCTCTCAAGGAGACTCCCACGAGTGCCTGAATTATGAAGCTCCCGGAGCATTTCCCTGTCTTCATATGCTTACACTCGATCTTCACTACAAATTCCAACGCCAGCGAGGTGGTAGTGGGGGCAATAATGCAACAATAATCTCTAGAAATAATTCTTCGGTCAGGCAGGCTAGGCTTGAAGAAGCTTTCATCAATGCAGCCATGGATGAGAGCCTCGCTACCCAAATTTGGAATCTAATATCCTCAAAACAAAAAAGTGAGAAGCTTCAGAAGCTCCGAATTGTGCCATTTGGCTGGGACCTGTTCCCCAGAAGGGCAGAACGGGAGATACTGCTACATCTGTCTCGCTCTTACCTCATCTCGAAACGAGGTCATGAGTATGATCTAGAGATTCTCGAAATCGGCCGAGAAGAGACCCTACTACAAGCTGAGAGGGAAACTATTGTCAACGGGAAACTTAACTTGACTCGGTCGCCACCTAAGCGGCTGCAGAGGCTGATTAGATCTCTCTGGCAGTTGTCTGAGTCTGAGCTTAACGATTGGACTCGACATTGGACAAGTTTCCCTTTGAATATGAACAATAGGGGAATAATATGACTGGCAATTAGCCAATAATAATATATGGTTCATGACGCATGTTGACATTTTTTTTCATCTTTCAATCATACGAATATTCCAAAACATATTGCTCTTTGTATATTGTTATCATACACATCTCATCCACCCATCGTTTATCAACACAAGGATTACGCAAATTCTGCTCCAGGATCTTATATCCCATATGAGTGCACCGTCTCCGTCAAGGAATAGCTCTGTCAACTCCTTGTGCCCATGCCAAACTAGGATTGTAGCCCCGTTGAGTCGAGTTCAAACAACACCAGCAGCCATTCCTTGAAGCCTGATCAATGATCCCATAACCACGGGATACGTTGGATTTAATATCAATGGAGCCCAGGTTTGCAGCATGCTGTTGCGTTGATCTGTGACTCATGTACGCGTGAGTGGTGCATTATATCAGGAAACCATTGATCCGAGGCGGCTACAAAATTGGCAGTCTCTGACAGGTTGTTTGTATTGCACGCATTCCCAATTAGGCGCACTAGTTTAAGCCCCCTTGAGATGTAACGAAGCAGAGTAACTAGGGCTAGTAGCTGCCATTTGATTCGTCCGCCCGGCAAGAAGGGGTTCACCCTCTCTAAGACTAGCGCTTTAGAAAGCCACCAGGCGCTAGGCTTAGGTCCTCAGCCAATTATAGAGAAGGTGCCCATGCCACGCACCATGCCATTGGCCATAGAGTTCCACCCGATGTCGCTAGGTACGCTAAACTCCCGAAAGGAGGGTCCGATCTAACCTAAATCTGACTATGTCCGTAGAGCCTCACCACTCCGACTCTTCGCGCATATATGCTATACCAAGGTACTCCGTACCTCGTTTTACTAAGATTTATGCTGACGCTACATTACTCCGTAATAATTAATTTAGTCTCCCAATCTAGCTCAAAGGCCAAGAAAAAGAGAAGCCTCAATCCATTCATTATTCCGCTCTTTTGACTAGCAGTTGTCTTCTTCTTAGTCTTCCTGCTCCTTGTTGATTATGTGCCCAAACCTTTTCATTCGAGCATAGAAGCCACGGTCATCATCATTACATGTGCGCCTCTCTACGAGGTTGAAAAGCGGTGATTACACGCGCTAGTATTGAGTCTTCGTATGGCCTAGCTGTGCATACAGTCTGCGACATTATAACCCATAGAACTTCAATTATGGTCACCTACAGGTAGTCACCGAAATCCCAGGCATTTGATCTGTCTAGGTGCGCAAGGTGGAACGTTCACCAACTCCAACAGCACCTCACGCGCACCGTCATCATCAGAAAACATTGACCTGAACCAATATGTCATGCTCCCACCGGCAAACCCCACGATTCTCATTAGCATCACCCAATACTGCGTTATATGGTATACTGCAGCCCAGAGATCTACATGTGCGATGATCTGCACGCAGTACTTGATTCCCTCCTCGTTGCTTCTGCAGTGTAATTCAGCCTTATCCATTGCAGACTGTGATGACATTATAGTAGTCGGTACCACATATTGCGTGGGACCTAGCTATTACTGGGATGATAAATCCTTTTGGATAGACGAAACCTCGAACAGCAGTGCCACCACCGCGACCAGTTCTATAGCTACAACACTTACCCCCAGCAGCTAATGAAATCGGCTAATTGACAAGTTCAAGAAATTTGGTTGGGGAATGAGGGAATAGAGAACATTTACTTTACTATAGTCTAGGATATTTCATCGCTATATTATTCCGTTTCGGGGAATTGTGGTAACTTTCTTAAAGTTGGCACTAAAATAGTTTCTCTGCAACGTTCAATTAATTACTTTTTGTTGTTTAATAAAGACTAGCGTAATTTGCAAGCAGAGCCTTGGGTCGGAGCATTGGATTTATGATCGTAAAAGTGGGTTCTGGCGAATGCCCCTCGCCCTCGTCTCCTTTCTTCCCGAGTCCGTTTTCCAAAGTTCATGCAGTAATCTGTCGCCCGTGAACAAAAGTCATATATTCTCGAATAGAACCACTACCAGTGTGCCGTTAAACCAAATTTTTTTGGTTAGAAAGAGAATGACGTTTTGGCATTACAACCCGGATGATCCTGTAGGTAATTTCCATTATTTTCAATGACATTCTATCATCATTCCTCCCATCATTCTCTTTGAGACAATGCACTTGACTGAACATATATTGATTTGAGAAAAAATCTTAGTGGGGTTATGCAATCTATCGTAGTGTCTACACTGAACATTCATCGCAAGTCTGGGATGCTGTGATAGAGAAATTTGAATCGTACCTCCTGTACAGCGTTAAACGCGACGCGGAGGTTCGCGCCCGTGGAATGTATGATGAGTTGGAAGTTACTTACAATTCAGTGGTGTTCAATGATGCAAGCAAATTCAACGGAATGAGTATCCGTCGTCTGCGGAGGCACTGGCTCAAAATGGTGGATCGAGAAGATGACGAGGATTAATGACGATGAGCAAGAGGAGGAAGGAGAGAAATCCCTTTCGCAGAAAACCAAATTCGAATGCTGCATTCTAATCGATGACGAAGTTCTCCAGTCTATATTGGACGCGCCAGCCACTCCGGAGGATGCATTTGCGAACTTGCCAGGTCCCTTTGCGAGTATTGGCTATGTTAAGATGGTTGATCAACAATCTGGCCCAGGATGTAGTGATTATTATCCTGGTTGGATGAAGGTTGATTTTACTAGCCTATATGACTTGTACTTGTTGGATGACATGGAAAGTCAGTATCCTTACGAAGACCCGGAGACTGGAGAGAGGCTTGTGTATAATGGATGCCCTCCAATGGATCCCTCAGCAAAATCTATTTTTGATCGAATACCGCTGCATTGATACTTTGTACGGGAATCATAGTGTCGGGTTGTCTGTCGTATTGTTTTGTATTCGTCTGTCTAGGTAGCTACTGTCAACACATTCCTTCAAATATATGGGATCATCTATGGCTAGATCTTTATTTTCTTAAGTCACCAGAGACTCTTCCAAGGTTCTTCTCTCCCATGAAAAAGAAGCTACAGCCTGAGTTCATAGCGCCCTTCTCTGAAGAATTAGAAGGGGATAGTTTAGATAGACAGATAAGATTACTTCCGCTAAGAACACCGAGAATAAGTAATAAACACTGTTTGGGGTATCAATGGGACGGGGCGTGATTCCCTCAATGCCAAAATAGTTCGGTATTGGAGAGAAAGATTCACACAGCTCTTAAAGCAAACCTCCGAGTTGTAAGAACAACTAAGAACATGACCCTATGAAGCCTTGGGATATGAAAGAATCGTCAACCACAAGGGTCCATTACAAAATTCTTAGTGTGGTTGAAATGCGTTAGATATCATAAAAATAGCCGGCGGGTGTTGAGAAGAGGCTCCTTAAACGAAGCTCTATTTTCGGAAACAAGCTCAGGAGTGCATGACACTCGCTAGCTTCCCGATTCAATTAATCAAAACAACCGTTGCAACGCTGTCATGGCAATAGCTCGATGTTCTCAAATAGTTCCAACGCGGTCTTCTGATCGGAAAAATCATTCAAACATCCAGGTCACCAGGTTTTAGTGTGAGGTAGATTCCTCAACTTGGGTGACTTATGTATACTACCTCCGGCATTGGCTGTATTTAGATCCAGTTCTTCAGATAAAAGTAGACCTCGAAGGGCATTAATGTATGAATCAATCTTTTTGTAAAGCGGATGTCGAGTCGTTAACCTTGTGTTAGCCCTTTGCAAGGCATTTTCACATGCGTCAATAGCCTTCTCAAATTTACCCTGTTGCTCATAGAGCTGTGCTAGCTTGAATAAAGCATAAATGTAATCTGGGTGTTCTTGACCTCGAGATGATGCAACCTTGTCGATGACTTCTAAAGTCAGAATTTCGGCCTCCTTTGCTCGACCTTGTCGTGCATATACTCGGGCCAGTTGACCGCGACCCATTAGCACCCCAAGATGGTCATCACTGAGACTTCGTATCCCGGCCGCTATTCCATCTATTAACAAAGTTTCTGCTTCTTTAAGCCGTCCGAGTTCAATCATGACTTTTGCTAGGTTGCAGATCGCCCACAATGTCCAGGGGTGTTCTTTTCCAAGCTTCAATTGCCTTTGCTCAACAACTTCTTCCATTATTTTCTTCGCCTCGAAGAGTTTTCCAAGGTCAAGCAGAGCCATTGCTAGATTGTTCAGAGTCGTCAGAGTTTCCAGGTCTGTTCTTCCAAGGTTCTTTTCTCTCGCGAAGAGAACCTGTTTGTGTATCTCCATGCTCTCGTGAAATCTGTGCCAGGACCCAAGTGTCACACCTAAGTTATCCAAAGCCGCAAGTGTATCCGGGTGTTCATAACCAAGTGACGCTTTCATTCTATTCGTGGTCACCTGTTGCAATTGAAGAGCCTCCTGATATTCCCCGTGCAACCAAAATGACCGGCCAAGCTGGTCCATGGCAACTAGAGTATCGTGATTTTCAGGGCCCAGAACCTTTGAACGGGCCTGGACGACACGTTTTTGCAACTCGATAGCTTCTTCAAGTCTTCCTAGCCCCCAGCATACCCCGGCAAGACCGAGCGTTGCTATCATTGTTTTCTCATTCTCATATCCTAACGTTTGGACCAATATATCTTTCACCATTGACAGGTATAAGGCCCCTTCAGTGAAACGACCACGCTCTGCATATACATAGCCGCATTTTGCAGCACTGACAGCCTGGTCTCGAACAATGAAAAGTAAGGTTTGCTGAAGTAACTTCGCCAGTGCAAGTTGAACTCTACCGAGTTTATCATCAAGATTCCTTGTTTGCATCGGGCATGCTGCAAGGCATTTATCTAGATGTGGCAGCAGATCCTTCCTATATTCTGCATGAAGCTCCTCAGCATCTTCTGGTGGCAGCAAAATTGACTCAGTTAGCGTGTTAAGGGCAATCTGAGCCCATACTGCCTTTTCCCCGTGGCTAAGACGATCCCGAGCCCAGCTATGTACTAAAGGATGCAAGGAGAAGCTTGCGTTCCTTCCATCATAATTGATAAGAGACAGCGCATATAGTTCGTGAAGCGCTTCTCTTACCCGGTATGGGTTTAGGGCTTCCAAACCACCTTTCAAAAATTGTGGAAGCATATGAGGAGGATGAAGACGAGAAACAACCGCATTTAGCATTCTACCTCCTATTGATTTGGCTGTTGACATTGCAATTGACTTCCGCCTATTTTCTATGGCTCTTGTAAATATGTCAACCCGTATATTCTCAAAGTGGTAGAAGCCAACGATATTCAGTATCTGCACGGCGTCTTGACTTATACTTGTATTCTTTGCTCGAAGATATTCAAAAGAGAAATCAAAAGCAGAGTATATGATGTCCTCTCCTCTTTTCGCTCTTTTTTCTTCAACCTCCCCTATCGAAGGAGATCGTGCTCCACGTTTGCTCCAGTAGAGATTATGGAAGTTCAAATAGTCCTTCAAATCGCATAGCTTTCTGAAGACGGCTGTTCCTGCTTGAACTAATGCCAGAGCAAGATATCCAAGAGCTTTGCTTATTTCTTGACCGGAGCTTTCAGTCGTTGCATCCCACGGTCTAGGAATTTGCGCACGCTCCAACAGTAGATGCAGGGCTTCTTCCTCCCTGAGTCCCTTCAGTTCAATACTCCCGGCTGTTCCGTGAATTCGAAAGTCTGGGTTTTTGGTCGTTACAAGAACGTGACCCAAGTTGCCACGAGGAAACAAGTCTTGCAAGTCAAGATCCGGGTTGTCGGCGTTATCAATGATGAGCAGCCACGGCTTTCTCAACTGCGAGAGCCAGTATTTTCCGGCACTCTCGGTAGCTTCTAAGCCTCCTCTTTTACCTATATCTGCAAAGGACTCTTTTGCTGTCTCCAGGTTTTCAGCACGTATGGTGAAAACAGCATGGTACCTATTTGAGAAACAATGTCTTAGTATCTAGGTATTATATAAACTTTGAATTTATGGTTTCCAAAATTACCGGTCCTTGTTATCCTCCGCAAACTTCGAAGACAGTTCAGTTTTCCCGCAGCCTCCCATGCCGAAAACCACAAATCGTCTTTGTCTCCTCTCTGACGGAATAGATTCGGAAGAAAACAGAGTCTTCTGTATCATACTGAGAATATCCTGACGGCCGACAAATTTTGGGTTAGTGTCGTGTGGAGGGAAGAAATATTTATTGCGATGTTCTTCTAAAATATTATTTTTGTAAGATGAAGTAAAGCGGTCAAGATGAATTTCAAAATCGGGGCCAACAATTTCCGATGCATCATTAGATCGCGTTCGTGCAAGTGTTTCAAGCTCCTTTTCCCATCTACGAGCGATAACAGCAGGTGCATCATTGCAATACCTTGCTAGTGCTGCAATGACGGTTCTGTAGCTTGATGAATTTGATGTTGAAAACTTGACCATACCGGAGTGCGTTGCGTCGATTCCACATCGCTCAGTATTGTCCATACTGGGAGCAGCAGAATCTTCTTCGACGAGGAATTGCATGTTATTGCCAAATTTCGTTGGCAACTCCTCCCAGAAGAAAAATATGCGAAACTTCTTCATCAGAGGTGCAAACTGCTCTGTGATTATCTGCAAGGTGTTTGAATCGTCGTCCGAGACAAGACTGTTGCGTTCATGACTGTGCTGTCTACTCCTGACGGGTGATCCGGACTGTGGTGCAGTGTCAGGTGTAAGCCAGCTGGCGGAATCCACACGATCATGGGGGGTGCCGAAGAAAAGTATTGCATATGTGGAGACAAAAACGGTGTACAGGTGCTGGACTTGTGAAGATGTCCTACTTGCAGAGTAAGCAAGAGCTTTTTTGACTAACACTCCACCGAGCCCGTGGCAAACGAAGATAATTGGCCGATTATCACAACCCTCCAAACTTCTATCTCCCTGCAAAGACGCCACAAGAGTATTTGCATGTTTTTGAATTGTGTCGGCACACGCTGGGCCACAGAAGGAAGAGGGAGAGGAATCATATCCGAATGTTAGCACTCGTGCGGCTGGTATTGATTCAGGTAGGAAGTCTTGGAGCCACAGAGTTCCAGTTTCAGGATGCGTCCATGCTTCGATCAAGTTTTCATTCAAACCATGAACGGCAACAATGCTGTTGAAGGTATTAGCTGATCTTACCCATCAATGCGATCAGTAAGAATCTCACTCTACGACGCGGTTTTCCCTGCCGGCAGAATCTCCGCCTCGTGCGAAGTCAGCCTTATAAAGTAGATTGATGCCCGACGGCATTTCCTCGGTGAGAATACTCGATAAAGTGGCGGTGATTCATATATTTTCTCTTTCTGAATTGTTGTTGTCGTGGGAGTGAAAGTCATGAGGCACTGGGGATGACGGGGACGGACCGTGCCGCAACCTTGCTGAGCACGGATACATAAGGCCCTAAGCACTTATCGGAGACGCGCAGCATAGTGTCTGTGACATTATCCCACCTAGAATAATTATTGAGCCTGCTAACTAGGCCTAGCTACTGGCATATGCATCATCGTCACACGGAGCGTCCAATGAGGCCCCCTGTACGGATCGTCGTCTTCCGGGCTCATAAATTGTGTAGCCCACAGGCTAGTCCAATGCCTAGATAAGGGAGGATTCATCCTTTCTCAAAACCAGCACAGGAGGAGGGGAAGAAAGGATAATGGCCATTCAAATGCCCTTCCCATCTTCTAATTTCAACCAAGATTCTCCAAAGCAAGTCATGTACTACGCTCTTGCTTTAGCCCTTGCGATTCATCTCATCCGTCGTCTTATACAGATTTACCTTGAATACCAGGTTAGTTGGCTACCGAGCAACACTAAAGTGAGATTAACATTTGTTCAGCGGGATTCTGCTTTCGGAAAACGTCATGGGTGCAACCCACCCCCAGAGTTGCCCAAGAAATGGCCGCTTGGAATTGATCGGATCAAAGAATTGTGGGATTCTAATACCGAAGGCCGGCTGCTAGCCTTCTTATGCGGGATTGCGAAAGACTACGACCCGCGGAATAACCTCACACAATACCTATTGTTTGGGCCACGTGCATTCCATGTTCTCCACCCGAAAAATCTCGAATCTGTTTTATCTACCAACTTTCAAGGTGGGTGCTAGCAGTAATACTGGCTACAAAACTCATCTAATAGTTTTCATAGACTACGGTTTCGGTGCACGACGCAGTGTCTTCTCCCCGCTCCTGGGAAACGGGATCTTCACTCAGGAAGGCCTGGCGTGGAAGCATTCAAGAGACCTGTTACGGAAGCAATTCATTCGCATTCAATACCACAATCTTGATCTATTCCGTGAACACGTGCACAATCTCATAGAACGTTTGCCGGTCCAGGGAGATGTGGACTTGCAGCCTCTCTTCTTCAGCTTTACACTGGATACGACAACCGCTCTTCTCTTTGGAAAATCTGTCTATAGCCTAAGAGAAAACATTGACCAAGCCGTGGAAAACAAAGTCTTCTCGGAGAGTTTCAATCTCGCTCAGGAAGGCTTGGCCAAGCGTTTTCGTCTTGCCCCATGGCATTTTCTCTATAGTCCAAAGGATTTCAGACAAGCTTGCTCAAATGTCCATCAGTTTGTGGAGCGTTATATCGATGATTTGAATCTCTCAACTGGCCAAGAAACGGGAGAGAAATCCTACGACTTCATCAATCAGCTTGCGAAAGAATCCTCTAGCAAGAGAGATCTTCGAGATCAGCTTTTGAACGTCTTACTGGCTGGTAGGGATACGACGGCGTGTTGTTTATCATGGACAATGTAAGCCCTACTGATTTCTTTCTCGGTTTCTTGATTTGCTGATTTCCATGTCATTGGGGATAGTCGACTCCTCGTGCGCCATACTGCTGTGATGGATCGCCTTCAGAGAGAGATCGACTCCGTCATGGGGGATTCAGAGTATCCAACTCGAGAGAAAATTAAGAAAATGCCGTACCTTGCGTGCGTTATCAAAGAAAGTTCGTAGCCCTGTCCTCTCATTGCTCTACTCCTCAGTCTCACGAAAAAATTAGGTCTCCGCGTTTATCCACCTGTTCCACTTAACAATAGGCAAGCCACAAAAACAACCATGCTTCCAACTGGCGGCGGCCCAGATGGTGACAGCCCTATCCTGGTTCGAAAGGGGGAGTTAGTCGTGTTCTCGCAGTATGTCAATTCACGAACTAAAAACATCTACGGCCCGGATGCAGACAGTTTTAGGCCCGAGAGATGGGAAGGCCAAGAGCTTGCAGGCATTGGCTGGGCTTACTTTCCCTTCAATGGCGGGCCAAGACAATGCTTGGGTGAAGACTTCGCCATGATGGAGGTATCCTATACGATTGTGAGACTGTTGAAAAGTTCAATCATCACATTACCCGCCATGGAAAAGAACGAGCCTATTGGGAGTGAAAGGCAACTATTAACCCTCGTCCTCTCGAGCGCCGATGGATGTCGGGTGACTGTGAAACGCCGTGAGTCAGGTGTCTCAGCACAGGAATAGGTCCTACGAGGCTAGCGACTGAGCGGGGTAGAGTACGCGCACTACTTCAGAGACAGGTTGACAACCGGACCGCCATAATTAAGATTGGGATGAATAGCGGACGGTAGTTGGATATGCGAGGTATCCCAGCGTCGGAGAACGAATTACCATACAGGCATCAGCCGCTAGTCCACCTGAAACTGTACTATGGGACGAGTCATGTGAAATGAAACAATTTATTTTTAGCTATTAGAGAGAGCACATCAATTCTAGCCTAAGCGTTGTCCTATGAAACCTGCACTTGTGTTGACAGTTCATCAGGGCCTGGGCGTCCGGTGGCACTGCAGATTTGGTAGCTGCAGGCAGTACCGTGGTAGGTACGGAGTACTTCTGTCTCTACTTAAATTAGCCACCAGTGCCACCCCTCAATGGTAACTGATCCTAGTCATGCAACCAGCGCAGCAAAATCACATTGATCCTGCTCTCTGGTCCAGTTATTCCAAAGGCTTGCGCGCCTGCATCCCTGTCCCTTGCAGCGTAGGCCGGCGCTAGGGTTATTTGTGAAACGAATCAGAACCTAGCACCGTATTGCATATTAGCGCAAGCTGAGGAGGGACGTGTCATACAAATAGGAACTGCGAGACATGGTTAATCTATAAGTCAACTGGTTACTTCAGTTGCTTCGGTCTTGTCAATATCGAAATTTTAGGAAACTTCGAAGTTAGTCTCCAATTGTTTCTGACGTTTAGACTAGCGATGACACCGGATGAGCCGCGTCAACTATTTGGAATACAGGAACTGTATCGTCCAGCAGAAGGGCCAACAGAAGTTGAGTTAGTGCTAAGTATACGTACTCTATATGACACGAGCTTTATCTGACCGTTTTTCCGAGTAGTATTGTTGCTATACACGGCCTTACAGGGGACTCATTGAAGACATGGACCTCACAGCCGCAAGGAACCTGTTGGCTCAACCATCCTGAATTTCTACCAAAATATGTGAAACGCGCAAGAGTCCTTGTATGGGGATATAATGCGAACATTGCGTCATTGAGCGGGAAAACGACAAGCTCTGATCGAATTCTGCATCACGCCCAAACACTTGTGGCGCAGTTACAGGCTGATAGAGAAGTAAGTGCCGAACGTTTTGTTTATGAGATCCGTCAAGGCGCTCGTTAACAAAAAAAAGCTTGAAGACGCAAACAATAGACCTATAATCTTTATCTGTCACTCACTGGGAGGAATTGTGGTGAAGCGGGTACGTGATATAATCTGGGGATATGAAAACACTCTTACAGAACCCTTGCATCCTCAGGCAGTAAGACCACCGCTAATCGATGTGATTCTAGGCATTGGCATATTCAGCAAGTCGAACCGGGGCGAAGATAGAGCATATCCACGGCATTTATACATGCACATTTGCAATACTATTCTTTGGAACCCCTCATAATGGTTCCAGTAAAGCAAGACTTCTTGGAAGTCTTCATAAGCTTGCTTCCATCTCTTTGCCAAGGAAAATTGTGGACCTGGATTCGGCTCTATTGAGTGCGCTTGAAGAGGAGTCAGAAACCCTTCAAAACATCACAGATCAATTTGCACCATTAATATCCAATTTTCGCATATTCTTTTTCTGGGAGCAGGAAAAGACGGATCTGAAATATACCAAGGACTATATCGTGGACGAGACCAGTGCAGCACCCATTATAGACAATACGGAAAGATCTGGAATTCCTTCCAACCACAGTGGTATGTGTAAGTTCGACAACAGCACTTCGCAAGGTTTCCGAATTGCAATTTCAGCCCTTCGTCGGTACAGTCGGGATGCCCCTCAGGTGATAGAAGGCAGATGGATAAAGATGGTTGAGACGATGCGTGAAAACAGGCGACATGAAGCGGCGGAGGTTTTGAAAGCCACGTCAATCGCGCAAGACTTCCACAGTCTATCAACGTTGAAGTAGGAACAAATTTCAAGCAAATCGGATGTTTTAGAAGGGAGTGAGAGAATAGTTCGATTCCGGGAAAATCTTTACGTCGCTACCAGTCCTTATACGCTAGAGAGATGTTGAGTCATCGAATAAGGTTGGGATTATTATAAGAACGAAATCAGATGTTCGTGTGAAGCCCATGCGCAGTACGAATAAATAGTAAGGATATATAGTTGCTACACGCTGATTGGCCGGTGCTTAGTCATGGCCAGCTTCCCCGTGGGCACGGCAGAGTGGGTCGGATGAGGTCAGCCGGCAGGCAAGCTTCCTCGTGACCCGATCCCGCGTTTTTCAGGCTTCACCCACAAATTTGCACGTATGAAATAAGAATTCTTTACTACGTCTCTCGCTTTTTCCCTTCATTTACTGCTCTTTCCATACGTTTATACAATTTTACTTTTCTCTTGCATGCGTCAAGCAGATCTAGCATTCCGCGCATGGGTTGCGCGCCTCAGCACAGGGCTCCTCTCACGAGCCAATCATGACCACATTTCGCGATCCAGCCTCGGTGCACTCACAAATACATCGCAAGAAGAACCTGCAACTCGACACGTCGCAAAATGCTGAAGATGCTGCGCCTCCCTCCACTCGGTTGCTCAAAAGGGCCTCTTTTGCGAACTTCTCGTCGCTCATCAAAGACACTGTTTTGTGGGCAGGAGACAGACTGAACACATACAGGGATGGCATGTTGAAGGAAGAACGGGAAGAAAAGCTGCGAAAGGATAATCGGAAGCAGCTGCTTTACTTGAATATGCGAAATGTATGATTTACTACGCTGTCGACAGGCTTTACTTGTGTTTTGGTGTTGACTGACATTCCTGCTTATCTAGGCCGTTTCGTTTGACGAGTGGCGTGCGTGTGCCTGCGAGCTGGACGAACTCGAAGACAATAACAAATGGAAAGAAACGCTCGAGTCCGATGAATACGACCCGAGTCTTGTCCTCAAACGCATGAGACAGCTAGAAGATGCGCGCAGTAGTTGCGACGTCAGTCGCATGCTGTTCCTCATTCGAACAGCGCTGAGCAGAGATTTAGGGAACATGAGCAGCTCCTCGTTGTATCAACATACACATATCGGGACTAAAACGCTTATCGATCAATACATAACTACCGCACTCAATACAATCTCCACACTTCTAGACTTATCCGGGAGTGATCGTTGCGATTTTACCGAGATGCAGTATATTCTTGATCAACTGTTAGCCGCGCGACAAGCGTTCGGCCGCAGTGCAGTGCTTCTGTCGGGTGGCGGCACCTTCGGCATGAATCATATTGGGGTCATTAAAGCGCTTTGGGAAGCAAAACTCATGCCTCGTATTATTTCAGGCGCGTCTGCAGGTAGCATTGTTGCGTCAATATTTTGCGCCCACACAGATGACCAGATCCCTGTGGTCCTGGAATCCTTTCCTTACGGCGACCTTGACGTTTTCGAGCCAGAGGGAAACCCGCTTCCACCGTTGCAAAAGATGGCTCGACTACTAAAGTATGGCTCTGTTTACGATAGCTGTAACCTCGAACGAGTAATGAGAAACTGGCTAGGAGATACGACATTCCAAGAAGCTTATAATCGCACCCGCAAAATTCTCAACATATGTATCTCGAGTGCTGGCCTGTATGAACTTCCGAGATTGTTGAACTATATCACAGCTCCAAATGTATTGATATGGTCCGCAATGTAAGTTCTTTTCCCTTTTATTTCCCCCTACATTCACAAAAGGAGATAGTAATCAACTAACAGGCGTTAGCACCGTGTCTTGCTCTGTGCCTTTCGTCTTCTCACCGTCCGTGTTGATGGCAAAAGACCCTCTTACAGGGGAGAACGTACCTTGGCACGATGAGCCCGGCCAGTGGATTGACGGCTCCCTGGACGGAGACCTTCCCATGACTCGCTTGGCCGAAATGTTCAATGTCAATCATTTCATCGTGTCTCAAGTAAACCCTCACGTGCTTCCATTTTTAGAAAAAGAAGCAGGCCCAGGAAGCGATTTACAGCGACAACCCTGGCTACATTCTTCATGGCTCAATGCAATGACGAACCTTGCGCGGGAAGAGGCTCTCCACCGTATGAACGTATTCTCGGAGATGGGTTTCTTCCAGAACGAATTCATGAAAACCGCATCTATTCTTAGTCAGAAATACTCAGGGGACATTAACATCTTTCCGGAGATCCCTTATGCCCATTTTCTGCGAATTCTTCAGAACCCGACTACTGAGTTCATTCTTCAAACTTGCTTAAGCGGGGAACAGGCAACGTGGCCTAAGATTTCGCGCGTGCGCAATCATCTTGCAATTGAGCTGAGTCTCGACTCCGCAGCTCAGACTATGCGAGCACGGGTTGCGTTGAGCCCTCCAAGTGCGACGAATTTGCCAGTCCCAAACTCTGCTAATTATTTCCGGATGCTATTCGAAGAGAGAAAGGCCAAGCCAGGCTCGTTTCGACGACGCAGTTCGTACAGTGAGTCTAGGAGGGTGAGAAGCAGCCTAGCGGCATCACGGCAGCGACTTAGTGGGGACCTGAAGAAGGCTTACAGCTCCGTTTCAATGGACTTCGTCGACTTACAGAGACCTGTCAGTCCTGTTTCTCACTACAAGCAGACGCACAGTAAGAATTCAACTGATGAAACACGCAAAAGCAATGGTTATGCTTCAGGACATGCCGCAGAGAGCAGCTACTTCATTGTTCCAAGTGATAGCGATGATGAGTCCTACACTTCATGGCCACAGAGGCCGATGATATCACGTAATGCCACATGGGCCGCGTCATCGGCGCCTCCCGACTCACCGAAGTCTGGTAGAACAAGCTCTACAGCGTCTCGTCGATCTTCTATCGCCAAAATGGCCTCCAACCAGCTGCGACCAGCGTCTGCTGGAGAAATTTATTCGTCGTCCGCAGCTAAATCGTCCAAGTTCTGAAACAAAAACTCTTGACATGGCTTCATTTGACGTCTGATTACCCTCACGCCGGTCGTGAGTGACCCAAAACAAGTGCCCTCTTACAGAATTTCTAATTTTGTTTCATATTAGAAGGTCTCTTTCCTGCTTAAGGGACTAATACAAACTGAACGACTTGTCTATAAGAGGTTGGGTATTTCATATTATTTCTATTTCATCCGGTTTTTAGCGAGATTATCGGACATTTATGCGGCACGAGCTTCACAAATCAACCATTTAATGTTTATTTCGGACTTCGCCAGACATCCTTCTGCAATGTACATATATTGTGTTATTCATGATTGGTTTTTCCCTTTATTTCACCCATTTTCAAAGAGGGGTTGGTGATTGTTTCATGTAATGATTAATTACAAAACGTAGGTCAACTCGATGTTATAGACAAAGAGCGCTACGAAACCACTCTGTCGACGATCATAACTCTTATATATACAATCTTCAGACATTAACCACAATTAACCTGTTACGCACTGAATTTGATCAAAATCCTGCCTTATGACCCTAGTTCAGTCTCAAATGTCCGACCGTTGGCGCCCTGCGGTCTGCCTCGGCATTGCGGGTCGGGGCGTCCGTCGTCCATACCTCATGCAGGGATTGGGCCGAGTGGCACATGATGGGGCCCTTGGCGCACGATTGAGTTGCATAGGCTAACTGTTTATAGCAAGGATAAAGCCTTAGTTCGACGTCGTCTACAAAATAGTTAATAGATGGAGAGAATTGACGCTTTTTTCACGTCTACATCTGCAGAGAACATATACACAGTCAAAAAAGACAATGAAGTTTCTAGAATAGGCATAGCTGTCCCGGGATTAGATTACATATCAACAGATCATACAGATCATACGGGTAAAATACAGACTACACTCGATTCGCGAACCGATCCTATAGATTAAGCGACGTGATACTAGGACTGACGCGACTATTCAGATCTGGTTTAGCGGATGGACGCTATCTATGTAGAGTGCCATAGTAGCCTGTAGTTATTCTGCCCACCCATTGTCTTCACGAAGAAATGCTACGAAAGAACCGAGGCTACCACTACGAATTGTCTGCATACAATCATATAATATTGAACAATGGCACTCTACCATCTGATTTTCCTTATCTGGATCTCTGGGGTCTCCCCATATCCAATTATTGAATTGGCTACGCTCAATTCAACTACCGACGATCCCCCGCATCCGTAAGATCCCACCACTACCGCCACCGCCACCGATGGCGACGAGGCTATCGAGAGTACGGATGGGCCGGGGGTGCCCCCCAGGCACCCAAAAAGAAACCCCTTTTTGAAATTTTTGGATTTGTTTTTGGAGAGGATTAGCCACCAAATTCCTCAGTAGAGGATAGGAGACGGGAGGCCCTACCAAGTATAAATTAATGATTGTATCAAAATTGAAATGTATATATTATTCTAGCCATACATATTGATGATTATGCCTCCGCTTCTCAAGTCACTTCCTAACACCATTATGACACCAATAATCAACAAGAAGTATATGCAAAGCCTGTGTATCTTTACCATTAAAATTGGTACCATGCCCTCTTCTTTGTAAACAACAACCGCATTCCCTCATGCAATGCGTCAGTACACCAGGCCTTCTGGAGGAGTCTATCCCGGTAACAACATCCACAGTTGTATGCGCAGCAGCCACCTAGTGCTTTGCATGCCCGTTGGGTTTCCTCTTCAGTAAATGGCAAGTATCCATTGTGAAAGAGATCGAGCTGTCGAACATAACAACCCTTAGGTTTGTGAAACAAGCCTTGATGATAGTCGTGAGTGTTGCCCCACCAATTTCTATCGTACGCCGACAGTCGTTTCTGAGCCTTCTCAAGGGTTTCCTCCTCCTCTTTCGTTATTCTACGTTTCTCGAGATTATAGACGATTCCAGTATCGGCGACTTCGGCTTGCATTAGACTCATGGCTCCAAGCTCCAACCTGAGCATGTCGTCGATCCAAAATGTTTGAAACCATCTGAGACGGTAAAAGAACTCAATAATCTTGACCGCGTTCTGTATATGGTAAGCTTTCTTCGCACCACCGCGATCGATGAGAGTTTGTTCGATTCGTGAGAACATCTTGGCCGGGGCGAGTGTCTGGTAAAAAATGCGAGTAGAGCCTGAGTCTGCTGTAGTAGTAGTAGTAGTAGTAGTATTCATACCCTTTCAGCGCGCCTTTACTACGGCCGCTATGCCGGGGGAGCTGGGCTCCGGGAAGCCAGCGTTCCTATCTGCCTTATATACACCAAGAACGCCAGTAAAGCAATAAGCAAGCAAATAAATCAGCAGACCAACAGCAATACCGTACAAATGAAATATATAAAAGGGAGTAAACCTGTATAGATTGTTAACCAGATACACCACAGAGAGAAGTAGAATACGTGACTAGAACGTACATTCAAAACTCGGATAACGACACTGAGAATAGAAAGCCTCTGAAGGATGGTACGAGGCACTTCAACTGTGTCCTTTAAGAAAGGTCAAGTCGGGATTGCCTCACAGTACCTATAAGGGGAAGCGGAGGATCAGACAAAGGATGTGAGAAGGACGTATGCCAAAAGAATAGCCAAATAGAGGTTGTAAAAGTACTAGAAAATTTCACAATGACACAGCTGAAGAGAAAGGAAAAGACAAGAAAAGGAAATGTCAAGTGAAAGGTTGGAGGATGTGGTTAAATACCTCCTGCCTTGCGCAGGCAGCCGCTTCTGCGACGTTCGGAGCCTGACCCGATCATGAAGATTTCTTGGTAAATGTCTCATCAATTAATGTTATACTCTGCTGCCTGCCCTGACAGCTGTGTACGTCTTGAACGGATTGCCTAGGCAATCAACTACATTGACGGCTTGCCTAGATCTACGTTAATCAAGGTAAGATAAATTAAAAATCTTCAGACCCTAGGAAGTAGGTTACCGCGAAGGTGTGTGATATGGCCTCCTGTAGATCTTGCCAGTTCTAAAGGAGTGAATAGATAACTACTACGCATATTAGATAATTTAGCTGGACTTCATCTCTTGTAATTCATCGATACATATAGTCTATTCACCGCCGTTGCATGTATCATCATCTATGTATACCTAGGTATATTATATATAAATATACCTAGGTAGGTGACGACAGAATCATATATATGGAAGAGAGCCTTGGAACACTATAAGAAATCCCCAACAACCTTTGCAAACTTCTCCGGCTGCTCTGCCATAGGCAAGTGTCCAGCACCCTCAATGATGGCCAGCTCAGTACCAGCAACAGCGTAATCCTCCGCCATCTTCTGCATTCCCTTGGGCAAGACCCCATCACCAGCTCCCACCACAAACAGTCCTCTCACAGTGCCCGTCTTCATTGCCTCGCGCAAGTCGTACGAATACAAGGCCTTGACACATTTCTTAAACCCTCCTAAATGATTAGTATACACGTATTGCTTGACTTTCTCCGCGCGCGCCTGTTTCACTCCACCGTCGTAGCTGTCCGGTACAAACCAGCGTCGCGTGGTTATTTCAGCGAGTTTCTCGCCCACGACGCGAGCACCCATGGTGTCTGTGGGGGATTCGGGGTCTGTTTCCGAGAGGGTAATGCGCTCTTGCCAGGCAGTTGGATTGCTAGGGGGCGCAAGGGAGTTGGTGTCAGACGAGATGAAATTTTCAACACGAGATGGGTATTTGAGCGCCGCGTTGAGGGTTGTTGCGCCGCCCAGGCTGACACCAATCACCGCGGCGGCTTTGCGGACGCGCAGGGCGTCGAGAATTGTGATGACGTCCTGGCTCAAAAGGTCGACTGTGATGGGCGTATCGCCAGGATCAGCAAGACGGCCGCGAGCTCGGTAGCGCACAACGCGGAATTTCTGGTTTTTGGGGTCGGCGAAGAAGGCATCTAGGAATTCATCCCATATGCCCCAGTCGGTGAGGATAGAGTTCACAAGGACGATGAGCGGCGCCTCGGGGTCACCGCTACCTTCTAGTTTGTATGGAATCTGGACGCCGTCGGGGGTAGTAATGTATGACTCGACCACTGCTCGATTGGTAGAGGACGAAGCGGTTGTCTGTGTCAGACCGTCCCTGGAGGAGAATTTGGCGGTGTAAGTGGGATCTGAGAGGGACTGGAGGTCGCGAGGAGCAGGCCCAAAGGTGTAGTACCATTCGTAGACACGGCGCACACGACCAATCACGACATTCGCGTATATATCCTTTGACATTTCTGTCGACACAGCAGCCTTCATCTCGGGGCTGTTCTGGCCGGCGGAGTTGGCATACTCATGGATAGCGAGATACTCCTTCTCTTCTGCGGACGGATTCAGGACAGAGGAGGTCACAAAGCGCCTTGATCGACGCCACCCGGGCACCTTTTGCAGCAAGCTGACATGTTCCTCATCGTACCACTTGTCAATCTTGCCTTCCGTTCCAGGCTTGACTTTAAAGCACACGGGGACCAAGACGTATCCCTTGGAATCGTGGTCAATGTCCTCGACTGGCTTGTAGTCGTCGGCCTTCCACTCCTTTATCAGATCAAACATGCGCCGCCCAACTGTGATTTGCGCCATGGTTTCCTTCTCGCGCTCCGTCTTGACAGTGTCTTCGCGCATGGTGGTGTAGGGCGGGCGCAGGAACTCGGCGGAGTCGGTGATATCATACAGCGCAAGCCACTCATGTTTCGATGCGTCAAAGGGACTGTTGGGCTCGGAATCGATAGCACGATAGCGGTATCCATTGGGAAAGAAGGGCAATCGTAGTCGAAGCGGCCCATGCTCGTTGTTATACCAGTCGTGGAATTGCGAGGAAGGCAAACCCGGCTTGGGCTGCATTGTTACATATAAAAGTCCGGCCGTCATTTTGGCTCTTGCTTTTATCATTCCCTTTGCTTATTTTCTTCCGTTTTTTCCCTCCGGCTAGACAGATATTCTTTAGAAGAGAATAGATGTTTTTCGACGACAGAGGACTACAGAGAGCGGGGAAGACGCCGGGGAGTGGCGGGGGATTTGTTAGCAGTGAAACTGATAAGTGATCGCCTATATGAAATCCCGATATCGTTTGCCAGGAGAAACAGAGAAACCGCTCACATCCGACAAATTTTACGTACCGAGATTTTTTTCAGAAACTTGGAAAGCTTTCGATGCTGCTCTCGGAGTTGGCGCCGATGAGATCCGACCTCAATATGTACCCCGCAGTACAAATATATAGCTATATTAGCAACATCACGAAGAAACAATGAATAAACCCAAAAACAAAGAGGAAGAAGCGAAGCGAAACGACAAGAAAATATGAACGAATTTATTCCTGCAGAACAACCTTGGAAAAAGAGAGGCCACGCGATTGGTGCAAAAGAAGTTCCGCGGTGGTCGCTAGCCGACGGATGCTGCACCGAAGAGCGAGCCTTCGGAAGAAGTGTAAGCAGAAGAGAAAACATTATGGTGGAAGTAAAATTTGATGCAAATTTAAAGACGTCGCTGAAATTATGCAAACCCACGTAAAAGAGAACTAAATTGATGCTGTTCATATGTTTTCAGGGTTGGGGCTGGGGTGATCTGCCGTTTCCACATGCGGTCTAGCGTGACTGCCAGGTGACTGTCGTAGCCCTACCTCATCGCCTCAAACGATATAAAGATATATCAAGATATACAGTAGTACTAGTAAGCCCAGGAAATTTAGACTGCGAGAAGCGCCGACAGCCCTAGGCCTTCCCATGGGCATGTTGACATTGACTTAATCCTCAGCTCATTCGAGCTAGCCCGAGTCATGTCATCTAGGTAATCCTTGGAAAAGACAAAGACGGCATGGAATGGAGGCTAACAAGCCCTTAGAACAATAATAATTAGTAGTAATCAGTAGTACATAGATTACCTTCTTTATTTAGGGCAAGTTATTCCTGTAGAACAGACATACAGGCATCCATGGATGCTCATAGAACCGCGTGGCATTCAATGCATCTCCTGAAAGCCATACAAATAGTTAGATATCTATGCTTGAAAGGCTTCAAAAGTAGAGTTATGGTCTATTGCACAGGAACTATATTTCCCATGAAGGCTTAGCATATTTCTGCACAGGCAGCATGAAACAACTCACTGCATCCCTTTACAGACAAAGACACAGCACACAATGTTGTGAAAGATCATACGCATCCTTCTCACTGCTAGCATTGTGAAGTGCACGCCGAGATCATAACAACTGCATTGCCGTGGCAGCCCCTCCTCTTCGTATTCTGTCATTCACACACACAAAACATTCCGAAATTTGCTCCTCTCTCAACTCCTCATGCCTGACCTCAACTCCTGACCTCAACCCTTACCCCCATCCCTGATACTTCATTCCCCTCATTCATCGAATATAAGTAACAGTCACCACAAGGTCGAAGCGACATGGACGACTCTTCGCTTCCTGACAGCCAAGTCCAGACTGTGAGAACCCCCTGATTCTGAGTGATCACGCCCTGGAGCTCATCTGGGCTGAGTCCACGAGACCAACACTGTCAAGGCTGACATAGGGATATTCGCTAACTCTGCTTCTGATACCACAGCCGGACCTCGATGACACAGAGACTTTTGAATCTGCCTTCCAAGGTATGGAAGCTCAGTTCTCTGAGTTGATAGACAATAGCGGAGCTTTGTTCTTGGATTCTGATCTCCCTCTATCGGTCGAAACTGAACCGACTGGCAGCCTCCTTGTGGACAACCTAGCCCCAGGATCGTCAGTGACAGCAGGGAATGAAGACCCGTTTTTGGCATCTGACTTTCCTGAATATCTAAATCCATCAGATTCCCTTTTCAACTTTGATGCTAGGGCAACTGTAGTGGCTGAAGGGTCTCAAGATCTCCTCTTCAATGCCGACGCCCCCGTGGACTGGGGTAGTGCGACTGAGTTTGGAGGACTTGATCTAGGAATTTTTGGACAGGGGATTAGTGACCCCTTGGAACCTGTACCAGTAAGTCAACTGAAATGGCGCGTTATCCTTGAGCACAAACATAATCTAACTGCCACCATCAAAATAGTCCAATAACGCACCACCCGCATCGACGACCAGCCAGGCAGCACCAGCACCTGGACCTGTTTCGGTGAGATAGTCCTTAGCTGAAGAGAGATATAACAAATAACTCGGGAGTGTCCAAGAACTTGCTAATTATATGTTTTCTTTGTCTGTTACAGAGGTTGAACCCTGAGACATGGGTAAGAATCACACTGAGCGATAATTAGACGAAGACTGACCGTGACGACGATAATAGCTTAATGGCCTGACAGTGCCGAGCAATGCCGTGCGTGTTCCTTGATGTTTCCCGACTCCGCTATTCTTTCCTTTTTGGCTGACAATGAGCTCTAATTTAGGATCCCCATACACGGGCACAAATGATCGAGGTAAGGCCACATATGGCTCACAAGGCTCATTATCCCCCAGTCTTCTATTCTGATATTTCAATTTATGACTGACCTCTTCATATTTGCTTCAGATTATACGAGCGTCGGCAGTTGTAAGACAAATCCCCCAAAACACTAAACGTTCAGCCATTTATCTAATATTTTAGTACAGCTACTCGACCCCGTATCATCTGTTAGTTTAGGGTTCCTTTTCAGATTTCTATGGTCGTGTTGACGCTAACCATTCCTGCTCTGCAATAGGCCAGTGCTGCCATTCAAGAAGTGAAGTTGCCCCGCGACCAGTCCCATATCATCTTTTCGTCCCTTTTTTCTTCTCTTCCTCCTTTCCTTCCCATCCCAGCCTCCTCTTTTCCTGCGGAAAGATTCCATGATAACTCTACAATCTCGAGCTGACCATCTTTTCGTCTCACTTAGCTTCAGCGAAGAAACAGTCAAGTAAGTTTATTCGACTGCAGCAACAGATAACGAGGACTTCCACAGTCGAGGCGTGTGTCTAGGTGCTAAACATTTTGCTTGTCTAGAACTCCAAGCCCAAGGCAAACCCGCAGAAGAAGGCTAAAGTAAGTACCTATACTATGAACTTTTCCTTTGAGATGCCTTCGAGTCTTTTGCTAACGCACTCTGTGAAGAAACGCAGTAGTTCCAAGGTAATGTGACAAATTCCTATCACTGTCGTGCAGTCGTCTTTTCGATACGAGAATTCCTCACTCGAATATCTTCTTTGCTGACCTATGCACGTCGTACAGAAAGTAGATAAGAAAAGCCCGGTAAGAGACACCATCTTCAAACAGAATGGAACTTCGAACAAGAATCAGTTGACTAATCATGAAATGATTGCTAGAAACGAGCTCGCACCCTGCTTCCTGTACGAAAAGCATTCCATTTAACAGAGAAGCACCGCCCATCTACTAATCTACACCTAGCCAGCGGAAATATCCATGGCTGTGGTGAGATTATATATGGTCTTTGTTTCCCACATTTTCTCTGGACCCAAATCTTCATTGTGCTGTAGTTTCTGACTCTTCTGCAACTTTCCAGAACGGCAATAGTACCCCTCGTCAATCCTCGCAAGAAAATCCGTACACTACGACCATCAGCATTGCTCCTCGTCAGTCATCGCAGGAGAACCCATACACTACAGCCTTCCCTACCGCTGCTGCAATCCCCGCACCAGAAACAATCTTCCGGCGATTTCCTCCGCGTTTGGAAACGGGCATAACCAGTAGTTCTATCCTTGGGACTTCGCCTGAGAATCTTGGTACTTCTGGTCAGGTACCAGACCAGGTAAATCAATTCTTCCCATCGAGCATCTATCTAAGAGCGAATACTAATACGAATTTTCTCGCAGAATCCCGTTATCACTCCAGTGGTGAGAGGTGCCCTCGCGTTGAATGATTCATCGTTTACCTTGTGTTCTTCCAATATCATGCCACTTTATAAGAACCCCAACTAACCGATAACTAAATATGATAGGCCGTCCCGTCAGCACAAACACCGAATACTGCTTCATTTGAGAACCCTCAGGAACCTGTCAGTACCTACATATCAACGGAATACATGACACGATAGAAATGGGCTAACATCACTTTCAATCCAGTCAGCCCAAGAGATAGTGGACGCCATGCAATCCGTTCACCGGCTCTACGTGACCAAGCCTAAGCTTGTTGACGAAGGTCGTGAGTACATCATTAAAGGCGGCGAGGCGGCACTTGTCGAATACACGGGATTTTCAAAAATGAACTTGGTTGCAATCCACGACAACAACCGAGCCAAAAAGACGATTTGTGTGGACGACGTCGTGATCGTTATTTCTGAAAGCAAGGTAGCATACGCTCGCATCCACTGCACTTTGAATGCCGATGACGCCGTGGAAGCTGCCAAGCTACTCACTGGCGTGCTTCGAGTCTGGTTGGAAGGTCACCTGCATTCCGCAAACTTCTACCTCCTTTCTCCCAGACTCAATAACGTCAAGCCATTCTACGCATTTCACAAAGATGAGTGGAACCGTCGCAGCGAGGCCGTTGCTGAATGTATCCGTGGCTTTGCGCGGGAGTTCAATGCACCCTTCTTCTTCCAGCCGTTCTCCAATACATACGACGCCGATGCGCTCAAGCTATGCTACATTCAGGTTGGCCCTTTTGGAGAGGAGGGAGACGAGAATCGTCCCCATGTGATGATTGACGATCGCTATGGCAAGCGCATCGTACGCGATTCGCTCTGATTATTGGCTTATTCTTTTGAAGGGTACATTCCAGCAAGAATTATGCTTATCAAGGATTCTCTCATGATATCTTTGACATTGTCTGGATCAGTGCTTTGAACACTTCAGTCGACTTTTTTTTTTGTTGCATATGAACAGTTTTGAGCAAGATTTTGGTGGAGAAAACGAGAACAGGAAAAAAAAAAAAGGAGAAAAGACAAAATTCCGAAAAAAAGAATAAGAACAAAGCACCACAGAAAAACAGGAAAAGAGAAAAAAAAAAAAAGAAAGAAAAGTTCTTTCTTTCAAACTGCAATTGTTCGTGGGGCGTTGTTATCAGGATTGGTTGCCCTTGTTTGCCCATTGACCAGTCATTTCCAATGCGCTGTATGATTTTTTGATGAATCTCCCTTTTCTTCCTTGCTTCATTCTTTCCTGTACAGAGTGAGCTTGAAGTCCACTCAGCACCTAATGTATTAGTTTGTGATATCATTTTTCAAGTTCAAATTGTCTGAGTCAACATCGTCTCTTCCGTAGTTGCGTAGTTGGTCGCGAGGACAAACGAACCCTAATGCCGAAGACAACAACAGAGCCATAGTTTGATTTACGTCTTTCTCTTAGAACATGGGGTATAATTTTCAATTAATACGTTAATAAACATCATTATATTCCCCAATTTGACATATAGTGACTCATAAAGAAAAGGCTACTGTCGTGGCTATGGTCATTCTTTCAGATAAATAAAGACGGGACAGTCCACGAAAATATCCTGAAAATGAAGACCCCTACGCAATAATCCGATTACAACCAAATCTTCCCACGCTTCGCACATGTATTTCAAAATAAACATCTTCTCCACAGCTTTTCTTCTTCTTACGACCTTTACAGACCCCACGCCTGCAAGATGTCCCACAGAGAAACACCACCAGCGCCAGCACGGTTGCCGCGCTGGGGCCAGAGCAGCTCAAACCCATCGGCATTTGACTGGGAGCGACGAACACAATATCTCCGGGAAGCCAATCGACAGTCCATAGAGAGCCTCCAACACCATTCAGCTATTTCAGAGCATTTTCGAGCACAATTTCAAGCATTGCGTCACCTCGAGCGCCGCGGTCCGGGACTTCAACTGCACAATCCACCGGGAATGGAACGCCGCAAATCATGGCCTGAGAAGTACATGGAGTTAAGATCAAAGAACAAACTGGTACTAAAAGAAGTCCTCGGACGACCTAATGAAGGTTGCTTCATCCACACAAACGAGATTGCTTTTGACATAAACTACAACAGAGGGGCAGCGATCTTCTGGACGGGTGTTCATCGAGGCGACGCCGGCATGGTCGACGGTTTTGCAGACGACGTCATCCTGGTCATTACGAAATCCAGGGCAATTTTCATTCGTTTGAATGGCTCCTGCTCGGTCGAGGAGATTGAGCGCGCTTTTGTGCAGATCTGCTATTATACCGATCGGGATTTGCTGTGGTATGTCCTTCATCCGCCGAAGTGCTTTGTGCACTGGTTCCGGCCCATGGATTACAAGACAGGGGCATTCCTCTACCAAGCACGCGTGGAGCAGCGCGTTAGGGCTATTGAGAGGTTGTTAAAGAAGCAGCTGAATAGTTCTGGAGGATGTGAGATTTCGGTTCACAATGTCTTTCCGAGGAAAGAGATGTGGCAACCGGCTACTTTGAGCATCGAAGTTCTGAACTATAAGAACCAGAGGAGGATGGTAGTTGTGCGTGATGCCATAGGGAAGATAGATTGTGCATAGACTTCGGAATATTGTGTGATATCATGATATCTAAGAATGATAGCCAATCATAGGATAGCCACTTCATGATGCGATGTATTACGAGCTATAGTAGATCCATAAGCCGTAGACCTGACTGGAAATTTCTGTACGATGCCATGGGTAGATCACATAAGTCATAAAAGCCTAACATGGTAGATGCCTAGGTAAACATGTCTAGAAAAAGTAGGCCATCTCCCACAAGACTTAAATCTTCAACGGCATGCTCCGTCCATGAAACATTCAGGTCTAGCCGAGGCGACTAGTTAACATACTTTCTGTGTGTTTTCAATATTTTTTATTCTATGTACAGCAACTACATCGCCTACCAAAAGGACCATCAGCAATCAAAAGCATGGCGACTCTCATCTATGCTGCTCTCGTCGCCTACCACAAAAGCAAGTCAAAAGCAGCGGACGAATCATTATTGTCTGGAACCACCGGCATCAAAAGAACAACTCCTATTCCGCCTCATACTCCAAACTTTGAAACACCATCATCCATCGATGATGATGAGGAAGAACACAGAATTCTTTTTCCTCATCCCGATGCACCAAACACTACCTCGCAGTCGTGCGCTATTTCAAATGATACAGCATGCCAAGAGCATTCCACTCAACACTCGGATTCAATCAGCTCTGCTATTCGTACAACTAAAAATGATGAGAGTGTTAATTTATACGGCGCTGCGGTAGTTTACATTGAAAAACGAGAAAACGCCAGCAGCAACAACGAAGTCCAATCTTACACATCACATTTAGCGATGGGAAAGAAGCTAAAATTCGTGTCCATCAACCCTATCAAGATTTGTGCCTCCTCACTGCATGGGCAGGATGATCTAGTTATTTGCTATTTTGGCGGGTGCCTGTTAGCCATACGAATTCCTGTGCCAAGCGTACCACTTGGAGTGTTGCAGACATGGACGGAGAATATTCTCAATGCGCTGGAAACTTCATCGCTGCGAAGACCTTGTCCGAATTATGATGCTAAGCTGGTTTGTATCAAGCATGTTTTATCGCACGAAACAAGAATATATCACTTGGAAATCCTGCTCGAACTATGGAAGAGGAAGAAGGCTATTCGTTGGTACAAGGACAGTTTATCTCTTTGCGACAGATGGTGGATGGCTATTTCACATACAAAAGCGTGATTGTTTGAATGAAGAAGGCCAAAATGTAAGGAAAACGCAAGTTAATCTACATGAAAAGTCGAGGGTTGAGGTTATTGTCTCTCCACGGGGACATACTGCTGATGTCACAATATTTATCAAGGTTATGACTGAGTTGAAAGTACTTTTGCAGCAGTGATCTAATATAGTTGATGGGTTGCTGTGTTGAATCTAGATAAAACAGTTTTGTGATGCATTATTATTCCTATCTTATGGATGTTGGTTGGTGTGTTCCTCACAACATAACCACAAGCCCCCCAACAGAGAGCATTCCGATAGCCCAAGCTCTGTTTCCAGTCCGAATTGACGATGCAGCACCAGTGCTCACTGCACTTGATGCTGCTGTACCAGTAGCAGTAGTCTCACTTCCGCTACTACCCGTAGTTTCAGTTGCGGTCCCAGTCCCAGTCGTGCTGCTACCGGAAGCAACATTCTTCGCGTTGTACGATGAGGCGGTCACAGTAAAAGTCTGGCTCAACGCAGTCCAAGTAATAGTTGCACCGGCCGGTGGTGTAGTAAGAGACGAAGGCCCAGCAGTTGTCGATAGTGGCTGCGTACCAGTGGCAGGCAGGTTTGCTGGATCTAAGAATGTGCCGTTGTCCGCCGACCAAAAGCCGTACGAGGCACAGAGGTCTGCTGTTAATCCAGCGCAGGATCCGGCTACGCTTTCATACTCGACACCGGTAACAAAAAAGTCTAGGCCGTCTGGGGAGGTATTAGGACAAATTCCGTAGAATCTTCATGAAAGGGATGAGATGTTAGTTTTGTATATAAGAACTCTGGATGGAGGCAATAAATGAAAAGAAAATCACTGCCAGAGAGATAACATACGCAGAAGTAGCGGCACTATAGCTACAGCATTGACAGTCCATGAGATCGTTGGAAACAATTGTGGTGTATTGTTGGCACTGATTGAGGTGATTTAAATTATTAGTAAAATTGGTGAAAACCTGTCCTAGATTGCACGAACAGCCTCCGGAAGCATTGTCAGGAGCTGGATAGAAAGGAATCGTTTCATCCACGGTGCGCTGTACTTTGTATTCAGTGACGAGGTATTGGTATTCACAGGAGTATGCCTGTTTGTCCTCGAGTCAGCATTTGACATTTGACGCGGAAAAAAAGAAAAAAAAAGAAAAAAAAAAAAAAGGGTCGGCTAGTAGTTGAAGTAAGAAAATGAACGGGGGTGAAACATACCTTGTTCCAGCATGATGCCTGGTAGCAGACCATCTGTTGAATCCATTGCTCCCACTGGCAAGACAATATCACTTCGTCATTACCACCAGCCTCGTCCACACAAGTACTAAGCTGAGTGTCCGCCGCTTGCAGACGACTAGTCATTGACGAAGGGTCAGCACACCCAGTGGCAGAAATTGTCGTGGCATTCGCCGCGAGTGTAATCCTCCCAAAGAGAAGGGTGGCGGCAATGACGCTTATTCTTGTTTTTGGTTTCATCTTGTTTGAAAATATAATTCCAAAGTTACAGTTCAAAAGAGTCAAAACCAAGAGTTGCAGTAACAGGAGGATGGGACCTTTTAAACGAGAAATAACTACATATTAAACCACAGTGGCTTAAAGTTATGCACATAGCCATGCACATAGCCACGTCAAAAGGGGTTTTCGCCGGACTATCAGAGTTTCTCCAATGCTGATGAGGCTGGAAGTAAGCAATTCGCCGATACGCTGGCCCGGGGTTTCCGAGCCATAGATTAGAGATCGGAGCCTCATCTCGCGATATATAGATACCTGGGGTTAGTCAAGCTCGCTTAAAAAAACAGATTTCTACTCCGACTTCTGAAGCCGGAGCTCCGGGCTAGGCCAAATCTAGGTAGAATTGTCTGCCAGACTGTCAAAGCGGGAGCTACTCGACACATGATTGGGATGGGCTGATCGTGTTCATGCGCCACCGTAGGATCGATCGTAAGACGCCTCCCTCGTATTCGCCCTGAATTGATGAACGACGATGCGGCTCATGCGTGTACAACATAAAAAGTTGTCGTCGATTCTTAGTCTTGACAACTGTATCTGGACTAGCGCCTTGGCAGCGCGTGCGGATCGCTAGTTATATCTTTATTTGGTCTAGACCCAGGCAGACCTAAGCCCTAACCCTAAGTCCTATATTGGCAATGTTTGCCCTTTATGCTTCAATTACAACATTATAATCACCACATGAACATGAATTGACAATGCACTTTGCAGGTCCATTATATGAATTGCGGGCAAGTTCAGTGCTCAGTATATTGCAAAAGAGACAGCGCCCAAGGTCATGATATGACCATTACTGACAGAAATAGTACAAATAGTATCATCCATAGACTAATTTCGAGCCTTGCACCTGCACCATAGGATTGAGATGAAGTAGCCAACGGCATGCCTGTCGAGCTCATATTCGATGAGCCGGAAGATGTTGTCAATGATGAGGGAGAAGATGGAAAATTGCACAACCCAGAGCCATTCATGTTAAAGGTTGGGAAATACACACGCGGTTGGCCCTGGCCCATTGGCACCGTGATCGTTCCATTTTCGCCAGCTACAACACTGCTATTGCACATGGTTACCTCTGTCAGGTTCGTCCCTGGATCTGCAGCACCGTGCACCTCCAGCGTGTAATCTCCGCCTTGCAGGCCTTGGTTTGATAATACTGCAAGGATATGTGCGCCGTTAGGTCCCTTGCGAGTGGCATATGTCGAACCGTCCGTATACAAGATTGAGCTCCAGTTTGTCACGTAGTGGTCATCAATGGCGATGGCGTGATTGCGAAGTTTGTTCAGCGTGGCGGTCACATTATACAGCTCGACTGAAGTGTCATACTCCGTAGGCCATAGGGCTTGTCTGTTATACGGCGAATAGTTACCGGGTAGGTGCTGTTCTTGTCCATAGTACATCTTTGGGATTCCATCACTCAAGATGGTAAAAGCGAGCGCGTTTTTGGCCAGCTATTTTCATGTTTTGGGCACGAGTTAGAATGCATGAAACAAGAGGAAAGGTGACTGAATCGGATACATACTGCGATATCTTCAGTCAAGGAAGCAAAACGGGGATTGTCCTGGTTTTCAATAAAATTTGCCAGGTATTGAGGTGCCTGGCAGGCTTGACGCAGTTCGCCAACCATCGAAACGAGTTCCGCCATTTTACCCGCGGTGAATGCATCAATGATTTTCGTGTACAGTGCGTAGTTCTCCAAACCCGACGTAAGATTTTGGAAATCGCACAAGAAGGTCGCATCATAGTCATACACCTCACCCATGGCGTAAACATTGGCACTCTTCGTGAAGTTTGGAAAAAAGCTGGACTCGATCTGCTTGGCCCCATCCACTCGAATACCATCAATTTCATATGTGTCTATCAGATCACCAATCCACTGCTCGAGCGTTGCAGCAATGGCAGGGTCAGTAGTCTTGATTCTCGGCGTAGCCACGCCCTCATAGCCAAGCCAACAACTCGTGAATTGCGTCTGGTTCGCCCAATCCACAATGGGACAGAATGTATTAAAATCAGACGACCGATTGAAGGGGACAAAGCTGGAATAATCAATCGGCGTAGAGATCGTCATATTAGTTGGCCCAATGTTGTAGGCTAGTTCATTTGCCACAACGTCGACCATCAGATACATATCACGTTTGTGCAGTTCCGAAACCAAGTTCTTCAAATCGTCAGCCGTGCCAAAATGATCGTTCAATTCGTACAAGTTCTGGGGCCAGTATCCGTGGAATGCCTCCCCGTAGATTGTGTCTTGCGGCAGATTTTCCTGGATGGGAGAGATTTGCACTGCAGTAAACCCCATGTCTTGGATGTAGTCAAGCTTGCTGACGAGGCCGGACCAGGTGCCTCCGCAGTACTTGGTGATGTTGCAATTGTCATTGGATTCTGTAGGCCGTGCATAACGATCGGTAATCACTTGGTAAATTGATCTCTTAGCCCAGTCATCAGCAGAGGCAGCAAGCGCTTCCGCCGAAAATATAATCGCAATAGAAAGAAAATAGAGGAAATTCATTGTGCCAGGCAGAACCTCAATATCCGAGGTTGAAAGCAGGTATTGAAAGTAGTTTACACAGGAATGAAATATATAGGATAAATCACATAAAAGAGTGGACTCAGAGCAATCCCATCGCTCGTGAAAAGATGGTGTCGAAGTATAAAACAAATGAATGACTTTGGAATTAATGAAGGTCGATAGTTGGAACGGTTCACGAAACTGAGATAGACACGATGCTCGTGTAAAAACTAGAATCATCCCCCTTTATGTAATTTGGAAGGAAATTTTGCCAGTGTTCATTCTGTGATGTCTAGTTGACCTACAGCGCTGCAATTTCCTACATCATTATGATTGGATTTCATATTAAGCAGTATGCGGGGGACTCCTGTCAACCATAGCTAATTTCTGCTTCGCGACTTTGAAAGGTATCACAAGGGCTGCAAATATTTGCCCCTTGCAGCTAATGTGAGTCGTATACAATTTTGATAGAGCTTTATTTGAAACAATCACGCTACAGGTTCTTCGAACTACCCAGGTAAATTCATCTACATATCTTTCAAGCTGTCGATGATGCCTAATGCCGCCCAAGAAATTAGGTCAATACAATATTCTCAGGGGTTCCAGATTATCTTCGAACTCAATTAAGATAAATTGTAAAAGTGCATAATCCTCCAGAAGTTATCTCAAGACAAGACCGGACAAATTGAGACATCATTCACGCAGGAATCAGCAAGCTATTGAACGGCGTGCATCATGCAATGGACGATCAACAAAAATTCTGATTAATATTTGAACGTCCCTGGTATCCAAGTTAAAAACACGTGCATAGCCATCAATTATTGCAATAAGCTCGATTCGCCCGCATAAGGTACTTGTTATTGGCAATAAGCCAAAGTCAATTCGATGTCACGAAGGTAGTTACAGAAATATATAATCACCATAGTTCATCAAGATTATTATTCATATAAGTTTAGTTTCGAGGAATATCCCATTGTTTGGTCTGTTAGGGGCCAAGAAAGAACCCAAGACTATTGATGCGCAGAAGCTACCCCTTGCATAAAGGTGCGGCCACCGATGGAAGACTCCGGTCCAGAATTTTCAGGAGCTCATGCATGCATGCATGAGTCGATTTTTATTTTTTGAGGCAATGACCCTGTGGAGTTGATAGGTGGTTTGATGGAATTTCTATTTAACGTTTTCAATCCATGCCTACTAGATACCTAGGTATGAAGAGGTATCCCCAAGCAAGCGAGACATTAAACTATTCCAGAGTGGCGACATTTGAAATCAAAATTTATTTTCCTTAGACTTGTTTACATGACCTCGCAAATATGCAAACTCTTTGAATAGCGGGCAATTCGAAAATCGCTCGGAAGGGAAAAGACAGACGTGATAGAAATTTCCTATTCAAGTAATTTTACAACTAGCAAGGGGAAGCGGGGAAGAGAAGCACTTCCCTAAGCCTCGCCTGAGGTCTTTAGTGGCTATATATGTCCAAGGTTGTGTATCTAATCAGTACAAATAATGTTCACTTATTGAACGCAATAGCCCTAGAGGCCGAATTTGTCAATTACATAAGTTTTACGCGACTTAAGTGCTACTCTTCTCACAGGCGTACGCCATTCCAATAATCGAACCACCGTCATAATAGAATACAAGAGAGACCTCTTGTTTTCTGTACCAATAAAAACGATATTTTACGGAAGACAATATATAGTCACGTCAGGCAAGATTCAGATTGATGCTTATTGGTCGTCGTTACAGTGAGTCCGAGCTGATCAGGTTCACAACAAAGTACCCCCCAAGTCGTCATGCAAACGCGACAACCAAGGACGCGCTCTAGCCAAGTTGACTCCTTCGATGGGGTGCTAATCCATGGCTATGATTGTAACCAACTGCTCGGGGAGTCCCATGCTTGCATATGGATAACAGGCCATGCACTGAAGTCAGGAACGTAGAGAGAGCAATATCGCTCTGGCAAGAAATGAGAAAGCTTGGTCTTACGACGGACAGGACTACCGCTCGTCTTTATTCTTCCGCGACAATAACAATGGTCTACTGACTAAGAGCAAAGAAGCATTGTTCATGTCGGCGCCAAAAGAGCGATAGAAGGCGCTGACAAAGGAAGGCGGCGTGAGTCGAGGGAAGTCACGGGGCGTGACTTCCCTCGACTTTGTTCGCCTCTTTTCTTCTGCTCGTTCTTCCTCTAACAACATTTTTTTGTCTGTCTCTCTACTCTGCTATCAACATGGCCATCGAACAAGTCATTCGCCTGGCCGAGAGGTTCTTCACGGACCCCGACCACCACATCTTCGCCCAGGTGCCGCCCTCTTGGGTCCCCTATGTCGAGCTCACGCGTCTGAACCAGCCCGTGGGGGCTCTGATGCCTATCCTCCTTTACGGCGTTGGCCTGACATTTGCTGCCTGTGTATCACAGCCTCTCATCCCCATGAGCGAGTTCTTCGTGTTGGCATGGCACAGCGACATTTGGCTTTTCATTATGCGCCACGCTCTTTGCACGTTCAACGACGCCATTGATTACGAATACGATCGAAAAGTCAGACGCTGTCGCTTACGACCTGTTGCACGCGGCGCCATAACGCCAGAACGCGCACTTCAATTCAGCGCTGCTCAGTTAATCCTAGGAGCTTATGCTCTGTCGAATCTTCCCAGGGAGTCGCACGGCCTTGGAGTCATAACCACACTAATCATGATGATATATCCCTTTGCAAAGCGATTCACTCATTTCCCACAGCTCATCATGGGATCAAGCTTCACCGTGTCTATCTTCATGGCTTGTGCAGCCGTTGGTGTCGACGCATCTTTTGAATCAGAGCAGTTCCCATCCGCCCTTTTTCTCGGTGTTGCCTGTATGTTAATCGTTGCTATTGCCGACACTATCTACGCCTATCAGGATATTCGTGACGATGCAGAAGCTGGGATAAAATCGATGACTTTAGTACTGGGGGACCGTCCAAAGACATGGCTATGGACACTAACTGCCGCCGTCGAAGGCCTGCTACTTATGGCTGGACATCAGAGTAATTTCTCTCCAATCTACTACCTTGTCAGTTGCGGTGGCTCTTTCGTTGTTCTATCAGCAATGATAGCGCTTGTCGACTTAAGAGTTGCTGCTGACTGTAGATGGTGGTTCAAGCGTGGTGGAACTGGGAGTGTGTTTGCTATTATGTTGGGGCTGTACATTGAATACTTCATACGACTCTGCCTGTTTGCATAAGTCGGTTGTCTTAAACCTTTTTCAGGGACATTGAAAAAAAAGTCATTGTGACTCAGTGGTATTTTTATCGGGTGAAAGGAAGATCGACTATTCGTACCCCGTTTCATCTTGGAGGATTTGCGTATTCTTAGCTGTCTACTATGTTTAAGTCTAATGCTCTCTGGCAAATCAAGGGATTGACAAGTAGTAATCTTCAATGGAACATACGAAAGCGAAGAGGGATGGCTATGACCTCTACAATCCCCCGGCCACTATCCCGTATTGCACGCCTCGGCTGATCAACATTCTATTTCTTGATTCACATAGTTGACCTGTAGTTATAAGAATTCAGGTGGAAGTATGCACAGAGACCATCCTCCGTATACAATGGTGAGTCGCCTAGATTCACTGCTGCTCGTCCTAAAGTCATGTAAGGATGAGGGTATGGCTTGCCGTCAACCCTGGAACAGCTTGCGCCAGCCATATTACAACCCTAAAAGACACCTAGCTTGTCGTCGGAAACGGATTCAGTTATTGTCGGAATTGGTATGCCCGACGCCGAAGCACCGATGCGAGGAACAGATGCTTCATTATACCGGGATGGATTGTCGAGAAAAGTCTTAGCTCTGGCTGAACTAGCGAATACATAGTGAAAATCGAGGTTCCAATCTGGCTTCCGCCTGGTCACTGCCACGCAAACATCAAGTGGTACTTGTACGCGTAATTGACGTTTACCACTTGACACAGACGTAAATTTTCCGCCAGAATAAACAAACCATGCTAGAAATGTGGACGTAGATTGTGGAGAGCTCAGCCTTGCTTGGAAAAAGCCACGCCGTTTCAGGCGCATAGCTACGTACCTGAGATGGATTTATCATCATTTGATAATACAAGTTTGGTTACATTCTGTGAACTATGTACTCTATGGAGTAACGCGGTTGCTAGTGTAGCGTCCTCATTAACCAATCAGCCAACCTCGCAACTGTTGGTGGACGCCCTGAGGGGCCGATGTGCATACCGTATGCTACCATAGCTACACCTAGATCTGAATAGCTTGAACTCCACAAGTGAGAACCTAAATACCTAATGCAAGAAAAGGTATACCACTAGCTGATAGTCTTGGATATCCAATGCCAATTGCTGATCGCCTACGCAAAATAGATTAGTGCTGTCCGAGAGACATAAGACCAGCTAGGGTTACTTGCCAGTTTATCAGATCCTTGCTTACCTAAGTAACTCCTGATAAAGTGTTGCAAACTCGCGCTTTTCGGAACCAAGACCAATTTGCAACATACGACGTACGGTGGTTCCAAGAGCTTGCAAGTTTTGGGGGCTAGATGCTTGTTCGCGGTCTGTTAGTTCCAAATTGCAGTGAAACTCATCTTAACGCAACATTTATAAGCTTAAAGTTCTTCTTCGAGGTATAAAACAACCATTTCCGACTGAAATTTACTTCCCTGAATAAACTCAAAGTCTATTCTTGAGACGAACCGGTATGTAAAACATGAGGTTTCTCTTTCGGAGATCTTAAAATCCATTCATTGACAGGACAGAAAAACAACATCCCTAAAATGAAGAACGTTTTCTTGGCTGCTTTTGTCTCCCTACTCTCCTTCTCTGCTGCGGACGATGGATTCAGCAAATGGGAGCTCTACTGTGGCGATTCCGTAAGTTGTCAATCTCTGCTGACTGTCTCTACGCAGGAGGCATTGGTTTTTGTTAATCAAATACATGCATAGTGTGACAGCACCACTCTTGTCCTCACCGGCGATTTAGAAACCAACGTTGCCGATACCTGCACCAGCCTCGGCGCTACCTATGAGTATTGCCACTTTGAGCAGGTCCAAGAATACGGCTCCTATGCTGTCAACCTTGACAGCGCAGACTCCTGCCAAGGTACCGTTATTTACCCGGGTGATTGCACGGCTTCTGGAAGCTGGAGCAATTACGAGATTTACTATTATTTCTAAGTCATGAATTGGTTTGACCCGAGGACAACTTCTGCGGCATGACTTATCCATGCTTGCTTCGTGTATCCAAAGGTTGTTATTGTATGGATTTTTCGAACAGAACCAAGTCATGCGGGCATTATGGAATGTACAAAAACGGGAAAAGGTTCTGTATGCCTTATCTGTATGGTGATTAGTTATTATTATTATTGAAATTTACCCCTATTTCAAGCAGAGTTACACCCCAAAACTGCCTCCGATGCCATAATCATTCGACACGCACCAGGGCATACGAATTCTATGCCAAGTCTTTACACGGTCTTCAGCAAATGCTTATCCCAAAACCATTTCATCCTCTCTAACATATCAATATAACGAAGCCTTTCAAAAGGCGGAAACATTCCGTGTCCCTCTCTCGGATAGACAACCAACTCACTCTCTACCCCTCTCTCTAAACAGCCTTGATAAAAAGCTCTCGCGTTACTAAGAGGAACACTTTCATCACGCTCGCCATGTAAAATTAGGATTGGCGTCTTGATGTCCTGCATGTGCCATATCGGGCTTCCCATTCTATTCGTGATGTTACTCTGATCAACAGCCCAAGGCGCATGCCCAGCAACTTCGGCGTCGAATAAACGATCATCAATGGAAGTCATCATCAAGAGATCCCAGTCAGTGATGCCAGCTCCGGCAATGGCGGCTTGGAAATGAAAGGTGGAGTCTCGAGTTACTGCTAGGTGCGTAATATAACCCCCGTAAGACCATCCGGAAATGCCAACCCTCTCTGGGTCAATAATTCCAGACGCCACACCGGCCTTCACCAAATCAATTGTATCAGAATACTCATAGGTACCACCGGCTCCTCGGATACTGGCAGCGTATGCACTGCCATGTGAGCTTCCCCCGCGGTAGTTCACGCACAAGACTGCATATCCTGCAGAGGCAAACCAAGCAGACCAGTTGAAAAATGGTAGATCAAAACCACAAGAAGTTCTCTGATACGGCCCACCATGAGCGACGACGACGGTTGGCCATGGCTTGGGTGCGTTTGTAATTCTTCGGAGTTACAAGGACGCCGTCGAGTTCCGTGCCGTCTTGTGCTTTGGCATAGAAGGGCTCGGCAGTTGCAATTTCCAACTTTGCAATGTCTTCGCCGTGGTTAGAGAGCTGGACAGTCTCGCCATTAACAATTGAATAGAGTTCGTTAGGGGAACTCCCGCTACTTTTAACCACAGTTAGAACCACATTTCCATCTTTGAACACGGCATCGAAGCCCCTGATTTCACGCAGTTCGTCGTGCAGCAAAGTTCCCTCCGGTAAGGCGTGGAGCTGATCTGCAAGACCATGCTGCACTTCGGCCACTATGGTGCTATCGGATGCCTGTTGTAAACCAGGGGGCAGGGCCCAAGTAGAAGCGCAGTTGTTCTCACCAAAAGCATGTCGGCTCCATTCCTTGGTATCAAGTGACAAATTGTACACTGTCTTCGATGATAATATGGTCTTCGAGTCATATATTCCCCTCCACCACAGACCAGACGAGATCCAGCAAAGATCGTTGATTTGACCTGGAAAGTGCGATAAGTTGACCACGCTTCGGTCTTCCAGCGGCACTACTGCCAGCGAGGTACCATTGGTCTCGGCCGATGCACTTTCAGGTGTTTTTGCCGTCGCATAAGCTAGACTTTTTGAATCTGGACTGAACGCGAAGTCGTAGACATGAAAGTTCGAAGATACCACAGTATTAACTTTCTTGGTAGCAACCTCGATAGTACGAAGTCGCGCGTACTCCCAGTCTTGGCCGTAAACAATAGGGTCGTCTTTCCTTTCATATCTGGCTCTTTGCTCCTCCGAAGTTTCGTCCGCACTCAGGTACGCGATATACTTCCCGTCTCTACTCCAAGCAAACTTGTAGACACTCTTCCCTTGACCTGTTGGTGTCAGAGGAATCACGTCACCACTGCCAAGGTCCAAGAGCCAGACGCCAGTAACGCCCTCGCTTGCTCGGTTTGAAAGAAACGCAATTGAGCTTCCGTCTGGACTAAACTGCGGCCAGGAGTCATTACTTTCTCCAGGCGTCAGTTGCCGTGCTGAATGGCGATTGCCGATCTTCACGATCCAAAGCGACGATACCCAATTACCCTTGGGTCGATTCCAGTCCGAACGCAGAGTGTACACTGCATGCTTTGCAGACGGTGACAGCCTGACCTCATGGGGGGGTTCAAGGTCTGCTAGCATATCAGCTGTAAGTGAAGATCCCTCCATTGTTGAAGAAGGCCCATATGCCAACAACTTCCTAACAACAAAGAGAGCAATTTAACTGCGTAAGCGCTATCGAAAATTCTGAGGCTTCCAACGCACAAGTTGTTTATAGAAAAATCGTAGCTTTTGCCAATATTCAATGGTACGACCAGGAATATTTAGGCAGCTACACGTGCTTGTTAACCAAGTTATGTATCAAGGTCCACAATTATCATTTATCGATGACCGCAAGTGGCAATATCTTGAACCACCACGTATCCATCTTGCTTATATCTAACCAATTAGATAGATAATTTTCTTTTGCAAAACCAACATTTGGCACAAAATGACATTTTGCGGAGATGGTATGTTTTGCACTCAGCTGAATACTCTACAATCAAAAAAAAAGAACTGGATCTATTCACAGAATATCAGCTTGTGATAGCTAGCGGATGATATATACCTCCGCTGACCAGCCAATCAGAGACGCAGTTGCCAGAAACGAGCCAATCAGGAGTGAAGATTTCACATTACATCTTAGATTGTTTGGAAACAGAGAAGAGCATTAAAATACGAAATCTTAACAACTTGGGAGACCTCTCTGATAGCAGGCTATCTGCCTCTTCCTCCTCCCAGCACCGCCAATTGGTGGCTTGAAATCTTGATTATCCTCGCGCTTAGTCTGCGACTAGAACTTTCCGTCATGTTTGTGGTCACCTTTCTCTTGTTGTGTACCGGGTTTACTTGCTCAGCATACCCCTGTCCTTGGGCTGGGCGTCAGTGAAAGAAGCAGTTCGATACTCACGATTTTCACCCTGGTAGAGCACTCCGTCCGAGAGGGTTGTCATAACCGCCCTGTTACCTAGATACGCTCATCTGCGCATGCGTAGAACGCTGCTAATATATCTAGACCGAGCAATGAACACGCTGGATGGGCTGCCTGTGGAGTTGAAGATGTCTGTCCTAGAGCAAATACCCGACATCTCATCCATTCGTTCCCTTGCTCTAGCTTCCTCCAGATACTACACAGTCTGCTCACAACACATGTTCAATCTGCTGCTTCGCCAATACAATGGCGAAGTAGAAATATCCGAAGCACTCGTCGCCCTTCACTCTGAAGGCGTCATCGCTGAAGACCCCAGGAACAGAGACAAAATCATAGAATTACTAGATTGCCGACGCCGCGGAACACGCGAAGGCAAGAAATACAAACATGACTCCTTCAGCATCGACGAAATCATCAAGTTGTTCAAATTACACAAAGCTGCGATCTACCTCATGGATGATTTCTCTACTAGAATCGAAGAGCCGCCTTGGTGGAAACCGGCAGGGCACCCAACGTGGAAGTCACTGGACCTCAAATTCTCGCATACGGAGCGCGCTCGGTTTTTTCGCGCTTTCTACCGTCTGCAGACTTGGCACTGTATCTTTGGTGAGCCGGAATGTTTCTCTTTCTCTCTAGCCTTGCGCATAGAGACGCCCTATAGACCGTCTTACAACGAATGGGAGGACATGACTTTTTCGCACGAGGAGGCATGGCGCTTAATTTGCGGAAGCATACCGCCTTGGGATGTCGAAGAAATGTTATGCCTGTTTCAATATATGAAGCAAAGATACATTCGGATCTACCGAGAAATTCTCGCTGTGCTACTTCATCTAGATAGGGATTCTGCATCGTCGTCACCGCTAGAATCCTCCTATCTTGCTTCGTCACTGGGAGCGGCATTTGAGAATACATGCAAGCGGCGAGGTGCGTTTATTGATACTCCGTTGGCCTTTCCTTTTATCCAAAAAGACGGTAAAGGGAAGAATGGAAGAAGAATAAGGAAATTATTGCTAACAATCCTAGTCGACGCACGGCCTATCCTCGCCTTCTTCCGCAATTAAATGCTGGACCTCGGCCCATACTTCCTGTACAAGTTACAAGTTCTTGAGCGAGTCCCATGACTACAGGCAAAATTCCATAGCAAACAATCTGCGCGAGGTCCTCGCTGCAAGGCTTCACGAAGTCAGCGGGCTTAAAATGGAAGCCAAACTTCCGCTCCTCTCGCCGGCAGACAGATACGAGCGCGACGACATTGCAGAAGTGGTCACTTCTTGGCCTATTTTAGAACAACCAAACCAAGCATAGTTACAGCGCTGGGGAGAAGGCAAGCCTCTTCATCGTGACCTATGGCGGCAAAACGCTGTAGGTAAGTTCGATGCGTATACCTCTCTGAGTGGCATTATTGGAATTGGGCGTACGTGCTATGGGATGATGCGCATTCAGTTGACTGAAAGGTGCCTGTATAAGCAGCGACGGTGTAAGCCTTTCCTCCTGTTTTTGTTCCTTAGAATATAATTGCGCTCTGTCTGCAATTTTATAGTGTTCAGGCATCGGCGGCTTGACACGGCTATTAACGCAACCAATCACTTATCCAATCTTACATTTGGATCTTCAACATTTCTAGTGCTGCAAGCCTTACGCAGGTGCAACAGCCTAGATGCTCTCTGCCTTTTTATTTTCTCGCGGAGATGTGATGCATTGTAGCAAAACCTGAAATTCTATTCATATGGATCAGTTACCTCATGTATTCCGAGCCTTGCTAGTATCTGTTCCGCCCTCCGCCAGCATCAAATGGCCAATCCCAACACAATACGAACATGCGACGCTCTCCGAAGTTATCTTCTACGCCTCCTTGATACTGTCTCGCGTGTATGTGTACCAGTGCGAATCATGGTACGGCTTTACCTACGGTCTAATCGTCGGCTTTATCTTCGGCTTTAGAGCGGAGATCGTATACAGCTTTATCTTTTGATAGCACAATCGAGTATAAAGTCAGTTATTCGTCGCCTGCTTGGGCTATTCTTGTAAATGTACTCCTCACATAATTAATAGTATTTTACACATTCTTTTCACATATCAAATGAGCAAAATCCTTACCGTTTTCGGCGCCACGGGCAACCAGGGCGGCTCAATCGCCAACTATGTGATCGCAGACCCCGTGCTCAGTAAGGAGTATTCTGTACGTGCCGTGACACGAAACACGGAGCAGCTCGCTGCAAAGGCCCTCTCAGCAAAAGGTATCGAAGTCGTCGAGGGCGACTTGGATGACGTTGCATCTATCCAAACCGCCCTTAGAGATGCCCACACCGTCTTCGCCACTACAGCAACAATATATGATGGCAGGACTAAAGAGCGCGAAGTCCGTCAAGGGCGATCTGTGGCTGATGCCGCCGTCGCTGCCGGCGTCAAGTACCTGATTTGGAGCACCCTGTCCGCACCTACGATAGAATCCAAAGGGAAATATGCACGCGTGGATTCCTTTGATTGCAAATATGAAGTCGAGCAATATATCCGTAGCCTTCCAATAAAAAGTGCATTCTTCGCGCCAGCATCGTTTATGCAGAACTTCTCAACCAATATGGCTCCTCATCATATGAGCGATGGCACCTTTGCCGTCGCCAACATCCTCCGTCCGGAATCAAAGCTACCGCTCATCGATACCGAGAATGACACTGGCAAGTATGTTGGTGCAATTCTGGCTGAACCTGAGAAATTTAAGGGCCAGATTCTTTCTGCCGCCACCAATTTCTACTCTATGGAAGAGATTGTGCAGACCATGAGTCGTGTCAGCGGCAAGATGGTCAAGTACAACCAGATACCTGTCGAGGTATTCGAGGGATTTCTGCCTCCGGAAGCAGCGGACTGTCTGATTGAAATGTTGCTGTATATTGAAGAGTTTGGGTACTATGGCAGTGAGTCAAAGGAGAAGGTGGCCTGGACTGTCGAGAATGCCCGTGGAAAACTCACCACGCTGGGAGAGTATCTCACGAAGAACCCTCCTCCTGGGCTGGCATGAAATGACTGAGGCGTTTTGGCTGTGTTGATGTATTCAATATATGTAGCAGATATTAGAAATCAGACTAAAGCGTATGTCTGCTGGCGACTGTAGTAATTTTTAAGATAAGATACCTGTGTAAATAGTGTAGGTACTGTGGATGACAAAGAGAAAGGGAAAGGCTGATTGTTATTCCGTTAGCCCAACTTGCCGAATCGGGCCACGACAGGACCTCATGGAATCCAGCAACCAAACGAGCCATATTCACTCCCGCCAGCTTTCGTCTGTATGCAAATATTCTGATCTTGTGTACCACCCTGGTGTTTATCAAGATGGTTTCAGCTTTGAAGCTCGTGTCTCCACATGCCAAAGACATCGATATCCCAACGTCATCCTGGCCTGCAAATCTGACCGTCAACCACCCCGCAGCCACGAGCATCGTATACCCAGATGTCAACACTGAGCATGGCCGATTCGAAATTACACACATGGTAGCACTTCATTCTTCGAACCAAATTGTCCCCAAGTGGGACGGCGTTGCCGAAAAGACGATATTTAAGCTTCAGAAGATGGATCTCGATTGGGGGGCAGTCGAATGTTTCGAGTGTAAAGGAAGGCGAGGAAAAGTGCCCAGCACAGAGACTACTTTGTTTATTACTGTATACGACATGCCACCGATAACAATGCCGCTTGTTACATTTCTAGTCGAGATCTACGATATTGCACGATGTCGTGTAGAGATGCGAGCTGCGGACGTAGGTCGCTATGCGGGAACAGTGACCAGGAAATATAAGGAGCAAGCTTACTTGTCACCTGGGAGTAGGATATCCTTTGGTGAAGGGTTGAAAACTCCCGTCGAAGGTACAATTGGAGGCATTGTGGAGCTTTATGATGATTCCGGCGTTCACAGAGATACATGTGCATTGACCTGCCATTCGTATCTGCCTTCTCACAATGTTACTCCAGATACAAACATGAATATTGGCCCCGGTATGTTAAAGTTGAAGATTATATTGGAAATTCATGAGTTGAACCTGGTTTGTAGGACCGCAACAACATCCCCTTCAAAATTATGGAATCATTCGATGTGCGTATCCAAGTGAGATAGTATGGCAGGATTGGTTTGAGCAAGTCAGCGACGACCTGAGATGCGTCAACAGACAAATTAAGGAGATCGAAGAAGAGATGAATACCCGCGAAGAACATGCAGATAAGATGCTCGATTCTCTCAGGACTCACCTAGCGGATTTAAAGTCACAGAACGAGCAACTCGACCAAACACTAGAGCGTATAACATCAGCTGATTGCAGTATCGGTACGGTTTGTGCATTCTCAGGAAACCGTGTCATACAAAACCATCATCTTGACTGGGCGCTTATTGCATTGGATGAGGATACACAAGCTTGTTTAAAGGATGCTAATACGATACCAAATGTCGTGCCATGGGCCTTTGGAAAGATTCGGTCACCTGACCGGCTTGACTATCTCAGACCCGGGTTGACGGTCTTCAAGGCTCAATACCCCGATTTCACTGGCGGGACCGTGAATGCAACGAAGAGCTACGTACGCTTTCGAGCAGGGGGTGAGGGTGATCAAACAATAGAAACAACTGAATGAGCCGTCGTTCCGCAGCTTGGATACAAGAACTTTGGTGAATCAGGTGATTGCGGTGCGTGGCTTGTGAGTCGTATTACTAACGCTCTTGTTGGTGTGATATATGCAATCAATCCTGCGACTGGAGTGTCTTACGTTGCTCCAATCGGAGAAATGTTCGATGATATTTCCAAAGATACCGGGCATTCCATTCGATTGCCTGGATCATCCTCTGCTTAGGAGAATATGCTTCATTTAGCCTGAGTCTTGAGAACCTTTGAAACATTCATGTCAGCTAGATTCTCCGAATTCTTTAAGTGGAAAGCCCGTAGGAAGTAGAGAGCAGGCTTCGCAACTTCAAAGTTTGGAGAAGTTCTTTGCGAAGTCCCGTCCACAGCTCTCCATCCCGAACGATTGTCGAGCTGTCGAGAATTCAATAGGCAGAATGACCTATCCAGTTCAACCCATTTTTAACAGTCCGTTCCTCCAAGCATTTAGCCCATCCGCCGGCATCCCTAACGCGATGGTATTCGCAGTCATATCAGAGCATGAATCGGGTTGTGGTCCTTTGGGCCTACAAAAGATGCTCGAGCATAAGTCTCATGAAAAAGACTGAAGCGATTACACCATCATTATGACTATGGGTAGAGTTTTAGGCGTTTAACATTTTCATTAACAAGTTCTGTACGCTCAGCGGGGGGAGAAACGACACCTATATGCATTAGTTTTATCATTTAACATATCTCGTTAGACAGTCACTCACCTGACTCTTTAAGGATCCGCACCGGTAGGACATTCGCGGCGGTCACTGTGACTATAGGTTCTTCTGTGGCTACGGGGCGGCAAATGAGACGCAGTATATATATTAACAGAAGGAGTAGCTTGTCACAATCTTCGTGGCCGACCATAGAATGCTTAAATTTGTAGTTTTGGACTTCACTGGGAGAAACTGTGACGCAGGTGTCCTGCGAGCAGGATCAGTATTTCTTCTGACTCGCCGACTTGGTCATCCGGGGCAAAGGGACAAGCAACAGCAGAAGGACAGTCCAAACAAGTCAATTCAAGACTACATACATAGCCTATCCAGGTAACTCGCCATATCACTGTTTCATGTTTTGCCCCTATGCGAGTTTGAAGTCGACAGAACGCAGTGCCTCTGCATCGAAACAAACACATCATTTCCTTGACTGCATCAAATCCATCTTTCATACAATGTTTTCTTTTATTCTCTTCATTTGCCCTCCTCTCGACAAACAACAGCTGATCAAATCAGTAAGAGAGGGTCCATTACTCCAAAGGTTTCGATGTGGTCAGCCGCAATGCTGAGCAAACGAAGGTTGATTCTCTCCCTGTCCTCCGCGGTGTATGGCCTATCGATGACTTCCTGTGTTTCAGCGGTTATGATGTTGGGATTGATTTGTCTCGCCTTCATGGCAGATAGATTCTCAAGATAGCCGTCGGGTACAGTCATAGAATCAGTTTGTCGATCATTATGGTGAACAATCGGAGGAAGGGTGACACTGGCGTCATGGGTCTGGTTGTTTATTGGGCGCATGGCCATGGCAGCAGGACTCGGACGAAGCAGAGTCAACGGACGCAGAATAGGACGAGTGACAGATGCTGGACGAGGAGGAGGAACAAAGATAAGATGAGGAACAGGACGGACACGAGGCAAATACCTCTCTTGGTTCATCCCACGATAGGAAGAAGGACAGGGGAGATCCAGCTCTGCCACACAATTATTGTTGCAAGACTTCAAGCAGGGCTTCTCGAATTCACCCACAGGATATTGTAAGATGCGTAGAATGGTGCAGGGTTTCATCTTGTTGAATGTGCAACAATCTGACTTCTGATACCAGCGACAGTTGCTGCAGGCTTTGTGTTTGTAGCGTCCATTGCGGTCCAGAGAGACAACACACTTCTGCATTGGGCCACTGTTCATTATGCATCTGATGCAGATTGCTTTGCTGGGGACTTCGACGCCAGTCAAGTAGGATATAAGCGCGCTGCGATGGTTTGGATCGCGTTCGTTGAAGTGCTGGGGGGTGTTGTTTTTCCAGGCAATGTCTCGACGGCGTTTGCCTTTGGCATCGACCTCAGCCAGTACTGACTCAAGGGTGTGTTTTACCACCATGATGACGTGCTATTGAAAAGTGATGTAAGCCTTGATGTGAGTCTAAGAGTCTAAGGAGATGACCCTACCTTGTCTCAAGATTGAAGATGACAGAAGATGGGTATAAAGAACAAGCAGTAGGGTGAAATTTCTTTGGGGGCACTTTACAGGGTGATGTTAGATATATCATGAAAAGTACGCTAGTGCTGAAAAGGCAATTGGCCTATTATGAAAATATCTCCCTGTAAAAATCAGTCACAGAAAGTAATAATAGCCTATAATGGAGATCTTCCTTTGAAATGCCTTTTCTTGTGGAATATTCCTGCAAATTGAGTCCTCTCTTGACTCAAACGTAGAATAAGTGCTGCATCTGAACAAAGAATGGGTGCAAGCGGATGTAATTTCTGTCATCAGAGCAATTATTCTAGTTGTCATGTCTCAAACACCAAGTCTCCTGGAAGAAGTCTTGAAAACAAGTATGGACTCCTCGTCATACGAACTGCATGCATTCATCGACACCTCTCTTCTAAGCTAAATACACGAAAGCCAAGTATCACCAGCTGCAAGCCATTAGCAAGAGCACTGATAGACAAGACCTTTGAAAACCGAATAACCACTACCAGCTCCTCATTCATTTCAAATCCGCACCACGTATCCAGCTGAATATGCTAGATATAACCATCCTTCAAGCTTTCCGCATGCAAACCACGTTCCCCCCCAAGCTCACATATTCAATCGTCGGCGAGTGACGTTCAGAACGAAGCGTGTTTCCACTCAGTTCTGCGCTCCATAGTTGACGTTGACGGCAGGGTAACCATGGAATCCGCCCGGTCCCCTCTTCCTTGGCCTTTCTGGGAGCGAAATCACGTTACGTCCAACGCTCTGTGCCTTTCTCTTACGCTGACGGGGGCCGCTGATGTGTCGGCTAGTAGCGTTGCCGGCTTGAGTTTGGGTGACAGGTGGCATCGGGGGTGGCATCAGGGAAGCCATAGGAGTAGCCATCTGAGGAGCCATCTGAGGAGCTGCCGGGAGAGCCATCGGGGGAGCCGCTGCGAGAACGGGTAGGGCATTGTTGTTGCGTATATGAATTCCGCCGCATTGAGCCTTGCAGACTTCCTCAAATTCCCCAAGATCAAGCCCGGCGTTGAATAACTCTTGACAGGGGAGGTTGTGGCGAGTGCCGCAAACGTCGGTGCGATGGAGCCAGTAGCAATTGGCACAAACACCGTTGGCGATGTAGCCCTGGTCGTTGAAGGCCACGACGCACTCCTTAAAGGGGCCACTTCCGTGGACACATCTCATACAGGGAGACTGTCTAACGACTACCCCATGGGTATAGATCATAACGGCCTTTCGCTGCATGGAGTTGGTAATGTCCAGAGCAGATCCACGCCATTCGATATTGCGGCGGACAATAGTCAAGTTCCCCTTGCACGCATGGAGGTCGACGCTAGAAACAGGGGTTATATCACCGTCTCCTGTGTTCCGATAGGCCGCGGTTCTACCACCAGGCATCTTGAAGGGCTTTCTGTTGTTTTGTAGTGTCAGTAAGGGTCTTTGTGAGGACATGAACACATCCTTTCACAGTTTTCTGCGATGAATGCTCTTTATAACCTTCCATTCAGCAACAAACAATGCCAGAACTTACTCTGCAAGGACTGCCTTTGTATGTGTGATATGAAGCTGTAGATAAAGAATCTGAATTTGCGATGTGCTATGAAAAAACTGAAGCAAAGACTGGAGGAACCCTGAAGAGAAAGCCCAAGCAGGAAAGGAAAGAGAGAAGGATGAGAAAGAATTTTCTGAATTTATGTGTGCAGAAGAGGGGGGCTGCGTTACAGCACATGCGTAACGCAACTATTCTCAACACCCCAACAAAGACAATGGCTGGGCAACAGAAATCCTCTTCGTGACACGGAAGGCATTGGCTATTAGCAGTATCACTACTCTGCAGCGTAACGCTATATTCAAGGCGGCTTCAGATATCTCTCGGCACAGGGGGAGGGTGGCAAAAGGCAGGCAGCTGCACTCACACAATTGGCTCTTGAGACTAGACGAAAGAACCAAGGTCAGCTGCTTATTCAACTTCCTTTGATTGTTTCATATTCAATGTGAGTCATGGTGAGGGAATTTGATCTTGTTACCAAGAGGTCTGGCCGGGACCTGCAGCTAGCTCTGTCGATTTTGATATTCACATTCTATCTCTATTGACTGGGCCTTTAGATGCTGTAGAACATGACATAATATATACAACTTTCAATAGTCATACTATTGCTGTCTTGAGCAGAAAAGTTCCTCAAATCTGTCCCTCGTATAATCCATATCTTTATCCTTGATGTGTTCCTCGGTAGGTAGGCAGTACTCTGTGCACTGGTACACCAGCAAACAACATAGAAATGGGATGGATTTACTTTAGACTATAACAATTCCTTGTCCTTTCCATAACCAACCTTCTGTAAAGTAGAGCTAAAAGTGCAGTCGTGCCTGCAGCCTCCACTATCCTCTTCAGTACGACATTTTCGTATTTTGGTGCCTTCCTCTCTTGTCACTCGTTTCTTCTCTTCTTTGCCTTTCGTTTCTTCAACATTACGAGAACTGGGCCATGTTTAGAAGTGTCGATATCTTACCTATGTACATGCCAAACATTCTGATATCACATCATGGAATGAAGTACTCCCACGACTCTTTTAAGGTCCTGTTGTAAGTCTGAAGGTAGGATCAACACTTCACTCAAGAACTAACAAAATCTGTACGCCAAAATCTGGCACAGCAAGATCTACGAAGATATAAGCAAGCAAGACTCCGATTAAAATGTTTTATCTGAAGATTAAGTAGCGTCTTTCATAGTCCTTAGTCTATATCGATTATTCGAGTACACCGGCAATTGTCATTCGAATCCATACTAGCCCTTATAATTCTAACCCATAGTGAGAAATTACTATGCAACGAGTGCTCGAACTTGAACAAATGTATGAGGCTCGTTGTGCCGGTTTTGGTTAGGGCTAGGGCTACGCGATAGGGTTTGTGGAGTCATACGTCAACGACTTGTCCATCCGCAAACAGAACAGTCCATAGCCGCCAACTGCATGTTCTAGACTACATGTAGCTAATGATTCCTTGATGTATGATAAGAAATAATAGCATGCAGCTACATATACCCAGCATGCATGACGCTCCACCACGAGTAACCACCGCTAGGCTCAAAAACAACTAGCATCAGGAAATACCACGACGAGGGCCGAAGATAAATCCCGAGTGGTTTTGCTCTCACTTAGTTAGAAGTCACTAGTGCTACTTGGTTTACCATATAGCTACATTGCCTCCCGAATGAGTGACATCTTTCAAAAAGCTACGGTGTCCAAAATTCGTACCACATGGCGCTCATATTTCTTGCCCTGGCCGTTGGGGTCGGGCGTGCAATGGCGCTGGCAATCCGTGAACCAATTCTTCGGTTTACCGACAATGGGACATTCCAGATTGCGGTGTTCTCGGATCTGCATTATGGTGAAGGTAGAGCAGGCCCTCATTGATCGCTATTCTTTTGCTAGAATATAATTATTCATGAATCTCCCGTACGCTGATCCAGTCTACATAAACCAGCCGAAAATCTGGCCTGGGGTCCGCAGCAAGACATCAACTCAACACGTGTAATGAACTCGATTTTAGACATTGAACACCCCCAGCTCGTCGTCATCAACGGCGATCTTATCACTGGCGAAAATACCTACAAGCACAACTCCAGCGACTACGTCGACCGAATAGTGGCACCCCTCGTCAACCGCAGTCTGTTATGGGCATCGACATATGGCAACCACGACAGCGAATTCAACCTGTCGCGACAAGAGATTTTTGCACGCGAGAAAAGGTATCCCAACAGCCTGACGCAGAGCATGGTGCCTATGCATAGCTACAGCTCAGGCGTGTCGAATTACTACTTGCCCGTGTATTCCGCTAATAAGAGCGACATGACTCCGAAGGCCATACTCTGGTTTTTCGACAGTCGAGGCGGCAACGAGTTTCAAACGGTAGATGAGGACGGTAAAGTGGTTGCTATCAACAACTATGTTGATTCATCGGTAGGTTACTATCACCGTACTACCTTGCAAACGAAAGACAAATGGCTGAAAGTATACAGGTAGTCAATTGGTTCACCACGGCCCGCGACAAACTCAACGATCTGCACAACACAACCATTCCATCACTGGCATTTTTCCATATACCCGTCACCGCCATGCTAGCATTCCAACAAGGCCCCGGTGTAAACCCTCATAAAGAACCGGGCATCAACGACGACGATCCACTGGACGAGCAGGGTCCCTCGGACGGCTCATTCAACTACAAAGGCCAAGATAAGCCTTTTATGAAAGCCTTGGTCGAGACGAAGGGCCTGATGGCTACATTCAGCGGGCATGATCATGGAGATGACTGGTAAGCCGGCTCTATTGATTGTATACTGTTCTACTTTAAAGGCCTCCCTAAGTGCATACATATAACAGGTGCTTCAAATGGAACAAAACTCTTCCCGAGATGGATATCAAAGGTGACGGAGTAGTGCTTTGCTTTGATCGACACAGCGGGTATGGAGGGTATGGTACCTGGACTCGCGGATCGCGTCAGATTCTTTTAGATGAAAGGACACTGGGGTCGCAGACGGAGACATGGGTCAGGCTTGAGCAGGGGAATATCTCAGGTGCTGTTGTGCTGAATTCTACCTATGGAGAGGATTATTATCCCGTTGTTTTGGATACGCACACTTGAGCTATAGTCATTTAGTGGACAATAGAGTTTCATAGACATCCTTTAATTTCATATTCTTTCCTATACATGTGAGCAGGTCGTATATGTCTAAATTTCAGCATCATCTATGCAAAACGGTTCCATGAACCAGTGAAGACGCAACCATCTAGATACATGAAACAGTATTTAAACAACCCCCAAATTCCATACAGCATCAGACCTAGTTCCATGGGACTGCAGCCACCGCGGACGTAGCTACACCATGGCCATCGCCCGAAGCTCTGGATGGTTCCTCCGGAGCATTCACATACGAATTCGGACGATTATTTTCCTCATTCGACTTGGCCGCATTATACTTCTTAAAAGCCTCCTCGACCAACAAGCCAACCTCCTTTCGATTCCGACCAATAATCCCCACACTCAACAACGACTCCGTCTCCTCGATCCAGTCCTGAATCTTGCGATAACCAATCTCGTCTTTCTGAATCCGATCCGGCACACCTTGCCCACTAACCAGCGCTAGTACACCAGCTATCACGGTATTCAACGCCCCCAGAATAGTAATAATTACACCGTGATTATCGGCCAACGGGCCCAGGGCCGTCAGTGACGCGCCAATGATGATCTGCGCAAAGTGGCAGAAGAGAATAACACACCACATGGCGCGGAACTGCCTGGTTTTGGACCGGCGCGCATCGATCACGGCCTTGTACATGCCTACGGCCCTTTTGCGGCCTTCTTCCATGGTCACTGGGTCGGCGGCTGCGAGGTTGTAGTTGATCCCGATCGCGCGACGGAAAATGATCAGTCTCTCGTCGTCGTCGTCGCGCGGAGGCAGGCCTGCTGGGACAGGCCATGATGGGGTGTCTTGTCTTTTGTTTCCGCGTTGTTGTTGTTGTCCTTGGGGTTGTGGTGGATTTATGTACAACGGCGGGCCGATGGATGTGTTTGCTCGCTGCTGCACTGGTGTTTCAACAATTGAGTGACCGTTTTGTCCTTCATTTCTATTATCTGCTGTCTGGTCGGCCTTGGGAAGAAGAGGCGACGATTCTGTTGCATGTTCCTCATGGTCAGAGTCGAGAGGATGATCTTCAGTGTTCATGTTTCGAGAGCTGTTTTTTTCCGCAAAATGCCCGAGATTTCCGCATTAAATAAAACGAGGATTATATGTTTGCCAGACAACAAATTCAAAATTGTCAATAACGATGAGTTATAAATCTGGACCTCTAGCTCACGATAATCATCAGTAGAAAAAGACGGTGGCTGGACTGGCGATCCCAGCCGGAAAAGCCCTAGACTTCAGGCACATCATCAGACTACTGTAACTAGTTCGTTTTTGTCTTGTTCTGTACAACACTGGTTGTCTTTCGGAGCCTGTCAGAGTATCGGCTTATCTTTGCAAGCATGCGCAGCCATAGGGTTACATACATACATAGTCGCCGCTGGCGGTCGAATGATCCAAAGCCGAAGTCTGCTGATATGGTCACGGCATACATCGCATCTACCGCGCGACTTTCTATATTTTGCTTTGTCCCGCATATCGACCTGGATGATGTCTTTGATATGAGCAAAGAAACAAGTCGAACGATTCCCATGTCACATGCTGGAATCCTATCCCTCGTCCATATGCTATCGTCAGATGATATACAACGAGCTTGCAACAAGCCATCGTCTACCAGCAGCTTCCATGCCTTACCAAATTTCACTCTCTACGAGAAGCTGAGTCCATATAGTAGGTCACGGGCTTTTCCCCTAGAATTCATGTAGTGGACATGGTCAATGTTTAGAAAAATACGTTTACTGCCGACTCATTTGAGTCGCCCCCCATTGTACTCCGTGTAGGCTGCATCTTAGGCGAGATTTTGCAGTCCCCGCAGCACAACCACGTTTATACAACTCAAGTCCGGGTGAAATTAGTGGTATCTCATTTATTCTGTTTCATTCAAATCGTACATGGTGAATCCAACGATTCTGAACTGAAGACCAACAAACACTTAATCCAAGTGACAGATCAAGCTGGGCGTTCCTCACCCCAACAAGGATTCCGCCCCAAAATTACCGCCCATAACGCCAACATCCTGCAGCTGGGACGCGTCCTGGACTAGGAACTGCCCCAGATCAAATTCCCTTAAACTCGGCATATCAGCGATTAGATCTTCGAGCCATAGAAATTCGGCAGAATCAGCAGTCGTGGCCGCCGTCGTCGGCTGTTGCTGTTGCTGTTGCTGCTGCTGCTGAAAGGTGCTATTATTGTAGTGGCTATTGTTGTCGTTGCTACTACTAATCGGGTACGCAGAAGAAGTAGAGTGCGATGTCATGGCAGGTGCAGTCTGTTGTATGCCCAGAACATCACGAAGCGTTTTGGCATCCTCTTCCTTGCATCGCTGATGTAGGAGGATGAGCAGATATGCCGTGTTATATGCTTCCCGCATAACAGGGGTATCCCACATCATTGCAACTCTCTGAAGGCAACGCATCGCATCCCCCAACAACGAAAGCGAAGCGCGGTTATCAATCGAAAGCAAAAGACAAATCACCTGGAACGGAATATTGGAGGTGTGATGCCAGGGACTAATTGTGTCCACCAGCTGGTCAGCAGCGCGCACTCCTTTCATGGCTAATTCCAGGATACGATCCATCTGGAGATTTAGCATATTCGATTTTTGTGCCCGCAGTCGCCGGAAGATACATAACAAGAGATTGACCTGGCACAATACGACGCAGGGTTGGTCGCACTCTTCGGCTAGAACCTGAGCCATGTCTGCTTCCAGGTCCTCGACCGTGCGAGTCTTGTTGGGATCGAGTTCGTCCGTCAACGGTAAAAAACTCAAAATCTGTGACGTGTAATTTCCCGGCTTTGGTGCCACGGGTTTCGTGGATGCCCCTGGGATGGTGATTTTTGTTCTGCCGAGGTCAAAGGAAGCCCATATATGTAGGTGCAGAGACAGTCCCCACAGGCGGCGACGACTATCCACGTCGATATCTTCCGATGACCTGTCGAAAATGGTATTGGACGGCGACTCGAGATGTATGTTTGCCGCTTCCGCGACGTGCATCAACGAGCAACTCGCCAACCAGGTCGTGTGTGGCAATGAGGACATTCGAAGGTAAGCCACGAGCACCAACCAGCCGGTCACAGTATCCATCGACGGCGGCGTGGACCGTGAATGCCGCTCTAGCAACGCTCGCGCAGTTTCCACCAAGTCCGGCTCTACGATGGCGGGGAACTTCTGGGTAAAAAGGAATCCCATAGCTGCCACACCGCATAGCACAGGATCGTAAGTGGTAATCACTGTCGGGTTCCGCCATCGTTCCTCCAGACGCTGAAAGAAGACGACACGGTCAATAAATCCGTACACCTCCGCGGCTTTGTCAAAGTGGACAGATGCCAGATGTATCATCTCGTTTTTGGATAGAATACTGGTTATATTTTTTGGCGTCCCAGACGGGCAGCCGGCCAGTCGATCTCCAACATTCCACGCAAAGAGATGAAGCCGTGGCGCATTAGACGGATCAATTTTCAGGCCCAACCGTCTCACAAAAGCAGCGCCAGAGTTTGCCTCGAGGGACTGCAGGTGGGTGCTTGGATTGCTATTGCTATTATTATTACTATTATTCACAGTGGCCAGCGATGTCTCGGGCTGCTTCTGTCGGTGATGACCAAGGAAAGGGCCCTGCGGTGGCTGCTTGGGGTCATGCTTTTTGCCGCTCTCCGCGGTGGTAGCGACAGTGCCATCCGACTGAGGGGACGCATGGAGCTGCTCTGGCACACTCGACGACAGTCTTGGTTTGGCCCTTTTGGTCTCGGCATAAAAACAGTCGTATTCGTACTGGATGCACGTTTCACATGGCAGTCGGGCGTTGCATTTCCGCTTGCGCTCGCGACACGGCTCGCAGGCGATTTTGGCCCGGCGGCGCTTGCGCGGGGTAATTCCATTTGACTGCGCCTCGGGTGGGATTTGCGGCTGTTGGTTGTTCATGGTTTCAGCTGCTTGTTTTGTTTATTTACACGGTATTATTCTGTGCCATGCCCGTCTGCTTTAGTTAGCTGTGTTAATCCGTCATGGAAAGACGCGACGGACGGACGAAGTTTTGCCGGCAACAGCGGGAAACACGGCGGCGCCTTACCCAATCCGGCTCAAGGTGTATACAAGAGTACAGCCAGGCAGGGAGTCTGACATTCTTACCAGACCTGGCTGGATCTTATAGCGTTATAAGGTAAGTGTCTCTCTTATGCGAGAATCTCATGTATGGCCTCTACTATCTTTACAAAGTCCACAGTCCTCGGGTTGCCGTCGGTGCGAACTCGCGGAGCAGTGTATATATCCATGTACCTGGGTCAATTATGACAGCTACAGACTCGCTCTAACCAATATCGCGGGGCCAAGAGTCCACAAAGAATATTGGAGAGCTTGGAGAGAAACCCAGGGCCTTTTCCGTGGAAAAACTCACAAATCTACATGTCCGTCGTCTGCATTGACGGCAAAGTCGGGATCTGCGGGTGTCCACAAGATTACTCACTTTTGCGAGGGAAAAATGCTTCACACCTGCGTGTGGGAATGAAAACGCACAGAAGATGCCATTTAAAAGACCCGAGAGCATATCTTTGGAGACCTATTTGTGGTTTAAGTCGAGTGCTACGTGATAAGTACTGAGTTCAAATAGATTCCTCAACTTCACCACGCTCCATAGCTCTATCCGAGGCAGTAGTACTGAGGTACTCTGGATGTACACGACATACACGATGAATCTGGAGGAGAAGAGTGTTGGTGGCAGCCAATCACACCCTCCAGAGCCCGTGAAAGTGCCCTCTGCCCCCGATGGTGGTGCCCTAGCCTGGCTTCACGTCTTCTTCGGCCACATGGTATTCTTCAACACACTAGGCATGACCAACAGCTACGGTGTCTTCGAGCAATACTACACCGAAACCCTTGGTCACTCGCCCAGTAATGTTGCTTGGATCGGAGGCATTCAGTTTTTTTTACTCTTCGGCACTGGCGTCGTCTCTGGACGCGCCACTGATGCAGGCTACTTTCGGTATGTCTTCGTAGCTGGTGTCGTACTGCAGTTACTCGGCATATTTCTGGCTTCGTTGTGTAGAGATCATTTCTTCGGAATCTTTCTAACCCAAGCGGTCTGTTTTGGACTTGGGTCTGGCCTGGTTTTCACCCCCGGTATCTCGGTGACGAGTTCGTATTTCAAACACCGACGCACGCTCGCGATGGGTATCGTTGCCGCCGGTGGTGCAACCGGTGGCATGGTATATCCTGCGGTAACTAGCACATTACTATCTAACTCCCACGTCGGCTTTGGGGGTACAATGCGCGTACTCGGTCTGATCATGCTAGTTACACACATCCCATCCGTCATCGGCTATCGACCCTATGTCCCTCCCCACCCAGCACCCCTGATTGACTGGAGTGCATTCCGGGAAAAATCATTCCTATTCTTCACTGCCAGCATGTCTTTTACCTTCTGGGGTTTGTACATGGCCTTCTTCTACCTAGGCACCTTTGCGCGGGAGAAGATTGCCCTCACTGGTTCACTCAACCTCGTCATTGTCCTGAACGGAGTCGGGGTCATTGGCCGAATGGTTCCCAATCTCATCGCCCATCGATTTATTGGAACCAACAATATGAATATTTTTTGTAATATTGTATGCTTTGTATGCATTTATTGCTGGATGGCGGTCCGTAATGCCCCGGGGCTTTATGTCTGGACTGTCATTTACGGAATCTTTGCGGGCGCTGCGCAGGCGCTTTTCCCAACCATGGCCACGCATCAGACAACCGATCCTCAAAAAGTCGGCACTAGGACTGGAATGGTATTCACGGTTGTTAGCTTCTTCTGTTTGACCGCGCCAGCAATTGAGGGAGTGCTCATAGAGATTGATGGCAATCAATATACGGGAGCGCAAGCCTTTGCCGGTACCAGCGTTGCTTTGGGGGTTGTCTTTCTGGTGTTGGTACGATGGGCACATGTCGGTTGGAAGCTAGTGGTCAAGATTTAACGACGTCATGTTTTACGAGTTAAAGCAAGTGCGTGTTGCAACATAACTATTACAAGTTGGATTCAGACATGTTTGATTTGGACCTAGATAACTGATTATTTGCCAGACTAGACGCTTTCAATAATTATTCTTCAAGAATCACGATCTGACGTATCATCTCCCCGGCCACATATTCACAATCTGCCTACGACTCTATAGTAGATGTGATGGAGAGGAGTACATATGCCTGGACCTCTACGGCCGCGCAACAATGTAGCAGATCAAACATTACTACGCAATAAAGACCGAAAGACCTCGGAGACTCGGCACCTGGGGGGTGCAAGAAGTGCCGCCAAGACACAGTAGATCTCTTTACCCCATACATAGATCACTACCCCGTGGGGAAACGGATCATCCCACCTCGTAAGTGCCGTCGTGAAGTGCCGGTACGATTGAATTTGCTGTGATGTGCGCTATCAGCATAGATGTCTGGGCTCCTAGATCACTATCAAGCATCAATACGACTACCTGGGTAACAGAACATGTGTACCTATCGTTTGGGACATGGAATACAAATATCCTTGAGTGACTGCTTCTCCGCCTTTCAATATTCCGAAAACTGCCATGGTTTTTGTCCCTCATACGCATCAATTGCGATTTTCTGAATGTTTACAGTCATGTTCTTAAATGGCAGCAACATCCTCGCAGGCTGCTGGCTGTATATGCTGGCGTTCGCTAGAGCTGACTACTGCTCCCCGTCCTACCTGTCCTCGACCATTAGCATCCCCGAAAATGGAGTCATCGAGAGTATATCGGCAAGTACCGTCACCAATTATACCTATAGCAGTAGCCAATCAATCGATTTCTGCAACGTGACCGTCACGTATACGCATCCCGGTTGGAATGACACGATCCATATTACCCTCTGGCTGCCACCACGGAGCAATTGGAACGGCCGTTTCCAAGGCACCGGCGGTGGTGGCTGGGCAGGTGATTCTGGGGTTGGGCCACTTGCCGAGGGCGTAGCTAGTGGTTATTCGACTGCTGAAACAGATACCGGGCATGATCCCGACCTTACAACAAGCACCTCCTGGTATTTAACCGCGGAGGGGAAGTTGAATATACCACTCTTCGAGGACTACGCATCTATCGCATACAATGACCTAGCTGTTGTTGGAAAACTGCTGAGTAAAAAGTACTACGGCAAGGAACCCGTGTATTCATATTGGAACGGCTGTTCAACCGGCGGAAGACAAGGACTGGTACTGGCCCAAAATTATCCAACGGCCTTCAATGGCATTTACGCTGGATCCCCGGCTATCAATTTCCCACAGCTCAGTGTAGCTGTTTACTGGCCGCAATTTGCCATGAACTCTCTCAATCATTATCCGCCGTCATGCGTTCTGGATTACTTTACGGATGCAGTTACTGCCGCCTGTGATGATCTTGATGGCGTCAAGGATGGGGTTATTGCAGCGCTTCCCCTGTGTCATTTCGATGCTTACACGCTTGTGAATCGGACTGTAATCTGCAACGGCACGTCGATCACCATCACTGAACAGGATGCTGAGATTGTCTATAAGAGCTGGCAAGGGGCTCGAAGACCGGATGGCTCTTTTCTCTGGTACGGAGTCAACCCCGGGTCAAACCTGAATGTTGACACCGGCACTACATGTACGGGATCTGTAACGAATTGCACAGGATCTCCCTTTCCCATTGGTCCCGATTGGATTCAACACTGGGTTCTCGATGACCCCGATTTTGACATCATGTCTATGACCTGGAGCCAATACAGCGAAATTTTCGCCAAATCTGTCTCTGAGTACGAGAGTATTATTGGAAGCAACAACCCGGATCTCTCAGCTTTCAAGAACGCTGGTGGAAAGATTGTCCACTGGCATGGCAGTGCCGATTATCTGATTCCGACAGGCGGCTCGATCAACTATTACCGGCGGGTATTGGCCATTGACCCTAATGTCGCAGACTTCTACCGCTTCTTCCTGGCCCCTGGCGTCGGACATTGTGGTGGTGGTAATGGGGCAGTACCAACAAATCCATTCGAGGCCGTTGTCAGCTGGGTTGAAAACAACACGGTTCCTGTTGTTCTGCCTGCTTCGAATGCTAATAGTACGCGGAACTTGTGCTTATATCCCTTGGTGTCGGTGTACAATGGAGGGGATACGTCGCTTGCAAGCTCGTTTTCATGTCAGCCTCATTGGTGATAATCATAGTCATTATTACTTTAGCAGAGCGCTTATAATTTGCATTTGTTAACTACGGTTGAAGAAAGAGAGTACCGCATCAAAAGTGATTCGGCGTGACATTCATGTCTTGGAAGCGGACATAGAATGAAATTGACATTCTTTATATATTCCTATTCAAGGGAGCTTGATAGCTTGTAGAGATCTTCACTTTCGCGACAAAATTCTAAGCTGGGCTTTCCAGAACAAGGCTCTCAATAGTACATGTCACCTCGTCGCTACCTACAGTGCTGGATACACCACTAATAGAGTATACAGTGGCATCATCATAGTTCGTCGGGGTATCGGTGCACCAAGATGAATCGGTTCCGGACGAGGTCTAACAATTTCCCATAGTAAGTAAAAAAATAGTGCGGCTATAGCATATGGACACTCACAATCACCACATTGCTATAAGCTAGAGTCCCAAAATCCCAGGAAGGACCATCTAGTTCAATTGCAAAGATAGCTTGGTTGAAATCCTTCCCCTCTATTTCGACTTCGTCAGCGTCCCATATCAAAACAGGACGTAGCAACAGGGCACTTACCCAGAGCAAAATTGTTAGTAGCACTATCACCGGTTGTTGGATCAGTAATGGTGCTGGTCCAGCTTCCATTGCTCTGCTGGACATTACTGAAAGTGACAGTAGCACCATCAGCAACATTAAACCCGCCACCCCAAGCTAAAGTGGGATCTGAACAGCACCATCCACTTCCAAACCACCATGTGCCTGATCTTCCGTCTAGGACATTTTGATATACGCCGGAATTATCTGTAGGTTGTAGGCCCGGCCAAAGGTAATACGTGGCAGCGGATGGAAGCGTTGGTGCTGCCATATCACCAGAGAAAGATGTGAAGTTCTCTCCACTCGCTGGGTTGTATTCCAAAAAGTACCAGTCCGTGGCTAGTGCTTGTTGCAGTATCTGACCGATGAAGGTTATGGCAATGACCTCAAGATTCTTCATCTTGTCTGTGTATAAAAAGATATAAATTGGATGTTCGATAGATGCGTATGTGTTAAAAGAGTCGTATAGATAGCCATTGCTTCATAGTTAGCTCGCTAGTGATAATGATTAGTTTATAAGAGAAGTTCGCTATTTATTAAGTCTGAACAGAATATCCATACCGCATAAGGCAGGTAGTAATGCTATCCCTGACGGGGGGTCACTACTGCACACTATAAGCCCTAAATCAGACACCATATTTGGTATCAAGCTAATACAAACACTAGTAGTTGCGCCTAACGCCATGGTGACCATAAATTTAATCAGAACCATGAAAACGAATATCGGTAATAATTAAAACTTTGATGCAAAGGGTACTCACTCAGACTACTATCGCGGCTCCTGGTTTCTCTTTAATAGCCAGACAATCCAAAACTTTCATCAACTTACGCCAAGCGAAGATCGCCTTTCGATGCCATTCTCCTTTGACCACAGCCAGACATCTCCCTACTCGAAAGGGACCATTGTCAAGAAGAGAGCTACTCACGATTGGTCAACATCTCTGATGATGTTTTATCCGGGACGTTTTTTCCCTCATTTCCGCCTAGTCCTACGGCTCCGAGTGCTTTGTGAACACCTAGGTACTATATAGAATTCTCGCTTCATCACCCGGGATGTTTATATAATACTTGCAAAGCTACGTTCCCAGCCTGTGTACAGCATCCTCAATGAGACCTCTCAGTCACGAGTTTCAACAACGCACGTTTCGATGCAAGATCCAGACCCAGTGCCTGCTTCCAGGTATTGAGCACGCCAAGTTGACACTGAAGCAAAGGATCTAGAAGTTCCAAACTCCATATGAAACGTGAAACTGTTCCCACAAAGTCCAGCTTAGGAATCCCTCTCCATTCCACTTGGCGATCGAGGTATCCCCGGATCCAAGTACAACCAGTCCAAGCATCAAGGGAAAAAAATTCAATTGAAGTAGATCAAGATAGACCTTGTGTCAACCTCCAATCTAACGGTACCCGGAAGGAGCTTTCTTAGGATTATCAATGAGGATGACCACGAGTGCGATTATGACTTCAGCCTACATGCAATCTTTCGCAGACTCGAGAAACCGATAGTATTCGGAATTTTCAATGGAAGTAAACAGCTCGATTTTAGCGCAATTTTCCGGCTTGTTCTTTATCCTTACGGGCTGCAAGCTGAAAGCCATCGTCTCAGTGCCGTGCCGGATTCCATCACGTATAACATTAGACATGCTCGTTCTGTAAAGTACCAATTCTCGTTTACTGTTGCGGACGGAACGAAGAAAAATAAGGCGATATTTCCGATTAATATTTTACCTCAAAATTGGCAAAACACTGCATAACTCCAGCAGCAAGCCTGCAGGTATTCTGCTATTATCGGATTGTCGGCTCAAAGATTTAAGAGTCGTCGTCTGCAAAAGGGAGGAGAATAGCTACGCATGACCCTCCAAGAGAAACAACAGTCTAGTTTTGGATCTATCTCAGACGGCTCTATTATCTGATTTACAGAAAAAAGCTAAAAGTATAAATAGAAGTTGCTTGTCGTTCCGGTATCTGCCATAATTCAATGCCATCCACGGTGCCTGTTGAACAATTTTTAGAATACCTTGCAACTCTATTTTAGCTAACCAAGTCTCTCTGAGGTCAGCCGATCACACGCATACCTTATATTTGAAATGCATCGCGGTGGAATACATTAAACAGATCCCCCTCTTTTCAATCGTCTGGCGCCATACGGAAAAGCCTGATAAGTTTCTGTGGAAGTCGATACAACAGTTAAACCGGATAATATAAGCTGTGGTTCCGTTCCATCACTTGATGGAATTCCACTCAGGCTCAGGATTCAGCGTACCTCGGTACTTAGTACTGATATCCTATAACCAATGTAACGTAACTAGGTGATTGACTGTCACGCTTATCAGTGAGTACGCAGTATAATCTCACTTAGATTACTATATGGGCCGGATATAAAACATGTTTCCTAGCCATATAATACACTGGCTAAGGGCAAAATCTCGATGTTGAACTCGATTTGTTATCAGGCCCCCGTAGGTCTTTTAATCCGGCTAAATTAGTCGAAATGCGACTAGATACTACAGTAACTAGCTTTTTTATTAGAATGTCCAAACTAACCACTCGGTAAATATGCATAGATCCATGAAGTTTCATTTACCGAATGATTGATCACTCTATCTTAATCTGCGGGAGAGTGTCATGCCTTGTGGTCTGTATGCTCAGTGGGCTTGGGCATTGTTCCTGAGCCGGACTGGTAACTCTTCTATCTATGCAGCGTCGATTGGTCATTCAAAAAGTAGCTAATATTTGAACTACGCATTATTCGCACATGAAAAACTCGCACTACTAGGGCTGTCATGGATAGCTTTTCCAGAGACATACAACCCCAGGCCACACTACTTTGCTTAGCTCTGGCAATGAAAATATCACGGAACAGAGGATCAAACTCACCAAGCACCCACCAATACCAACAATCACCAAGTTCAGAATGGCAATGGCTATCCTGTGAGGTGACTCGAACCATCTCCCTCTGTTTAAAAACAACCAAAATATTCCACTCAGGCCATCTATTTAGTTTTCTTAGATTCTCGACACCCTGTGCATCTTCGAGCTGGAACTTACATGTAAACCAGCTAGCGAAAAGAGCGGTCTTGATGGAAGTCAGTACGAATAGGTATGGGACAGTTAGCGGGCAATCAGATAGTAGCAGACATACAATCAAGCTCAAAAGATTGTTGAAAACGGGAATTGCTTCCGCTACGATCCATGCAATTGTCCAAAGAGCAAAGGCAATTCCAACCCAGATGCCGACTGAGAACATGCTGCGCTTGTGCATATGCTCCGTCCCACGAAGCATTCTGACATAGACATATTTGCATGCCACATGTCCGTTAATGACCCCGGCAATGACAATCTGAATTGTGCTTCAGTATGAAATATTATCGAAGGCAAGTAGGAAATCTAACCGTCGGAATAGCAATCCCATACGCAACTTTACTCATAATGGGCCCAGTTGAGCCCAGGGCAGGAGAAGCAACGTCTTTGCCCCCAAAATAGTAGATCTCGACGGCTGTAAGAATATACATGGCTGTGTCGGTGAATTGTAGCATGAAAAGTGTTTTTGGATAGTCTCTTGGTTTTTCCATCTCCGAAATGAATCCAAAGAAGGCAACATGTCCGGCTATGATGTTTGTCAGTAGTTTATTTCAGCACCGGGGGAAAAAAAATATACAAGGAGCAAACTTCAAGCTTACCATAAGCAAAGACAATGTTTGTCACGGCCAGAAACCCGTGGTAGAGGTTCGTTTGAACAGTAGCGTCCACCTGCCCAGTTCCCGGCTTTTGCACCCCGATTGCAATCATTGTCGTTAGGACAGCAGCAACTATGCTTATGAATGCTATTTATCGAGTTATTAAATAATAGTTCTCTGAGTTTCCAGTGACAGATAACAGGCCCACTCACAAGCTATCGAGAGCCAGGAAACCTTCTTTAGCGTTCGCGGTAGGGCCCCGATGAAGGATACAACCAGACCGACAACCCCGAAAACAATCGAGCACGTTCCGTGATCAGTAATGGTGTTCATCATGACTGAGAATGTTAAGATATGGCTCCCCATGATAAAGACCAAAAACAAAAGTTGTGCCGTCCCAAGCAGTTCTCGACCAAATCTACCCAGTAAAATCTCACCCGCATCGGCCATATTATGGACATGCGGATATGTCAGCTTGAATTGGCCGATTACGTATCCAGTATATGTAGCGACGATTGATAGTCCAACAATAAGAATAACCGCCCTAAGGTTGCCCTGTTTGTTAACGGTATTTTCATCTTTGACAACATCGCAAAGGTTCACCTACGGAACGAGCCCTACACTTGCCACTGCTGACGGCAGGGATAGTATCCCCAAGGACACAGTCTCCGCAATCATGACTGCGTTGAACAGGTTAAGCAGGGTTAGTGAGTCTTTTCATAGATTGCCATTGATCTCTTACTCATTCCGCATTGCCTAGGAAACTTCAGCACGCTTATCTCTATTCATCAAGGGGCTTGGTCTTACCACCATGCCATAGTTCGATACTTCACCTCGACATCATATTCGTCCCCGAATGGATCCTCGCTGTTTAATATGTTATCCAGCCTTCCCACTTCCCCATTCTTTCTATGTCCTTGTTGTCTCCTGTTGAGATACTTGGCATCAGTGCTGGTGGGATATCCTTGCTCTTCGATATCTGCCATGAATAGATAATTGTTTCTGCTCAGTAGATAAGCTGTATATGAGAAAGTAACTTCGAGATCGATGTGAACGTTGACTAATTGCTTATCACGATCCTTGTATTACTTTCGACGTCATGGATATTCCAAATCCGGAAGAATCCGCTTGACTGAGGCGGTTCAGCCAATCACCACCGCGGCCGGACCGCGGGATTTGAAAAGTAAATCAGCTGGAGGATAAACAATACAGCTTGAATGTCAACTGAAAGAATCTAGATAGGTACTTGCCAAGTCAAGGAACCTTTCGTTCTGCATATTGCAAACGACAAAGGGCTCTGATTGGCCTGTCGCGATCTACTCCAGCTAGACCCCCACTTTGCCACTTTGGTAGATAAACTAGGGCAACAAATTAGGGCTTCCCATGCGTATTATTTGTTTTGTTTCCTCGACCTTTCATACCAAGATTAGTCGATTAAAAATATGGTTTAAAGCAAGTTTCTGCACTGTTACCTTCACCTTTTTGCCATGGGTTCATGATCTTGTGGAGCTTGTGGAGCTTGTACTTTTTATTGGTAGGGCCAGTAGCTAGAGGGTGGGAGATCCACTAGCTACGCAGCCACCGGACGTCAGAGCGAGAGATATCCCCTAGGCATTGGACTACTCATGGCCCATGGCACTTCTAATATGTATCGGCAGTTCCTATTGGTGTTGTGGTTGAGGCAAGCGCAAGTCACTCGTTTAGTAGGAATAAAACCAACGCAAGCCATCGATCTATCAACACCCTGGCCCGCCTATCAGCGAGAGTCTATTACATGCACGAAGTTAGACCTCAGCTGAATCTGTCAAACTGATCGTCAATCCGTATCCACAAGGGTTGCAAAGTTCGCGGACTTGGCGTGACGGTTCTTCATATGCGCCTTATAATTTGGCTTACGAATCTACACCACATGCACGGAGTTAACCCATTCTTGTCGATCAGTGCGGTTCGCCTGCAGAATACTTCTCCGTTCACAACTCGGTGGTTGTGGACTTCGCGTTCAAGCTGCAACCGAGTGGGGTTTGGAACTGCGTGATGTGATAGTCTACAAATTTACCAATGGCAGTATCTGACTACAACACCAATTTCAAGGCTGGCTGAAGCAGGACATCATACACATTCAGTCGAGACGGCATCACAATCTAAGTGGTCGGTTGCTTCTTTAAACTCTCTGTTTAGGAAGATATAATTGTCATCCGAGCATGCATACAACCTGTATTCTGACATCATTTTCTTTTTCTTCATTTTGTATAGAATCCCTGTTTCATGATGCTGGTTTACTGCCTTAAAACTATAAGTATCCCTCTGAGTACCTACTGGGTTGGAGAAATCGATTCATCAGGAAAATTACTAAATTACTTTATATGACCCTTGCAATTTTCTTTCATTGCTCAGTTCAAATTCATCAAAATGGCAAACGCTCTTGACTTCTATGACCCCTTCTGGGAAAGTCCTGCATCGAAACGTGAATTTCAATACGAGCATGGCTCGTTCGCGTGGGCTTCTATGCCGGTTGGTACAGAAGTGCTAGCCATTGTAGGCCAAGGAACCATCGCAGTCAAGTCAAACACTACCGAGAGCGTGAAAATTTGCGTAAAGACCGGAGATTCGTATCCTATGTTGACACTGAACATTACCCAGTCTACTGTCGCCTTCACGAAGAAAGACAGTGATACTGAAGAAGCGACCCTGCCTTACACGCTTGAGAGGGCCGAGGGAAATCCATACATACCCGCGGCCACACCCGATGATGGGACAGTGTACTGGCTCTCAATTGACCGAAGCAACTGTGTTTTGCGGTACGGGAAATATTATACCTGCAAAGCATTGACGTTGCTGGAGGTGAGATTGAATGCTCAGCCGGGAGCGTGGTTGGAAAAGTTGACTTCTGTCGAAGTACATGATGGCAGCTCGGTATGTGTCCAGTTAATCAAGTCTCAGCAGCAGGTCTCCTGGGATTCATATACTAAATCTGTTCAAAGAAGCCTCAAATCAAGATTTCCCGCCTCCCCGTCACCATGGACCTGCCACCCCTCGTCGTTACGAACGAAGCGGTGTCACTCCGACAGCTGGACCTTGCTCAAGTGACCACCTGGGCCAATCTTCCAAGTGCCTGCCAGAACCTGTATCACAATGTTGCTGGGAAGAACATCACTCTGGAATCATCGGACTTCAAAGACTTCGCCGATGCAATCCACAGGAGCGTCACCACACCAGGCTATTGGGGCCACGACTTGTTGAAAAAGAAATGCAAAAATCCTATCAACCCCGACCCCGAGGAATTCATGTACAAATATCTTCGGGTGACAATTGGATCAAACAAGGTTTGTTCTAGTCTTTTCCTTCTCTTCCATCCGGTATAGTGTTAAGTAATATATGCAGGGTAACTCCCCGGGAATTCCGTATGTCATGGAAGTCTGGCCTCCAAAACACATGTCTCCCATCCACGATCACGGCGATGCATGCGCGGTAATTCGAGTCCTCTCCGGCACAATTCAGTGTACCTGGTACGATGCGCTCATTCAAGGGTTTGAACCGATCAAACTGGGCAATGAGGTACTGCTCAAGAAAGACCAGATTACCTGGCTAGGAGAGAACCAGTATCAAATCCATGCTCTCAAAAATACCATGGACAAAACCTGCGTTACCTTGCAGTGCTATGAGTTCCCGCATGATAATGATGTTCACGAGGAAAAGTTCCGATATATTGATTCAACAACGAAGAACAAAAAGAATTTTGTTCCGAATAGCGATTGCACCTTTGAGGAGTTTTATAAGTATATCAAGTGGGAGTGGACTTACAAAGGCCCTCATTCGAAGGCATAAGGGTATTGATGCTTCTGTACACATTAGTCGAGCGACAAGGATGAATCAAATTATCTGCTTTATAGGTCCATATTATGCTTTTCAGTGATTTAGATGATTATAAAATATGGTGTGAGAACTGATTCATAGATACGAGTATCTGACGGATGCTGTCCGCCCTGATCCAATACTAGGCACTTCTTTTATCCCCCTCCTTTCAAAGGAAACATCTCTATTGGCGCCGTCAGGATTCTCTCTTTTTATATATATTATCCCGCATTTCCCAACTCTGGCTTTTGGAGCAACGTGGCTCAGGTAGTAAGATCTGTTATGCCCTCCAGAAGTTGATTGGTCAAACTCATATAGATTAGAGGTAGCAACACAATGAGCGAATATGAGAAGTGGAAAATCTTCTAATCATATAGCCGCCCGTATTAACAAAAATCGAGAAAAATAAGAACTATTCCTACTTGCGTAGATTTACGATACAAGTATTGAACGCAGCCTTTCTGTTCCGCGGAAGCACGGACCACGCCTATATGTATGTGGATCTAGAGCGAGTATTTATACTCGAGATTGAGTTGAGGTGAGTAGATTTTTTCACTTTCATTTGTGTATTCTGATGAAGCTTGCTTTTGTGTGACTCCTGCATGATTCTCAATTGAGCTCACTATCCTCGCACATACACAATGACAAAGCTAGAGCCGTTCATGGGCCACTACTACCTGTGGTACTATGTCCCTTCACTCGTTCCTGCAATAATAGGCACTGTAATATTCTCTATTTTGACAGCGCTGCACATGTGGCGCCTGCTGAGGGCGCGGACCTGGTTCTGTATACCCTTCACTATCGGCGGATGCTGTATGTTGACATCCCTCCCCCCCAAACTCCTTCCATGCTCATACAAAAGTACTGAGACCCTCTAGTTGAGGTATGCGGTTACGCAGGAACATGTGCATCACATTCCAATACTGCTAGCATGGCCGCTTATGCAGTCGCCGGTGACGGAACACTCCTTGCGCCGGCCCTATTCGCAGCATCCATTTACATGACATTAGGCCGCATCATGTCGAGTGTCAAGGGAGAGAAATATTCCGTCATTCCAATCCAATGGCTGACGAAACTGTTTGTGCTTGGTGATATTCTTTCCTTCGTTGTGCAAGGGTCCTCCCTAGGGCTGACTATCACCGGCCACGACTCTTGGGGAACGGTCGTGGTTGAACTTGGTCTCGTGATACAGGTGGCGTCATTTGGAGTATTTCTCATAACTGCCGTTGTATTCCATTGGCGCCTGCTCAAGAGTTCTTCTTGTCCTTCTTTGGAAAACGAAACCTGGCAAGACAATGCCTGGTTGGCGCATTTGAAAGTGCTGTATTGCATCAGCGGGCTGATCATGCTTCGATCTATATTTCGTGTTATATTGTATGCAGGCGGACGGAAAGGTTATACCCTGACACACGAGTGGCTAATGTACGTTTTTGATTTTCTTCCAATGGCTATCGTGATGGTCGTGTTCTTCTTCGGGTACCCCAACGAGCTCATTGCTAAGGATACGCATGAGCTGCAAGAAACATAATTAGCTAGCCAGCACGTGACAATTGTGTTTTTGGATGTTATACATTTGCTTATTAGTAACTTAATAGACGCATTTGCATCAGTCCAAGAGAATAAGCAATCTCGTTGAAATCACTGGGCCAGGTTTATCTAATCGCACAGCTCTCGGTTCGGCCATCTCAACCATTCAGCCCAGTCAGAGCCCAGATACTGCGTGATCGACTCAATCAGAAATCGTCCTCCATCCTGGAAAATCCACAGTTCGTGGTGCAAGTGCAGCAGAGCCGCATAGTGAGCGAGGATAACAATCGCCTCGGGCCGGTGCAATGCAAGCGAATCCACGTATTCGAGTGGCACTAGAGCTGGCCAAGCGATGATTGTGCTAGGTGTAGGCTTACAGCCGTCTTTTGCCCCGTCAATCACAGACTGCAGACATTCAATGGCCATTCGATAGGTCTTTGTGAGAGAGGTACCGAGCTTTGCTCGTTCAATAAGAGACAAAAGCTTCGCTAGCTCGCCTCTGATGACTACCTCAGAAGTAGGGTTCAGGGTGTGGTTTGTTAACATCTGTCTTAGCGTTGAGTCATTCAACGAAGTGATAGCGGGTCTGGTCACAACCCGCAGGCCACGGTGTAAGGGGATATACCGCACAAACCTGTCGAGAAGTGTGTTCAGATCATCATCATGTCGGTAAGTGAGGGCGTCACAGAGCACATGTGTCCCGAGAACGGCAGAGAAAAGAAACATTTGCAGACAGTTTTCCGAGGTGACCTCCGGACACATATTATTGAATATAGATACGGCGTGTGTCTGCAATTGGGTTGCTTGTAGGTAGTAAAACTTCTGCTCTGACAGACGGACATGACTCAGATGTAATGCGGCAAGGGCCAGGACCTGGTTCATGAGATACGGCGCGGACAGGGAAAGCTGTAGAATGTCCGTTAAGGAGAGAGCTAGGTCTTCATTATGCGCCTTCAGTGACTCCAGCGTCGCCGTATTGAAAAATTGCAACAGTTCTATGTGAAGCATGTTGACGGGGGATTGCGAATCTACTTGATGTGGATAGTCATCGTTGTTCGTAGCAGATGTCTGCGCTGACGTGATTGACGCAGGCTGTGCTTCATTCGCAACGACTCGTTTTGTTTTCCCTACATATTTGCAGGGACGTTCGGAAGTCGAACAGTTGGAGCATATTGGATGCTTTTCATCGCACTTGAAGGCCGTATGTACATGTAAGCGAGCAGTGTGCAAAAGTCCAACTAACCTCGACATCGAGGATTTAGGAATGTAGTACCTTGATATGCCGTTTCTTGCATTCGAGACATCCATTTTTTGATTTTCTAGGACGGGGTCTATCCATGTCGAAGATAAATATGTGACAGGGAGATCTTGAAGACACGTTGGAATACATGTAGTTGGTGAAGCAAACAGTGCAAACATTGATAATGTTGCCTACAGAACTCTATTTAAGATCAAAAATAAAACGTGGCACAAAAATATACATGTGAATGAACAAAATACGAAATACGCTTTGATGTTATACAACATAAAGGAGTTTCACTTGTTTGACGCAGGGTATGGAGAATCGATGTGTTGTTCTTGATCTTTAATATTTCTTCATGTGACTCCTAGCAGCATATCGTTGAAATAATATTGAATCTTCACAGAGAAGACAATCATTCTCAACATCCATTCAATAATGTAAAGGATTCATTCCATCTGTGCCCGGTCTATGCTGAGCTTTTTCTCGCGTGTACGCAACCCTGAAGTCCAAGAAGTTTCCTACGGGATTCGGCCGGGTTTCGCTCTCTGGCATGCGAAATCCGGGGCTGAAGCTCTCAGTAGCATGAGTTCCTTAGTCAAAAGTTTGCTTGCATTTATTTATAAGCAACTTCTTTCTAGTATGGCAGCTCGCTTGCAGCAAAGGTACGAACCTCAATGAGAACCTTTTAGAGTGTTACTCCGACCTTTGCAACACGATTTCACTCTACAATGACTTCTGTTTCGATTCCACGGAGGATGAAAGGCGTTCAGATAAAGAACTTTGGCGACGCCGAAGTTTTGCAATACAAGACCGACTTACCAGTCGGTGTTCCGGGGCATGGAGAGGTCCTGGTCAAGAATGAGTTCATCGGCATCAACTATGTCGACGTGTTCGTTGCCCAATCTTCCCTGGCTTCATTCAATTTCTAAGCTGTGTAATCTCAGATACTGGCGCCGTGGAATGATGGGTATTCCTCCCAACGGAATAATTGGCCGCGAAGCAGAGGGAACAGTTGTCTCTACCGGCGCCGGAGACGTCAACAGTCTCAAAGTTGGCGATCGCGTCGTTTGGCTCGCCATGGGCGGCTACGCAGAGTATACCATTGTACCCGCCTCGCTGGCTTATCCAGTTCCGGCCGATATCAAACCTGGCGTCGCGGCTGCAGCGCTCTTACAGGGCCTTTTCGCCATGTCCCTTAGCCACAAAATTGTCCAGGTGAAAGAGGGGAATTGGGCGCTTGTACATGCTGCTGCTGGAGGTGTAGGGCTATGGTTGTGCCAACTGCTCAAGGCCCTTGGTGCAAAGACGATAGGCACTGCGAGCACAGCAGAAAAAATGAAGCTTGCAGTGGAAAATGGGGCCGATTACGTGATTAACTATGAAGAGGAAAAGGACCTTGTGAAAACAATTGAGGAGGTCACGGGCGGCTACGGGGTAGATGTTGTGTATGATGGTATTGGAAAGGACCAAACACAGAACAACGTGAATGTTGTAGCGAAGCATGGGACAATCGTTACTTACGGCGCTGCTGTAAGTTCATCTTGCTTAGTATGGTTGATCAATAATTTACTGACGTACACAGTCCGGATTCCCGGCTCCCATATCCCATGCAACGTTGACGGCGAAGAATATAAGGTTTGTAGGGCCTGCTGAAAGCGCGCTGATGAGAAATATCGGAGGCGGGTTTGAGAAGTGGTGTGCAAAGCTCTTTGATACCATCGCGAACGACAAAATAAATGTTGTAATTCATGACACATATTCGCTTTCAGAAATCGTGAGGGCCCATAAAGATCTCGAAGCACGGAAGACTACTGGGAAGGTTCTTGCGAAGCCATGAGCAGATGTTCAAGTCTAGTATTGACGACAAATTTTTCCACTTCATCGATTTGTCTACTTTTTGGATTCATGAAACACTCCTGGCGTATACTTGTTGAAAGTTTCCATTCAAGTCGTTGAGTTAGTATGATACGAGGTGTGGAATACTTGTGGCTAATCCAAGGTAGACTTCAGTCTTTGTATGCTCTAGTGCCATCAATCATGTATCGTAGCAGAGAACTAGATGTTTGACTTCTATGTCTTCGTCAAGATTTATAGAATGAATTCTTGGTATCAAAAGATGTTCAAATCTAAGACTAGTTACATCCTATCTTTCATGTATCCAGTTACACCTTAGTATAATGAGACCTCTCATACACCCCATCTACCCCTTTTTGTACTTGGCTTTGGGGCACTCAGCGGCTTTGCACCGGGTTTCTCGATACTACATCCACCTAGCAGTTCAGATTTCAATTGCCACAAAAGAGTAAACGCCAGCAGCGTAGAGAGGCAGATATAGGTCAATTCCATCGGAGTCAAAAATTTTCGATACAGCTTCCATGAACCTTGGGAATGATGGGTTTGTTCAACTTCTCTATGTCCATATCAAAGATACCTCTGTCAGCCAGAGCCGACGGCCTGTGCATAGCACTGGTATTGGGTAAAAATGCCCGGGAAATTGCCTCTTTCAACACCGCAGCATCAGCAATGTCGGCTGGGAAGTACCCATTAGGTTCAGCTCCTTGAAGAAGCCTTGATCCTTTTGGGATTTGCCGGCAGACCGGGAAGAAAAACATCAGATTCTTCGCACCACAAGAGACCATCCAGCCGGCGATTGCCTTACCCTGACTACCTAAACCACGAACAAGCACATAGGTTGCATTTACGGAATGTCGGCAGTGGGGCACTTGGTGCTAAGAGAGTGTGTCCTCCGGGGAACTTGATGACGATCTTCTCAATATGACATGATTGCTTCTTCAATATTTGCTGCGTCGAAAGTCGTCGGGTCTAACGTCACCCTTGATGTAGAGTTCTAGAAGAAGCTCAAGTGGGCGCGTGACTCTAGATTTATTATTGGCAGGAAACGAGTCACATCACCTCCGAGAAAAGTTCTGTTGTCTTTAACCATAGCACCGTCTGGTGCAACACATTTCCATGAGATGGACAGCAATTTCACAGACAAGGTATTAAGAACTAAGTCAACGCCCGAGTCACTCGTGGAATGTATGATGCCTTAAAGTGTGATATAAATCTGATAATTATCTCCTCACATTCTCCGGAGGTTGGATCTACTGAGGCATCGTCGAACCATCTGTATACGCTCGCTCTCGCGCCAAGACTTGCTACGGATCCTTATATGTCTGTGGGGCAGACCCGCCGCCATGGGGTTACACTAGCGGGTAATAATGCACGGCTATTCGGGATGATCTTCAGAGCGAGCGGGATTCGCGCAACTCAAACCAACTGCTGCATACCCAGGTAAACGACGCAGAAAAGTGAGTAACAAAGAATGTGACCCGAAGTCAAAGCCATGGGAAATCCCAAAGTTATTTAGCGACTTCACCGTCGGCTTCATCCTCAACCAACTCACTTCTACGCTTGTTGAAATGGCATCGCAGGAACTTCCCCAGCCGCAGTTCTCAAAGACACCAGATCCGAAGAGAGACGACGACAAAGGTCAACCACTCCGCCACCTCCTTTGAGCCTGACGGGCAAAGCCGCCGCAGCCATAGCACCCGCAGTCCCACAGAAAGAGCCCGAATGAGCTCACGACTTCCAGCTTTTCAATATCTTGGTCGCTGTGACTTTTGTTTGTTTTCTCATGCTTCTTGATGGGACCATAGTCAACGCAGCTGTTCTTCACATTACCGATGGTTTTGATTAACTAGATGACATTGGATGGCACGAGCAGCATATCAGCTGGAAGGTACGTGCTTTGAACCAAATACAACTAGGCACTAAACTGACATGCTTGCATTGCTGTCTTTCAACCACTCACAGGGAAGATTTATATTAAGTTTAAGCCCAAGGTATGTCAGTTCACAGATCCCTAGCTAACTCTCTTTTCCCTTGTAGATTCATTACTTGCTCAATAACTTTCGAGTTCAGTGAACCTTTCTAGCCTTCTTCTTTAACTTCGAACTCGGTTACTTGATTTGTGGGCTTGGGACCTCCTCTCCTATGCTGATCGTATGGCGAGTAATCGAGGCTTGGGAACTTCAGGCATCTTGGATGGTGCTCTGCTTATCATTGCTGAATGCGCCCCTATGCAAAGGAGGCCAAGTATGATTTATTGCTTTCCTAAACTTATACTGCTGAATAGTTGACATCATTTTACAACTTTGATTAGCATTGTTATGGGCAGTAAGTAAGTTGGGCCCGATTTGAGCCAGATGCCATCATTTACTAATAATTACCACAGTTGCGCAGCTTGGCCTAGCCAGCGGTCCATTATTTGGAGGGTTACTGACACAGTATGCGACCTGGAGATGGTGTAGGTGACCTAACTGAACTTCGCATTTGATGTTCGGGCTTGGAGTAGAGGTAATTATAATAGGCTTTTGCCTCAATCCTCCTATCGGCGGCCTTGTTGCCCTGATACTAGTATTTGTCCGCATTCCTCAACAACACCCCAGGCCCCCTCCCATGCCAGTGGTTCGCTCACTACATACAGACCTCGATCTTCTTGGCTTTCAATATTCTCTCCTGCTCTCGTTATGCTGTTGCTTGCTTCACGGTGGGGTGGCACTACATACGCTTGGAGCAGTTCTCGGATAACCGTTCTTTTTTGCGGAGCTAGCGCCACTTTTCTTGTATTTCTAGTTTCTTCAATGACTTTCGATTCTACAGGTTTCGTAAGATGGCCGGAAAGGAAAACCAAGCATCTCTTTGTTACCTCTTCACTCGGGTCACTGACATGGGGCTACGGAAACCATGCCTGTCTTGATCATTTCTTTGCAGACCGTGAACTGAATGTGCTCCTAGTTAAATTGCTGAGGAAGTGGGAGCTGGGGGGTGGCAGATCCAGTAAAAGCCAATTCTGAATCTTTGCGGAAAATGCCTGAGCTTGTCGTTGTCGTACCCGAAGACGCATAAGTGAAGCTGAGGAGCAGGAAGATGTGAAAAAGTAGAGATGTTTTGGCCGATCAGGATACTCTCTCATGACTCCCATCTTATTAATGAAGATTTCAGCAGTTCTGGTTATTTCATTCTTGATCCGACTTGACTGGTATAGTATTATTCTGTTCTGGCCAAGATAGCTCTCCTAGTGGTTTACACCATGAAATATTCGATGCTTTTGTGTATTCTTACGTAAAAATATGTATAGGCTCATGCAATAGAACGCCTAGATCTATGTACAAATTTATGAGCAAGCCTACTAGAAGTCTTGCAAGTATAGCTGCATATAAGCTTAGGTGCAAGCCGTGGATATTTCTTAGAATATGGTATCGGTCTGCCTAATTTAGAATAAGTACATTGGTCTCTCTAAGTTAAAAAAAATGGAAAAATTTATAGATAGCACAGATCACTGCTACAGAATCCCTAGGAACATTCTTATTAGCTCAAAACAAAGAGGGTTGAATATACCAATACCTTATACTCTTTGAATGACATATCTTCTGGGCTGGCCTCTAGCACAGGCATACTAATATTAGACGGTTAATAGAAGCTGACACAACATTGAGCTTGATTAATACAACTGGTTCATCTATACTCTTTAAACTAGTAACAAGACAACAAGTCATTTTAACGAAATCTTAACAATGATAAACATTCATTCCAGGATTCTAGCTGATAAGGACCTTCCTGTTTAGTGTATATGTCCTAGAGTCATAATCCCTAGGCATCGAGGATTGCAGACTTCTCGTAAATGATTTACGGTTCTAGAATGGATAAAAGCGTAATCGACACAGCTTCCACGATACATGGTATAGTGGCAAAGCAACCCTATCTGTATATCAGGTTACCCAACTGCTGGTAGGCAATTCGTTAACCAGTTATATCTAGAGCCGATTTTTAAGGTGAGAGTTAACGTACTCATTAAAGGAAACACGATGAAATAGTCTATAATTAGGGGTTTATAAGATCAGAACCAAGTGGAAATTCTGGCAATTACTAGATGCAGGACATACTGCCTGTGTGTCCTTAGTAGTAGTTCTGGATCTGACGAAAGCCACCAACCAGGTCGTCCGTATTGAAAGCGCGCGAGGCTGAAAGCTTCAAATTTTGCTGAATCAGCGCTTTGTAGGGAGTAACCATCCTAACACCTGGCGTTATAAAGTTGTGTTATAAACCTCTAGACATTAACTATCCAGAAGACATAAAAGGTTGGTTCTGAAATTCTAATATTAAGGACTGGGATCCAGAAGGTTTGAACCCCTCTGTGCAATCGGGTAGTTGGTTTCATATTAGCTCACTTAGCAGTAACCATTCAGCATATAATTCAAAAAGATTCCCCTGAGCTTACAGATCCAGCGCTCGAGGTCCGAGCTCACCGTGTCTAGACCTAAAAATCCTTGCACAGTCTATCTACTTTTTCTAGCTTTGCAACTAATTTGAATATCGACGATCCCATGTGTGCATAAGAAGACAACAAAACGTGCTTGTGATCTTGGGGAGAGCGACCTGATGTGATTCACGAAGGCGGTGCCTCGTAGTTGCCAAGTTTAAAAAAGACCGTTGGAGATATATTTAAGCACGAGATCGCTAAAATTACTTTTTCTATCCATCCCCTTTTAATTTTTCTTGACATTCCTCGGGACCTTCATTCGGGCTCTGTATCTGACTGAGCGATTTAGGGATTGTTCTGTAGATGATCTAGAACACGCCTTGGGAAAAAGTTAATAGACTGGTCGATCTCCAGGTTCTCCCAAAGTTACAAATTTTATTTATAAAGGCCTGCACCCACAAGGCTCCGTATTAATTTCTCACTCCGTCTGTTACGGCATAGATGCCCTCTTTATTTAACGGCTAGACGTGATACTGTCATATAAAAGCCGCACACTCCGTTTGACAACTTTCATTCACTTTCGCTCTAAGGAAGGCTCATCGTAAAATGTCTCGAAGCAGGACATTGATTTCAATGTTGTTTTGCCTGAGGCAAAAGTCAGGCAACGCAATCGACGTGCCTGGATGACGAGGCCGGCCGGTCTAGACTCTGCCAGGGACCAAGGCTCTCCACCAATCCAGCGCCTCCGCTTGGCACGGGTGGGCCCTGCCCAAAGAAGGACAGCGAGTTACAAATCTTATTCGGACTGTTCCTTGGGAAGTAGTTATAGAATATTGCTGAATTATATACAGAAAAAGTTCACAGATCGGAGGGGTGGCTTCGTTCATTGCGCATTCGGATGTAACGCAGTAGGGTGAGAACAAAATTCGTAAAATTTCACGTGACCTTTGCGGAGTTGTCTCAGCTCCGATGTGCATGGTCCAATGAGGTCTCAAACCCGGTTCTCAAAAAAAGGGGACAAGAAAAATAGGAAAGCTGAACAGATCACGGATAGACACAACTGCGTGGATGAATATTTGATTCCCCTGAGATTGGCCGCTGTTTGCCCGACAATTAGCCACGCAGGGGTAACTGTTGTTATTATGTAGCACCTGCAGAGTATCACCCACTGTATCTGTGATACCAATAATACCAATAATACTGCCACCTCAGCGTCGGCGTACCTGAATTCATGTGTACTAACCCGTATCGGGCTGTCAATGTTTCAGTCGAGGCAAGATGATGTGGCTATTTTGGGCTTAGCCACACACGCTCAGCCAATCACGCGCGGGATGATGTGGTCGACCCACGGCGCCTTCCATAATTAGAGCGTGGCTCTGGCCCGCCCAATTCCCCTTCTTTTCTTCGAATCCTTCCTTTCTTTCGTCTTTCGTTCTCTCTTCCATCAACCACATACACTCACTTCTTCTTCCAGACTTTCGTTTCTATTCATTCTTCGTCTTCGTCTTCAAATTTTTCCCACCACACTCACTTATACCGATTTTTTCAGTCATTTTCTTCTATTGTACACTCGCTATATAATCACCGCCCAAAATGAAGGCCGTCACCAACGCAGTCGCCCTGGCCATGGCCGTTTCGCCCGCCGCTGCCGCCTACAAGGGTTTCAACTACGGAGCAACAAATGACGATGGCTCAGCGAGACAACAATCTGATTTCGAAGCTCAATTCGAGACCGCCAAGGGCCTTGTTGGAGCCGAGGACTTCACTAGTGCCCGTTTGTATACTATGGTGGTATGTAACACTTCATCGCCCTAGGGAGAATGTTTATTACATATTTGTCGAGAGATACGGTGTATGAAATGTACTAACTTTATTACAGCAAGGTGACACTACAAACACCCCCATTTCCGCCATTCCCGCTGCTATCGCCCAGAACGTTACTCTGCTCCTCGGTTTGTGGGCCTCTGGTGACACCTTTGACAACGAAGTTGCCGCTTTGCAGTCCGCCATCTCGACTTACGGAGATGAGCTCGGTAGCTTGGTTGTCGGTATCTCCGTTGGAAGTGAGGATCTTTACCGTAACTCCGTCGCCGGAATCGAGGCCGATGCTGGTATCGGAAAGAACCCCAGCACTATTGTTGACGATATCAAGACCGTCCGATCCACCATTTCTGGCACTGCCTTGGATGGTGTCCCAGTTGGTCACGTTGATACTTGGACTGCTTGGGCCAACTCTTCCAACTCTGCCGTCATCGATGTCGTCGATTGGCTCGGTCTCGACGCCTATCCTTTCTTCCAAAACACCGACTCCAACTCCATCTCCAATGGCAAATCTCTCTTCCAAGCTGGCATGGACCAAGTCAACGCCGTTGCCGGTGGCAAGCCTCTCTGGGTCACCGAGACTGGTTGGCCAGTGACCGGAACCCAGCAAGGCCTTGCCATTGCTTCCGCCGATAATGCGAAGACTTACTGGGATGATGTTGGCTGCGGGCTTCTTTTCGATAATGTCAACACCTACTGGTACATCCTCCAGGATTACGGTGCCAGCCCTAGCTTCGGCGTCGTTGGCAGCGAACTCACTACCACACCTCTCTACAACTTGACCTGCCCTGCTGTTTCCACTTCGACTTCCAGCTCCGTTTCCAGCACGGCTACCGCTACTTCTTCCGTGGGCAGCAGCACCGGTACTGTCTCTCCAAGTAATCCCCCCTCCTCCTCTCTCCCCTCCGCTTCTTCCCTTTCTTCCCAGAGCTCTGGGTCTGACAAGACTCCAGGCTCTGCCACTTCTGCTAGCCCATCTTCTGTTACCCTCTCCGCCTCTAGCTCTGTCACTCCAGGTGCGCTACCTCTCTCCTCATCCCTGCACGAATAAATTACTAACTCCTTATCAGGCTCTGCTACAGTAACCTCCACTCCTACCCCTGGTGTCATCCCAAGCAACTCCACCGTGTACACACCTTCTGGCGCCACCACTCCTGGCTCGACCGGTACCAAGGCCACAAGCAGCCCTACCGTTTCTCCTTACACCGGTGGTGCCAGCAGCGTTTCTGCATCCGTCACCGGCATCGTTGCTGCTATCTTTGCTCTTGTTGTTGCCTTCTAAATTTAGAGCCTCGGTGCTGTTTGGAATGTTTGTCTAGTTAGTCAGCAAGACGAAGCAGGGTTTGTTTTATTGGAGAATGGTACTCGGGATTGGATTTGATTCGATTGTACTTATTTGATTGTTGTTTAATTTTGAAATATGTAACAAAATAGGTTGCCTTTTTGTTCGTTTTTCACGTAAGAATTTGCATTTCGATCGACATAGCAATAATCTCGGCTCAATCTTAAATTTGCAATCCGTGTGAGGTTGTGTACCTAAAGATGTTTTCGTGTATAAACCGAGACTGAGTTAAATTCGATTTAAAAATCGATCAAACACATAGACCCCTATATGTAATCAATCGCCGGTTCCTACATCGAACCCAACACTGGAAACCTTAAAATCGAAAGCATTTTGCCTAGTTCATCAACAGTAGGTATGTCTAGGTAGCAATTATAGTATGTACTATATAGGGTATAAATGTACAACAGGTCGAGCTCAATTCGACCGCGTGAATATATAGATACGCGAAAGCCAAGTACATCATTAGTACGCCGGGAAAAAAAAAAGGCAAGATACAAAAATATTCAAGGAACATATTCTGCGGCCCGCTGTGATGCGTAAGTGTGTATATATGAACGAGAAAATGGGTAGAAATAGAAAAAAATAAAAGGATGCAGGGTAACATGGAATATCGCTCGCGCTATGCGATTATGGGACGGATGAGGAAGGGGGGGGAACGGATATCCATCACAGAGCATTGAGAAATGACTCTTGAAAAAGTGGCGGAATAAATAGTTATTCCGGTCCTGATACGCATTTCCAGTGTGCTATGTGGTTTGGTGCACGCTCCGGCGATGTCAGTGCGTGGGCTTTGATGTTGAAACAGCGAAGAAATGCTCGTGTGCCTCGTTTTCCCGAAACCGCCTTTGTTTATTTTTTCCTTCTTTGACGGGATGCGTGGGTTTGCCTCTTGCGAGTAGATACCGTCTCCAGTAAATACACGGAGATCTTTATCCGTGCGACGTAAGCAGAAATTGTTGTTGTACCCAAAGGCCATCCAACTATTCATCGAGTCGAAAGAAAAACGAAAAGAGAAGTGTTATACATATCCAACCCAGACGCCAAACGAACCCGGAATAGTACTCAATGATTAGGCAACATGTCGAACGAGAAGTCGTGATATAATGGAAATAGCAATCGCCTTTTTTTTTTCCCCTTTCTTTCTTCATTTACGAAGAATGAGGCATGATGGGAATTAGAATTTCGCCATCTGGCAGGGGCCCACACCAGCCATAGTTATCGCATCGGCATTGTTCGAGGCGTGGGCAGCTGGGATAAAAGGTTAGCTGTACTTCAACATGCAGAGCCAAAGGAGACGAGAAGAAAAGAACGACGTACTCAACCGCTTCGCGTCCAAACAAAACATGCCAGATCTTCTCAACGGTCCAGCCAATCCCATAACTATCTGTAAAGTCTGTCGTGGCAGCCCACGTCAGAATACGCTCGTAATCCTCCTTCGGTCTGGATCGAATCTGGTCTCTCGTCACGACGAACTGGCCACAGCACAGATGGCCCACGACTTCCGGCACTTGGTCTATGGGAACTTGTAGCAGATAAGAATATAATTCGAAAAACTTGTCGGCCACATAGGCGTATTCATCATCGACCGGTTCGCGGTGGACGGGTACTAGAGTATTGGGGCAGCCGGGTATACCGGTGCATCGCAGATTTACGAATCCGTTGGCGTCGACTGATTCGTAGCGCAGGAAGCGCAGAGCTGTTGATGTTTTGGAGCCGAAGAGTTCGTTGTGCCATTGGTCCTCGTTGGCGTGTATGAAGATTGTGTAAGGAGAGAGTTGGTCATAGTTGGTGACGATATAGGATAGATAAGCGGCGGCCTCGTGGCCCTGGGTGGTTTGTGGAACGAGGAGTCCTTCCTCGGGCTCTTGATCCATCGTATAAACAAATGGTTTGCAAAGACTAGTTGAGGAAATGATAAGCATCAAGAGACAAACAAAGTATCATATGTGAAGGCAGAAAACATACTACTCTTCGCAAAACGGTAGAAGCCACTCGACGTTTTCGTCCCTCGTCTTTGCTACAACAATATTCCGATCATCGATGGTCCAATTCCGGCTCGGTACCATGAAGTGCGAGGATGTCGGTAGTAGCATGTCTGCGATAGCAGAAGAATGTTGAACGTCAGTGAAATGCACAGTCGTTGAATTCTTCGTTGTATGGCCTGTCTCACCTTGTGCAATATGGCCTTGTGACGGCAGCCAGTTATAAACCGAACAGAGATGAAGGAAGACACACGCCGCCACTAAACACTTCAGAAGTGCCGAAATGCGCAACCGTTGCGCCTGATCTCTGAAGGAGCCCATGGCGAGCCGGCTGTGTTCTGTCTTGCGTGCGTGTCTGTGTGTGTGTGTGTGGTCGTGTGAAGCTCTGTCTCTCCTCTCCCCTTCTCAGATTGTGTCTGATGGCGAAATCAACGCGGGCATATTATATGGAGAACAACAATGGAAAGGAGGCTCGGAAATGGGTGGATACAGGATCACATAATCACGCGACAAGAAATCAAAGAAAAAAGGACAAATATCGAGTACAGAGTCGAGCGTCAAAAGCAACGGGCATCGACGCTGCACATCAGACGCCAAGCAGTAATAGTAGCCATGGCTGGTATTGGCAAAAGAGCAAAAGCAATGGTGAAATGGTAATACAGAAGGAAAATTACGTACTGAAAGCCGAGACCCAAGATCTCTCCGACCCGAACAGGCTAACTCCGAGAGGCAAACCCATTCCACGACGTTGACTGGCAGCTGCTTGGCGCCAAGCCAGCGCTTAGCTGGGCTTTGCCATGGAGAGCGCCAATCAGAGCGTGCAACGGTGCCGCGGGTGGCACGGCGGGTGGGCCGTCTCATTGGTGGAGACAAAGTTTGTGGGGGCAGAGGGGAGGGCTTGCGTCATCCTCTCAGGGCTTGGCTGTGAGGTGGCGGGGTGATTGGCTGTGCGCGGCCCTTGGCGATGCAGAGCGGACCGTCCGGTCCAGAAGGGACGAGACGTGGCCTTGGCGCGTGTCAAGCGTCTTGTTTGGGAGAGCCTTGGCGCTTGGAGCGGCGGCTAACACTCTCGGCGCAGCGCCGTGCCGCGCTCTGAGTGGTCGGCAGTAGGGACGATGGCACGTATTTATTTTCGTATTTTCCCTGACTCAGGCAGGAATGGAATGCTGTGATGTCGTCTCGGTGGATGATCCGGGCATCCCTGGACGTTGTATTGAACAATTACATACATGCAAGCCCAAACATACGCTACCATACGCGATCCGGCCTAGTCTACGAGGATCTACCAATTTAGCAAATTGCCGACCAATCTAGTACTTCCTCATTCTGTTCCTAGCGGCCGTCTCGCTGACTTGTGGGCCTCTTCATCCATCCCCGATATTATCCTTCCCCGGCTCCACCCCTTAATCCTGCTGTGATTCTAGTGACACTGGACTAAGTTATCCATCTGTCTAACTACCCGCCGTGCCACCATTTCGACTTGCTTTGATCTTCATCACCCGTTTCAACATCTCACTGTCTTAATCCCGTTGGTTTTTCGTCTTCTCTCTTGTCCACTCTTCCTCCCATCTATCCAGCTGGGTATCATCCATGGTACCAAAGCCTCTTGTTTGTTAATGACCTAATCTTGATCCTTTGATTTGTTGTCATTCATTGTTCTTCGTTTTCGTTTCTTTTATGCTTTTGCTTTCGGCGTCGATTCTCTTTTTATCAAAAAAGCATTACTCGCTCTAAATGTCACAGTATCTCTATACTCGCTTGCGGGAGGGTGTTGCCAACGCACTGCCCTGGCACAGCGGAGATGCGAGTGTGAAAGGCGATCCTCGGAAAACCGTCAAATGGATCGATGTACGTTGACCCCTCATCCGAAGGCAAAATCTATCGTCTCCCTTTCCTTGTATCCCTTCTATGGGCGTGCTAATGAATTTCCTACTCAACAGGGCCTCCGTGGCATCGCCTCGTTCATGGTCGTCATGACCCATCTAGCCCGTGCATGGGATTACGACCTCTTCTCGCCCCGAGATAATCCAGATGTACCGCCCCGAATAATGCAGCAAATGGTGCTGCGGATCCCGTGGCAGGGCCGTATCGGTGTCACCGTCTTTGCTTTTCTCACTGGATATGTCTGCGCTCTGAAGCCCATGAAGCAAGCCCGCGCCGGAGATGTTGATGGGGCCTTCACAACCGTCGCCAAAAGCGCTTTTCGCCGCCCGCCTCGTCTCATGCTCCCAGCTACAATTGCGATGTGTATTTCATGGACCCTAGCCCAGTTTGGCGCCTACACTGTTGGAAATCGTTGCGACTCGTCATGGACCCGCGATGCGTCTCCCGATCTCGAGGATGCGCTGTGGAAGGAGGTGGTCCGCCTGTTCAAGAACTTCTTCGTCGCCTGGACTAATACCGACTATAATGTTCACATGGTCTATGACGAACATCAGTGGGCCCTCCTGCCGCTGCTGAAATGCTCCATGCTGATCTACATCGTTTCCTTCGCTACCATTCTCTGCAAATACCGATGGCGACTGCTCATCTGCATTCTCCTGATCGCTTACTTCCACCAAGACCCAAAACTTGACCGCGAAACCTTCCAGATTCAAGCTCTATACGGCATGATCTTGAGTGATCTTTCCTACGAGCACGGATACAAGAGCTTCTTGCAGAACGCAACCTATCGCTGGCCGCGTCGCATCGTAGCGTGGGGTCTGCTGGTGGGTGGACTGTATATCTGCTCGTACCCCGGCGAGCATCCCGAATGGGCCGACTGGTCACAGCGCATGTTCGATATAGCAACCTATATTTTCCCCCTTGGTAGCAACTACGGCAAACGCTGGACGGCGGTCGGTATCGACATGATCATCATGTCGATTTTCTTAACTCACTGGTCCAAGGAATTTCTCTCTAGCTCGCTTCTTCTCTGGCTCGGCAAGCAGAGTTTTGCCGTCTATCTTCTCCACGGCACGCTGTTGCGCACTGTGTTGGTGTGGATGATCTATGGTATCACAGGCCAGCCCTGGGCTTGGACTACAGATATCGATGGGTCTCCCGTGCCTCCGGAATGGCTGCCGCGCCGTGCACCATGGGTATTTGCCATCAGCATCCCCTGCTGGCTTGCCTTACTCTACACCTGCGCCTCGCTGTGGACAAACCATGTTGATCCATTTTGTGCTCGTCTGACGCAAAGGATTGAGAATACCTTTTTCGAAGACAACACTGAGAAAGAACAGCATCTAATACCTATGAGTTCACGGCCAATGCCCATGTAATATTTTTCGATTAACGAGAAGCGACATCATTATTTTTTTTGCGCGGAAAATTATTTTATTGTTTTTGTTTGCATCGGGTTCTTTTTTCAGCCTACTAATCCGGTCTTTGATATTCGTTATCTTTCATCCGGCATATATATATATATATATGTGCATGTATATTTTCTGCCTTTGAGGCAAGTCTATCTTTTGGTTTACTTTCATTTTGGGTTTCAAGGTTCTCGATTCGGGAGTTTCACAGCATCAAACTTTGCTCTTTGTTTTTGTTTGATTTTCTGACGTTTCATACTAACAATAGGTTCATTGATTTCCTTACAACCTATCATAAACATTTGTTGGGAGGAATACTGGCCACCAAAGCATACCTTGCATGCATAAAGCGGTTTGTCTCACTATTTAGCTGTACATATATATATTGGAAAAAGAAATATCTGCATATCTTTATTTAAAAATAGATTCAAACGGCTCATATGCTCCAAGCATTGAAGTGCAATATCATTCGTCAAGCCATGCATATATAGCCCACCAAGCTGAATGACTCGAGGCGTCGATGCGACGCCACGTAGTTTGACAAGAGTCTTGATCGATCCAGCCACCCATACGGATGACTCCGGAATCCGAATACCCAGCCAAGCATGGGCCCCAAGACTCAAGAGGCTTGGGCTCAGGGGCCGTATTTCGATTGCCGAGTAAGTTTATGTTGTGTAATTTATTACTCCCTTTTTTTTTTTTTTTTCTTGTTTTCATTTTTTGCATAATTGGGATGTGGGATGCGACCCGCAGCCAAGATTTGATAGTTAAATGAGCACGATCAGAATCCTTCCGAACGACGGAAAGAACTGCGGCTTTTTGTATTTTATCGTATTCGGTAGTCGGTCAAGATCAATGTATGTATTGTACCCTTGGCACATGGAGATGGCGTTGCGGGGAGCGCGCAAGTGTGTAGTTCTGCAGGCTAACCATCGGTCATTCCAGGAGCATCTTCGCTCTTCTTCAATGCTTTCGTATGTCTACTCTAGTTCAATTGCATAAGACATATTTATTGCTACATCCCAGTTCGTGGAGGCTCAATTGCTACTGATATATCACCTGGGGTAGGATAGCAAAGTAGAGCAGAATCGCTCACGTGCCCCCTCCCCATTCCTCGGCCGGAAAGCCGGTGTATATGCTCACGTGATATCCGGTAACCCTAATTCACTCTTAGTGCGCTGGCAACAAGAAACGCACTACGCAGGCAGTGCCTTGGCACGATTCTATACCATCGCACGATAGGGCACATTGTGTTGTCGTGAATACTCGTCGATCGATTCCAAATCCAGTCTACGGAGTACACGTCGAGCGCACTCCGTCCTCCGTACCCTGTAGTAAATATTGAATAGCGCTGGCTGCCAGGACGGCACTAGGGTTTCAGAATTTAGCCACCTTGACCTTCCCCATACGGATTGGATTGCGATTTCCAGACTCTCTCTCTCCGCGAACCTGGGATTAGGTCGTGACCCGAGCGCCTCGAAAGTTGACGCTAAAGCCTATGACCAGATAAATCAATGAGTACGGAGTCAAGATTAGAGTAAACTATGTGCAAAACATCTTAACATCGATATAGTTATGATCCAAAAAGTCAATTCATAATCATAATAACCATGTGACTGTTCGCTGATTCGTCCCGACATTAACTACATCAAGCCATGGCGCTTTTCCACCGGCAGCCGTCGCGACAGGCGTACATTGCTTACGACGACTGCTTACGACAACCCTCGGGCCGCAGTTTCAGGTGCCTATTTACCTATGCGAGAGGAGGATAGAGCACGTCTGTCGTCCTTGGCTTTGCTATATTTAATACACAATATAGAATTAATGAATTAGAGTAGCACTAAATAAACCTTAACTGCCTGCAATAGTAGACTATATGCCGTCTGTTTAAGTATCTGTCGTGCAGGTATCTCTCACGTGTCGACCACGAACGGGCTTCTTCAAACTCCGAGGCCGCCCTTTTTGTTGCAGATAATGAAACAATGCAGGGGTGTGCTAGATACAGTATACGTAATTTCAATACAGTGAAATTAATATGTATCAAATTGATAAGAATTGGTGAAAACAAAATAATAATTCACAACACGGAAGAATTCTTTTCTTTTTTTTTCCTTTCCATTCCGTTCCTTGTCAATGGTGGCCTAGACCATCGATTGTAGGTACTGCAGGATGTTGGCTTAAAGGTCGATCAGGCCTCTCACGGCCCACAAGGTATACGTAAGATAGTTTATCTCTTTGGGGCTGGATCGACAAGCTTCATTGTAAAAGAGCGATCGTCTTGTTACACACGCGAGCTTTCGTGTTGGAAACGAGATGGCTTTGTCTACGTATTAGTATCTGCGGGCGGATTTGAACGCCACCTGCAGATATACGTAGGTACATGTATTACATGCTGGTTGTGTACCGGTGACTATCGTCTATGTCTATTGAGATCTTGTCTGATGCGCTTCGTATGTACTATTGCCATTGCTAGTGCGATCGGTGAGATAGCCTGATGCAAGGATGTCTGGCGTCTAAAAAACAATGCATAGTCATATTGTGAATGACTTGTTTAGCATTGCCCAAAAAGGAGAAAGATGATCCTGAACACTCATTCGTCAAGGCTATACTATGCTATATCAATTCTTGAAACGTTAGTAGATTATATTGCAATCAGTCCCACGGGTAGAGTTGTGATTAAGCCCTAATTTTATCCTGATCTCCCAAGTTCGTAAGCCATTTGAAGATCAATGGATACTTCTGTACGTGTATATATATTAAGCGTTGGAGGCAGGTTTCTATAAGCCGAAAGAATATGTTGTGTGCTTGAACATTGAGATTAGCCCTCAAACACCTGAGGTATCATGAAGGCAGGCACCTTCTTTCCATATCAACATATCAAGTAGGTCAAGAGGGAATCGTATACAAGTCATTCACTGCTGACTGCAGTTTCTTTTTTATATCTGTTCTATATCCTGTGTCATCGCTCCACGCACTCTTACCTGACCTGGAGAGATGCACTGTAGGGCTTCTCATGTTTTTCTCGCAACGTTTTTAACCTTATACGTGTAGTGCATATGCCAAAACCCCCCTAGTACCAAAAAATATACAAAAGATGAAGAGCTAGTAGATACGCATCCGATCTGGAAGCCCTGCTTCTCGGCCAAAGCCAAAAATTACCTAATACGGTAAAAGTGAGGCACAAGTTTTCTTGCTCGATTATAGAATTTAGAAGTTTAAGAAAATGAAATTGCGCTGTATTAATAAATAAACTAAAAACAAGTAATGTACAGTTAGTAATTAGGAGTACGGAATCTATTCCCTGTCCATGAATACAAATAATCTACCAAATAGACGCATTTCGCTGTAGGCCAAAGCGTATGTCATCGCACACACACACGACCAACATGTCGTATCAATACCAACTGGCTGACAAGAGACAAGAAGTTTCGTCATTGAATAAGAGGTTTTGTCGGTCATGCGGTAACCCGATTAATGTTATATAAACTGCCATGGGCGTACTTCAACCGTACAACTATACCTGGTGCACTGGTACAGAAGAATATGACGCAGAATCCTTTCTAGAATGACCCTTGAGACTCGTTAAGGCCTTTCGCAGGCTAGTCATGCGTTTTGGTGGGCGTTGCAGATTGTCTTGCTGATAGAAAGGGTCATTTTTGAAATCCTCATCCGTCAATTTCTAAGAATGAGTTAGCAAGCAATTCCCAGTAATAACTTCAGATCGTAGATGAATTACCTCCCCGGGGGCTCGTGGAAATCTGCCTTCCCTTTCCACCGTCATATTGTCACCCTCTATGTAGTCATATGTTTGTCCCTCTTTATCCGTCGTTCCAGGAGGGTAAAAAGCCACACCATCCAAAGGACGATGGCGGCTCACACTGTCGATAATCTTGTACATCGGTGTGGCTCGTAGCGTCTCTTCGTTCGAGTTCTTTACTGCCTCGAGCGGGCTTCGTTTGCTGCAGACATTCCTCTCGGGATAGACGGCATCGTATGGACCCTCATGGTGATACTGCATAAAGTTCACATTGTCCAGTTGATCAATGATATCGGGATTGACACGGTTCCTACGATGGTTGTGGTGGCGGTGCGTCTTTCTGCGCTGGATATCTTGTTGCTGCTTCAGACTCTCGCGGAACTCATTTCGGCTATATTCAATGGCCGAGCCTGGCACAGAGTTTGATCGACGGCGTTCCAGGGACAGAGAATCGACTCGGTTCCGAAAAGGATTCTTGTCTTCGAAGTAGAAGTGATTGCCCGGGCCGTCCATTTCATTAGGTGTAGGGCCGTATAGGGGGGTGAGAATATAATCGACTGCCTAGTGCAGGGTGAGTCAGGGCTCGAGACGAAGCAGATTTCGAGAAAAAATAGCACTCGAGGACGTTGGATGGCACTGGCAGAACAAGAGGGCTAATGGGAGGAGAAGTATGAAGACAGAGAATGTACAGAAGAAAAGGTCCAGGAGTCGAGGGACGAAGAGGACGCATTAAGGCAATCAAAGGCTATCCGGCGCATCCACAGATGACGTTGATGATGTACGATGGCAGCTGCCTTATGGACTCGCACTTACCCAATCGCCCATGTTGCGCTGTCGGTCCGATGACCTCACCTGTGCCTCCGAATCAGGACTAGTGCGTGCACGCCAGCCGTGCCTTCCGCAACCGCCTGGGCCGTTGCCAAGCCCGCGGTCTAGAACGATGGTTCGTGGCCTGGTTGCCTCAGGCAGCAGATATGTATATGTATTCGTTCGCTGGGAAGAGCAGATGTCGCTGTAATCGGCGAACACTGGGAGTTGAGAGCTGGAGGTGTAATCTACATGGGAAGACCGTCTTTTAAATTCATCGAGTGCGGTTGACAACGTCACTAACAGTCATTGTTTCCAGCATACTGAAAAGCTTAGCTTTCGACGTCCAGATCAATTGAGCAAACGTCAGTGTTCCTCTTCTATCACAGACAAGGATGCTCTCTACTCATGAATCATTGTATGATGCCGTTGGCCTTTAAGGCTCGAGATATAGAACCTAAAAATCGAGATTACGCGAATCACAACCAGTCTCATTGATGCTCGGGATTGCTACGCAGTATCTCGCCAAATAAAAGAGAGAACAAAAAAGCCATAGCGTGATAGATCTGATGCGAGTCTTGAGCTCTGGCATCTGCCAAGGCTGGCCCAAGTTTTTAAAGTGAATGTCTTGGCATAGTTCCCCCCCCACTCTTGCATCCGGCATCTCCTTTTCTCAATGACCAATGCGTAGCAAACCCAATGCAGTAATGGGCCTTGTCGAATACCTAGACTCAGCTACAGAGAGTGAAGCAGAAGAAGAACCCCTGCTTGTTGATGCACCGCCGAAGAAAAAACCACGTCTGAACGGTGATGCATCGAAGCGAGCAACGCTTCCTTCACTTCCCACCGCTTTTCGTGACCTCTACGCCTCGAATATCCGCGTTAGTGTTCGAGACGACCCAAACCTACATGGAGGTCGTAAGCGCGTCATACCTCATGTAGAGGGCAATTGGCCCACTCACATTTACCTTGAATGTAACCACACCTTGCTAACTGCTTTTGAGTGTTAATGTTAACTCTAAGCCCTAGGGTACCCCCGGCGAGACGAGCTAAGCATTCTAAGCAATGTGCTGTCGAAATGTGGAAGACGATTGAGCCATGATGGACCCCAAATTTGCAGTCTACTGCATAGCGATCTCGGCGTTCAACTGCCATTGCATATCTCGTTGTCTAGGCCAGTGGTTCTCGCCACTGACCAGAAGCAGCCCTTTATAGAAGCATTCAAACATTCGATTCAATCATTAAACACAAAGCCGTGCGTCATATATTTGCTTTACGACGGACAAACAAAAACGCATCTAACCAGGAAATAGGTTTGCTGTGCTACCCGACACCTTAGCCTGGGTATCCAACTCTGAAAGAACACGTTGGTTTTTGGTTTTAAGGCTCGAAAAGCCACTAGGTGACGAATTGAATAGATTGCTACGCGCGTCCAACCAGACATTAGCCTTATTCGGGCAGCCTCCCCTCTATGCCACCGAAAAAAACTCTTCGTCAGAAAAGAAAACAAAACAGCGCCAAGAAGAAAATTTGACTGATATTGAATGTGAAAACTTTACAGAGCGTTTTCATATCTCTCTGGCATGGAGTCTCACGGAACCGCCGTCGGAGCAACAGCAACGAGTTGCGCGCGTTGATCTTGATAGTTTAAAATCATTAGAGATACCCTTCAAAAGCGTCAAGGCAAAAATTGGCAATGTTGTACATAATCTGGACTTATGAGAAGATGGTTCATAAGAACCACCACTTTGACTACGTACATAAATTTCTCTGCGCGTTAATGTAATATTTTGAGAGTGGGACTGGGTGCCTTGGTGCCACTTAAGTGAGGCATCAACACGCGCTATAGCCCCACATAAGCTTTGATAGGCAGCCGCAACAAAGTTCTTTTTCAACTGCAGCTGCAGTCTTCTGCACATTCTCGCTCACAATATATATTTTGTGGTGCATAATGTCGCACATTCAGATACCGCCAGTTACACCGGTTAGTTGATCCTTTTCCCTATTCTACTTTGACACTTGTACTAATAACATCATGGTAGGGAGACCTATTGAAATTCCAAGCTGATCACTTCTTCGGCGCAAACACTTCAAACATTATTCCCATCGGTCATCATGGCGTATTTCAAGCGCAAGGTGTAGCAGAGGAAGCGCTAGACGAAGAAGCGTATTACGAAGGTGACGGTGACTTGGGATACTACAAAGACGGGGTAAAACGGACGTTGACCGACGAACAAATCAAAATCTTTCGTCATAGTGAAATCCACGCGCTTTTGCGTGAAAGACAGCGACTGCGTGAAGAACAGGAAGAGGAGGAAGATGAAGGAGAATATGGTGCGGGTAGGAGGTTCAATGGAGAGAAGCTCCATGCCAGCATCTCTGATTCTCGGGCAAAATCTAAAACCGGTAGCCGCAGCCATCCCGACTCGACCGGTCTTGCGGCTACTCGAAAAAGAAAGTCTGCTGAGTATAACGAAAGCCGAGACGTAGAAACCAACAGGAAAAGGTCAAGAGACGGGATTTATGAGGATAGCCGTTCCAATATGAGCCCTTTCAACAATGATAATGAAACAGCGGAAAATGTGGAACAGAATATGTCCTCGCGGGTATTCAACTCCGTACGAAAGATTATTTCGTATGCGGAGGACTGAAACAAGATAGACAAAGAATGGAATTCTCAGTATGCGGTAAGTAAGCCACAATTTTTGTTTTCTTTTTCTCTTTTCTTTTTTAAGACTTCAACCCTTGATATGATGAGAACTTGTATCGTCATCCTTAGTCGGACGCTATACCACCAGTCCCTTGATGTTTTACATCCTGGTATTGTATGCTGTGTATTGCTATGACGAATTTTAATCTTCTCTCTGACATATGCCAACACCCCCATTGTTTTTGTTCTAAAAAAAAACATCATACCCCAAAAAATTATGACTCCCTTAGCTAACTTGAATAACAACCAAAGCATTCTATCTCCTACATTAAACTACCACTTCAAGGACACGGATCCTGGATGACCATCACCATCATTTTCGCATCAGGACTTTCCCAAAAGCGGTTCCAAAGAGCCTTCGGTCGCGTTATGAATACGAATCACTGGGCTATTTCGGTCGAACTCCATCTGGAAATTGGCATCCTATTCCGGATAAATCACCCTCTGCGTTGCTCGGGATATCGGGTTGGCTCTCGCAAGGCACAGGGTCGTCCTGTTTCTGGTATTCATCGGCACTACAAGATAGATATCACTCAGTCTTCGACTCCGGACAGCAGGGTGGCTATCTTACTTGTCATCTGGATTGGCAACATCTGATCGCGGATATTTCGGCTGAGCGTCGTCGGAAATACTTGTGGAAGAACGTCGTAGACCACCACTATTAGACAGTCAGAAAAAGAAACAAATGAGGTAAAGCATAGGCATGTCTTTAATACTTTTGCACAGGCTTGCCGGCTTGCTGTCCTTCATTTGTAATGGCCATGGCTCCCAATAAATTGAAGTTTTTGATCTCCGTAGCTAAGAAATAACTGAACTTCTCGCTTTTTGTGCTGGAGGCCCTTGAAAGCAGAATGTGGTATTCTGAAGTTGCCGCGAGAAGTGGTTGAGCTCGCTATTTATACCTTGGTCAGGGAGCTCGTGGCATGAATTACACCTCTCCTTTTCTTTCTCTTTCTATTTCTCTCCGTCTTTTAGTTTAAAGTAGAAAGGCAGGGGTGCCTTCTTCTGATCGGATGAAGAAATATCATTGCTTTTTTCTTTTTGCATTTTCACGCGCCCCCCTGTAAATCCTAACGCAACATCCCTGTGAAGAAAAGACAATTTCATTGCAAGTTGCTTTCAGCTCGAGCAGCGATAAACCTTGTATTTCACAGGAAGAATAGCTTAGTGTGCATATATATGCGCCACCGTCCTGGTCTAGCCTAATCACTGGACCTCATTGGTTGGGTGCTTGTATGGAGTAAGGCACTAGAAAGAAGCACGAGCGAAAGATACGTAGTATAAAGTCATATCAAAATCAGCCTCAAGCTTCAGACAGACCTTAGATATATGGGCGCGGGTGTGTGTGCGAAAAAAGAAACGGATCCCCTTGAGTAACCACGAAGCAAATCGGAATGTGGTCGTAAACTTCCCCGAATAATGATGTCGATTGGGCAAATTTCGGGTTTTATTTCGGTTGGTCGCCGACTCTCAAAATGGCGAGACATCATACTTGAGTTAGAGGGTATGTTCTTAGTCTCTCTCGCACAGACCTCTCCCATCCTCTTGTTTTATGCAGAGAGCACACGAAGGGGCTAGCATTGACGATACTGAACGGGAACGGGATTCCGCTATTCCGATGCAAAAAGCAGAAACAAAGGAGGATGGACTGGCCCAATGTATTTAGTTCCTTGTATAGAGGACGGAGTGCCGTGTAGGATAAGCCAGGAGAGCGGCAAACGTTACTCGAAAGGCCTGAAACTTCGAATGCGCGCAGTTCTGCAGCTAGCTAGCTACCATGCATGTTCATGCATTTAGAATCGCGGCGAATTCCCCCTTTTCATTTCATTTCATTTCATTGCATTGCATCGCATCAACGAGCAAATGCGGTTTCTTTTCTTTTTCCCCTCTTCCTTGGTTTACACAGCATGGTTAGTTATTGGTTTCAGCTGCAAGTCTATAGTCGAAGCATAGCACACATATCATCATCTTTGCCGACGAATTTGTCATGTTTCCATATTTGCTTTGAGTGCTTTTCCCTTTTCTTCCTTGGCAAGTTGACGACAACATTGGCGTTGATAGATCAACTTGGATTGGACCAATGGGAGAAACACTTACCTAGTAGGGTACTGACAGGCAACTGAAAGAGGTGTCAGACGAAAGATGTCCAGGATAATTATGTTCTCATAGGATCGGGCCTAGTTTCCAATCAGCCCATCATTTATCTCGACGGATATCCTTTTCCGAGCGCAGTATGAGGCATTAGGATCGGGACAGACATCCTAGTCGCACCGTATGTACCCACCGCTCTTTGTTCGGTCCCAGGAAGAATAATGCATTTCATCATTTACCCTCGCGCGGGCGTGTGTGTAAGATTCAAGGAAACCCGCTGTCTTCCCTCTTGTTGACTTTAGCATTGTCTCCTGGGGTTTCGTGGCTTGCTAGCGTTGAATCCATGTATGTACCTTGGTATCGATCGGGCGACAGGCGGGTTAAGATGTTCTCGTTCCAAGGTTGGACTCCGGATTGGTTGGCAAACAATAGACGGACTAATACTCGGCGTAGAGACTAGAGAGTAGACGACATGTGCGGCCATGCTGTTAAATAAATTATACGTAGCGCTGGTTTTGTCGACTCAAGAGAAAGTCCGGCATGTCGTCGCCCGCTGGCTCGAGTGAAGCAAGGGAAGGAAGGTGGGAGCCTCCAGCCTTGCCTCCCTCCTTAACTTCGCCGCTCGCATTCTTTCCTCTCGGCTTTGAACTTGGAACCCATGCGTTGTTCGATGATAGATTCTCTGCCGATGCAATAATGGAAGTTTCGTTTGATGACAGCTATTTCTTTTCACATTCTGCTGCTGCGGACTCTGCAGTAGGAGGTAAGCGATCGAGTGAGAGCGTCGTGGGCACAAAACAACAAGCGCCCATATCCCCCCTGCCGGACAAGATTGAGCTGACAGTTCGATTTAGAATCCAGGTGAACTCGTTCATGCCCTCTTCTGACTCAGACTTAGTCACCGACGCCATCTTCAACCTCTGTTCACGAGCAACGTTTTGAGAGCGCAGCGTGCTGACGGATTTCCTGGGGCCAGCCCCTTCGAGTTGTACAGCATACAAGATCCTGTTTCAGGAGTGTACGTTCAGCCTTATCTTACGTCTGAAGACAGCTATACTGCTGGATTCGCCTCAGCTGCTCTTAGTCTTCAGCTGCGCAGCGTACCTGAAGTTGCTTGTTGTCGGGGTGCTTAATTTGGCGCGACGAATTGAAAACGACTGGCTCGATATCTTTCACGCTCCATAGAATCGCGCGACGAAGAAGGGGGATTGGAGGCAAACGAGAGAGAGTATAAACCCCATATTTGTTGAACCCGATGACCTGCTCTCGTGAGCTTCCTCGATACCGCCCTAGTTGTCAAAGCCTTCTTCGGACAACAGTACTGAAAACTTGAAAAATACAAAGAAGTTATCTAGGAGATAATGATGCATCTATTCTTTTAGACCATCTCTCTGAATGGTGGTTTGATTAGCTGTTTCATGTCATCCTAGAATCCTTGCCGTTGTGACCACGTCGGTTGTGTCAGACAACGTCAGAATAAACTTGGTCTAGACTCTGATCCTAGGAGTTAGCGGCATGCCTAGGATTTACACAGACCGTGCCTGTTGATTGGAAGAGGAATGCCATCCATTGGCACAAATCATGTGCCATTAGAGAAAGATATGACCAAGACAAACACTTCCGCTCATTTCACCAATGGTTTGAGATGGTCAAACCTAGTTTGTTACTCACCATTTACCGAGAATTGATGGACGAATCATCTGCCAGGCGAAACAGATGAAGTTCGCGAAAACAAAGTGCTCCTCACACATGCAAGGAAGCTCGGCAGGACTGTATCATGTTTTCGCTATGGGGTAATTGGTATATCATCGTCTGGGGCAGGAGGAGATTGTTCGTGTCATCTTTTGCATTTTCGCGTCTTCGGAGGCCGTGGAAATGTCGGTTATTTATCACCAGCACTTGCGCGGACGAATAGGAGGATGGAAGGACACGCTAGGGCATCAACGCATCAAACCGACGAGCTGCATTATAGCCAAGGGAGAGTTACTTAACCTGAACACGATGGATGCTTTCGATTCGTTGGTCTGGTCATCATTTCATGTCAAAAAGCAATATGCTTTGACTAGCTGACCCCTACCGGGATCGGTTATACCTAATTCAGTTCTGCTAATCTATGTGCAGACAAATTCTCGTGGGAACATTCGCCGGATGACCTAGAATCTGCAGCTACTATCAATTGGGCCCGAATAATCGTATCACCTATTGAAATTCGGGGGGCAGCCTTACGGGTGACTGCAGAGCGACAGCCTAAAGGCAATCCTACTACCGTGCGAAGCTCCGTGACGCCCCTTTGTTCCAGATTTCGAGTGGATACATCACATCTCCGTAGGAAAAGCTGTTGAGCAGTTCAAACATGTCTGAAAGTGTGTATATCAGTTACAGTGACCAGCGCCTGATGAAAATGACATATAAGCAGCTGAGCATTTTCATTAAAAATGAGAAATCTTTTATTCAAGGCCCTTCTGAACTTGATCTTATTTAACTGGTTTTCGCTCAACTTCCTAGAATTATGTGGAAAGCTCAACAGTCGTCGACACCACGCGTTAGCGCAAAAAATATCGACCTGCACATAGCTATAATGAATGAGCAAGCTGTTCAAGCGGCCGCCTATTCCTTACAAACAGAGATGTGGACGGGTAAACACCAGCGCTCTCAAGCGCCTTCGACTCCGTGTTCTGCATCTCTTTCACCACACTTTCTGGATGCTCAAAATGATGATGTCCTCAGTCAGGACTCGGACTCAACTGCCTGCTCGATGGCAAATACGCTAGAGTGGAAAGAACACCTTGATGTTGAGATACTTGCTCCGAACAGATACGAGCCAGATGTATGCGGTACCGGGATTGTTGGGGAGCTCTCTGTTGCTTCCAAAGATCCGAAAGCTAATGTTGAAGGGGATTTCATGGCCTTGAAGTCTGTAGGCAGGGAGAATTCGTCGGAAACTTTGAAAACAAACCTCATAATCGATGTGCCAACCTCAAAGTCGATTGATGATGTCGAAAAGTGTGCACCTAACTCTCGGGAGACCACCGGGCCTCTCAAGGAACAATTACTTGCAATTATCTCAAAAGTCGGCACCCTAGAGGCCAACGTCCCTACCATCATGGCAGCTGATTATGCGAAACTTCAACAACGCGTTGCTAAGCTAGAGGCGGAAAAAACAAGCCTTTCAGATAGACACGAGGCCCTTTTCGCCATGCGAGACGCAGACGTCGCAAACCTTGTCAATGTTCGATCCCTTTTAGCCAAAGAGCGTTGCGAGCATGAAGCGATACTCAAACTCCGCGACGATGATCTTCAAAACGTCATCGAATTACGCAACAAACTTGCACAAGCAATATGGACTAGTAGTAACTCGCAACCCGCCACTCCCAATAAGGACAAACGTCTGGGCAAACGTCAGTCTACGTCTCAGAGCAACGATCTATGGCAAGCCGCAAAGACAGCTGCTCTGGAACAACGCGTGCTAGAATTGGAGTCGGCAAATGCGAATTTACGTGAAAAGCTTGAGCATTTCAATTCCGAGATATCACGAGCAGGTTCTACAACAGACCAGGCCGTCCATAAGGCAGCGGGCGAAAGGTACACTGGAACAGATGCACTTTTCGAGGTAGCTCTACGCCAGCGTGAACGCTTTAATGCTGAGACTAAAGAGTTAAAAGCCGAGAATAAACGTCTGAGGGAGAAATTGGATGACAAAAATGCCCAAATGGAGGGCATGAAAGTTTTGCTTGAGATGCACATGGGGCTAAGGTAGTCTTATACTACTGTTCGTAATCTGTCAACGTATTGGATTGTTTGCAAAAAGTTTTTTTTTTTTTTTTTTTTTTTTTTTTTTTTTTTTTCAAGAAATTCATATGAAAGTCTATCTATCAATCACACCAATAATTTATAAGGACAAAATCAAACATGATTTCGCTTTCGGCTGTAACACGCTGTAGACTTCGCATCTGGATTCCGACTCAAACAACATGCCCCAGCTTTCTTTTCAATGACCTTAGGTTTAGTAGCTTGCGCCATCTGCAATTTAAAGCCGGCATTTATTTTCCGCAAACTGTTCAATGTTCCGGTGAGAAACTCCACGCCTCCACTAGACGAGGGCATCACTCGTGGGTTGAAGCCTCCTCCCCCTCCTCCCTGCATCAATGACTCCGCACCTAACGGGAAATCGGAAAGCATAAACGTCTTTCCGTAAGAAGGCAAGTGCTCTATTAGATGGTCGCTCATGAGATTTGAATTCAACGCTGTCGAGAATGGGGACCATTCGCGGCCCGAATTTGGACTATGTGAGAGTTGATCTGGGCTCTGATCGGCAGATGTCAAATCGCAGAACACCTTCTCCAGCTTGTCGAGCATCGCCCACACAGTCGGCTCCAATTGAGCTCCCTCATCGACCGAAAGAAGGAAAGCGGCACTGATAGCGCTGTGAAGATGGATCCAGGAGCGGGAGCCGTGTGGTAGGATTTGGTGCATTTCGATGTATGCCTCTATGGTGCTTATCAGACTGTCAATACATTCCTGACAGAGATGCGGTGCCATGGCTGGTTTGCCATCACCGGACGGTGATTGTTTTAGGGATCGTCGACAGATCTCCGATATCAAGTAGGATGATCGCAGTTTCAGGGTGAGTCTTTCAACGTGGTTCTTCAAAGTGAAACAATAATCTTCACTTCTGAGATGAGGGGCCGCATCTGCTAGTATCTTATCGAGTTCTGTTTTATAGGCCGGTATGGTGTGGTCGCTGATTTTGTTTTCTGACAGGGTTTCTTCGCGAAGTAGTTGCAAAATCAGGGATATCACAGAGCACATCGTTTCGAAATATCCGCGCATGCCCGGTCTTGAATCTGCTGCACGGGGGATGGGGGGGCATGCTGCAAGCGTTTCTACCGGACGGTCGTAAGAAAGCCCGAAATGACTATCCTGCCAAGCCATGGACCACCTGAGACATGACAATTAGAAGCAGCTAAACCGAGACCAAAGGATACTTTGGACTTACCATAGATCCTGTCGTCGAGTGGCACCGGGATCCTTAAATATGAAAGACTCCGCATGAAGACCGAGAGTTAGGGCCATCCGTTGAGCGACGCCTACAGCTATCATCAGGACGTATCCAGAGACAATAAAGAGTGATTGTTCATACCAAAAGTCACGTATGCAATTCCGGGATTCATGTTGTACGAGAGTACGTCACCAATGATCAAAAGAGTTTGTATGGCCTCCATATTTGGACGAGAGAGAAAGTTTCCGTTTCGAAGACACTGATACGCACATGAGACTGAAACAATGTTAAGCAGTGTGTCCTATCTAGGTAATATGCACAAACGATAGGCTCGGCTTACTGTATAGTTGGCACATTGATATTCTTTCGTCCTTTGTAAAATCAGACACTTGACACCCTGACGCGAGCACAGCGAACAATATCCCCACAAACGCGATGCTGTAGCCAAAGGGCTCCGCACCAGACATGCCGTTGTTTGTGCATAAACCTTGCAAGGCTCTGTTTTCTAACATCGTGTATACGTCCTTTTGAAACTGGCCAAAATCCGCAATCACGGGGTACAGCGTTAAACGAACGTCATGGTAGGACCGCAGTAGCCTAGATAAGTTTGACACAAATAATCAGAACGCGGTGTTGACCAGTGAATAGATAACAATAATCGCACCTTCGACAGATGTTATCGTCCGGAAGTGCTGTGCAAACAGACTCGTTGCTATATGAGGTGATGTGTGAAGACCACAGATCCAGGAACGGGTATGTCGCTGACTGGTTATCCAAGACCAGTTGTGACAGAACGCTATTTTCACTGAAGACAGATTGGTTATTTTGAGACTTTTCGACCAGGAATGCCATCACAGAATCCGATCCGCAATGAACCGGTGATCCTCCCAAGGCATTTTGTGTGCGCACACCTTCCGCCTTCTCCTCGTCGGGTCGATGTAATATCGGTGATAGTGTATTATTATCTGGTGGTGTCTTGGGTGACATCTCTTTTGGACTGACTGATATTTCCAGCTGTGATCTTAAGCTGTGCATACTTTGGCTCAGAGCCGCAAGTTTGTCCTGAATATACTGCCATTCCTGCGTGTCGACGAGAACATTTCCTGAGTCGGTGACTATCGGGTCCCCGGAAATGTGTGTTCTAGTCGAATTTGTAGCAAGTCCGTCACAACAGTGATTGCCAATATTGTTGTCCGAGTTCCACGTATCTCGATGAGCAGCTGCTTGTGGAGAAATCCTAGTTTTGGTCGTCGTCGGCGGGTGTGTGAATGTGCAAAGGTGGGCGTATCCACGCTTCACGCACAGCGCGCAGGGGGAGTTTCTGTCACATTTGACCTTCCTCCTGTAGCAAGGGTAGCAGGCCTTTGGGGTACGCAGTTTTCTAATTGAACCAGCTTTGGTTTTCGGTCTGGATTCGGGGGAGGTGTGGGTTTCTGATTCTGTGGATGAGGCCATTATCGTCTCCTTGTTGATCAGGTTGTCAAGTCGGGCACGGCTAGAGCATTGCAAGAATGAATTCGACTTGAATGTCTATTTGAAGCCTTGCGCCTTCAAGCATAAGACAGTCAAGAATAGCCTCCGGTGAAAGTGCAGTACGTAGTAGCAACTTGCACCACGACTAGTAACCTCCTGGCTGGTTAATTAACTAGTTACAATGCCATGACATATGAGTCAGCCTCGCTCTGCAGGATCGTCATCGCAAGAAGGCTTTTAGTTGTGAGCGATGTGGCATGCTCGTCGTACAAAACTCGGTGATATGCCTGCCGAGAAATTGCCGACGGAAATTGTCTACGTTGCACGATTGGCCGAGCTCGAAACCGACTTTTCCGGTTTCTCTTTTAGTATATTCAGATGCTATTGCTTCCATATTCCTCCGATTCGTTTTTCCGTTGCTGGTTGACATTCTGTTCCTACCTAGGAAAAGACTCCCGGCGTGTTTTCGGGGTTAGGTCGGTGAACTCCGTCTTCCGATATGCTGTGGAACGTTTCTTCCTAAGTGGCATAGACACTTTGCTACTTTCTTGGACTTCTCATATATTTTATATTTATACCGGCTATTCCATGTCACTCTCCCATGTTTGCATGCCTCTTTCATTGACGGAGCAGTAATCTCGCCCCTATAACGCTCCCATGTGTATTGGACCGGCAATCCAAGGGGCCATTTTTCAGCGTGGGGATATAATACGCTCTTCGGCCCGCCCCAAAGAGCATTTCCTCCACGACGAGTTCAAACTTCAACCCGATCCAGGAGCAGAGTGTACGAGTAATCTGCAGGAACTCTTTTGTTGTAGGTATGTTTCGTTCGGCCCTAGCCTCCGAAAACTCCGTGCCCTCAATTTAGCTCTTATGCAGTGACAAGCATTGAACTCCGCAATCTCCGCATTATTCATCTTTAACTATAGGAACGAAGCTTGAGTACAGCATAATGTAAGCTATTCATTTTATGATGAATGGACCGGAAAATAAGGAGTGTTCATTTTGCTTCTTTTGTATATAAATCCCTTTCCTCCCAAAGGCCCAGCTTTCAGGTTGCTTGGTATATCATGCTTGAACTGGTCCTGCAGAACACCCCCTCCCCCCCCCCAAAAAATTCACAACAATGAGCTCCGTCGATAAATCCAACCCCTACATCCCACTAGCTGGCGTGGCTGTTGATGGATGGAGTAAGGAAGATGAGGCTACGGCCACATGCTTCTGCGGTGCTGTTCAAATAGTATTCGTAAGTCCGACACTACTGAGCATCCTATAACCTAGAGCTGTTGCTCAAAACCCACAGCCAACTCAAGGGCCGGGTTTAGTCGAAACCTTCGTCTGCAACTGTACAGACTGCCGGAAGCTCACTGCATCCATGTTCGCATCTAATTTCACCATTGCTGATACGCACCTGAAGCATGCACGTGGCGAGGATAATCTCACACGATATGGTCAGTCGAAGACTATTGCCTCCGGCAACACGATGACTAATTATTTCTGCTCAACCTGCGGCACGCTTATGTATCGTCGCGGCTCGGCTTTCCCAGGGCTGAGCATCTGCCGTATTGGTACTGTGGATGATTTCAACCTTCATGAGACGAAGTTGAGACCCAGAGTGGAGCAATTTACGAAGGATCGTGTTGGATGGTTTCATGGTGTGAAAGGGATTAGGCAGGTTGAAGGCAGTGCTTATACTTAACATTTGGGGGGTGATGCAGCTATCAATTGCGCCTTCTTGTACTTAGCATTTGGCATTTGGCATCAACATGGCGATTTGAAGAACATGCATGTATCCAATTGCCGAAAATAGGAAGAGATCCGTTTTCTTGGAACTCGCTTTGCATTAACTGATTTCGGGGTTTGGCCATGTATGCACGTTGCGTAAGATATAGCCAACATGCGATAGATCTCATTCCGTCAGGATTTAAGATGTACCTAAGTATTTGAGGAGTGTACATGGATTATTGATGCTTTTAAACATTGTAGTATCAACAGTATTTCCGAAATTATATAGAGGGGTGTACCTCGGTACATTATGTACTCCAGGATAGTGATTCTAGACTCTCAGCCTACTCAACATATTCATTAAACCATTGTATAGCCTGAAAAAACGCTGCCTCCTTCGCATACTTAGCCGCCTTGACGCTCAAATCACTGCGGACTGCGAAGCCATGAATAACACCGCTGTAAAGATTGATCTGATAAGGAACGCCAAGATTCTTTAGGATTTCCTCTGACTCGTGGCGCTTCTCAGTCGGGAACAGGCTGTCTGTCTCTGCGGCTGCAATACTTAGGGGGCCTTGAATGGCTTTCAACTCATCGGCGTCAACGTGAGATGGATGAGCTACGTATCCGACGTCAATTTGGCCAGCCTTCAAATGGCGGACGACATATTTGGCACCGTAGCAGTAACCAACAGCGGCAATTTTCTGCATGGTTTTTGAGTGAGTTTAATTGACTTCACAACAACAATTGCCCCTATGCAGCGCAGCGTCTTTTTGGAGTGTGTTCCTCCACACAAAAAGACAGCAGGAAAGAAAGGAAGAGAAGACAAACAAACAAAAATAACACGAATAGTACCTACCTTGACATGGTACTTTTCTCTCAGCTCCTTGATGCTGGCTTCAACAATAGGAGTTACGTGAGCGGTTGTGTGAGATTTTCTCCATTCTGCTACATCGAAGCTCTCTGGACGGTTCGCTGGTACTGGGTCGCCATTGAACAGATCAGGCATGAAGGTAAAGTAGCCATTGGCGGCAAATTGATCGGCGATGAGCTGATTGTTTATAAATTTATGGCCAAATATATCTGTTAGGCTACAAGGCTCAGAAATGGCGCGCGTTAGACAAGAGCGCAGGACGACTGTGTATATTTTCATTGTAGGAGAAGCGCTTGAGGGTATCATACAATAAAACTGCGTAGTCGGTCGACTTGTTAGCTGGGTATGAGGTATAGATCTCGAAGTCTCCAACGTTGAGGATGCCGCCAACCGGCTGCCCCTCATGTTTGACGCCTTGGTAGCAGCAAGAGGAGGGGGGGTAAGACGCCATTTTTCTTCTTCTTTTTCCCTTCTGTCCTTTTAGTGAGGTTGATTGTTGAATAAAATGAACACAACTGACACAGGTCGATACTCGTTGATATAATGATTGATCATCTATGGCGATGGCGGGGTTGGCGCTAGTACTCCCGGGGAGTTAGCATGCCTGCGGGGCACCCCTCAGCCTTAATTGCAAAAGGAACTTTCTAAGGCTTGTCTGGCTTAAATCTCGTTTGAAGGAAACATAAGTTGCTTGACACTGTCACAATGATACATAATTTGAAGCTTTCAGCCCCATGCGGTTCCAATGACCACACCGATGCCCTCGTCAAGGGCCTGGTTAAAACAGCAGGCATTGACCTCAACTGTCTTGATTGAGCAGACACGGGACATGTACGACCGCTATGCAAATGATGGATGGGACTTGGTTCCCATCCCAGTGTTCCCATCAAGATTAATATGGAGATATCTCTTCTTTTTCTTCCATCGTATCTTACCCACATTGAAAAGCTTTTTGAAGATGATTTATGGCATTATGGTGTTGAGGCAAATAGGAAAACCTTGGAGGGGATTTGTATCATATTTATATGAGCAGGGGATAATTGATCGCAGAATTACGCTTGAGGAGCTTTTTGCGCCTATTCGAGGACCGAACCTGAAACAGTCCTCTTCTACATGTCGATTATCCTTGAAAAATTGTTCATTGTCTTCTAGCATGTAAATCAGTTGATAAGCACAGGAATTTCGAAGCCTACTGAAATTTCAATCTCGTCAAGTTCGTATTCCTATGTTGTTTCAAGACCAAAATTGTATTCGAAGTACCGCTTACTGAGTCCAAAAAAGAAACCCCCAAACAGGCAACCCCCTCTAAACAACGAACGGATCGTTATCCCAGTGCTCATTCCGCACATATTCCATCCTTTTCGCTATACTATCTGTGAACTTCTTCCCCCAAATAGATTCAACATAGGCAAACATCATATCGATTCCCGCACTGATTCCGGAAGAACTCCAGATATTTTCATTGTGTACCCAGCGGGCCCGATGGACCCATTCGGGCTCTTGGCTCAAAGCTGTAACCTCCTCCCATGAACGCTTGTTGCTTGTTGCACGCATGCCATTTAGAACTCCTGCTCGTGCAGCAAGACCGGAACCCGTGCACACAGTAAGCAGATAGCCGAGCGACGGATATATCTTTTTTATAAAATCTATCACGGGGCCCGACGAATGGGGGCTGCGCGTACCACCGCCTCCAGGCACGATCAACACCTCAATCTTTTCCGGTGGGGAGTCGAATGTGTGTGTCGGTACGATGGATTGTCCGCAGTTGGATCCTGCGGGGTTCCATACATCTTGTTTGTCAGGAAATACGAGCGCCAGGTTTGTTGAGACAGGCTCTAGCGATGCTGCGATGACGGATAGTTCGATTTTGTGGTATCGGGCAACTAGGTTTAGAATGTCGAGGGGACCGAAGGCGTCGAGAGCTTGAAAGCCGGGGAAGACTGCAATGGCCCAATGCACAGGATGTGCTGCGGCTTGGTCAGCATTTATGTAGTCTCAGAAATAATGTGCCTTGGTTAAAATAATAAATAAACAAATCAATACGGTTGTTTACTGAGTCTGTGCAGCGAGACGCTTAAATGAGCATTGCATTGCATGACCTACTTGGGCTCGACATGTTTCCAATTCTTGTAGATATCGGTGATAAAATACGCCGATTATTGTCTGCCGTCAAAATAGACTTGTATCATCTGTATGCGTGTGTGAGTGAGATGTAGAGCAAGAAGTCCCTCAGCCCCGCCACAAGATGGTAAGTAAACAAGCCTCGTTTGCCCCGCCGAACTGCGGCAGAGCCCGCAATCCCGATCTCTCTTATTTTTGACCAATCCGCTCACAACCTCACACGGCACTTGCGGGGCAACCCCACAGCGTGGCCCAGTCGTCTATTCTCCGTCTCGCTGGGTATCTCTGCCAAGTTCCTACTCACACAAACGTAAGGCATACTTAGCAGGTCATCACTAAATTCTGAATTCGTGTCTGCGAAAGAGTATTAAAACCCGCTCCTGCGTTAGTTCTACGATAAAATAAAAAGTGGGGCATACTAGTTTCTGAAGTAAATCTATGACTAGGCTAGAAAAGGGATGACCAGGGAAATTGTCCAATGGGAGGAGCTCCTGACTCCTCAGCTCCGCGATCCGCACAGCCAATGGGAGAAACTCCCACCAGCCGCAGTAAGAGAGCAGCATCTGAGTAAATCCTCCGCAGAACAAGCATGCCATTGTCATTCCATACACTCCGGATGCATTCGGTGTTGGACGAGCATGTAGACTCCGAAGTCAATGGCCTGGTGCGAATGGCGTGTATATAAATGTATGCTTTCTTCCAGGGAGGAATTGATTTTCATTTTCAAAATAAACATCACTCAAACATCGTTCAAAAACAGATTCGAAGCTATACGAATACCTAGTCACCTACTCTTTAAACTTTCTTTATTCATCTTTTGAATACATTTCTATCGTACCAAACAGCTGCGAGATGTCTCCACCTCGCCGCGCCCTTATCAGCATAACTTCTGCCCAAGCCACTCTGTTTCAGGGCAAAGAGACAACCGGTCTCTTCATTAGCGAAGCCTTGCACCCATATAATGTGCTCACTGCCGCCGGATTTGAAGTCGACCTTGCCTCCGAGACCGGTTCATATACTCCCGACTGGCTATCGCAGCAACCCGACTTTTTGAATGGCAGCGACCTAGAGATATGGAACAACGTTAACAGCGACTTCCGTAGGAAGCTCGACAATATGCCCAAGGCAGCAGAGGTTGATGGCTCTAAATACGGAGTATTCTATGCTTCAGCTGGCCATGCAGCTCTCATCGATTATCCCAAGGCTTCTGGTCTGCAGAAAATAGCGGAGCGGGTCTGGGCTAATGGCGGCATTGTCGCATCTGTGTGCCATGGTCCGGCTATTTTCGCTAATGTCGTTGATCTATCTACCAAAGAGCCTATCATCAAGGGTAGGAAGATTACGGGTTTTACTACCGAAGCTGAGTCTTCTATGGGTATCGCCGAAGAGCTCAAAGGCTGGAACTCGGAGTTGGTTGAAGACTTAGCAGCCCGCCTTGGTGCGAAATGTACGTGCAATGAATACATATTCCTTTAATTGGCCATCATGCTAAATCTTTTCTTAGATGAACGTGCCCCCGGTATCTGGGATGACTTCCATGTTGTTGACGGTCGATTGGTCACTGGTCAAAACCCAGCGAGTGCAACTTCAACTGCTCGCGCAGTAGTTGCAGCATTCGAGCAGCTTTAAATATATCGTACTGCCTAGGCGGAAATGTTGAGCACGTACTCAAGTCTGTGTTATTGTCTGTTCTAATGCACTTGCAAAACTGATGATGATAATATGTACTGTTTTCCTCTTTTGCATACAATTATAATATTTCACTACTTTTATACAGCATATACTGAGATTTAGACACGCATACAACCAATCACATGAATTCTAACTCATCCTTATCCTTACAAGTACAGTAGTTGCGTATCGCTTATCGGCGACTGTGTTTTTCCATGTTTTAACTTCCCCACAATTCACTGTCCTTGTTTACAACACCGCACCTGCAACATAAAACCCATTGCCCGGATGACCTCTTCAGCTCTTTCGTCAGGCAGTAAGCAGATTAATAGATACTAGATAGTGCCACTGCCATTAGGTAAGAATCTACAGATCCTACATGTAGTAGTATTGCTGGCCTGCCTGCTAATCTGTTGTTCTCACTAGTCAAAACATGTGGCTACCTTAAGGTTAATGGTATGTGGAGATCGCAGCGATCCGCCGTCCACGACGTGTACTTAAAACTTCCCGCTTCAACCAGTGAGAGAGGAGCGTGAAGTTGGAAGAAGCCTGGCTGAAGGAATAGAGTTGAAGGATTTTCGCTGAGCTGATCCCATCAATACCACCTACTGCATAGGGAGTAGAAGAAAGCAATTCCTTCTATAAAACCTCTAGTTCTCCACCTCCACTCTAAAATCAGGATTTCATTACTATTTACTTATAAGTAGTTACAGTTAGTGTGTTAAGGGTAGGGACGCATCGTAACATCGACAGCCACCCACCGAGTAACCCAAGGTTGACATCGACGACGTACTTCTAAGGGGCTTGGGCTTCGCGAGAATTCATGCCAGAATCCGGGGCAGCACTGGAGAAATTTCGCAGCCACGTTGCGGGTGCTGAATAGGTTTAGATTGAAGGAGGCACGCTACCAAAATACAAACTATATTCATCAGTCTCCACGCTCAGCTTTGGTGGCAAATGCCCACGTAATGACTTGCTATTCTACTCATACGGTATCTCATCGGTTACGCTTGATAGCTTAGCCATTATACGAACCGAGCTTATCTGAAGTAATTCGAACTATAAATGCCAATCTCATTGAAGCTTTTTCAGATGGAGTAACACTTGACCATACAATTAACAGCTATGTAATCTGAAGGATCTCTTATCTGGCCCGTCAAGTGTAGCATAAGCCAGCTTAGCCAGTTTCTCTCCAAACTAGACCCAGAAGTGAGAGTTAATGACCAAAAGCCCTCCACTGTCATTCTGTACCCATACTGTAATAACAAGTTTAGTTCTTGTTGGGAATGATCTCTCTTCCACCTGGCTGAAACATACGACGAATAATATCATTTCTGTATATCTTCAGATGTTGGATGTAACGTTAATCAGGATAAGCATACGTACTTAAGACTAAAGGTTGACTAGGGCGTGATAGATCCCTACCTAGGTATGTGTCTATTTATTCAGACCACTTGACCTGAAATCAAAGAAAAAGAAGGAAGGGGAAAGCGAAAACAACAGATCATATATTCTCTCTACTCTTCCAAACCATATTATCCTTGGCCTATCTCGGTCTTCATTCCCATCCTCTTTTTCAAGTCAATCATGAAGTTCTCTACTCTCTTTTCAAGCGCCATCGTGGCCCTTATTTGCGGCACGGCTGTTGCCGCGCCGGCTCCCCTTGGAAACGGCCTTGTCCAGCGTGAGGATGATATGTACTGCGATGGCTGCGGCAATCTCGGGAAGCGCGAGCCTGTGGTTGAGACTAAACGCGAGGACGATATGTACTGTGATGGCTGTGGCAACATCTAAAAGCCTGGGAGATAATTCCTTATAAACCTGGAAGGTCTCTTGCATGATTTTGTCAAAATGGTAAGCCGACCTGCCTAGGTACCTCATATATATATCTCTTCTGATGTGTGACGTCTAAATCGTTCAGTCTGATGCCGCCTCGCACGCACGCTCACCTAGACTTGGGAAGGGAATCACTAGACGAGTGCCGTGAGACATTAGCGATGTAGCGATATCGAAAATATGAGGGATTTGGGGTTGTTTCCATCTCCGTGCAAATGCTGAGACATGTCACGTTAACTTCCAACCTGATCGCCCCTAAGGCGCTATAAATCGAACTACCGAGAGCCGTTTTTCTTGTTGTTGGTACAGTCATTAGAGAAACAAGTAAAAGAATTAATCTACGGTCGAGTGACAAAAAAAGAAAAAAGAAAAAAAGAAAACCAGAGAAAAAAAAAGGGTGGACAAAAAATGTGGCTTGTGTGGCTCGAACACACGACTTTTAGATGATCTGGATAAACCTCGAAAGGCCCACTTCAGTCTAACTATCTCCCAGCTGATATAAAGCCACGGGTGATGGAAACTCCGAACTTTTGGATATTTATCTTAGCTCACTGGCGAAAAAGGAACGACCGACAGCACTCCTGGAAATTGTACTCACGCTTGTCCTGATTACCTAGGTAGATGAGGTAGAGATGGAAATAACGTACGATTGGTTACCCATTAACTGACCCTAGAGTGTCTTCGTGCTCAAATCTACCATTGCACAGTATTTGAGTTTGATCACCAGATCCATGTCCCGGAATAAGAACAAGCCCAACGTAGCGAGGGCGAGGTTTTGTGTATCGCTCACTGTATATTATTCCAAGTGGTATCACCTGTTTTCAAGCTCGAAGATAATTGCCACCCCATCCGACGTATCTATCGTCTATGTCTATCTTAAGCTGTACAACCGTAGGACGAACAGTTGTAATCATTTATACATCCAAACAAGAAGAAAAGGGGAGAAAAAGGGGAACGAGCAAAAACAACTCTATAGCTTGCTGAGAGGCTTCTTCAAAACTGCTTCGTTCCACGGATATGGATCGAAGATGAGATCGTTCACAGGGTTTTCCTGGCTCGCACGACGGAAGAGATCTTCGTACACTTGGCCGTCAGACCGGCCAAGGCTGCTATCGAGCACCCAGTCGGGGATCTTCCAGGCGTCGACGAGACTCACAGCATGCGGTCGGATCTCGTCTAGAAGAGAAAGAACCGCCTTGGTACGTGTAAGAGTAATTTGGCGTACAGTAACAGCGCCCGATGAAAAGAACTCGGTGGCCTCACGCTCTAGTGTGTACAAGCAGTACAGGCGGAAGAGTTTGCGCAGCACGTCGGCAGTCGGCCCATCGACCGACGATGTTAATTCAGGGGATGAGACAGCCTCGTAAAAGTTCTTCACTACCAGGTATTGGGAATGTGCTGTGGATAGACGCCAGAAATCTACAAGTAGACTGTTCCATGATCTTTTCTCCACGTCGCGGTGCTTAAGAGCCTCGAATGTGAGATGGGCGGTGCGCCACGCAAACGCTGCGACTATATCTTGGTCGATTCCTAGGATGTCAAACGAAGCGCCCTTATCTTTACGAGCCAGGTAGGTTTGCATGATCTGACTTGTGTCGTTGCCAGTTCCCTTGCCAGCGAGAACCGCCCGCGCGGCTTTGAGGAGCTAATGGTCATATTAGTAAAATAGTTTTGAGTTGAGAAAGTCAAGACGGAAAGGAGAGATAGTGGTTTACATATCGAGCAACCTGCTGCGTCAGCATGTAGTTGTCACCCTCCCAGGTCAGTGTAGGCAGATAATCCGAGTAGTGGGGTCCAATGCCACTGTAGCTGCTGTAGCCATGGCCACCACAAGCACGACGACAGATCTCAAGTCCCTCTCCCGCAGTGGTGCTAGCTAAAGCCTTCAAGCCACATGAGGTCGCGTGCAGATCTGCGAGTAAATCGGCTCCAGCACGAAGTTCCTCCGGTCCCGGGCTGCGAGAGTCCTGGCCAGACTGGCTGGACGTGCTTAAACGGCTTTGATTTTCCTCGTAAAGCTTCATCATGCCCCGTCCCGTGAAGTGAAGAGCATACATGGAGGCCAGCAGGGGTAGCAGGCGAACCTGTACCATCTTGTAATTCAGGACTTGCGTTTCGCCGGCGTTCTTGTCGGCATCCCGGTCCTGGAACTGTCTGCGAACAGCACAGTATCGGGTGGCGATGGTGACACCATGAGCTAGAACGCTGCCAGCATCAAGTACGATATTCGAGCGGACCCATGTCATGGTGCCGTAGACAAGAGTTGGCAGTGCGGGACGCACATACTTGCTGGTCTCGGGATCAACTTGGGAAAAACGAGCAAGCATGCTGATGTGAGGAATCTTGAGTTTGTTGAATAATAAAAAGCCATTGTCCATCGTACTAGATAGGAGATGACATTCTAGTAAATTGTTCCAATGTTGCCAAGATGAACGTGGTACAACTTACTTGTAACCAAACTTCGGCCCGATGTCGCCCACGTAGACGTTCTCCAGAGGCTGATGGGTCTCTAGATCACGTATTTGGACAACAAATGGATGAGGGCCGTAATTCTTTCCGCCGATGAAGAGCTGAGCCATGACCACTGCATAGTTCGCTGTTCGTCCTAGCGAGCCAATCCACCACTTGGAGGCTGTGAGGCTGGGTGAGTGTAGGGTGAACGTCTTGTCCTCCGGATTCCACGTCGCGGTTGTCTCAAGGCCTCGCACGTTCGACCCATGGCCGAGTTCAGTTTGCGCGTAGCATCCGATGATCTGGTAATTCTCGGCAGGTTCGAGGAAGAGCTTCTTTTGTTCGGCGTTACATTGTTCACGAAGGGTGACCTAAACTCAACAGCCATCGCTAGTACGGCAAGACCCTGAAAGAAACAAATAAAAAATGATGGAACAGATAGATATACCAAGAACATGCTCGCATGCAAGGCGTATGGGGTTGGCTCTCCGAGTAAGGCGTGTGCAGCATGGTATTTCTCCAGACTCCACTGACCCTCGACGGCGAGTTGGCGTATTCGCTTCGCTTTGGCCAGCGCACGCTGGATGCGCTCTACACGGCCGAGGCTCTGACTCTGGGACTTGTCAAAGACCTTGTCGGAGCTAAGAACTGCCACGAGCTGTTCCTGGCGTTCTAGTTTTTCCCGCGTGTGCAGCAGCTCGGCCAGCGCGTTAACCGCAATATTGGACTGCGCCCGCTCATTGGCGAGCAGCTCAGAGCCCTGAGGCCCGGATGGCTTCAATGCCTGCACCCACGATGGCGGCGAAGAAGGCATGATTATAATTGATATCTTGAGATGCAAAAGACCGGGAGCATTGGTCGTGGAAGCGGCGGTTGCTGGAAATTAAGTACGTCGACTCGACGCTCGTCGCTGACAGCACCTTACCGGATCAGGAAAGTGCCGCGGTTAAACGATGTTTCGGCTCCGTCGGCTCTGATGAGCATTGTCTCTTCTGCCAAGGTTAATAGATCAAGTGGTGAATGTAGATTCACGATATGTACCCTCACAGAACTAAAAGAACATATACTACAAATCGATACCAACGAGAGACGGCAATGAGTGAGCTCATTGGCTCGGGTGCTTGCCGAAGTCGGGGCTGCTCGATTAGGCAATGGCTTATCGTTCTCGCCTTCAATTGAACTTGGCGATATGTAAACTTCCGCCTTGCACATCTCCATTAACAGAGCAAATTCTCATGAATTGACATCTTTCGCCTTGTCTAGTCGTGACCATCTGTACCTGATGCTATGCTGTCTCAAGGCACGCCTTCCCGGCGCAGGACCCGTGCCTCTAATATATCTCCGCGATACCAGGAAACTCCCAGCACCATATGTGTCCAGAGCCTCCGACTGTGTGAGATTCTGCGTGGTCTGGGACCGATCGCCGTGGATTAAGTATGGAGATGCAGACGCCCATGACATGGACGCCCTGAAGGTAGTTTTCGGAATCAATTCTAGACATATTACGATATTGTCGGCTCCTTTTTTGCCATCTGAAGCACACCTGGAGAGCAAATCTTTTCTGCTAAGCATATTTTGGCATAGCATCGGTGATGATAGACTTGCATTTTGCATTGATGAATTTGCCCATTGTGTGCCATGGATCCGTTATATATAGCATCTAGTGCCCTCCAGGCTTTATACAATTATTGAAAGCAGACGGCGCGAGAGAGGAGCAGCAACGTTTGTGCTGAAGGAGAGCCAGAGCCATTGCGTACTAGAGATTTAAATTGACGGACTTGACTGAACGGGGGCAGCCGGACTTCCGCTGTCTAGTATCAACGACGTGAAGTGAGTTATTTGCCATCTACTGCGAGGAGTAATGGCAGTGTCAACAGCCATAATTCTCGGTTTTAGACATCTGCTGGAAATATACATAGGACTTTAGTTTCGTTTGCTGAAATAAAGTATCTAACAATCCGGTGCCTTCAAAACCATAATATCGAGCGGACTATATTCGCGTCAAAGTGATATCACAAATGTGTAAGAACCTAAGTTAGGGAGGCAACATGCACCACGCGAGCCTGAAGCGGAGATTGAAAGACCTTGATAAACAAACAAGCAAATATATGACGATAAATGAAATGGGATAATGATACAACGTCCGAACAGTACGAAAAAGTCATACATGCAAGCCACCCTACCCTCTACTCGAACAACTGCAGTAAGATTCTGGTTGGAGAAGCCCCAACACGGTTTAAGAAAGTCACTATATATCGTTTTAAGACACCAAAAAAGCTTTACTAAAGGAAGTATGGCTGCAACAGCCTCACGCCTTCCAAACCCTGGGCCCATTCACCCAGCAAAAGTTGCGAAAAACGGCATCAAGCCGTCCATAGCACGTCCAATACGGATCGCCGTTCTCGATCCGCGAGACCATGAGGCTCCTGCAATTCTGCATGAACCGCGACAATATACGGTTAACGACGCAAAGGCGTCAGCAGTCATTCTAATCAGCGGGGCGGGTGGAGGAGTTAGTGGGCCAGCTGGTATGTCGTATAGCAATCCTTATCTTCTCTTTCTCTCTGCCGAGCACTACAAATATCTACGGCAAAATTGACTAAATGTATGATAAAAAAGGTATATACCCTTCTCTCGCCGATAAACTCGCCATGCTCCTCTCAATCCCGTGTATCAGATTGGATTACCGAGAACCTGCACAGACGAGTTATTGCTCAGCCGACGTAGTCGCTGCAATGGACTACCTAGCCGGAGAATTCTCATCTAAACATTTTATCCTAGCCGGATGGTCCTTTGGCGGCAGCCCATGTTTCACAGTCGCTGCACGCGAACCCCAGCGTGTCGCGGGCGTTGCCACCGTAGCCTCGCAAACTGCACGCACTGACGGCGTGACGATGCTTAGTCCACGGCCTATGCTGGTTATGCATGGCACAGGCGATACCTGTCTATCGCCACGCTGTTCGCAGAGTTTGTATGAGTCATATGGACACGGGGGCAAGAAGGAATTGAAGCTCTTTGAAGGGGATGACCATGGCCTAAGCAGAAATGCAGTGCAAGTGGAAAGCATGATTTTCCGGTTTGCCGCGTCAACTTTGGGGTTCAAGGATGCCCTTGGTGATGCGACTGTTAATATACAGGCTGGCCAGGATTTGGCGGGGAGTCGGACGGAGAGACTGAAAGAGATGAGGGAAGGACATGATTTGGAGGGTGGCGAGCGACTGTAGCTGTATCATAAATACACAGCATTATAGTTTAAAGCACTGGCCTGGAATGATATCGTAACTTAAGTGGTATTGATTGATTGATTCTGCGGTCCATGCAGTGACATTGCTTGGACAATGCTACGCCGGATGTCATGTTGTGTCATGCAACCATCGGAGTTGGCTAGCTTACTAGCTGGACTGAAGGCTCAATAGGCCTTCCAGCTGTTGTGTGGCCCGAGGTAGCAGAATGTCTCGCATTGATTGCACGGAATATAAAAAGATGGCGGCCTCAGGCTGCCCGACATGGCACGATGTTCCCTTATCTAATCGGGACAGCCCCACCAGCTTATCAATCTTGCGCGTGATTGGCCACAGCTTCATTCTCTGATCGAGCGCCACCGCAACAAGGACAGATGGCCAGTTCAACATCACGCATTTCCGCTCGTTTATCTTGATATCGAGTGCCCGAGCAGAAGATGTGTTTATGCTGATTCTTCGTGCTGTTCTCTGCGTGCGTTTCCTTGTCGTTTATACCCCCATAGACTTCACGCGCTGTGGCGCATTTTTCCCTTGACATCAGACCAGTCATTTCTCTTTCGACATACGTGCTGGGCAAAAGACGCCCGAAGCATTCCCAAACATGCATTCTGTTGCGAAGAAGTTTTTTCTCGCTTTCTTCCTGCTGTGTGTACCGACTCACGCGGCTACGCATAAGCAGCAAGAATCGTCGCCGTTCGCTCCTAACCTCTGCGCTGTAAGAAATCCTTAGCCCGTTTATACTTTCTTCCTTGTCTGGACTAATTGGTTTTCTATCTTTTGTGACCGCAGATTGACACAAAGGCTACAATTTCTGATACATGTGCGTCATATGATACAATTGATTCGCTGAACGATGAGATTCACCCCCTTCTCACCTCTGTCACCCGTGACACCGACTTCTTTTCATACTATCGACTAAACCTGTTCAACAAAATGTGCCCGTTTTGGCAAGATGAAAACAGCATGTGCGGTAATATTGCGTGTGCGGTAAACACAATTGACTCCGAGGAAGACTTGCCGCCGGTATGGCGAGTGGAGGAACTCAGCAAGTTGGAAGGGCCGCGTGTTGGCCACCCCGGACGACAACAGCAAAGAGAACGCCCTAGACGGCGGCCTCTACAAGGTGGCTTGGGCGAAGACGTTGGAGAAAGTTGTGTTCTTGAATATGACGACGAGTGTGACGAACGAGATTACTGCATTCCTGAAGACGAGGGGGCTTTGGCCAAGGGTGACTACGTCAGTTTGATAGATAATCCGGAGCGGTTCACGGGATATGCTGGTCTGGGAGCACACCAAGTTTGGGATTCTATCTATCGAGAGAATTGTTTCGTGAAACCATCGTCGTCGCTGTCTTCTCAGCTGTCACCTCTTCACGGTTCGCAAGAGCAGGCTGCCAATGATTTCCGCAATGTACTACTTCACAAGGAGCAACCACAACCAGACGATGAGTGCATTGAGAAGCGGGTCTTCCACAGGATTATTAGTGGGATGCATGCCTCGATTTCTACCCATCTTTGCTGGGAGTATTTCAACCAGACGACAGACGAATGGGGCCCGAATGTGCAATGTTATAAAGACCGGCTTCACAACCACCCGGAACGCATATCGAATCTGTATTTCAACTATGCCCTGGTGTCCCGCGCCGTTGCAAAGCTTCAAAATCATCTTCAGAAATATAACTTCTGCTCATTCGATCCTGATCAGGACCTCGACACCAAGCAAAAAGTTTTGTCGCTTACAAACGCACTGCAAAACCGTCCTCCAATCTTTGACGAGGCTGTCATGTTTCAAGATGAGAATGCTATCGATCTTAAAGAAGATTTCCGCAATCGGTTCCGCAATGTCAGTCGCCTGATGGACTGCGTTGGGTGCGACAAGTGCCGCTTATGGGGCAAAATACAAGTCAATGGCTACGGAACCGCTCTCAAGGTTTTATTCGACTACGACGAGACGAAGGACGGCGAAAATCCGCCGTTGCGTCGCACTGAACTTGTTGCTCTTATCAACACATACGCTCGCATTTCCAACAGTCTTGCTGCCGTGCGTAGTTTCAGACAGGCCGTGGAATCGGGTCACGAGGATCGCCTAGTGATTCACCCAGAGGTCTCCTCGTCACCGTTCCCAGCCAAACTTCGCGATTCCGAAAAGCTTGTTCGGTACTACAAGGATGGTATATCCAATATATATATTGAAGACGACGACGATGATTACGGTTATGAAGACGAACATCTCCCCTGGAAACGTCAAGGCAACCCGGAGTCAGTTGTCGAGATCTTTTGGCAAGAGTGGAATATGTTCTGGGGTACATATATGTGGGTTTTGAAGAGCTGGCTGGCGGTACCTCGTCTTCTGTGAGTCTATCTTGCTTGTGTCCTTGTTGGCGCGTATTCTTTCTAACAGTTCGACTTCAGATGGCAACTCTTTGTTTTCGAAACCAACCGTTTATGGAATTACTGGCTAGGGTTGCCAGTGCCTCAACGGCAGTGGAAGATCCAGCTTCCTCGTCCCCCGCGTGATGAGCTGTAGTCTTTGTCACGATTCTTCCTCGCATAGATATCAAGGCGTTTTGGTGACCTTTTTGATTGCATTTCTGCATAGCGTCGTTTGTAATATAATATACTACCTCCTCTTTTCTTGTTCTTTTCCGTCGTCCCTTGGCTGTAAATAGCAGAAGATTGTATCTTATAGAAGATAGCATGTGATTGCATCTCATGCTCGGTCTGTACCATTAATGCCATACCGGAAAGTTCCGACTTCGAAGTAGACATGGGAGGAATGTCCATATCGATCAATCTAAATGAAAATAATTCCACTCCGTCCTCCTCTAACTATTATTTCTCCTCTATCATTCTGTATAGTTGTGACTTGCATGAGGCGTTCGGCAATGAGGCGATCCTCGGCAAGCCAACCTCGGGCCATTGGCCGCTCTCCACCAATCACGTTGCAATGCCGCATTCTTCCGCTTTGTCGGTGACTGACCGCTGTGAATGAACTCTTTCATCCAGACTCAGCTATCGCTCTCACACCAGCGTCCCCATCAGCATTTATTTATATGCACTCGAGAGCTAGAAACAGGGCTTTCTGTTGCACTCAGCAAGGCGACCGATGCTAGGTTTCCTGTAAAGAAGCCGGCCACTCGCTCTCATGGCGTCCGTCTCGCCACCCAAGCCGTGGGAGAGGGCTGCCGCTGGGGCAACCACCGGTAAGAGCATAATCCTCAGACTGCATTGATGCCAGCCATACACCTGCTGACGAGAGTGCGAAACAGCCTCACCTATCGCCCCAGCTCCTACCGCTTCGTCGATGCCGGCCGCTGCTGCGACGGCCACCACCACTGCCACTTCGCCCGCAGCGTCAACGTCAATATCATCGGAAGCCCCCGACTTACCGTCTCGCCCAAACAGTCTCAATACGGTCGCTAATCGGACGGCTTCAACGTACTCTCCGTATGGCGCCAATAGACTCGGTGCAAATCCCTACGGCACCTACGGTGGATACGGAGCCTACTCGTCACCGTACTCTCGCTTCGGTTCGATGTACGGTGGCTATGGAGGAGGCTACGGCGGGATGTATGGCGGCATGGGCGGCATGTATCCAGGGATGCCAGGCGACCCGAACGATCCCAATAGTTTGACGAACTCCTTCAGCCAGAGTACTGCCGCTACCTTTCAAATGATTGAGAGCATTGTAGGCGCGTTTGGGGGATTTGCGCAAATGCTGGAAAGCACATATATGGCTACTCATAGTTCTTTTTTTGGTAAGCTTTCTACTTTCCATAATTTTTTTTTTGATCTATTGGAGTCATGGATTATGGACTGATTCGGTCTTCAAGCTATGGTGTCTGTGGCTGAACAATTTGGCAACCTGCGTACCACATTGGGCTCAGTTTTGGGGATATATACGTTAATACGATGGTTTAAGACGTTAATTGCTAAGATAACTGGACGTCCACCCCCCGCTGATGCGATGGCCCTTACTCCATCCGCCTTTTCGGCCTTTTTAAGCGGCCGATCAGCACCACCTACTCTACCAGATGGCAGCCCTGCGCCCCCACGGCCATCGCGGAAACCCTTCTTTATGTTTATCATCGCTGTATTTGGCTTGCCATATCTAATGGGCAAACTCATTCGCTCTTTAGCTCGATCGCAAGAGGAAGAAGCTCGTCGACAACAACTAGCGATAGGGCCTACCCCGGAGACACAGAACGCTCCTCTTGATCCATCCAAGCTGGACTTCTGCCGTGTGCTTTACGATTATACCCCCGATGCGCAGAGCACTGCTGGAATTGATCTCGCCGTGAAGAAAGGTGATATTGTAGCCGTTCTTAGCAAGTCAGACCCGATGGGCAACCCATCTGAATGGTGGCGATGCCGCGCTCGAGATGGTGGCGTTGGCTACCTTCCCAGCCCATACCTCGAAAACATCCAACGACGACCAGCACCTGCCGCCATAACTGCTACAGGTAGCAGTAGCACACCTGGCAGTCGTACAAGTACGATGACCAAAGGTGACAAAAATACCACTTCTCAGCGATCGCAAAGCATGTCCTCATTGCCTCAAGACAGTTCTGAGAAACCGGCCATCTCCGGAAAGATGGGAGATATTACCCCGCAGAGCTTCCAGAAAAGTGCTTTCAATGGCTCATAAAGTTCCATTCCTTCTCTTATGTTTTAACCGTGGTGCTAGCATGCGTTAAATGTGCAACTTTTTCTGTTGTCTTCGGCCTGGGGTTGTTTCACAAGCTTTGGTGCGCGTTGTACATTCTTTTACGACCTGGTTTTATGATTTTGGGCAAATGGAGTTCTCGATCAATCTTATTTGTATAATGCCTGTCCAGCAATGTAGTACAATTTTAATGAAATTCAGCGAGTCATTGTAGCACATACCAATGGTTTCTTATGCCTGCGTGTAGCCTCAGATCCCAGCGGGGTTTACAATCTGATTGTTTATCACATACCCCCAATTAAAATCTGACAAGAAATCAACAGGCTATAAAATGTTGCATAGTAAGCTTTTCCTTGAAAAGTTGTTGCGTTGCATGCAAAGCCATCAGGTAGAATCTTACCGTTTTCGGAAAAAATGGCGTCAAGTTCTTATCGGTCTTCGCTGCGACGCTAATAGGACATCGCCAACCTCGACGGGCACTTAGGCAGCTTATCAAATGATTTGTTGGATTCTTCGAGAATTTTTCGACTTTTTGAAAGATATTCTGAAATCTGTAAGAAAGCAGTTAGGGCAACGTTGGGAAACGAACTATTGGGCTCGGACCGGTGGACGAGGCTTTCACTCGCGACGACATCATTCATTCTTATCTAGCTTAGATATGGATGCTTCAAAACGAAGTGAGGATGGAAATACTGCACTAGCAGATGATGGCGTCTCTCCACAGTCCCCAATATCGACAAATCATGCGGCATCACAAACGCAGCACGGCAACAGAGCAGGGCTGAAACCGGGCCTGGAAAAGAGTGACGATTCTAGTAAATCAATATCGAGGCCGTCTTTCAGAATAATACGCCAAATAATAAAACCCATCAACTGGGTTCCGCCATCTTGTCGCTATAACCCCGAGAACCCACCGTGTTTAACGATGCCACTGAATCTACTTTTCGGTTTTGCATGCACTTTCACTGTATGTGTATTTTGCTTTCTGTCTATTACTGCTTTTATTCCCACTTTTAGCACAGCAGAATATGGAAACAATCCTCGATTGACTCTAAATCGTTGTTAATACTACAGGTCGCAAATTTGTACTACTCCCACCCTATTCTGGATATACTTGCCTCGTCCTTCAATGTCAGCCAAGAACGAGCAAGTATCATACCTACGGCTGCTCAGGGCGGTTATGCAGCAGGGTTGTTGTTCATCTGCCCTTTAGGTGATCTAGTTAAGCGGAGACCATTCGTCCTATGGCTCATGGCTTTTACGGCTACAATAACCCTGGGATTATGTCTAACGAGCAAGTTTGAGACATTTATCGCAATCAATTTCATCATGAGTGTGACGACTGTAACTCCGGTGAGATTCCATTCCTTCTTCCATATTCAGGCAGATTCAGATACGAAAAGTGAGGTGCGTGTGTGTGAAGAGAACACGGACAAGGGCTAACGTGTCTGTATGTTTTGAACAGCAAATTATGCTCCCTCTAGTTGGGCAACTTGCTGCACCTAATCGGCGGGCCACCGCATTATCTATTGTTGTATCCGGCCTGTTGTTGGGCATCCTAATTGCACGCCTACTTTCCGGTATCATAGCCAACTATTCATCCTGGCGGAATGTGTACTGGATGTCATTTGCGCTTCAATATGCAATCCTGATCCTACTCTGGATCTGGATGCCAGACTATCCACAAACGAACAAACATATCAGCTATTTCCGTATTCTCTACAGTATCCCTGAGCTTCTCTTGAAGAACCCGATCCTGGTGCAAGCTTCCCTCATTGGATTCCTAATTTCGTCTACTTTCACCTCATTCTGGACCACGCTTACTTTCCTTCTTTCAGCTGATCCATACAACTATTCGACTGTAATCATTGGTCTCTTTGCGCTTGCCGGGATGGTGCCAATGCTCTTTGGCCCTTTCTTTGCGAACAAGTTCACGGACAGATTCCAAACTCATATCTCTGTGCTCATTGGCACTCTAGTCTGTCTGCTTGGGATTGCTATCGGTACATATACCGGCAAACTCACGATAGCAGGACCAATTATTCAAGCCGTACTCTTCGATTTCGGCCAGCAGATTGCACAGGTTGCCAATCGCACGGCTATCTATGGGGTGGCGCCGAAGGCGGCTAATCGTGTCAACACCGCTTACATGCTTTGCGCATTCTGTGGACAGCTCATGGGTACGGCGGTTGGCAATAAGCTATATGCTCGAGGTGGCTGGGTGCTGTCAGGCAGCGCGAGTGTGGGATTTATGGGAGGTGCTATACTTGTTTTGCTGATGAGGGGACCGCGAGAGACACGTTGGTTGGGGTGGCGAGGAGGGTTGCACCTTAGGAGAGCAAAACAACAGGAACAGAGTGATAATAACAGTGCGAGTGAACTGGAGAAAGAAAGCGGCGAGAAAGACGATCAACGAGACACACATTCTAATTCTCAGGATCAAGTCTTTCGGAATGAGGAACAAGGACGACAAGATGGCGATAAAACTGGGAGAACAGAGGGAACATTTGTCTCGAGCCAGGACTGAAGGAGATCAATGTCAAGATACAGAGTAAAGAGGACCATAAAGCCTCTCTAGTGGACGTTTAATGCATTAATGTCAAGCTACAGACTGACACAAGCTATCCCAGCGACATACATGTCGATAGCTGGAGGACTTGTCTTCGAATACGGACTTTATAGTCATCACAGAAATTCCTCCCTCGTATGGTCGACAGTTAACGATTATTTTCCTGGGCTTGTCGACTATGAACTAGGCGAGGCGGTTTCAGGGGCCGACTCGTACTTCCTCCAACTGGAGGACTTGAATTGCCCTCGGCTGGCATCCAGGATGTAATATAGATGTTTGAAGAGACTGGCGAACCTTCCCTTTAGGACTAATAATCCACCACCAAATGTCTTTCTCCAGTTTGCTTTCGTTTCTGATGCCTCCATCTCTAGGGCTGCAATCGATGCAGAGAAGGGGATTGTAGGACGCTCGTAAATCCAGAAATGCTTGGATATGCATTATAAACAAGCAGTGTAGGTTTTGGATGACGACCCTTCCTTCAACAAATCAGAAGGCGTTCGTCATGGCTTTGTTTCATCCCGATAGTCATATTGTAGTGCTCTCCGTCTCCAGATCTTGGTATGGAAGCCTTCCGTTCGTTATAGCCGGGTTATACTGTATGTCAGATGCGTCTCCGGATTTCGAGCTGCAATAGGAATCTGGTCAAAGTGGAATTAGCCTATTGCCACCTTCTCAATAAGAGCTATAAGTATCCCTGCACTTTCAGCAATATTAGTGCCAGTGAGTACGAATATGTCAACCTACCTAAACAGGTAATTCTGGACCGCGCGGCCAAGAGACCTCGCCTCGATATTCCGCATCTCTTTCCTTATGAGGATCATGAGCACTGTACTTGTTCTGCAGGAAATTCGCAACGCAGTATAATACAAGACAAGCCGAAAAATCTCGTATGGGTTACGACGCAACTGGGTATTGCTCTACACGAGGATTGTTAGCCCTGCCATATCGAACGCCAAGCAAAGTTCCTAAACATTAGTTTAGAGATTATTATTCAGTCGGCTATTCAGACGAATGTTCAACTATGGCGTGATCTGTGTGAATATGGCATCAAATGTGCGGACGAATTTAATCCCTGCATCACTGCATGCGTGCATAAATTGGCAGCCCCCGAAAACGCTCTGTGAAACTCATCTCGCCCCCTAATGTAAATACATCTCACGTTGAGGAACATAGGATAGAAGAAATTGCAAAGGTAAGAGAATTACAACTTGGAATTAAGGCTTCAATGTTGGCAACATTGCCGAATGCCAACAGCCCCCCTCTCTCTCCGATGTTCCCCGACCATTTGCCACCAGGTTTCTTATATATTCCAATTAGTAGCGCAAATAGATTACTAAACGACAGACATACGCATGGCCTAGGCTACAGTTACATAGTTTCATAAACCTTGTCATCAGTACAAGATGGCATGTCGAGATACCTAGGTATATAATAGCACTGAATCATGATCTACCCATGCGGATTGTTCTCATTTATTTAGTGTATTGTCCTTGGGGTGGCATATCTCTGCAGGACATAAAACATGCAGGTGGTAATTAACGTGGTGAGCAGACGCCAATGCACATCAGCATTGATCAACCTACGGTGTGCACCAGACTAAATTTTTGGCTCGGAAGGAGAATTTGGGCCAATAGATGGATAAACTCATGATGTGCATGTCCACGTTGAAATGGGCGGGTTGCACTACATGATCATCAGCCCTTTAGGGATCATGAGGCAATCTTCACCCCGAGAAGCGACATGTCGTTAGATCCTTGCAGGGCTGAGTCAGAGCGATTCTATGACTTGCCTGAACAGGTAATTACATTTATCGTCCTAGTTCACCTAAATCTATATGCTCTCTTGCGTCATTGGGAAAGACTGAAATCTATGCTCTTCATTAACCGTCCTTTACCTGAATACTAAAGAGGCTAGAGGCACAATTGACGCCTTCTCTGTGAGTTAGTGAATGGGGGTTAACATTTCTAATGAATGATGCATTACTAGATATTATCACGGAAGTCCTCCAGGGTACGAAGTATACAAACAGAGTACTATATCTAGGTACCTGTCTTGCCAAGGAATCATTTTCTTCGTTTTCTATTCTCCTAGGTTGAGTACTCATGAGTTATTTACTGTTTCCTTAAGAGTCACCCATTATATATGTACTTAAAAAAATGCTACGCATTAGTAACTAGCCAGAGGGCGGTTCCTTTGGTAACTGTACGTAGGTACCTTAGTAGGTATCCGCCAATATGTAAGATTACATACATGTATATATATATATTTATACATGTTAGCATGGTACCTAGGTGCTGAATATATATTGATGACATAGCTGTATTTTCCTACTTTCCATACATTACTCACGCCTATTCCAAATCGAACGCCATGTCAGCTTTTGTATAGAGAAAAACCAGTAGAACCATTCATGATGGAGTTTCATTATCGAATGAGCTCGTGATTTTCCGGAGATAGTTTTCGGAGTTCTGCACCACCTTCTGCAGATATTCAAGATTGATTTTATTCAGACGACTAGCGCCAGGATGAGACAAAAGTAGTTTTTGACCAAGTGAACTCAAGGAAGATAAAAGGTCCCTGGCCTTTTGCACTAGATCCATGACCAGCATGCGTCTCAATTTGAGGTCGTTCATCAGTGAAACGTGATACTCTCCCACACTGACTTGGATGCATGCAGTTGCCAAGTCGCATTTAGCGATGTAATCAAAACACTGGTCCGTATGCTGAAAAACGGCCATAATACAAACAAGGTCGGCATGGCTGATCTCGCAACTGGCACATTTGATGATGTCGTGACAACTTTGAATCATATCGCCAGTCACCTTGAACACTTTGTCAAGACGTGGCTCCGGCTTCTCGTCCATCACACCTTTGACGTCTGGCACGCGAAGCATCATTTTGGCTTGACAGTGACAACTGCGTGGATTTATCGAGGGTGAATAATTATGTTGACCATCCAAAGACAGAAAGCTTGTCGTGTCAATGTCCGAGAGAGACCCTAGGCTTTCACTGTGAGGTTGACTATGCATTGTCATAGGCTGTGATGTAATACAGTCCATATATGATGGACTATCAATTTTCATGAATGATTGTAGAATATCAAAATCAATTGAATTCGACTCTGCTGTAGATGGGGATGATGCAAAGACCTGTGAGATGATAACCACATACTTCGTGTTCCCTCCAATTCGGAGGGAAATTGAAGTATATGCGGAGACTTTTGTTAGTTTACAAATACTTTTGCTTGACATTTCGCCGAGGGGGACCAGGGCAGCATACATTTCGATTGATATCGACTAGTGATTCCCAGTCAAACTTCTCCATTGCCTGATGAAACATGTTATTCGGCAAGTTCACCACGGAGCCATTTGTTTCCGCATGAGAAATATCTGTCGCAATTTCCATGTGAAAAGGCTCTATAAGGTCTATTGATACCTCACCACTTGATTCTGGGCTTAGGTAGGGTCCGATGTCAGCCTGAATCTGCAAATTGCGTTGTGATTCAGGATTAAGAGGCGAATTGTGGTTAGTGGATGATGATGACGAGAATTGTTTTGCGGTTTTCCTGTTGCTGGCCGTTGTGCTTTCCCGGATATTTTTCTGATGAGAAATCCGATGCTCTCTATTCGCCGAAGTATATCTGCAAATTTCTCCTCGACTGCTGCATCGCTCGCATTCTTGTTTTCCGTTGCATTTCACTTTAGCCATGCGGCATGCTTCGCATGCAGTCATTGGTCGACGAACCAGAGGTTTCGCTCCCTGAGTTCCTGGACACTGCCAGTTCAGAATAAAAGCTTCAGGGATCTCCTTCTTCCGGGAGTTGCGAGCAGTATGAGCTGGAGACATGATACGAAAAAAAAAACATAAGTTGCAGATTACCAGAATTTAATTCGGGATTCTTTTTCTCACTAAATACTTGACTTTTGTTATCGGCTGTCAAAAGTATATTTGGTTCTCTTTTTCTAGCTTATGATTAGAGCTTACTATAGTGCCACATTTCTCTAACGCCTCCACTATCCTTAAAAAGATTGTATTAAGTTATATAATCATACCTCATCTAAGCTAGTCAATTACGAGGCTTGGGGTAGATCTGCAGCATGACTGCATGCTTACATACGTTAGATTTTCTGCCGTTTGTAGGTAATATACAGGCATGAGGACCTAGCGGCAAAAAAAAAAAAAAGAAAATTACAAAGATGCAACAGACATGGCTTTGTCATTGCCAAATGACCGCCTAGGCACTATGTTGTGGTGTGTCGAATGTTTTACTTCTTCTGGTTGGTCGAAAAGAAACAAGGTGAATAGTAAGAACTGACCTAGGTACCTAGGCATGCGGAGAAAGCCGCTGTGGCATGGAAATTTATATGCATGGATCTGAGTTCCATCACGGAGGTCATAGAGCAACGCAGTCTTCAGTTTGTTTCAATTTATTTGGGGGTTTAAAATACCCGAGGCTCTTGCATGTCTTCAGTACCTAATAACAAGCCTATATACTGTAGAACAATATGATCTTCTAATAATCATGGGCGTACAAAGAGGGGATCAACTACACAACACACATCCCATCCACTCGAAACACCTTCTTAATTTTGTAGTTACAAGGTTATGGCCATGTATTGGAGCCGTCATTCCTTCACCACAGGATCCCATTCTTTAGAGATGAAGCAATGTGACGCGCGACGCTCACTTGAAAACGATTCAAAAACATATGCAAGGGCTTACTTAACCATCCGACCACCATATATAATCCTGTAGTCAGCAAATCCATCAAAGCTTGACATATGTCTTACACTAACGTCAACCGGTTTCAGAGTCGGCTTCGTGCGTCTAGTTATATAATTGCCAGGACTGAAGAATATCACCGAAGAGCTGCATGTACTAGACTACTAGTTGCCCCTGTCGGAGAGAACTTTTAACTAATTTGTAATCACAATGCAGTCCGTAGTCAACTAGTAACTAAACTATTACTAGGGTAGTAATAGTCCAACTTGTGCCGAGCTGCATCAACAAGGGTAGAAGCCGCTCAGGTCGTGCTCAATTGCGCCAGATCTCTGTAGTATGGTAGTACGAATTAATCAAACAACGTGGGCGTGATCAGTCACGCAGACACTGAGCATGTGCAGTAATGGTTACATACATATATGCAATGTGACTTTCCTATAAGTAATCAAGTGTCGTGAAGTTTGCAATCGTAATAACCCTACGGCATCGTTGACCAATTAATATGGTGGCAAATCGACACCATTTCGGGTCCAGAAAATAACGATTATAGATTTAAATATAAGACCTACGTCTGGCAAGTGCTTAAGCATGTGCTACTTGGATAGGGTTACATAATATGGCGCTATCAAGACATGTATGGATGCCTCCAAATCAGCCCGACAAATGGGAAAACCTGATCCTTGTTTACTGTTTGGCTATGGCTCACAGAAAATCCATCAGATGACCTGGACACATTAGGAATTTATTGAAGAAGAGCAGTAGGTGTCATATTTTTGGTACGCTGGAGCGAGGAAAGACAGCCTCAACCGTTCACAGATCGCAATCAGATAAATTTATGTGTATAATAAAAAATGAAATGAGAAAAAAAAAACACTTTCCTTTCTTGGCAGGCAATGAAACTTGCACAACCGCTCAGGCTTAATGAAGAGGTGTCGTTCATAGCTCTTCGTTGCTCATCTCGGGATGGGCACCCCCGACCAGCGAATTCTCTAGTATTTCAGAATTGATTGTCCCTTGGACCCCGATTCGGGCGTTTCTCACTCTGGTTCTTAAGGTATGGCGATTTATCAAACACCACACGAAGTTAATCTATTGACCTTCGGTGACTCAATGCCCGAGGTTTCACAAAGTCCCCCTTCTCGATTGTGATGATATATAATTTGGGTTTAAAAAGCGTAATCTAAGAAGGAGGACAGCTCGCTGATACGCGCGTGTTTTTTTTTCCCCTTTAAATTTGAAAATGTATCGCTGTAGCAGCCGTTTGGCGAGAGTGATTACCAGGTCAAGACAAAGGTCTTTGTTCTAGGTGGTACTCTGACTAGGCGGCTCGACACGTTTCAGTAGCTAGATACTTTTCCTTGCAAGATTCGCACGTATACAAATGTCCCTGAATTCAAGCACCATCATTTGCAAGTGATTAACATTCGTCTCTGAGATGAACGATAAGTGGTCTAGATACCTCGCCAGTACTGTCATTGTCGAATAATCGATGCCTCTTCCACGCAGAGGATGAGCCAAAGTTCCTCGTTCATGTTTCAAACAGCGTAATTGAAGGGGACGCCGAAAGTTTGTAGAATAAGTCTTGGTGAAAGCAAGGTGGGAGTCTGAGTAACCCTAATCACGTGCTGCTTGACCGGCAAAACGTTTAACTTTCTCTTAAATAAAAGCTACTCTGCAGGAGCCTAAATGAAGTAAGTTATGTTTCTTTATGAGATATCTTGGACATTCCCATCTCGCTTCCCAGGCCAGAGCGCCGGCGGTGCACGTTTGGGATACCGCTGCGCACATAAAATGCGTGAATCGACACTTTTTCTTTTCTATCGTTTCGTAAGATACTGATTAATTATCTAGAAGGCTTCTGAGATATTCCCGATCTTGACCGAATCCTTTAGACGACACAGTTTGGGACAATAAAGCCGATTCAACCATCTCCACGGTTTTTGCCGCGTGTTTCTGAGCTGGACACAGGTCATACTACGCCATAGCTGACTTGCCAGCATCATACTGTTACATTTCAGTGCTATCAACCTAAACAATCTCACTTCTGGTTCAACATCAATATACACAAGGGTTGCGTGGTGGAAAACTACCTATCCAACCAATGTAGACTGGGGGAACTGGAGTATATCTCTTTATTGCTGGCTCTCCTGCTCCGTCATCAATGGCTAATACGCAGTCGAAGTCCCGAGTAGCCCTAACAGCCCTACGTTGAACTATTCCGAAAGTGGAAATTGCCAATTCGCTTGGCCGAGCAAGTATATATGTTCAGAGGGCGCGAATGTACCGTTAACACCCAGTAATACACTCAGAAACATTACCTTGGTCGTATAACTACTCATCAAGTCCCTGTCACTTCCCTCCAGCTGTGGACACATTGCGCAACACCCCGGGCTATAACTATAACTAGTTAGTTACTGTGGGTTTTTAAACTGGACCTAAGGCGATCAATCCACTATGTACCATGAGATCCCGAGATCCTTGTTTCCGCGAAATGCCTCGCCCCATACCCAAAGAGTTCAACAGTGCGAGCCAATCAAGAATGCCTGAAAGTTAATTAACGGAGTGCGAGAGAATGACTAATTGCACGTGCTCTGATAGCCCACTCTGGGGGCTGAACAAACCCCCCAGGATGTTACATTACTAAGTACTTACATAAACTAGGTCGGAGACATGCAAAGAACTGACTAATAGTGCCTCGCAATGTTAGCTAACTAGTTAGTTAATACAGGTTACTTAATTGCTGGTCTCATGCGGAGAGATCTGGCCTAAGCGGGGTGATGTTGTCCCGAATCTAGCTTACTGCCTAATTCGGTAATGTGACTGGAGGGGCATCCATCCTACATCTTTGAAGGAACGGCGTCCGACTCGCTTCTTACTGTAGAGTTACTGGAAACAGAATTAAACGTGCACGAGTATTCTACAATTACCAGATGGCATTATCTATATCTATATCTAATTGATTTCTTTTATAAACGTTTTCAGCGAAGGGTTTCAGCTCCGTCAATGGCTACAATGCCCGACTTTGCTAGTACCTGGACAGAAGAAGAAGAAGAAGAAGAAGAAAAAGGAAACTAAGACGTCTCAATTATAGATGGCTCTAAGGATAAGCTGTTAGATGCTTGGGAATTTGTCATTATCATCAACGAGCACCAAAGCATGACCTGGATTGAGCCAAGGATGCTATTCAGATAATCTTTTATTGAAAATCTGTCATTTAAGGATCCTTCGTTTCTACCCACGAATAAGCTTACAACCATGTTCGTAAGTCAAATATAGGGTGTGGATTCCCTACGTGGATAGCAAAATAAAAAGTAATATTGTCAACATTGTTGCATACCAATACAAAGTTCTAGTAACTCAATACTATGACTGTTAGACGATCACGATTCCACAAAGCACAGACCGAACAATCTAAAGAAGCAAAAGGGATTGACCACAGCTTCCCGAGGCCGTCCTGGGTGTCCTCCATCCCTCTCATGCCTGCATATGCCCAGTGATGTGTGACAGCCAAACTTTTCATGTTTCCTCCATCCACAGCCTAACCACAAAAGAGAGGTAACGTCTAAGCAGCAGCAACGGCGGCACTTTCCACAAAGAGACGCTCTCTCTTCATAAGAAAACTCAAGACGAAAACTAGTGCCCCGGCGGTAATTTCAAGAGCGTATGTCTTGCTGATGGCATCCACGATTGCTGTCAAGACTTCCTGGCTCACCCCTGGGCCCAATGAGTCCAAGAAGGTTCCTTTAACACCTGTCATGGCTAGTTGAATCTCTTCCTTCGAAACGTTAGGAAGGATTTCCGCAATTCGAGTCTCGCTTCCGTTGAGATATAGACTATTGGCAATGGTCATGGCAATAGTGATACCAGCGAACTGGGCAAGAGTAATAAAACCGACTGCCGCGGGGACGCGTGATGGAGTAACCACCGCTTGGGCAACTGAGAAAGAAGCTTGGATGAATAATCCAACACCAAGCCCGGTGATGGCAGTGTATCCGTAGACGTGAGCGGTGGACGTTGTCAGCCCGACAGTGTACATCAAAGCACCACCAGTCAGTGTTAGGGCACCGCCAGCAGTGTACCAGGGCATATAGAGACCCCACTTGGCGAGAAGAGCACCATTTGTAAAAATCGTAGCAACCATGATAATGATGAATGGTAATAGGCGTACGCCAGCTTCTAGTGCAGCATCATTTCGTGTAAACTGGAAGAAAATCGGAACCATGTAGATCGGGACGAACGCAGCGGCTCCGGCAGCTGCAGTAGCGCTGAACAGAATCAAGACGGTGCGGGAGCCAAAGAATTCAACCGGGATGATGCGTCGCTCAACAGTGGTCCCAATTGTCCAAACCTGTTGTATACCGAGAATGATAAAAAGAACACCCGAGCAGACGAAGAGCCCAATAACAGGGCCCGAATTCCACGGGTAGGTCATGCCACCCCAAGAGATAGCCATAATGCCTGTAGTAAAAGCTGCGATAGAGAGCAAAGAGCCGATAAAGTCGAGTTCTCTCGCCCGGTCTTTGATGGACACTCCAGGGCGTGGGTCCTTATTGGGAAGCAGAAACAGGTAGACTGGTGCAGCACATGCACCAATGCACAGATTGATATAAAAGGCCCATCTCCAACCAGCTGAAGAATCACTAAAAGCTCCGCCAATAATAGGACCGAGGACAATTCCAACGCCCCATGTGAGACCCGTGCCTCCAATATACAATGGACGCTCTGCTATCGTGGTCGTCGTAGCCAGAAGAGTCATAACACCGACGTATAATCCTGATCCGCTAACACCGCAAAGCGCTCGACCAACAATCATGACCTGAATCGACGGTGCCGCACCACAAATAGCCGAACCGATTTCAAATACCGCAACGTTGAGGAGATATGTCCATTTCGCGTTGAACTGACCATAGATCCTACCCCAGACTAAGTTGGTTGCAGTGGCGCCAAGGAGGAACGCAACACTCAGCCAGGTCATTTTATCCACGTTGCCAAAGTCAGATATAATGACTGGCTGGATATCGGCCACGACTGTGTTGTCGAGTGCATAGTAGAAAATGGAAGACAGAATGGCCGTTACTGCCAAAATCCATTTCCAGCCGTGGATATCTCGAGGAGGCAATTGCTCTTGGGCTTCCTCTTTCAGGTTATTTTCTTCGTCCGATGTTCGCTGACTGTCCAAAACCTGGCTCTCTTTTTGGGAATTGATGTTCACTTCGGCAGTGGATGCTTCGGTGCTGCTCAATTCCTGGGCAGGCTCTTTCTCTAGGACTTGAGCCGCCATGGCGATGCGTTGGCGGTACGTAGGACCTGAATGCTAGTTGTTAGGACCGTATAGGAGAAAGTTCTGGCCACGAATGGTTGGATTAGCCACTATAAAGTGTCAATATCAAGGCAGGCTGGCAGAACGAACATCAAATGTTGTATACGGAAAAGGTGTGCCGTTTGTATACTCCGACCTGAATGTGCAGATGTGTCGTTCTTGGTCGCACAAGCCGGAAGGGGTGATCTTTATGTAGATATATGATCGGATGAGTAAGAGGCATGCAACGTTTAGCCGAATACTCATGTAATCGACGGAAACATTCTTCACCAAGCGTTTTGTGTACTTGAGCTAGTTACAAGTTCGATATTTGTCATCTTAGTCTGCAATGACGCCGAGCATCTGCCCCTGAGTGCGCAGTATAGCGTCTAGTAAGCAGATTTATGTTAGGCAAGAGCATACCCGGAGACTTCTGCCACTGCACTGCTCTGTGTTTGTTGTCGGCATGGCGGCCAATCTTGAATGACCAATAAAACAGACTATTGGTACCGTCGATACCATTGCACGGCGGACTTATTTTGCCGTGGTATACTCCGTGATCAATAGCCAATCGAACAAATGCTCTGCTGGCGTTTTGCATGATTGCTCTGACCCCGGAGACATTTGGCGGGACGATGTTAGCCCGAGAGGGGAGTTTGTGATTGGCTGGCTCGATGCCCCAGCCCCACCCTAGCCCTAGCCCTAGCCCTAATATACGGCTCACCCTAAAGCAACCCGATTGCGCTGAGGTATATCTTGCATCAAAGCCTCCCCCGACCCTTTCGAATTCGGCACTTTCATTGGCTGTGAGTTAAGCATATGATTTGGCTTCTTTTTCGACGATCTACTCTGTCGTGCTTAGCTACATATAGCGCAGCATCCATAACATGACACAGCGTAGGAGGCCCAGGATCAACCTTTTGATAGAGCTTCTAGTAATGCTCATTAGGTGCAAATAATGCGTTATATCTCGCTGCCAAACATCTGATATACCTGGCAGAAGATTTGGCCCAAGCCCTCTGCATATTGGTTGTGATGCGATTGACAGGAAGCTGAATTAGAGTGGATGGCGCTCAAAAGGATGCGCGATTACCATGCGTAAGAAGGCATCATTAGTTCCCGGTCTTAATAAACATTGTGTATGGAGCTCTAGAGAGCCCCGGGTAGGTGTTCCCCAAAATGGAAACCAATTTCCCGTTATGGTATAGATGGTGAGGATAAGAAGAAAGGAAAAAAGTTTCCAAGGTTGAGTAATATATACTTGGCATTTAGGTACAGTTTATATATCTACAATTCTTTTTAACCAAGTCAAACCTTCGGTCCAACGATCACTTTCGATTCATAGAATTTGCAAAAATCATCATCATTGGAAAACGTGCATGCTATCCAGCTAAGCTAGCTCGCTTTGTTTTACGTTGATCCCTAGGGCTATTACAAATATCTAGACTTCCCTGAGCTAGGAAGGAGTCTTGAAGATGTTGTCGCTCTACGTTCTGGGGGCGTTCTTCGTCGGCTTGGTTTTCTGGGCGTTGAAGCCGGCAAAGCAGAACCCGTACCCATTACCACCAGGGCCTCCAGCAGAGCCAATATTCGGCCATGCGAGACTCATCCCGACAACTCGCCCTGAAGTGACTTACGCAAAATGGACCAAAGATTATAGTGGGCTTAGTACTCGTTTTCATATCCAATGTATCAGCTAACCATTTTTGTTCAGATTCTGACGTGCTCTACCTCAACCTCTTGGGAAAACATGCAATCATTCTCAACAGCCAGAAGGCCGCAACAGATCTTCTGGACAGACGAGGGGCAAACTATAGTGATCGTCCACGATTCCCATTCTTTGATGAGTAAGGAAACTGCCAACTATGACTGTTATCAAACGTTTCTGATTATTCGCGATGGCAGGATGGGTTGGCGTCAGATCTTGACATTCTACTCGCAAGGTCCCGAGTTCAGGAAGCACCGTAGAATGTTTAATACTGCTTTCTCTGCCGGAAACTGCCTCATGTACAGAGATGGCCAGCAAAAGGAGGCCCGAAAAATGCTCAAAAACATCGTTAAGGATCCGACGGAATGGAGGAAGCACATGGTTTTGTAAGACCTCTCGGAGAGTCCGAACCATGCCTGATCCCTGTCTAATGCTGAGGAACAGTTTCGCAATTGCAATTATCATTCGGCTCACCTATGGGATTGAGGTTACTGGCCCCGAGGATCCCTTAATTGAACTGGCGGATAAAGGCGGCAAGACAGTCAGCGAAGGGGGGCCTGCTGGCGCAACTTTTGTTGATATCTTTCCATTCGGTAAGTTGACCGAAAGCGAAGGCAAGAATGGCTACCAATGATTTCTACAGTTCGAGCTCTCCCTCACTCTCTATCGTTCCTCATCCCGTCTTTGAAGTTTGCACGCGATCAGATCCCTGTACTTCGCGCAATGAAAGACATCCCGTTCGGGATGGTGGAAGACCGGATAGTAAGTGTCACGTAAGCAGCAAATTGAGGGATTTGCTAACGTAAATAGAAAAATAAAACCGCCCGGGATTCGTTCCTGGTAAAGGTACTCAGAGAGCGGGCTCAAAATGCAGAGGAATTACAAGGTCTCACAGACGAAGATCTCAAGGGAGCCACGTCTACGATTTTTACGGCGGGCCAAGATACTGTAAGCCTTGCATATTCAATATCAACGAAAGGAAATTCTACTAAAATCACTAAAATGTTCTAGACTTGGTCACAACTCATGTACTTCGTCCTAGCCATGACTTACTACCCAGAAATTCAAAAGAAGGCATGGGCCGAGATTGAATCTGTTGTTGGGCATGATCGCTTGCCGGAGTTCAGTGACCAGCCCAATCTTCCTTATTTAAACAATGTCGTCAAAGAAGCATTTAGGTATGATACCCTGATACCAGGTTTAAGAATAATGTTTCTAATGGAGAGTAGATGGAACTTAGTGGTGCCTCTTGGTAAATACTCTTCCCCTTGACTAAGATTGAAACGCCTTTAACACGCCATAGGAATTCCTCATGTTAATAACAAAGACGATGAATACAACGGCTATTTCATACCAAAAGGTGCGTGCGATTCGTGAATCTTGAATCATACAATATAGCTAAATAATTCAACAGGGTAAGATAATAAACCAGGAAACTATCGTCGGCTTTCTAACACCATGTAGCTCCCTTGTAATTGCCAATGGCTATGCCATTCATCGGGATGCAGCTGTCTACAAAAACCCTGAAAGGTTCGATCCAGATCGATTCATTCCGAAAGAACAAGGAGGTCGCGGAGAGCCAGCCCCGGAGGCACACTTTGGTTTCGGTCGCAGGTATGATTTTCCTACTCGTTGAACCTACCTGTATAGGCCCTAATCAGATCTAGAATTTGTCCTGGACAGTACCTGGGACACGCAAGTGTCTGGATATCTATAGCAACTATGTTGGCAACACTGGAAATCTCAAAGGCTAAAGATGAAAGAGGAGTTGAAATCACTCCTGACCCTGAAATTACACTTGGTGTCACGAGGTATGGGCTCTCACAGTGGATATGCAAGTTTGATAATAAAGGACGGGGTGTACTGACATCTATTGTAGTCATCCACGATCTTTTCCTTGCACCGTAACTCCACGGCCCCATGCTGAAGCGTTATTGCAGAACCTGTGAGATTTATCAACCCTCCTTTGACCAAAATATCAGATTTCACGATCACGTAAGAAAATACTGTGATTTCCTTGCCTATACTATCAGAGCCTCAGCGTATGCAATTGCCTATCTGGGAAATTCGAGGTTTTAAATTGCACTTAATTTATTGACATGCTGTGAGGATACGTACGAGAAGTTTGTCGTTCGTTACTTGTATTGTAAATCTAATGGCAGTTTCTTCATTGACACAAGAAGTGAATAGCTAGTCAAGGTGTTATTGGGAAACGTAACGAATCTCGCAGCATACCCAGGTAAGGTTTGTTATCTGAAATATAGCTAATGAATCGAAGCACCGAAGACCCACGACCATTATTAAGAACTGCAATTCTAGCACATTTACAACGAAATTACTCAGTAGCATAGCATATAATCATTGAAATCTAATTCATGGCGTCCCTGAATCACTAAAAACTCGATTCCACCCAATCAGATTATATACTGGCTATCTAGTGTTGCGCATTTTCAGGAGGAATTCCTAACATTTCTTAATATCCATTTCATATGCCTAATTCTTCAATCGGGAAAGACGACATGCTGGGTTGACCTAATATGTGTAGAGATGAGCCAGTGTAGTCATTTGCGTGACTGTACTGCTTTCTGGTATTAATAAGTCCTGAAGTCTCGCCAACAGATGATAATGAATCCTGCGGTGTATACCAACTGTTCTCGGAGTCATCGCTGCTGCTGCTGCTGTTCATTATGTAGTCGATTGTACATCTTTGCAAATACTGTCGCGTGCGAGTCTCTCCGCCGATCACAGAGGAAATCCCATGGACTAGAGTGGGATCTGCGCTTCCATTCTCATTCCTGTTGTGGTGGTGATGCTTGTTACTATTATAGTCATATATATCGAGCATCTTCCGAAGGAGTCGCGATCCATTGACGCTCGTCGGAACCGAGATACCTCGTGTTTCCAAGGCCTCGAGCTCTGAAATCACCATCTCCACATCACCGCGCAGCTGGAAATGAGGATCTGGAAGGCGTCCCATGAGAAGAAACAAAGCCAATGCAACACCTGTAGAGAATATTTGATACGACTCCGTGGCAAATCGTTGGTGTGTCATAATCAATGAGTCCGACTGTTGCTTTTTAATTGATCGATAAACGGAAAATGCATCCATTGCAGATTCCAGGCAGATTGACTGCGCGGAGCTAGCCTTAGGATTAGAGTCGCCCAGAAAGCATATATACATGCGAATGCGCTGGACGCATACAAATGTATGGAATAGGTGGTGTTGCCAGGGGATCACTGCATATTCCGTGGGAAGCTGAGGTACAGCGCGAACTCCGTCCTTATTGATTCGGAGATACCAGGGTAGTCGGTTCAGGATTTTGCAAAGTTCCCGATCAATGCTTGCGACATATTCAAGGGATGATAGCCCGTTGCCATTGTTTATGTAGAGCTTGTTGAGCAACCTCGTCACTCGAGCTCTAATCACGCTAAAGGCTGCTATGGTGGGTTCGCCCATGTCCCGTGGCGAGATTCTTGTGGTGGTCATATCTTCATCGTTACAGTTTAGTGGAATCGGTACACGCGAGATATGAGACTGTATCATTGGCTGTCGATTGAGGCACATTGCTTGGAAACTATATAGTTATGTATGTCAGGTCTTGTGAGCACAAGCAACCGTTGATCCACTGATTTGGCAGTTTACATACGTGTCAGACGAGCAAAGTTCCCACCAGATACGGTGTCGCATCTCCTGCTCCAGAGAAGTTGATGGAGAAGAATCGACGTCGAGGCCCAACGCTTGCGCAGCACGAACAGCCTGACCCAGGCAACTATAGAAGCAACATGTTAATTTCGAAACCCCCCAATCTCAAGCGTTCCGATAGATAATTCTTACGAATTTAATGTTTCGATCTCCCCCGTCTCGTACCAGTATTGTTGACAGTTAATAAAAGTTTGTAGTTGAAATATTGTCGGTCTCGAATCGTGACTAGCCACTAACAAACACTGTCTTGAAGCCAAATGCCATGAGCGAGGTAGAAGTTTCACTTCAGCCTCTTCGAATCCCAGAAATATACAGAGATCCGGAGGAATGTATAGGATGCTGAGAGACAGCATGGAATAAAGCAACGACAGCCAGGCAAAGTCAACGTCTTTCCATTTAGCAGCGGAATACTCTGTGTATTGTTGTCGAAATGACGGCGCATGAAGGACTTGGTATACGTAGTTAATATTCTCAAAGAAATACGAAGTCAAGAAATCACATTGTGACCGAGTGGGCAGAGTATCAATAAGTCGTCGCCGCCAGTCACACTCATCTGGCTCCTCGAATAGCAATGATGATATACGACCTGTGGTTGAAGAAGACTGCGGCTGCTCATGTTGCAATCCGGATGTAGGCACGACGCATGGCAATGATGGCCGGATATCAGTGAATGTATTGGCCCTGAGAACTTGATTTGAGAGCGCACCCCAGTCCCAAAGACAATCCACATCATCCCACACTCCGTTGTTGGACGCACTTCCCAGGCCTGAGTCGACATGATCAGCGTTGCCTTGATCATGCTGGTCATGTACTTGGCAATCATAATTCATGTCCAGTCCGGCATCTTCCGGATTCCGCTGGGCAAGAGGTACAGCATTTTCAGATGATGCTATGACAGCTGACAAAAGCACGGGATGACGCTGGCGGTGTCTGCTTGGCTGACCACCGCGATACAATGGCGGATTAACAAGACATTCGAACTCGCGGCCGTTCCTTTCACAGCTCTGGCAGGGGATGGCTCGATTACATTTGACCTTGTGTTCCCGGCATGGCAGACAACTGAACGTCTGACGGTTGCGGCGTCGTCTCGGTGTGAGGGTTCTGTAATGATCTGGCCCAAAAATCGATATTGGAGTCGTCCCTGCCATCGATTCCAACAAATGATATTAGGTTGCTCAATACCTAATTGTCATATTATGCGTGCGGTGTAAGCAGCGACCATGTCTGGAAGTTGTCGGAGAAGGGAACTATAAACGGCCATGAAAAAGAAGAACATTGGTGGCTTTAACGGCAGTCTTTTATTGGAGGATCTAACGGCGTCTTATCGTTGGTGAGGAATGTTTTAAAATTTTGATATTTCCAGTAGCTCCGGGTTTATTGCAACGCTGCTCCATCAGTCCCAAGAATTCACACCGTTGACCTTCTCAGAGCTCCACTGGGGCATTTCTCTGTCATTTTGCGACAAATGCACCAATGTCAGCGCCATTCTAACGCCGAACAGCCTACGGAAATACGAAGATGGCCGGCTGATGGGATATTTCTCGTAGCTGAAAACATGGTCTTGTAGATAGAGTGGTCATTATAAGGACTCCTATTCATAACTTGACGCCGACATGTAATGGACTTTAAGGCAAATCGTGAATTGAGCACTTTCCTTCCTCCGGAATCCCTATCACAAGAAATCAAAATGTTCTATCGCATTGGTGTGGATGTTGGTAAGAAGATAATATTGCACATCACTGTTCTAGCCCTCAAGAGCTGAATCGTCTACAAAGGAGGAACCAATACCGATGCTGTACTCGCATGTGCAACCCCTGATGATGGATATCCTTCACGAAAACATCACGTAGAAATCGTGGCTAGTTACAAGACCCCAACAACGCCTGACATTACTGCTGGCATATGCAAAGCTATCGAGGGCATTCTCACACCGAACAACATTCAGCCAGCAGACATCCTTTCGATAAATATCGGCACAACTCATTTTATTAACGCCATTATCGAATGTGACAAATCGAAGCTTGATCGAGTCGCGGTGTTAAGACTCTGCGGGCCATTTTGTCGCGAGGTGGCTCCTTTCGAAGAGTTTCCTCCGTCACTGCGAGCTGTGATACAGGGCCACGTAGGCTATCTTAGTGGTGGAGTCGAGGGTGAGATCAACTTGCCATTTCGAGTAAGAAAAATAGCTAAAAAGTGATGGCATCAGTCGATGGTCGTCGGATAGGGGACATCGACGAGGGGGAAGTTCTCGATCATGCGCGCCAAATCCGTGAGCGCGCTGACAAGGCCGTCGTTGTCATTGGAGTATTTTCTCCCTTGGACGTAGCCGACATCACGCAAGAAGAAAAAACCAAACGGATTCTTGAAAAAGCTCTACCAGGAGTCAATATCGTCGTATCGCGAAGTATCGGAAACCTCGGTTTTATCGAGAGAGAGAACGCCTCGATACTCAACGCAAGCATTGTTCGATGTGGTCGCGCTGTCGTGCGTAATATCCAACTTGCTGTTATGAAAATGGGGCTCCTGGCTTGTCCGTTGTATCTAACACAGAATGATGGGACTGTAATGGATGCTCATACGGCTGCGTCTCTGCCCATCAAGACATTTTCGTCCGGTGCTACGGTAAGGCCCTTGCGAACAATATCTCGGCACAGCTTAAAGCCCTAACTCTTTATCAGAACTCTTTGATAGGAGCAGTGTTTCTTGCAGGCTTGCATTTACCCGACTCTGAAATTGATCTTGAAAAATCGCAGGTGATCATGGTGAGTTTAGGATAAATTTGAACTACTATGAATATCCTTCACCAGCACTAATAGTGCGTTCAGGTCGACATTGGAGGCACTTCGTCTGACTTCGCCGCTCTATCCCCCTCTGGCTTTCCTAGACAGTCTACAGCAGTAGTCAAAGTTGGTGGCGTGCGTACGGCATTCGCAATGCCGGAAGTTTTGAGCTTGGGTCTTGGTGGTGGATCTATAGTTCATGTTGATGGCGATGGGAACGTTACAGTAGGACCCGATTCAGTGGGCTATCGTCTGCAGAACACTGCCCAGTGTTTTGGAGGGGATGTGCTGACTGCAACGGATATCGCTGTTGCGGCATCTAATTCAGGCGACAGCCTTATCAAGCTGCAATGGAAGACTTCCCCAGATGACGTTGTTGTGGAGGGTGCTCGTGAATATATGTGTCAAGTTCTAACTCGAGGGATAGAGAGGATGAAAGCTTCTAATAAGGACGTCATTGCTCTCATGGTAGGCGGAGGGTCCATGATCCAGATTGACGAGCCTAAATGTGTCAAAAGGTGTATAAAACCGCGCTTCTCAAATGTGGCGAACGCCGTTGGAGCTGCCATTGCAAAGGTAGGCGCTCATCGGATACCACAGAGATGTTAACCGGCGAACTTTTTCTCATTCTGATTTAGGTGGCGGGCGAAAGTGATTGTATTCAAATACCGCAAGGAAGAACCTCTGAGCAAATGGTAGAGAATGTCAAGGAACAAGCCGTTCGACTCGCTATTAAGAACGGTGCACAGCCGGACAGTGTCGAAATCGTTGAAATTGACATACTTCCAGTTCCCTACACTTCTGTGGGCGCTGTTCGAATTGTCGCAAAAGCTGTAAGGACAAAAACTGTTCCAGATCCCTTGCTCTTAAACTGATATATGTGAAAATTAGGTAGGTGAACTCGGCTGGCAGAAGCAAGATCCAAAAGCCTCCGGACTAGTGGGTGAGGTCCAAAACGATATCAAGATCCAGGCACCCTCCGAACATGTTGATCTGAATGGTTTTCACCCAATGGAATCACCATTGCTTGAAGATCCACACCTGGAATTTTATACACCACAAATCTGCAAGTCTACAAAACAGTGGATTGTCTCCGAGATCGATTTAGCGTTTATTGCGGAGGGCGTGGGGATACTTGGAACTGGTATTGAGAAATTTCTATCATTTACAGAAGGATACCACTTGGATATATTGACATTAGCTAGGTGGTGGCGGGTCGTCACGATCTGCGTATCTCAATGCCATACGAAGCCTGCGTTCTGCTGGCGTCGGAAAAATGAGAATTATCGATCCTAAATACGTACCTGATGATGGACAGGTGGTAAGTCTTCAATAAAAATGAATCGCAAGCCTGCTTCTGACCATACTTCGCAATAGGTTCTTGTTGCTTGGACCGGGTAGGATGACTTCCCAACACTAATACCCGGAGACCGGGTTTCACTAACTGGAGAGCTACATTGTCCAGATCACCTTCAGTTTCCAGTGAGCGACTCTCCAATGGAAATGAACTTCCCACTGCACTAAAAGTCCTTGGAAAATTTCTCCACATCGACAAATATGCCGCCATAATGGGACCCGAGATTGGAGGATCTAACGGAATGTGTGCCTTCCCCATTGCAGCAAGCATGGATACCCCGGTTATCGATGCAGACACTATGGGCAGAGCCTTTCCTAAAGTAGACATGGCCTTGCCTTATGTCTATGGACAAGCAAGCCCTTGTCCTGCGGTCTTCACGGACGCTAGAGGTAATGTGCAACTTATCGCGGAGACAGAGGACCATCACAGATTTGAAACTATGAGCCGAGCGGCATGCGTTGAGCTGGGGCTGAGTACAGCAATGGCATTGAATCCTCTATCTGCGAAGGTGGTTCGTAGTCATTGCTGCCATCGAAGTCTCTCGTCGGCATGGTTCATTGGACGAGAGATATACCTTGCCCGACTAAAGAAGAGAAATCCAGCCACAGCCGTGGTAAGTTGAGCAGGAGAAAAGTAAATTAAGAAAGCTGTGACTGATAGGCATTAGCTATCGATGATTCCCGGTGGCCGCTTCTTGTACTCCGGTAAAGTCACCGAAGTATCTAGGAAGGTTGAAGGAGGATTCACCATTGGGACAGCAACTTTGCAATACAACGACGAGAACGGGCAAGACATCAAGACGGACAAGACTCGTTTGCTACAGCTGAAATACCAGGTAACCATGCATTTTACCTCTTTCCATGCTAATCTCCTTATTCATAGTTGAGATTGAAATGTCTGACGGAATTTTAGAATGAGTTTCTCTACGCCACTCTCGTCAATCCCGACGGCTCGTTAGAGCCGGTTTGCACTACCCCTGATTTGATTTCCGTCCTTGACCAAGATGGATCAGCGCTCCAGACGCACGAACTTCGCTACGGGCTGTTGTTGGACGTGATCGCACTGCCGGCGCATCCACTCTGGATGACGGATGAAGGCAAAGATGCTGCTGGTCCAAGGGCGTTCAGGTATTTGTTCGCCATTTAAAATCGTTTATAGGAGTTGAATGTTAATCATCGAGTCCAGTTTGAATGCGGATTATGTGCCGTATGCCAGCGCCTGGAAGGAACCTGAATCGGTCATTGAGCGATACTCCCGGATTACCCCATAAGAGACGTCGTTTCTGTCATTATATACCGCAGTTTACTCATGATTAAGCCTATATACATAGTTCTCAGATACATAACCCCAAACATCATCTTCCAAACCAAAGACTTCAGCAATCTGCAAGCCAATTTGAGTTGCAATCGATGCACGGAAGGTAATTGTATGATAGATGTGTTTCGAGCTGCGGTGAGGGTTCACTCTTGGAGGACACCTCGGTAACACAAGAATTCAAGTCATATCCATGGATTTTCAATGGTGCTTACCTAGGTAGTCTTTGGAGAAAAAGGTTATATTTGCGGGGTTTTTTTTTTTTTTTTTTTTTTTTTTTTTATTGCCACATCGCATTTGGTTGATGTTGATCGTAATTGTTATTCGATGTATGACAGTAGGTAAAATTTATCGTAACATTATTGGATTTCTTTGTTCGAATGCATACCTACGTATCTGCTTATCCCAAACGGGCACCGCCAGGGCGTTGGCCTGGGAAGCGAAATGAGGATGCCCAAGGTATCTTTCTCATCAATAGACAATGAATGATGCATATTAGTTACTATAGTAGGGTGGAAAACACTTATTGATGGACCTAATTACGTAGGTTGCTACATCTATCTCATCTTTCTTCAGAGGCACTTGGCCACATTGTTTATGTCAAGATTGAAAAAGCGGTAACCTCCAGGGCTGTATTCGAGAAACAATTTATTTACTGGCTAAATAATTTGCGGCTAAAGGGTCTAACAACAAGGAATATATGTATCGTTACACTGCAGGCCAACTTCAATAGTGTCCAAGTCTCTTTGTTTCAACAAACTTGCACTGCTTGAACTTGTTGAATGTCTGAACTATCTGGCATCATTTGGGAGCGCCGTGTTGAAATGGCGAATGTCTGAGATACCGAAGGCGTTATATGAGGACACATGTATGAAAATAGCCTCACATAGATCTCATTTAATTTGGTGGAAGATTGGATTACAGGTTAAACAGCAGGTAAAATCATTAGATTGTAGTTCTTAGGCATCACTAGTTATCACTCATACTTTTCTCCGTCGTTCCGCTCAAGGATACTTCACATTTCCCATAAAATTGCTGCATGGGCATATGGGCATTGAGGCCCGTGCGATACTGGCAAGTAAATTGTTCAGATCTTCAATAACAAAGAACAGTGAGAGATCGAGATTTGTTTGAAAGAGGTGATACCTTGCGAATATAAATTGGCGGAATCATCCTCTGATTCTTCTCAATCTCGTTAGCGCTGGACCTAATCTCAGAACAACCTTCACTTTCGTCTTGGTTTTATTATTTCGCCTTTCAAATTGAGTTTTGCTGCGAGAGCAAAATGAGACAAAATGGTTTCAACACTCTACACCCCAATCAATCCGCGCAAGTTGAGGTACACCAGAGGGGCGATGGAAGCCTTGAAGTCAATAAATCTTGGCCTTGATCACCACAAATGCCAAAATTGTGATGAAAACAACAAATTTGACGCCGATGCCCACCACAAACATCACAGTGATATGCATGCCGCTGAGATTTGGAATATCATCACACACGAGAGAAAGACTTCATTGAGAATGGACAATGGAGCTGGCCGAGATACTGGTGGTGACTATCCATTGACATCGAATCTGACAGCCTGGGCCAAGAAGGCTATGATTAACTTTCGGCCAGGATACGATGTGTGCAAGATGGTAACGCCATTCTCAGCACAGTTTCACGCCGTGGTTGAGAAAGAGCGGAAACGTAGTTCCGGTCTGCATAACCTTGACTTGATCGAGTTCACATATCAGATTGCTCTCTACGTTGGAGCTGCAATTCTGCTAGCAGCAGACACAACTGCAGATCCTATAAAGGAACGGGCAGCATTCCATTCTTCGCGTGCTGGTGCTGATGAGCACTTGGCAATATGGTGTCGATTGTTGACCGGCTTGGACTGCGATCCCCCGATCATCGCTATGTTTCCCATCTATCTAATGATGTGCCAGGCGTTTACGTTTGAGCCTCACTCAACTCAGGCAGACTATGTCTATGCTTTGCTTACTGGTGTTGATTGGGCAAAAGGACGAAGTCTATACACAGATAAAATAACAGCTTTCGAAAAGTCAGTTCGATCCGCAGTGCCGAATCTAGATGATATCAAGAGCGGGCAAGACCGTTCCTTTTGGCGTGTTGCTCATGCATACTTGGCCGCAATGAATGATTGCGAAAACGTTCACAACTTGAAGACACCCCGGAAAGCAGCTATAGACCATGGTATCGACCATAACCTAGTAATAGTCGCACGTGCCCTAGATACGATTGGGACCGCATATGAGTGCAGTGACGGGACAGCATGGCTAGATGACGTTGGCATCGATTCATTAATTGGATCTGCTATACCGAACGATGTTATGGATCTGCATACTGATATCCTAACGGGAGAGACTCGAAATACGGTCCGTCTGTTGTACCCCGAAGGTCTCTCGATGGCTCAGGCAATGAAATCCATGTCGACGGTACTCTCAGGAGAATGGTGCCAGCTCTTTCGTAGCCACCAACAAGCCCGTTTTAACAATCGAGAAGACGGGCGAATTGCAGCAGCCTCACCACCGTACAGTTTTTGCAGGGCACGCAATCGCCGTGTATTTGAGGTTCTGGAAATGTATGTCAACAAATATGCAGATAAATTCTGGGACTGGACATGGGAGATTTACCGCATGGCGAGGGAGCAAGTCACCGAGGCCGGACTCGAAGAGCCTCTCGTTTGTGCATTAGTCCGATCTATAAAGCAAGAGGATTTGCCATCAAGTCAAAGCAGTAAAAGCATACAATTTTTTGACGTTTACTACGATATGATCGAAGATGGATCCGTACAGCTGAAGGCCAAGCAGCCATTTGGTGTGAGCGAAGATCTTGCGCAACTGGTCCGCGATATCCACCGTCTTTGGCATGTCGAACTGCTAAGTGATAGTAGAGAGCCCGGCTGGGGTCGTCGTTTCGACGCCGAATCAGATAGACTCTTCGGCGAAGCTGGTACGATTCTTGAAAGCAATGGGAATACGGATGACATCTATAAGTTTGCGATTGCCTTTGGCCGATTGAGTATGGGCCTGCCATATATCGCACATCATACAGTGGATGCCATTATTATGTCTTTTGGGGCTATTTGATTCCACGAAATTCTTTGGGGTTGCGTTGCCTCACGAAACAGATATCCTCAAATTATGTCCACGGATATTCAGTCGTGGTCCATTCACTGGCCTAGTCTTTGGGGGAAAAAAAAAGGAGAGAAAGAAAGTAAAAACAAATATTGCTTTATACCTGGAAATTGTCTACCAAAAGTATTTACAGAACTTTGGCTAGGTATTTCTACTCTTCAGACTAAAAAATATTCTCTCTCCTTTAAGTATTGAGCGTGATTCGATGCCTCTGCAAACTAGTTTCTCTTCGTAGCAAAGACCATGACAACTGGAGTTTCAATCTTCGCTTTCTCACCATCAAGAGCAAGCTCCAGCTCATCCCACAACTCTTTACTCTTTGATTCCGGAAGAGTTGGCACCCATGTCTCCTGGTACCCCTTGAACCACTCAAAGCCTTTAACATCAATCCAATCTTCATCATTTTCATCAAATACCTTCTGTTCCCCGTCGTGGACGTGATCTTCGGCCACTATAGGATTCATTTGGAAAGGGAGTAGACTGCCGTGAGCATTGATATATTGCCTCTTCACCAAGTCCCATTGATCAGGAGGAAATTCTAGATGTTCAAAGCCGGTGTTGAGGATACGGAAAGCGTGCGCCAACAAGTCATCATCCTTGCAATTTTCCGAGTACAGGTCCCAGATTCTTTCCCATGCATTTTGAGCCTTCTCATTTCCAATGATCCGGGGTACGGTGTAATGGGTTATTACTACCGTGCCACCGGGTCGCAGCTCGCGGTTGAATTCTTGGATTGCGGTAACAGGGTCAGTCCAGTGAATGCATTCGCAGACAGTCAAGAGGTCTACGGTCCCGGATTCGACAGAACTTCTCTCTGCTCCTTCCTGTAAAAATCGTAGTCTTGACTCAGGAATACCGGACTCTTCAATCAGCGCTTTCCGGGCTACTGTGGTATATCCATCATTGGGATCGGATACAATTACGCTGTGGAATTGGGACGCCAAAGTAGCTGAAACAACACCACATCCGGCGCCGATGTCATGTGCTACCGACCATGATGCGAAAGGCTTTTGCGAATGATAGTTGTATATTCTCTCAAAAAATGACTGTGGGTAGAGAGGACGGTATACGAGGTAGTTGGACCAATTTGCTCCTTGGTTGACAGAAAACCCGATTTCCTTTCCCGGTGCTGAAGTCTGGGTTGTGATATCCTGTCGAACGGACGAAGTAGCCATTGTGAGACTGTGGGACGCCCACATTAGAAGCCTCTTCAGCAATAAATAATTTTGGTGCATGGCAGATGGGTACTTACGATCTGTTTGTTCTTTCTTCGATGTAAGGGTTTACCTTGATATATCAATTAGAGGAAGATCTTCCTGCAATAATTATCTGTCGCAGGAAATTGAAAAAGACATTTAAATAGTCGGTCACCGTTGTCTTTTAAGCACCTAGACATATATCAATCACGAATGAGCCGGAGACACTACTAATCGTACCTAGGATGCCGGGTTCGGGATATCTATTGCCTACTTTGTACGTACCACGAGGGCAGCAGTGCTCTGATTGGCGAATGATATGCTCTAAAGCACATAAAGACTTGCCGTTTACTAGACCGCTGAGCAAAAAAAAAGATACCTATTTATGAGAGTCAAAGTGTAAATAGTCAATGTGCTTACCAAACTGTCGGCGTCTGGTAATGAACTAATCCTAATCCTCACACGAAGAAACGTTGGAGCATGGTTTTGACTCGATCACAAATCGCATATAGACGTAGACGTTGAAAATAAAACGAAGCTCTAGTAGTAATACGGCATTTTCCTAGCACTTTTAGTAAAACCATTTCCGGAATATCAAAAATGGTCAAACCTGTCATTTTATAAGGCGAGAAGAAAGGACAAAAATGGGATTGGATCCGAACTTGGAGATAGTTCTTATTCTTAAACAACGACGGCACAGGGTTTTCATTATTCCTCAATTTTCTTTTCATACCATATTCTCACTAGTCAGAGTAGCGTACAAAATGGCAATCGACTCTGCAAGTCCAGCGACGCCGAGCTCAAGCTCCAAGTCAGGGGAATTCGCGAACGGTATGACCAAGGCCCCACGAAATGTTGCCTGGTACCAGCCTACTTTGCCCAAAGGGCTACCTGAGCTCCCTCATAGGATATTCAAGGACTATTCAAACATTCCTGATAGCGAGATTGTCGATCATATTTACCGAGTAAGAGATAAAGCCTGGGAGATGTACGTTGCTAAACAGGAAGCGATGAGAATCATGATATCTACCATTGATGCTAATGTAATACAGTCTCCCATATCCATGCATTGGCGTCTTCAGATTTCTGGACTTCCCAGCCACTCTCAACCCAATTTATCCAGAAGTACTTGAGCGTGTTCGAAATGGAGAAACTTTCCTCGATCTAGGATGCTGCTTTGGACAAGATATCCGCAAGCTTGCCTTCGATGGAGCACCCTCTGAGAGCCTTATCGGAGTCGACACTGAAGCCACCTTTCTCGAGCTTGGATACGAGCTCTTCCGCGACCGTGACACGTTGAAGTCTCGTTTCTATACCCAGGATGTTTTTGCCGAAGATTTCCTGGCTGAGTGGCACGGCAAAATTGATATCATCTTTCTTGGATCATTCTTGCATCTTTTCAGCTTCGAGAAACAGAAACATGTGGTCTCTCAGCTTGAGAAGCTTTTAAGGAAGCACAAGGGTGCGATTGTTTTCGGTCGTCATATGGGCGCAGAAAATGGGGGTAACTTGCGCAAGAATGCCCTTGGCTGGGATCTGTATCACCACAGCCCGGAAACTATTCACCAGCTCTTTGACGAGGACCTAGAAGGGAAATGGGAAGTTGAGTCTGAGCTCGTAACATATGGGTCCGAAGGTTGGGACAAGGGTCGTAATTGGCAAGGAAATGATGTTAAGCAACAGAATTTCTGGGCGAAGAAGCTGTAATCGCGAAATAACAAGAGCGCAAACCTGTTCCATATTTGAATTCTACTTAGAAAACCACATATAAGATAGGGATTGACAAAATGCTTTTATTACGATGGTTGGTATGAGAACACAGAAAAATAAATACAATTTAGTCATATCCTTCTAAGGTTCTATACATGAGAAATACCTAGGTATGTAGCAGCCATTTCCTACCCAGCAATGGCCGCTGTCTAATACAACTCCGAACCTAGGTATCTGTCGCCTTGTCTCATGTTGGGTACTCAATCATGTTGAAAACTTCTCATCGAATTTAACGATGGCTTAATTGATTAACCTAACGATTCCGTTGAGATCATAGATCGTGCCTTGCTGTCGGGTACACATTAGCCATTTAATAGCGAATTAATATCTTGCTATGAGAGGATATTCTTCATGGCATCCAAGCCGTGTGCTGCTGCTGCTGCTGATGACGTTGTCTCTTTTAGTAATCATAAATTTTGTAAAGATGCTGTTATTTCCTGATTAGGAAATTCAAATCCCGCGCAGCCGGCTTATTACAAAGGTCTAGCTACTTGAACGCAAAAATACCAAAATAAGTAAAAATTTTCTTCTCGACTCTGGAATATGAAAATGTCTTTTTTTTTTTAGATTGCGCCTTGATTTAACCTCCATGGCTCCGTTGTTCCGTTATAAGCACGAAAGAGAAAGGACCTGGCAACCCAACTTCTCTCGTTAAATAAAATAATCAACGATGGCAGAATACGCAAAGTACTCTAAAATCAGTCCTCAATGGACAAAGGTATGCCGTCAATACCCACTTTAAGTTACATATATGGCTTGGATTCTAAAAAGAACGTCAGTTTGTTAGCCAATATCCACAGCTCGGTGACTTGGATAAAGTTGGCATAGTGGAACGCCGTCGAATCTTCGGCGAAGTGGAAGCTACAATTCCTCAACGTCAACTACCATCAGATGTCAATGATTCTACAGTGTCAGTTAAAGAATTTACAATCAGAGGTCGAGATGGATATGATATTCCTGTACGGGGCTACATTCCCGCGGCAAGTGCCCCAGAAGCCGGCCGTCCTCTTCTGATTTATCTGCACGCTGGAGGCTTCTTGTTCGGAGACTTGGAAAGCGGTGATTTGAACTGTCGAGTACTTGCTACGAGGTTAAACATTAGCATATTGAATGTAGGATACCGTCTGGCACCAGAATGGTTATTCCCACATGGTGTGAACGACAGCTACGATGCGACAGAATGGGTAAGTCAGTCCCAGATGAAATGCACTCAAACCTATTAGTGACCATAGTAATTCGCCATATAGGCAGCAGCCAACGCAGGAGAGGCACTGAATTGCTCCCCAACAGCCGGCTTCCTTGTTGGGGGTATATCTGCTGGGGCGAATTTCGCCGGAGTTATTGCGTATACGGCTCGTGATGCTGGTCTTTCTCCTCCAATCACTGGTCTTTGGATCTCAATTCCAGTGTGCATTATGCCACAGGCGTACGACCTTGTTCCACAATGGAAAGATCAATTGCTCAGTTTGGAGCAGAACGCAGAAAACCCTTTGCTGACACGAAAGTCTCTTACGGATATCCAAGGTATATCAGACAATCTCATGTTATCAGATGAATAGGAAGAGATTTAATACGCTTTCTCACAGATCTATATGGTTCACCCCCCGGCGATGTTCGAATTTCGTTTCTGTTAAATGAAAACCATAAGAACCTTCCAGTTCGTGCTTATTTTCAGATTTGCGGCAGAGACCCACTGCGTGACGAAGCTTTCCTATGGCAAAAACTGCTAGAAAAGCATTCCGGCACTAAATACAAGATTCATCTGTATTCAGGACTTCCTCATGGCTTCTGGAGATTTTTGCAACTAAAAGCTAGCCAGGAGTGGCTGGATGATGTGGTTGAGGGTATTGGTTTTTTGTCTGCCCCTCAAGATGCAGATACCTCTTCGGAGATAGGTTTGAAGGTAAAAGGACTTTGAAGATATTTACGAAACGATCTTAAGCAGCTTTTTCTACTTTCATGAAAGGACCATGAAGATGTTTGTGTCACGAGATTGGAGTTGGCAGTCGTTTCTAGAATGTTCATAAGTTAGCACTGCAATTTCACTTCTTACAGAAAAAATCTACAGATTATTCGAATTTTCTGATTTCTCACATAGCCTTGTAGAAACTGCATGCAGTATGAACCTGCCATAGTTTCCTTAAATGCTTCTTCTACTGCACAATTACTTGATGCGCCTTCTCAGCTGCAAGTGAATGGATATTGTAATCTGTATTATATACCTAGGTACTACCTGCATAACTTCCACTCTCAAATCATCACGTAATCGTCTTTTGTACTCTGCCATAAAAGTCATTTGCTACCTCTCGCATTTTGGCTTCGTTAAATAATTTACTATCAAACTCCATTGACAATCGGAAAGTAGCATCGTCGGTTATATGCATAACCCTGACTAGAACGTCGAACTATTTTGGAAATTCTCTTAGCATCGCTTCCCAGAACACAGTAATCGAGCAGGAGACTTGAAATGGCAGCAAGGGCAGAAATAAATGGAAACAACTTACGTGCCAAGGATCTCTTGACTTTTGTATATTGTCATCTACCCACAGGGTATCTGTTTCGACTGCCGTGGGACGTCTTTGAAAGTTGAGAGCCGTGTTGGTTAGTTTGTCTATTTTTAGTTCCTGTTGAATAACTTCTCGAATATTGATTGAGCTGTGTAAGGTATCCTGTGCCCTTTGTTCTTGTATTTTGTAAGCTAGCCGTGCAATCTCGACAGCACTGTCATCAGACGAAACATCACTGAGGTGATTAACAAGAACGTTAATTAGCGGCCCTACGACATCAAATACTCCTTCAATTTCTTCATCACGTCCAGATATCACGTATTCGAATGCAACTTCTGGTGATTTTGTATAAGCGCTAAGTGTCTGTGCCCACGCTGCGTCGAAGACGCTAGCGGAAGTAATGCCATTGTCGGTAGAGAAAGCAGTCAGTGAGCTTACTGGTACCGTGGGTAAATCAACGATAGTCTTGCTAGGGCTTGGTTTGAATTCGATTTCAGATGAAGAAGATGTAGGGAAGTCCAGCAGTGATGGTTGCAGACCCCGGAGTACAGAAGTCCAGTATTTAGAGTCTGTCTGGACACGATTAGAGTGATGAGCAGCAACGAAGGACTTATAAGATGGAGGTTCCTCGAGGAAATGCAGCTCAGGGTCTTCATCTGTCTCATATGCGGTCAGGAGAGCAGATTTAATTAGTTTAAGTGACCACCCATCAATAACCAAGTGGTCCAATTCAATGTGAAGAAAGAATTTGCCCTCGTATTGATAGAAGTGTGCACGATGGGGCAAAAAGCATTCGTCAACGTGTGGTACTCCATGATCTTCGAAACTTGGTTCTGGGCTTCCAGGTAATGCTACAGATGTAACAATTGTTGGTTCAGCGTTCGCCATAACTACTTGCACCGGAGGAGCCTTTGTCGCCGAACCAGTGAGGAATATACTTCGCAGTATCGGAAACTTTTGAACAACACGTCTCCAGGAACGTGTAAGCCTGTCTAAAGAGATGGGCTGGGAGGTCCGTGAGGTCACCTCCATGCGCCATGACAAGAGAAATACCCCAGGGTTGATCGTTCGTTGGTTCAAAATTTCCCGTTGTATCGGAGAAAAGGGATATGCATCCTCAACTTGAACCGGCGTTTTCTGTACCGGTTGAAGGCGTACTTTGAGCTCTTCTTCGTACGGCTTCAAGCTATCATTTTCTCGAGGACCGTCAAGCTCTTTGGGCGCTTTTATGACATTCCCCAGAGTTTCCTCAACAATGACAGAAAGATTTCCCAAAGTCCTTGCGCTGATTATGGCACGAACTGTAACGGAAAGGCCAATCTCCCTAGCTTTAGACACAAGCTGAATGGCAAATATCGAATCACCACCAAGTGAGAAGAAAGAAGTCGTCAATCCTATGCGCGCACTGGGCACGTTCAAAACTTCACTCCACAGCTTTTGTAAGGTCTCTGCTGTGCTTCCTGGAGTGACCTCTACTGCTTCACTGAGACTGTAGCCCTGTACCAGCTCACCATATGTTTCCCACGTCATTCCGTGGACCCATGACTTTAACAATTTTCGATCAACTTTACCAGAAATCAGCAGTGGCATCTTTTCCAACACAATCCATACTGATGGCAACATGTACTCTGGAAGGGATAGTGAGAGATGTCGCTTAAGCTTCTCCAAGTAGGCACTTGTGCTTTCCGAATACGTCGCAATCGCTATGGCGTAATTTGTCCCATTGTTCATTTCCAAATCAGATCTGCCAAAGCTAACAATAGCTACGATCTGGTTTGTACAGGGGCCTTGCTTGGGTAAGTGAGCCAGGGCGGCAGTTGTTGCCCCGGTCGCCATGATTTGGTTCTCAATCTCTCCCAGTTCAATACGGAAACCACGCAAGTTAACTTGGGTATCTCTTCGTCCGACAATATGGAATGTGCCGTCGGAGTTGTAACGTGCCAGATCGCCAGACTTGTATATCTTTTGAAATGGGCTCCTTGGGTTAAGCGCTTTCAACCATTCGGGGGCTGGCACAAAAGCTGCGTCCGTATTCAACTTGTCATCGAAATAACCTCCACCAAGCAGAGGGCCAGAAATGACAATCTCGCCTACACACCCGATAGCACTTAATTTCTGATGATCATCAGGATTGACTATCCACATTGTAGCTCCAATGCTTCGGCCAATATGTGCTGGGTGTGCGTCCATGGAAACATTTATATTTCCTGAGCAGTAGACGGCAGTTTCAGATGGCCCATAAGCATCAGTCAACTGAACATGGCCGGCCCACCTCTGGATAGTCTCTCTAGTAATAGGTTCACCAGCCAGAACAATTGTCTTGAGCGTTGGAGTTTCTTCAGGGAAAATCAAGTTTGCAACAGTGGGAACCACCAACAATGTATTTGCCTTCAAAGACGAGATAGCCGCGGCTAAATTATTCATTCGTTCATACTCAGACGGAACACAAACACAACCTCCAAAGGCAAGTGTCGTGAAAAACTCGCCGATTGAAAGGTCAAATGTATGTGCGGCGAATTGAAGTGTTCTCCAATGGTTTCCAGCACCAAATGCTCTTCCATGATGAATGATCGACGTACAGATCGCAGAGTGAGACATGAGAATTCCTTTTGGTTTTCCAGTACTGCCAGAAGTAAAGAGTAGGTATGCAGTGCTAGATGGTGTACTTCTGGTTGGCGGTATATTAACTAGTGGAGAGAACGACAAATCATCGTTGACTGTAACTATAGTCTCACAGAGCCCTGCCAAGTTACCGGCACCCAAATCCGATGCCAGTGCTGCTTTTATTCCCACAGTATTTATCACCTCAATTATGCGCCCACGAGGATGTGCGGGATCGATTGGCACATAAACAGCACCAGCCTTGAATATTGCTAGGATGGCCACGACTGTCCAGATAGACTTTTCAAAGCACACTCCCACGAAGTCACCAGGCGACACACCACTTCTGACAAGCTGCTGAGAAAGCGAAGTTGAGTAGTTCTCAACGTCAAGATAACTTAGAGACCTCCCTAGTGAGTGAACGGCCTCTGCGTATGGCTGTTTTAACACTTGCTCGTGGAACAAATGATCTATGCATGTGTTTTCAGCTGAAGGGGTCGTCTGGTTCCACTCTGTTATTTGAGCAATATCATGATTACTCAGCGGTGATATTGACTCCAATAAAGTCTCCTTGCTCGCGCTAGCTAATTGTGTGATGATTGCTTGAAACTGGTGGGCTATGTTCTCAGCGTTCTTAGTTGTAATGACTCCTTCATCATATTGTAACTCCATCAAGACGAGTGTATTAGTCGACAAAGTGAATGTAACTACCAAGGGATAGGCGTGCTGTTCCTTTTTGCCCAAGTTGTCATCGTACTCGAGGCCTATCTTTCTTGTTGCCGGGGCTGTTGCAGTTGAGAAGTCTGCTGGATGAACGATAAACAAAGTTCGAAAGTCGGCAGTCGTGGGACTGTCAGACGATAGGTATTGGCGAATCTTCGACATACCAGTGTGCTCGAAGTTCATCATCTCTGCTGCCTGGTGTCGAATAGTAGAAAAGAAAGATGCAACTGATTGTTTTGGATCGACATGACATATCACAGGAACTAAGTTAATCGTTGGGCCTGTCATTTGAGATACTCCAGGAACAGCTGCAGCTCGTCCGTTATTTATAGCTCCAAAAACGACGTCTTCAGTTCCAGTATAATGGGACATTAGAACAGACCATGCAGCGCGGAGTAATAGGGCCTTTGTCAAACCGAACGGCGGGAGACGCTCAAGAGTAATAGTGTGCTTCATTATAGAAGAAGGATCGGCGTGGAAATCAGGAGTGTGTGATGGTGGTGGGTAGGACGTTGGATTAATATTTGACATAGTTCGCCTCCAGAACTTTTCTTCCTGTACTTGATCCAATTGAACCACGGGAGATTGGATGAATTTCTCAAAGGGCTCGCGCTGCGGTACTGGCTCATCTTTGAATCGCATTGCAACATCTTCAAGAATCTCAACAAGAGAAGCCCCGTCGCAAAGTGCATGATGTACAGTCCAAACAAAATATTTTTCCGTTGTCTTCCTCTCGTTATTTCGATCAGTCACTATCGTGTATCGAAAAAATGGGTGACCTGGCTGCATGTGAACGGCTATATCTTGTTGTAGAAATTGATCGATGTTAAGATCAACCGTATTCCACTGTATTTCCTCGTTCAATACAGCTTGGATATATCCAAATCTTCCATCTATATTGCAGATGCGGGTACGCAGAACAGGGTTTTGACGAATGGTCTGTTCCCATGCTTGTTGAAAATTCTTTAAGGGAATTTCATCGAGCAACCTGAAAACCAACTGCCTGACATACAGATTCTGAACTCCGTCAATCTCCGCCACCAATGACTCTTGCATAGGGCTGCAAGGATAAATCTTCTCAATTTTTTCTCGCGAGACGTGGCATTGCTCAGCGATTGTGCCAACATGTCTTAGCAGGGAGTTATCTCCACTGACGAGATCGAAAGGTTTGTCCATAGTTTCATTGATAATAACGTCTGTTTCGGTCACTTGCGTAAGACGAGCTTCATTAGACATCTCCGTTAAAGATGCATTAATAAATATTTGCTCGATTGTCAGAAGTATGCCTTCCGCCTCTGCGGCTTCGACAAGCTTCTGGGCGGATATAGAGTCTCCACCAACCTCGAAGAAATTATCATCATCGGAGAAGAGTGATGGGTCTTCTTGGAGTGTCCTACCCCATAAGTGTTTGAGGCGACTGATGAGAGTTTGTTTGCCCGAAGGTTCTATCGTCGAGACATCTTTACTAGCATCCTCCACCTATCCATATCTATCAGTGAATATTTTCGAATCCTCACGCGTTTGATGCATTATTCCGAAAAATCAAATTTTGAAAAATGACGTGCCTCCCAAGAACTGTGTAAGAATCCATTCTTTTTCTCTTCAAAGGCATCTATTAAAACCGACATCTTCGGATATATGCCGCCAAAAATTTTCAATATGCAAGTTGAATTGTAGCTTCACAGTCCGTAGTCAAGTGAAATCGATATTAGGACTCATTTTAGCTATATACCTAGTCGATTATACGTGGTAAGCTTGGTACAAATCATCGCCATGATTTACAAATACAGTTTCAATATACCGAAAATTTCCAAAACGGGCAACCCGAAAGCCGCAACTGCTTATACATCAACAGATAGTGAAAACAGGCCAGGAGTTTCGACAGCTGAAAGATCTTCAAGGTTTTGTATTAAATATTCTCGCATTATTATTCAGTCTTATCGCCACGAGGTTGGCTCTTTTCTCGGATTTTGGGTTTCCACATTAGGCACGGTTGAATATCACTAGGTTTCTGGGAAACAGACCGTCTTTAAAACACTGTACCAACCTGAAATTCAGTAGCCATACTCATAGCAACAGCACAGCGTGTTCTCAACTATACTACAGGCTAGAAGATATTTCAGTACCATAATGTGAGTGTGTACTCAACCCTAGATTTAGCTTTCTTGCTTGGAATATGGTTGACTAAATCTACCTGAAGGCTTAGCGACGCGTCAACAAAGTACGATGCCTTTCCTTTATTGCATCTCGCCAGTCGGAAATGGCCTGACAAAGCCTTAAGAAAGCCACCGCGGTGGTTATCAACTGATTTGCGGGATGGAAATCAAGCCTTGGTTCAGGTAAAACTTTAATGTTCCTTAATCTTCTTTGAGCTCCTGTGACTTTTCTAAATAACATCCTAACTTTTGGGTTCATGTAGCCCATGGATGGCGATGCTAAGCTTCGCTACTTCCAGTCGCTTTTGTCACTTGGATACAAAGAGATTGAGGTTTCTTATCCATCCGCCTCGCAAACAGAGTACGAATTTACAAGGCGTCTCATTACCACTCCCGGGCTCATACCAGATGATGTCTGGTTGCAAATAATGGCTCCGTGCCGTGAGGACTTGATCAAAAGAACAATCGATTCAGCACGGGGTGCGAAGAAAATCATTCTCCATATACATCTCTCCACATCGGATTGCTTCCGCGACATAGTCTTTAATATGTCAGAGCAAGAGACAATTGACCTGGCCGTTCGTTGCATACGATTAATTCGAGAACTCACGAAAGACTCCCCAGATCCCGACGTAAGAAAGACGGAATGGATCCTGGAATTCACGCCAGAGAACTTTCAAGATACCTCGGTGGAGTTCGCTCTTGAAATTTGCGAGACTATAAAAGCAGTCTGGCAGCCTACGGAACAGCATAAGATCATCTTTAATCTGCCCTCGACAGTAGAAGTGGCAATGCCAAATACCTTTGCGGACCAAATAGAATTCTTTTGCGATCATATCACTGAAAGAAGCAAAGTGTGTGTCTCGTTGCACAACCACAATGATCGTGGAACAGCTGTCGCAACGGCTGAATTGGGCCAGCTCGCGGGGGCTGACAGAATAGAGGGCTGCCTCTTTGGGAATGGGGAGCGCACTGGAAATGTCGATCTTGTCACCCTCGCATTGAACCTATACACCCAAGGAGTAAATCCTGGGATTGATTTCAGCAATGTCAACAGTGTAGTTGCAATGGTGGAAGAGCTTACTAAAATACCTGTTCATTTCCGTGCCCCCTATGCAGGAAAGTACACATTCTGTACCTTTACGGGCACTCACCAGGACGCAATCCGCAAGGGGTACAAAAACCTGAATGCTCTCCAGAAACGAACTGGTCGAGCTCAAAAATGGAGAATGCCATATCTTCCGATGGACCCCATGGACCTAGGAAGAAAGCATGAAGCGATCATTCGTGTTAATTCCCAAAGCGGGAAGAGTGGTATCGCCTGGCTTGTGAAAGAGGTTTTCAACATAGACATGCCCCGTGAACTTGAGATTGCATTCACGCGAATAGTAAAAGTCCATGCCACTGACACAGGTCTTGAAATAACGCCTGAAGTGATCGAAAATCTTTTTCAAACAAATTATATGCTTCCAAATTACGCAGATCTTGAACTTGTGACTCGCACAATCAGCGAAGACGAAAGCAATGTCAAATCCAATGAGGTTGATACCAAGGTTGCCAACGAACAGATTCATATTCCTATTACCTCCCTTAATGCAAGCTTTGTCCTCAACGGTGTTCAGCGTTCAACATGTGGCTCAGGAAACGAGTTATTGTCGACCGTTGTCAACGCTGTCAAACAGCTTGGTTTTGAATTTGAGTTAATCGACCACAAAACTCAGCTTGTGCAAAATAGTGATTTTGACTATCCCAGTAGAACCGCTTGTTTCGTCAAGATTCACAGCGAGAAATTGTCCCCAATATGGGGCGTCGGCATTCACAAAAGCCCTATATGGTCCACTTTCCAGGCAGTAAGACATATCTATTCCTCGTTATTTGGATATAATCTTGACCTTCTCTGCTTCATAGGTTCTCGGCGCTGCGGGAAAGTTGGCGGCTAATGAAGCGGTCGATAGAAGTTAGATGGAAGTCATACGCCGATCCTGTTGGGCTTTGAATAAGGGAACAAATGCTTACATGTACCTAGCTATTTACACCAGACCAATTGGAAATGGAACGCTTAATAGAATCAATGACGTAGCGTTTTCAACAATTTATTTCCCACTCAATTGTTGATTGTTCGTCGATCTTATGCCGCCGTAGGCGCAACCTTCCAGTAGACGACATTACCTTAATACGCCCAGAGTTTTGTACATATATCGTGCGTCTAATATTCTCCATAGTTGGCATTACAAAGGCTTTCGTGGATTTCCTACCTTTTGCCTTTGCATGAATTACTAAAAAGGGTCAAGAACAAAAGAGGTCCGTGAAGAAAATTCGAAAGCTGTTGCGGCAATCTTGATTATTATATTCACCATCTTATGCTCTAGAGGACAAATGTATCAGGTTAGAAACCTTTATTCCGCGGCTTTGACAATATTCAAGTCAAGAACCAGAACTCTTTCGTAGCAAATGACTGGCAATATCCCGCAGATCTTTCTTCACTATCTTTCCAGTGGCGTTTATTGGTATCTCTCCTGGAACTCCTTCTTGTTCACCAATCCAGAAGAAATGCTCCGGAATCTTGTGAGGCGCAATTTGAGTTCTAAGCTGAAGTTTGATCCTTTTTCTCCTAACTTCAAAGTCCGACTTTACGCCCGGTATGCTTTTGACAAATGCACCAACAACTTCGCCCCAGTCAGGGTCGGGAATGCCAACGACTGCTGCTGCTGCAATACTAGGATCTGACTCGAGTAGCTTTTCGATATCCGACGGGAAGATATTCTCGCCTCCTACTTGATGTTTGCCGGTTAGAAAAAATTTTTTTTGCAGGACAAAGTGATTTAGAATAAGGTAAAACTGACCTCTTTTTATCATGTCCTTGACTCTGCCAATGACTGTGCATCTTCCTGTAGTGCTCAAGGTAACCAGATCTCCTGTGCGTAGCCACACGCGGCCTTCGGAATCTTTGTGAAAGCTTTCTGCAGTCTTTTCTGGATTTTTAAAATATTCTTTAAACACCAAGTAACCGGAAATAAGAAGCTCACCACTGGATCCTGGTGGTAGATCCCTCAGTTCACTGTCGACTACTTTGGCAGCTGTATGAGGCATCACAGTGCCTACGGATATGTGATCACTCAGAAGTGAGGTCTCCGATGGGTCTGTCATGAAATGGATACATGAGCATTCAGTCATGCCTATATTTGAGTCAGTCGACATATTTAATTGTAGAGATCAGAGATTTTCTTTATTGTAAATGAGCAAAGAGGGGGTAATGAATACCAAACCCGTAGGCTAGACCGTTGAGCTTGAACTCGATATCAAGACGCGACAGCAAGGTTCGTGACAGACTCGAACCAGCAATAATCCCAGTTCGTAGACAAAACTCCGGGCTATATTTTCTTACTTGTGGATGGTCTAGCATTGCTTGAAACATTGTTGGCACAGCGTGGACGACAGTGCACTTCTGTTCGGCAAGTGCTCGAATACTTGATTCAGCAATAAAAACGTCCGAAGGAAGAACGACACTGCCCCCGTACACAATCGCTGTTAAGACACCACATACCAGGCCGAAGCAGTGAAATATTGGGGAACAACAGAGCACAGTATCATCGGACGTAAATGAAAGTCGTGCTCCCACAAGAAGCGCGTTGTTAAGAAGATTTCTATTCAGAGTCATGATTAGCAGCGGATTTAGTAGAAGCAATAGCAACTGATTTTTGACATAAGTATGTATCATATGATTTGATGTTCAAATAAGTACTACCAAGTCCAAAGAGAGAATGAAACCATACCTGTGTGTTACCAATGCTGCCTTACGAGGTCCAGTGGTACCACTAGTAAACTGTATGCAAAGGCCGTCGTCGGCATCTCCCTGACCCCAGTATCGCTGTAAAAGGTCCGGTTCAATCGCACTATTCGAAGCCCCATATAGAAACTCTTTCCAGGTCGCCACGTTTCCATTGAATTTCGCAGCTGTCCCCATCTGAACAACTAGCGGTTGATTCTCACGTTCTTTACTGAGAATATTTAACAGGGCTTTATTGTTACGATAACCGATCCTATCAGCTATAAAAATAGCCGCTGGGTCTGAGAGTCATTTATATGTGTTAGTGAGTAATCTGTAAAAGGTATTTTTTTTAAAAAAAAAGAAGAAGAAGAAGGAAAAAAGAAAAAAAAAAAGAGAGAGAGGGGGGAAAAAAAATATACATATGGAGAAGCCTTCTTACCCAGGAATTGCACTGCATTAGCTACCTCGTCTGCTGTAAAGGTAGGGTTGATGATTGAAAATATAGCACCAATTCCTCCTACGGCGAAGAAAAGCTCGGTGTACTCTAAAGTATTGCCTGCTAGCACAACAACGCGGTCCTTTGGTCGTACTCCATAAGCAAGAAGCCTGTGTGCTATATCCCTAGTAGAATTGTATAAAGTCTTGAAAGTCAGACTGGACTGTTGCCACGGAGATATCACAGCCTTCTTCTCCGAATACTTGAGGCTTTGCTCTTCGAGTAGTTTCCCCAGGTGTATATCCAAAAGTGATGGTAGACTTGGGCCTTCAAACGCCGAGCTCTGATCCTTGACTGGCTCCAATACACGATCCTGTGCCAGTAGCAGGACCTGTGCCTCCACTATGGTTGATGATTGCGACATGACAAATCTGACCATCTCATAGGTAGTTCTAGGAGCTCTAGCTTGTGGAGTTAAAAGAGAAGTCCCTGTTATTACATTTATTCAAGACTTAGAGATGATTTATTCTGCCTAGATCCCTCCACACATGCCTTCCCAATCAAGGCGGCTTTTCGCTTTCCTATTCTGGAATATTTCGGCATATGCTTACCAAACTAGGATGGCGCGCATCTACCTGAAAAGTATAGTGAGAGAGCATCAAATACTTAGTAGGTTTTGCTTGTCTGTGTGTATGTGAGTTTTCTTGCAGACTTCTTATGAGCCTCTCTGGTTGCTCGCTCGCAGCACGTTAGTTTGGGGTTAGCCCCTAGATATTCTCCTGACAGCGGATTATGACCGCTATTCCGAATACAGCATGTAATCTATAACCAATACCATATTTCACAGAGGTGCATCTAATTGGCCAGAATAGGCATTAAATACATGTCTTAGTTGACCCCTATTCTAATTATAAATATGGCCTTAAGTAACCCCTGAATATTCTCTTTAGTTAGATATGTAGATTATATAATATTCTTAATACTAGCTAATACAGTATTCTAAATCTATTGTTATGATAGTATATCTTAATGGTATTAGATTTTATTAATTTAGAAAAGAAACTGGTTGATAGGATATAAGAGCTTATAAATAGCTAAATCTTGATTATTAAAGCTATTCCTAATCTATATATCTAAGAATTATATCTCTGCTAATTTATAATTCTTATTAGAAATGGATATTAGTAATCTTATTAAAATATTATAAATTTAGTATTAAAATGATGGTAATAATTTAGAAAAAGGTTAACTTAACTAAATAATTATATTAATATGATTAGTTTAAACTGATTTAAATTAAAATAAGATAAGAAAAGATTTAGAAATATATTAATTCTAATCTTAAGAATCCTAAATTGAATAAATATTTTTCTATTTCTAATAATTTTAAGAATAAGATTAATAAGACTGATTATAAATAGAAAGTAGAAGAATATAAGAAGAAGGAATAGATCTTTAAAACTATTCTTTCTTATATAAATAAGTTAGTTAATATAATAACTTAATTTTTAATCTTTAATAAGAAGAAGATTTATAATATATTAAAAATGCTATTGATTTATTTTAAACTATTAGATTAAGAGATGTAGTATAAAATTATTAGTAAATGAATTAAATTAAGATTAAGATTATTAAAAAGCAAAGATCTTACTATTTAGATATTAAATTAGATAAAAATATATAGTAAGATAAAAAAATTTAATATTAGTAATTTCTTAGATTTAATAAAGTAATTTTTATATAACTTTCTTAACTTTATTAAATCTAATTTTAATAGTTTTTATTAAGTTTATTTAATGCAAGTTAAGATTACTAAAAATATTATTTTTAAGATATTAATCTTTTAATTTAATAAGAAGGTTGTTAATTAGACTAAAAAAAGCTTAAATTTAAAGGTATATATAATTTAGAAAAGTAAGAAACCTTTTAATAAAGAAGATTTAAGAGATCTTATATTTACTAGTTAGAATTAATTAAAAGAAAATAAGAGTAATAAAAAAAGTAATTAGAAAGATAATTAATCTTATTTATATATTTTTTCTAAAAATCTTTATTCTAAATAAGAAGATTATTTATATTATAATAAATAGATTTAAGAAAAAGACTAGATTTCTAATTTAAAAAAGATTAGAGCAGTAATTAAGAATATTATTAAATATCTTTTTTTAACTAAATTTATTAAAAAGTATAAAGTATAATCTTTAATAAAGTTAAAAATATATAAATTAGTATACTTTTAACCAGGCTAATTATTTACTCTAAGAGAAAGTTCCTTTTATTAAATTAATAAGAATACGCTGATAGAAAACTTTATTTATAATAATAACTTGGAGGATTATATTTATAATATTAGAAATTAATTTATTATTTTTAAAAATCTTAATCTAATTACCAACTTTATTAGTATATTAGAAGACTAAATATTAATATATAATATTAATATAATTAAAGTCCTCTTTACTACACTAGATAGAATAGAATTTGAATAGCCAATAGTTCTTTATAATATATTATATTGCCTAGAGGTATTAATTAATCTTATTTCTGTTAATAAGTATAAGAAAGAGGGTTTTTATTGGGATAACTATAATAATATTCTATATTTTCTAAGAGAAGATTTAGAAAGGGTATAAATTATAAAAATCTCTAAGTATTATAATTAAATTATTACTAAATATAATGAATTATTAATAAGTATAATATATATAGCTAAGAGGCTAATTTTATACTTAAAGCAGGTTACTGAATTAACTATTTTCTATTAATATTAGTATAATTATCTAGAGTATTCTAATAGAAAGATTCTTACTTATCTTAAGAAGAATATATAAAAAGTATACATTTCTAGTAATTTTAATATATCTTTTTATAAATACTATAAGTTAGTAAGAGTATTAACCTAAATCTTATAATAATCTTAAAGAATTAGAAGCTTATCTTAGAAGATTATTTATTTTAATCTTATTCCTATTAAAAGGTTATATAATAATATAAAGTATATAATTCATTTTTACTGTCTTTATTTATAATATTATAAAATTATCTTTATGCGAGATAAAAAGATTTAAGGATTAATTTGTAATTTTCTAAAGAGCCTTATAAGGAGAGACTTTAATATTAGATTTACTTATATTAATAATGAGTAAGTGCTAAGAAATAAATATATCTTATTCTATAGAAAAATAGATATTAAGTGAGAATATGTTATAGGTTATATATATAAGTAAAATGGTCTGGCAGAGAGATTTAGAATATTTTTAATTATTTTTATAAAAGTTCTTATATATAAAGTGAATCTTCTATATTTATTCTAACTAGAAGAACTATAATATATGATTTAGTTAGTAAATTAATGACTAAACTAGTAACTTGATTGGAGAATATCTTATAAAATTATTTAGAATTCTTATAGCTAGAATAATATTTTATATTTAGGAATATTAAAAATCTTTAGTTATAGAATATATTAAAAGATTTTTAAAATTCTATATCTCCAAAAAATAATGAAATATGTAGAGATAGGATATTTTATAGAAATTAAATCTTTTAATATTTTTTAAATTTAAATTCTAGGCTAATGGGCTATTATTAGAACTTGTAATATTATATTTAATAAAGATATATTTTTTAACTTATTCTAGCTAGTCTGATGATATGGTTTATAGGAATCTATTAAATTTAAAGAAGTATTTGATATTATTTTAAATTTAAGAAGTGATTTAGTAAAAGAATTAAAATTAAATAAGGAGATTATTAAGGAATTAAAAAATATATAAAAATCTACTAAATAGGTTGTTTTAAAGATATAAAAAGAGGTTTTTAAGAAATTATATTTAATATATCTTCTAATATTATTAATAGTTAATTCTAGATATAAATAACCTTTAAATTTATTACTAAATTAATCTACTTAAAATAAGAAATCTTAAACACCTATATATAATTAAGGAAATATTTATTTACTTATTTTAGAATCTTTATCTCTTATAAAAAAGATTATTAGTATATTATATAATTATGATACTGAGGCTAATATATAACTTTAAGCTAAAGTTTAATTATATAATAATTATAAGTATATACTTAGATATAATAAGATTTCTGCTGTGCTTAATATTTCTAATATTATAGAAGATAAGAGAAGTTATAGATTAAAGACTAAGCTAAATATAAGGTTTTATTTTATTATTTTTAGTATTATATTAGATACTTAGGAAGAATTAAAGGATAGTTTTTTATATTTATATTAAGATAAGTTTCCTAAGATTTTAAATTACTAGAAAGATCTCTTTAAATTATCTTAAACCTACTATAAAGAATTTATAAAGGCTATAAAGAAGGAATATTATATCTTATTAGAAAGAGAAATATTTAAAGAGATAAGAGAATTAGATATTAATCTAAATCTTAAATATATTAAGATTCTATTTTTATACTAGGTATTTATTTATAAATTAAATAATAATGGTTATTTAATATGTTATAAGATATGTCTTTATATTAAAGGTAATATATAGCTTAGCTAAAATAATATCTATACTACTATAATAAGTGTAAGGATAATCTATTATTTATTATATTTTATAACTATTTTTAGATATAAGATAGGTTAGTATAATATAATTAATATCTTTCTGAATATTTTAATTAATAAAAAATACTTCTTTATATACTTTCTTAAAAATATTAAAAGAAAGAATAGATATATATTAAAGCTGTTAAAGATATTTTATGATTTTAAGTAATTCTCTTAATTATAGCAGAAAGAACTAGTAAAAATGTTTTAGAAATTTAATATAAAATAATATTTAAATAAGATATATCTTTACTTAAATAAATATCTTATTATTTTTTTCTTTATTAATAATATTATAATGCTCTATAAATTAGGAAATGAATACTATTATATCTTATTCTAGGAAAAGATTATAAGCAAATATAAAGTTAAGGCACTTAAAGATATTAAATGGTTTTTAAGTATGAGAATTATTTAGAATAAAGATATAGGGGCTATTTATCTATACTAAGATTTCTATATTAAGAAGGTTATAAAATATTATAATTTATTTACTAATAAACTATTTATAATGTTAATGACTATTGTTAAATTAATACTCTATAAAGGTAAAGTAATGCTTTTTTAGATTGTGCTTTATTAAGAAAAAATAGAATTTATATTATATATAATGATTATAATAAGACCTGATATTGTTTATATAATTTTCTATTTAAGTATATTTATATAAAATCTAGTACTAGCTTATATAAAGGTTATTAATTGTGTGCTTTTATATCTTTACTATATAAGATTTTATATAATATATTTTATAGGATTATTTAGAACTAATCTAATTTATATAGTAAGTGATGCAGTGTTTACTGACTATCTAGATTAATATAATATTAGGGCCTTCCTTTTTAAGC